ATTACTCTTTTAATTGATTACATTTATGATTGTAAGGGTATTTGATTACGTATGTTAACGTAGAATCCACATAATTTTTGATTCCTCATCTATAAAGAAATTGTGTTTGAGGAATCCGATAGAGGAATGATTCATACCTTGGCGGAAGAGTGGTTTTCACCTTTAGATAGAAAGTTTCGATACACGGGGTCTATTGAGAAGTTTTTTGTTATCGGGATACCACGACATGATGTTGCCAATCCACTTATATCATAACACATATATATATATATTTATTAATAATATACTTATAAGCCCAAGAAATATTAACAATATACCATGTAAATTAGTAGGCCGTTGAACAATCCATGCGGACCTCCGTAACTCTAGAATGCCCTTAGTTAAGCGGGTTGCTTTTCGCAGTCACACTCTTCCTTGGGCTTTTGTATCAGGCTAGAATGGAACATCGCTTGTCCCATGAGGGGGTTGATACCTTCGTGGGTTTTCTCTGTTTCGTGTATCTTTTAATATTTTGGGCTAGACTTGGCCTCCTGATACTGGTGCGGGCTCTGCTCTGTTCCTTGTGAGGCTTCTCTCTTTTTTGAGCTACGTGTTCGTTTCTATTCTGGCGTGTCATCTCCCTAAAGAAATACCATCTTTTAGTTATACAGATGAACTTTGTTATTTGCTTGCAGAAGAAGAACCAGCAGAGCGAACCCAAATTCCAATTTCATAAAGATGAAATCTTTGGTGAAAATTGTATGTGGGTGTTGATTGGAACCATCGGTTCTACTCACTTTCAGTGTTTAATTGATCCTTATGTTGTTGGATGATGTTTGTTTTTTACGTCCTCAGGAGTCAGGAGCATGTCATTGGCCGAGCCAAGCTCATCACTCTGCACCAGGAACTTTCAGATTATAAAAATGGTGGCTAATCGTTAGGAGCTTAATGCAGCCATCAACATTTGTGGTATATTTACTTGAACCCCATTTTCTCTTCCCATCTTATTTCAGTTTGATTTTTAGCTTGTTTGTTGGTCATTTTTTTTTATTGTTGCTCTCAATAATTTCTGAGTTTGAATTTGAATATTCTGCTTTGTGCATGGACTAAGCTTATAAATAAAAAAGATTGAAATTGTAATGTGCTGTGTTTTGACATTTTCTTTGAGTGAAAGTTTATGAGTGAGACACAGTTGCACAAAACTTATTTTATTTTCTGTATCTGAGTTCGCAGATGATCACTAAGATCAATCTTTGGACAATTTTAAACGACATTATGATGATGTATAATATAAAGATTACAAAGAAAGTGCCAATTCCCAAAATAATGGAGATACCTTCACACCAACACCAAGAAAGGCCTTATCGAAAAATTCATAACAACATTAATACTCATATAAAAGACATAAACCTAGAGTGTTGTGGTCCTGAAGCAGTCATACATAACATGGTTAAAGAGGAGAAAACAAAAAGAAAACAGTATACAGTGAAAGAAGCCTCCAAAGAAAATAGTTAAAACTTCATAAAGTATTTGCAGCATGAACACAACGATGCTGTCAACTATTAAATGAATACAATTGAAAGATAAATCCCAAAAGATTTTAACTTAGACTTATTGTGGAGACTGAAATGTTGTTGACGGAGACGAATTTTGTTGTAGAAGATGGGGTAAACTGTGAGGAATCGGTGTTATAACCATGTTGTGAGACTCTGTTTGACCTCTTTCAGAACTAGTAGTGTCAGTGGTCACCGTTGAGAGTGATGTTGGAGGAGCAAAATAGGTGGCCACTGGCATCTTGGATGGGAGAATGGGCAATGGAACCTCAAAGTTAAGCACTTGGATCGCTTGTTGTATTGAAGGTCTGAATTTATAATCCGGATGAGCACACCACAACCCAACAATCATCAAGCACTCCATTTGTTTCTCATCAAAATGTCCACAAAGTTTTGGATCGGCTGCTTGAATAAGTGTGCCTTCTCCATAAAGCTCCCACACCCACTCCACCATTTCGATTTGGCTACTTTCTAAACTGAGATCGATGGGTTTCCTCCCGCAAGCAATTTCCAAAGCAACAACTCCAAAGCTGTAGATATCGGATTCCATGCTAGCCTTTCCTGTGGTAACGTATTCCAGAGCCATATAACCCCTGGTTCCAGCCACATTTGTTGTTTGTGACTGTTTTCCGTGGTCCACAAGTCGAGCTAACCCAAAATCCCCAAGTTTCACATTGAAATTTGAATCCAACATAATGTTACTGGACTTGATATCCCTGTGGAGCACACACTGTTCCCATTCTTCATGTAGATAAAATAACCCAGATGCCAAACCTTGAGCAATACTGTATCTTATCTGCCAAGTTAACAAGCCTTTTTCTTTGAAAAGATGAGAATCTAAACTGCCATTGGGCATGAACTCATAGACAAGCATGAGTTCTTTTTTTTCACGGCACCAACCAATGAGTTGCACCAAATTCTGATGCCTTAGTCTACTAATGATACTCACTTCTGATGCATACCCTTTCAATCCTTGTTTAGATCCGCTGGATATCCTCTTAACAGCAACATGTGAGTTTAAGTCTTTTATGAAGCCTTTATACACGCCTCCAAATCCTCCCTCTCCAAGCTTCTCTCCCTCTTCAAAATTTTTTGTTGCTCGAGCCAACTCGCGGTAGGAAAACTTCCTTGGGCCGGTGCCCTTTTCAAGTTCCTCATGAATAAAGCTATTAGCGAAAGGATTCTCATTATGTTCCCCTGCTGCTTTCCCCTTCTTCCAAAAAATGAGCCAAACCAAACCCAACCCAGCAACCAAGATTAGGCACCCACCAACACCCAAACCAACTGGGAGTCCTATATTGGCATTCGCATTTCCTGACTTGGGTTCATCAACCAGAGCAGTTGAAGTAAAATTCCATGAGACAATCTTATGCACAGCAACCTCATTACCTGTTGCAGCAGAGAACCCAACGATGACCCAATCCGGCAAGTATTGTTTCAGATCAACCATGTAATAAAGATAATTGATTACCTCAACTTGGGTACCATTTGTACCATTTTGGAAACTTGTGAAGGCAACACTGAGATTTTTTGAGCTAGAGTTATAACTAATCCGAGCACTGTTTTGTTTTCCTTCCTCAATACCACCATTCCAAGGCATGGTAATATTAGAATTGAGAGAGTTGACGTCGATGCCAACATGATCGCCGTCAGGATCCTTGATGGTTGGCACTGTATTCTTGAAGATATCAAACTCCACTGCCACAAATGGATACTGAGTCCTTGAGATGTCTCCAGGGAGGTCTTCGACAGGGAGGCCGAGCTTGCTACCACTTCCTGCTGCGCTATTGAGTAAGGATCCGTTTGGCGCAACAAAGAACACCATCCCATCTGCGTGGCCTGAATCTATTATGAATGTGAAAGTTGTGGTAAAATCAGCTAGTTTTCCAGTGGCATTTTCCCCGAGGAGGAAGGGCTCACGATAGGTGACTCGACCGACGTTCCCATTTTCTCCGGGGTATCTGGTGAGTCTGATGAGGTTGCTATCAATATCAGCAACACCCTCAAGGGATATGTTGGTGGGGACATTGAAAAAGCTTGGGAAGTTGAAGGTTAAAGGAGTTGCAAGAGGGCTGAACAGAAAGAAGAGGAGGGATAGAAGAAGGTTTAGTGATTGGAGTGCCATATCTAACCTTTTTGCAGAGACTTTAGCAAACATGCAATTGAGTTTTTAGCTTGACATGCTATTTATGTATGTTTAGTTGCATTCAGTTTTCAGTTTGACGTGGTATGCAATAACAATATACACATGAAATTTAGAATCTTTGAATCTTGTATTTTGTTGTTTGCAAAGGTGACTTTTCTTAATTCATTGTCGTATTCAAGTAGTGGTTGGTCAATATTTAAGAGAGTGGTGATGGCAGGAGACCAATGACCATGGTGACGGTCTAAAATTTCTTTGTCTAATTTAAAGAATGGCCAGCTCATATGGTGTGGCAGGTGAAATTTTTTTGTCCAAATTCAGTGACATTTGACATTGAGAAGGCTCGAGTCAGATTTGAGTTTCATCACCTCGTTTTGTTTTGGTCAACATGGATAAAAGAGATAAGTTGAGAGAGAAATTTTCGTGCACGACCATAATGGTCCAACTTGAATGGCTTGATATTAAAAGTAAAAGATATGAAATGGATTAACGACATTTTACCCTCACAGGTTTGGGGTCGTTATTAAAATCGGTCATGGGGTTTCAATTTCATCAATATGAAACTCAACCTTTTTAAATTTAACCAAATTACACATTCCATCAACTTCACCATTTAAATTTTTGTTAAATTGGCGATGTGGCAAGTGGAGTGCCACTTTATGCTAATGTGAAAAAAAAAAAAAAAAAAAAAAAAAAAAAAAAAAATAATAAAAAAAAAAAAAAAAAAAAAAAAATATTTTATTTATTTAAAAAAAAAAAAAAAATTCCCCCGCCTTAACAACCCCTCTCTCTCCCTTCTCTCTCCCCCAACCCCTCCTTTCACACATCATTGCCTGGGGTAGAGAAGACAACGGAAAAAGTAAGAAAGCTTTTCCTACACTTTTATTTTTTCCAACGAACAAACAGAAGAGAATGAATGTCAATGTGGATGATTTAACAGACATCCATCACTATGTTAATGAAGAACCAGATTTTATGTATAATCCGAACATTTGTATTACTCTACATATATATATATATATCAGTTTAAAGATAGTGAAATGCTACTCTGACTCCCTGTTTGTTATCCTGCGCTCTTTCAGCATCAGTTTCTGCACTCTTTCTGTGTTAGTGTATCTGCCTTAAGATTTCGTCCAAAGAAAAAAAAAAAAATCTGCCTAAAGGTATATCTCAAAACACTAAGTTGTAAACAAATAAAATAATTACAACATAATTACAGCAATATGCTGTCAAATACCTAAGTTTAATGATAAAATACAAAGTAAATTACAAAAAACTTTGAATATATACATGTCTATTAGAAATTATTAACTTAGGCTTATTGCTCAAGCTGCAGTGTTGTCAATGGGCAAGACTTGTGCTTCAGTGTCGATGGACAAGAACTGTTCTTCAGTGTCCGTGGACAAGAACTGTGCTTCAGTGTCGATGGACAAGAACTGCGTTGTAGGAGATGCAGTGAGTTGTGAGGAATTGGTGCTGTAACTGTATCCTGACAAAATTTGGGCTTCAGTCTCTGTGGAAAAGAATTGTGGTGTGGAAGATGGGGTGACTTGGAAAGAATTGGTGCTATACCTATAGCAGCCTGACTCAGTTTGACCTCTTTCAGAAGTAGTCGTTTGATTGGACAACATTGAAAGTGATGTTGGAGGTGCAAAATAGGTGGCAACTGGCATCTTTGATGGGAGAATAGGCAATGGAACTTCCAAGTTAAGCACTTGAATCGCTTGTTGTATTGAAGGTCTGAATCTATAATCTGGGTGAGCACACCACAACCCAACAGTCATCAAGCTCTCCATTTCATTCTCATCAAATTGTCCATAGAGTTTTGGATTGGCTGCTTGAATAACTTTCCCTTCTCCATAAAGCTCCCAAACCCACTCCACCATTTCGATTTCACTACTTTCTAAATTGAGATCGATCGGTTTTCTCCCGCAAGCTATTTCCAAAGCAACCACACCAAAGCTGTAGATATCTGATTCCTTGCTAGCCTTTCCTGTAGTAACATATTCCAGAGCCATGTAGCCTCTAGTTCCAGCCACAATTGTTGTTGGTGACTGTTTTTCATGGTCCACAAGTCGAGCTAATCCAAAATCACCAAGTTTCACATTGAAATTTGAATCCAACATAACGTTGCTGGACTTGATATCCCTGTGCAGCACACATTGTTCCCATCCTTCGCGTAGATAGAATAAGCCGGAGGCCAAACCTTGAGCTATTTTGTATCTGATTTTCCAACTTAACAAGCTATTTATTTTGAATAGGTGGGAATCTAAACTGTTGTTGGGCATGAACTCGTAGACGAGTAGTAGTTCTCTTTTTTCATGGCACCAACCAATGAGTTGCACCAAATTCCGATGCCTAAGTCTACTGATAATTCTTACTTCTGATGCATACTCCTTCAAACCTTGCTTAGATCCATTGGATATCCTCTTAATTGCAACATATGAGTTCAAGTCTTTTATAAAGCCTCTGTAAACCCCTCCAAATCCTCCCTCTCCCAGCTTCTCCCCCTCATGAAAATTACTCGTTGCTCGAGCTAACTCCCTTTTTTTTTTTTTTTTTTTTTTTTTTTTTTTTTTTTTTTTTTTTTTTTTTTTTTTTTTTTTTTTTTTTTTTTTTTTTTTTTTTTTTTTTTTTTTTTTTTTTTTTTTTTTTTTTTTTTTTTTTTTTTTTTTTTTTTTTTTTTTTTTTTTTTTTTTTTTTTTTTTTTTTTTTTTTTTTTTTTTTTTTTTTTTTTTTTTTTTTTTTTTTTTTTTTTTTTTTTTTTTTTTTTTTCCCCTTTTTGGTTTTTTTTTTTTTTTTTTTTTTTTTAAAAAAAAAAAAAAAAAAAATTTTTTTTTTTTTTTTTTTTTTTTTTTAAAAAAACCCCCCCCCCCCCCCCCCCCCCCCCCCCCCCCCCCCCCCCCCCCCCCCCCCCTCTCACTGCTGGTATCCTGATGTAGAACAGATGGCAGATTTTATCGCGGTTGAGCAAGAAAAGGGACGTGGTGGGAATTTGCAGAATTGTCGTCCGAGCTCCGATTAGGGAGCAAAATACCATTTCGGAAAGGGAACGATGCCACAAGTCAAACTCACCGCTTTGCTGTGATGTACGATGGATTTTGGCATTCTGGAGTCGTTTGGCCTTTCAAAACTGCATTCAAAGTTCGAAGTTAATTCCAAATAAATTCTGTTTTTCCGTTTCGGAGTTACATAGTTAATTCCCAAAATAAATTCTGTTTTTTTTTTCAGTTTTGGAGTTACGTAGTTAAGTCTCCGAATTAATTCTGTTTTTCCGTTTTATTGTAATAACTCCCCTAGCAGTTACAAGGGTTGAGAGTTGTGTATTTAGACGGGTTCGTCTAACGTTTTTCGGAAGTTCAGATTTTAATCAAATTAATCAAAGAGAGTTTCTCTTAATTTCTGGTGGATTCCAGTTTCCTTGTTACTCAAGGTTTTCGTTTGAAACCTTATTTGCTTGTGCTGCGTCAAGTGGTATCAGAGCGGGTCTCTCCCGTCTTGGTATTCTTGTCTTATCATGGGTGATCGTGAAGCTGATGTCCCAGCCCCAATTACTCGAGCGGATCTGGACGCTCAAAACCAACGGATCGACAACCTAACCACCCAATTTGGGGAGATGCGAGAATTGTTGTTGCAAGCTCTTGGTGGCAACCATAGGCGAGGAGGCAGGGATGACGAAAGAAGAGAAGGCAGGGATGATAATCGAAGAGAAGGTAGAGATGGCGAGAGAAGAGATAATAGGAGGCAACTTATTCCGGATAGTGAGTCAGAGTCAGAAGAAGAACTTGAAGAACCACCACCACCGGCTAATAATCCTCGTAATCGTAATCGTAATTACGAGAATTTTGGCGACTATCGGATTAAAGCAGAAATTCCTAACTTTTGGGGAAATCTGAAGATTGAAGACTTCTTGGATTGGCTTGTAGAAGTGGAGAGGTTTTTCGATATTATGGAGGTTCCTGAGCATAAGATGGTGAAGATGGTAGCTTTCCGTCTTAAAGCTACAGCGGCTGTTTGGTGGGATCAATTGCAAAATTTACGGCAGAGGCAAGGAAAGCAGCGGGTTCGAACATGGCGGAAGATGAAGTCGCTTATGATGGAACGATTCTTGCCCACAGATTATGAGCAGATTCTCTACCGTATGTACCTAGGCTGTGCGCAAGGCACCCGTTCAGTTTCTGAATATACCGAAGAATTCATGCGTTTGGCAGAGCGAAACCATTTGACCGAGACTGACAACCAAAAGGTCGCGAGGTACAACAATGGGCTGAAGATTTCCATCCAGGAAAAAATTGGTATGCAGAATATATGGACTTTGCAGGAGGCGATTAACATGGCATTGAAGGCTGAATTGTTGGAGAAGGAGAAACGCCAACCCAACTTCCGCAGGAACACGACGGAAGCCTCTGAATATACTGCTGGTGCTTCTAGTGGCTCAGGAGATAAGGGGAAAGCACAGCAGCAGAATCTTGGAGGATCGACAAAACCAGCAACAGTTGGCCAAAACAAAAATTTCAACGAAGGTAGCAGCCGGAATTACAACAGAGGGCAGCCCCGAAACCAGTCCCAAATCCGTATGCTAAGCCCATGACGGACATATGTTACCGTTGCCAAAAACCAGGGCATCGTTCTAATGTTTGTCCAGAGCGGAAGCAGGCCAACTTTATCGAAGAAGCCGATGAAGATGAGGAAAACGATGAAGTCGGGGAAGATGATTATGCAGGGGCTGAATTTGCAGTTGAGGAAGGAATGGAGAAGATTACCTTTGGTTTTGCAGAGAGTTCTTTTGGCACCAAAGGAGGAAGGGCAGCGTCATAGTATTTTTCGTTCCCTCTGCTCAATCAAAAACAAGGTGTGTGATGTGATCGTCGACAATGGAAGTTGCGAGAATTTCGTGTCAAAGAAATTGGTGGAGTATTTGCAGCTATCTACGGAGCCTCATGTCAGCCCTTACTCACTAGGTTGGGTTAAAAAAGGCCCTTCGGTTCGTGTAGCTGAGACTTGCCGAGTGCCACTGTCAATTGGGCGACCTTGGCAATTTGATGTGGATGCAACTTTCAAGGGACGAGATAATGTAATTCTGTTCTCTTGGAACAACCGGAAAATTGCAATGGCAACCACACAGCTCGCAAAGCAATCTGTTGAGCCCAAGACGAGGAGTTCTAGTTTCCTAACCCTAATTCGCAGCGAGCAGGAGTTGAACGAGGCTGTCAAAGAAGCGGAGTGTTTTTGTCCCTTGGTGTTAAAGGGGTTGTTGAAAATTGGCGGAGGAGAAGGTGACATTCCACAAGATGTGCATCAGATTTTGAATCAATTTCAGGAACTACTTTCTGAAAATCTGCCAAACGAGCTGCCTCCTATGCGGGACATACAGCACCGAATTGACTTGGTGCCTGGAGCTAGCCTTCCGAATCTGCCCCATTATCGGATGAGCCCCAAGGAGAATGACATCCTGAGAGAACAGATTGAAGAATTACTGCGGAAAGGATTTATCTGGGAGAGTTTGAGTCCCTGCGCAGTTCCTGTTTTGCTGGTTCCAAAGAAAGACAAAACTTGGCGAATGTGTGTTGATAGCCGGGCAATCAACAAGATAACAGTCAAGTACAGGTTTCCCATTCCACGGTTAGAAGATATGCTGGACGTTCTTGGCGGCTCAAGGGTGTTTTCCAAGATAGATTTGCGAAGCGGATACCACCAGATTCGCATACGACCTGGAGACGAATGGAAAACAGCGTTCAAGAGCAAGGACGGATTATTTGAATGGTTGGTGATGCCATTCGGATTGTCAAATGCACCTAGCACTTTCATGCGACTCATGAATCAGGTTCTTCGACCATTTATTGGTTCTTTTGTCGTTGTTTATTTCGATGACATTTTAATTTACAGTACCACAAAAGAAGAACATCTTGTGCATTTGAGACAAGTTTTAGATGTGTTGAGAGAAAATAAGCTGTATGTGAACCTTAAAAAATGTACTTTCTGCACAAATAAGCTACTGTTCTTGGGTTTTGTTGTTGGTGAGAATGGTATCCAGGTAGATGACGAGAAGATCAAGGCAATCCTTGACTGGCCAGCTCCAAAGACAGTTTCTGAAGTTCGAAGCTTCCATGGCTTGGCCACCTTTTACAGAAGATTTGTGAAGCATTTTAGCACCGTTGCTGCACCTATCACGGAATGTTTGAAGAAGGGCCGGTTCAGCTGGGGAGAGGAGCAAGAGAGAAGCTTTGCAGAAATAAAAGAAAAGCTTTGCACCGCACCGGTTCTAGCTCTTCCAAACTTTGAGAAAGTTTTCGAAGTTGAATGTGATGCCAGCGGTGTGGGAGTCGGAGCTGTGCTCTCACAAGACAAGCGGCCAATTGCGTTCTTTTCTGAAAAGTTGAGCGATGCACGTCAAAAGTGGAGTACTTATGACCAAGAGTTCTATGCGGTTGTTCGAGCTTTGAAGCAATGGGAGCACTATCTTATCCAGAAGGAATTTGTTTTGTTTACAGATCATCAAGCGTTGAAGTATATTAACAGCCAGAAAAATATTGATAAAATGCATGCTAGATGGATGACTTTTTTGCAGAAATTTTCGTTCGTTATCAAGCATACTTCCGGCAAGACCAATCGTGTGGCAGATGCGCTGAGTAGGAGAGCTTCATTATTAGTCACGCTGACTCAAGAAGTTGTGGGGTTTGAATGTCTGAAGGAATTATATGCAGGTGACGATGATTTCCGGGAAATTTGGATTAAGTGCACTAATCAAGAGCCAATGGCAGATTACTTTCTCAATGAAGGTTATTTGTTCAAAGGCAACCAGCTGTGTATTCCAGTTTCTTCTTTAAGGGAGAAGCTCATTCGGGACTTGCATGGTGGAGGGTTGAGTGGCCACCTAGGCCGTGACAAAACAATTGCATTGATGGAGGAGAGATTTTACTGGCCACAGCTCAAACGTGATGTTGGAACTATTGTGCGCAAGTGCTACATTTGTCAAACTTCGAAGGGGCAGGTACAAAACACTGGATTATATATGCCATTACCAGTTCCTAACGATATTTGGCAGGATCTTGCTATGGATTTTGTCCTCGGATTGCCCCGAACACAAAGGGGAGTGGACTCTGTATTTGTGGTGGTTGATCGGTTCTCAAAAATGGCGCATTTCATAGCCTGCAAAAAGACTGCCGATGCATCAAATATAGCCAAACTGTTTTTCAGGGAGGTTGTTCGCTTGCATGGGGTTCCTACATCCATTACATCTGATCGTGACACCAAGTTCTTGAGTCATTTTTGGATCACTTTGTGGAGACTGTTTGGGACTACTTTGAATCGTAGCAGCACTGCCCATCCCCAAACTGATGGCCAGACTGAGGTTACAAACCGGACATTGGGCAATATGGTGCGAAGCGTCTGTGGAGAGAAGCCGAAACAATGGGATTATGCATTACCGCAGGTGGAGTTTGCATACAACAGTGCAGTCCATAGCGCTACTGGGAAGTCTCCATTTTCCATTGTTTATACTGCTATACCTAACCATGTTGTAGATTTGGTGAAACTGCCTAGAGGCCAGCAAACCAGTATGGCAGCGAAAAATTTGGCTGAGGAAGTGGTAGCCGTTCGAGATGAGGTCAAGCAGAAACTTGAGCAAACAAATGCTAAGTACAAAGCTGCTGCGGATAGGCATCGACGTGTTAAAGTGTTTCAAGAAGGCGATTCTGTGATGATATTTCTGAGGAAGGAGAGGTTTCCAGTTGGCACTTACAGCAAGCTTAAACCGAAGAAATATGGTCCTTACAAAGTGCTCAAACGGATCAATGATAATGCCTATGTTATTGAGTTACCGGATTCCATGGGAATTTCCAATATTTTTAATGTTGCAGATTTATATGAGTTCCGTGAAGATGAGGTTCTTTATCCAGATCATAACTCGGGGTCGAGTTCTTCGGAGGTGGAGAGGACTGATGTAGAACAGATGGCAGATTTTATCGCGGTTGAGCAAGAAAAGGGACGTGGTGGGAATTTGCAGAATTGTCGTCCGAGCTCCGATTAGGGAACAAAATACCATTTCGGAAAGGGAACGATGCCACGAGTCAAACTCACTACTTTGTTGTGACATACGATGGATTTTGGCATTCTGGAGTCGTTAGGCCTTTCAAAACGGCATTCAAAGTTCGAAGTTAATTCCAAATAAATTCTGTTTTTACAAATTTATAAATAAACCCAATCCTAGACATGTATTTATAAAAAAACCCAAGCACTATTTAAACATAGAAACACACCCAAAATCAACCCCAAAGTCAACTTTTTGGGTGTGTTTATAAATGGGTTTTGAGTGTGTGTAATGATGGGTTTTGGGTGTATTTATATGTTTAAATAGTGCTTGGGTTTTTTTATAATTTCAACCCCCATTTTGGGTGTTTTAGTGAAACTCCCTTCTGTTTTTCCGTTTCGGAGTTACATAGTTAATTCCCAAAATAAATTATGTTTTTTTTTCAGTTTCGGAGTTACATAGTTAAGTCTCCGAATTAATTCTGTTTTTCCATTTTATTGTAATAACTCCCCTAGCAGTTACAAGGGTTGAGAGTTGTGTATTTAGACGGGTTTGTCTAACGTTTTTTGGAAGTTCAGATTTTAATCAAATTAATCAAAGAGAGTTTCTCTTAATTTCTGGTGGATTCCAGTTTCCTTGTTACTCAAGGTTTTCGTTTGAAACCTTATTTGCTTGTGCTGCGTCAAGCCTGTACGAAAACTTCCTCGGGCCAGTTCCCTTTTCAAATTCATCGTCAATTAAACAGTTGACAACAGGATTCTCACCACTTTCCCCCACTGCTTTTCTCTTCCGAAAGATGAACATGAACCAAACCAAAGCCAATCCACCAGCCAAGATAATACATCCACCAACACCCAACCCAATGGGGAGTCGTATGCTGGAAGTTCCTGACTTGGGATTAGCACTGGGACTTGGCGGAGGAAATACTTGTGTGTTGTTCATTGTAGTCTCATCAACCAGAGCTGTTGATGTGAAATTCCATGAGACGATCCTATGCACGGCAATGTCATTACCCGTCGCAGCAGAGAATCCAACAATGACCCAATCCGGCAAGTATTGTTTCAGATCAACCATGTAAGAAAGATATCTGATTATCTCCACTTGGGTGCCATTTGTACCATTTAGAAAACTGGTAAAGGCAACACTGAGATTTTTTGAGCTAGAGTTATAACTAATCCAAGCGCTGTTTAGTTTTGCTTTGTCAATACCACCATTCCAAGTCGTGGTAATATTAGACTTGAGAGAGTTGATGTCGATTGCTACATGATCGTTCGGGGGATCCTGGATGCTTGGCTGTGTATTCTGGAAGATATCAAACTCCACTGCCACAAATGGATACTGAGTTCTAGACATGCCTCCTGGCAAGTCTTCAACGGGGAGGCCAAGTTTGCCACCACCCCCTATTGCAATGTTGACTAAGGATCCATTTGGGGCTAGGAAGAACACCAACCCGTCACCGTGGCCGGAATCAATGATGAAAGTAAAATGTGTGGTGAAATCGGCCAGTTTTCCGGTGGCTTTTTCCTGGAGAAGGAACGGTTTGTGGTAGGTTGCTCGACCGATGTTCTCAGCCACTTTAAGCTCTTCGGGTTTTTTGGTGAGTTTGATGAATTTGCCATCAATATATGCATCTCCCTCTAGGGATATGTTGGTGGTGCCATTGGAAAAGCTGGGGAAGTTGAAGGTTAAAGGAGTTGCAGAAGGGTTTAACAGAAACAAGAGCAGAAGGAAAGCTTTGGCGAGTGGAGTTGGATGATCCCGTCCCCGAAGTCATTAGCAACCATTTCAAACTTTTTGTACGTGCAGAATTGTCATCTAATGGTTGTGCAGATCGTATGCAAGGTTTCCTAGGCGCTTAAAACAGTAGTGGTGTTTACCAATTCAAACCAGAACCAGCAGCCATTGTATTTTTAGTCTGAGTTATGGCATATATTTATCTATGTTCAGTTGCCGGGAAGCATCCTCTTATATATGTTAATGGTTCAATTTCAAGTCAATTAATTTCCACTTGGGTAATGGCAGACCTTGGTGCACTCACTGTTCTTACAGGCTCATTTGGTGTGGGAATCTTTATTTTTATTATTTTGGGTGCAAATGCATTGACATTGAGAAGGCTCTTGGAAATGATTAAAATTCAGATTCGAGAGTCGCAACATCTTGCTGACGATGGCTAATCACCCGATTCAAATGTTTCTACGTGTACCTCTAGGTTTTATGTAACAAATTATAGAACTGAACAAGTGACTAAAATTATATGGGCAAATGCTGTACAACTGTATACTTTTACCATTTTGTTTTTTATTAATGGTGTGCTGGTTTACTTGGATAATTAAGGTTGCAAGAAATCTCTTCCATTTTATTTTAATTTTGATTTTTATATAGCCTTTTTAATGTGGGTCTTCCCAATCAGTACCTTAGTTAGTGGTACTTTGATAGTTTGAATATTTTGTATAATGTGGAATTATTCCACAATCACCGACTAATTAATCTAGTCATTAGCGATTTGGACTCAATGTACCACTCAATTTGGGCCTAGGAGAGTGCTATTCTTGCTTTCGACGCTTAAATTGAATTGAAATCACCTCTTCTTACAAGGAATGAGAGAAGTTATGAATCGGGGAACTTAAAAATTTGGGAATAAGGAATTGGAATAAGATCAACCACTACCCCTACTAGTTGATTTAAATTCCTGATTTTGGGACAGACATGAACTTAACCAAGTTTGTTTAAATGGATAAAAGAGATATGTTGAGAGAGAAATTTCGTATGCGACCGTAACGTCTAACTTAAATGGCTTGATACTCATCATATGTCCATGTCAATATATTAAAAAAAAGACGTTGAAGGGTTGGCCCTAATGTTGGATCCCTTCACACATGAAATATATTTTATCTAATAAGAATTAAAAATAAATAAAAATTATATGCACTAACAACTAGACAAGACAGAGTTTGCTGAAGTATGGACAAATTTATACCACCGCGCAGCTCACAATTTTTTTAATTAAATTTTTTATCATATGGTATGGTGTTTTTCTTACTCCTTTCTAGAAGTGATAATGTGATGTAATCAAGATTTGTGGTATTTTTAAGTGAATTTCATGGTCCTTTCCTCTCCATCTTATTTAAGGTTTGAGTGTTAATGTGGGTTTTCCTAATTTTCATTTGACTAATTCTGCTTTAGGTGTGGGTTAAACTTTAAACTAAACAAAAATGAAAGGAAACGGATCAACACTATTGAAATTTTAATTATCTGACATGGATCTTGTAGGGGGTTCGTTATGTTAGTTAAGTCAGTTAGTTTGGACAGCAACCCTATTATTTCCTTCTTCGGCAATGTGACAATATCAGCGTTCTCACAAAAATTAACTTAGGTCTGCTGTGCGCACTGAAGTATTGTTGATGGTCACAAATATTGTTGTAGAAGATGGGGTGATTGAGAGGACTTGGTGATTTCCTGAGGACTCGGTTTGACCTCTTTCAGAACTAATAGTTTCACTGAGCAATGTTGAAAGTAATCTAGGAGGAGCAAAATATGTGGCCACCGGCATCTTTGATGGGAGAATGGCCATGGAACTTCCAAGTTAAGCACTTGAATCGTTTGTTGTATTGAAGGTCTGAATTTATAATCCGGGTGTGCACACCACAATCCAACAATCATCAAGCACTCCATTGATTTCTCATCAAACTCTCCATTGAGTTTTGGATCGGCTGCTGGAATAACTTTGCCTTCTCCATAAAGCTCCCAAACCCACTTCACCAGTTCGATTTGGCTACTTTCTAAGTTGAAATCGATCGGTTTTCTCCCGCAGGCTATTTCCAAAGCAACAACTCCAAAGCTGTAGACATCTGATTCTTTGCTAGCTTTTCCTGTAGTAACATATTCTAGAGCCATGTAGCCTCTCGTTCCAGCTATAATTGTTGTTTGTGACTTTTCTCCATGGTCCACGAGCCGAGCTAACCCGAAATCCCCGAGTTTCACATTGAAAATTTGAATCCAACATAACATTGCTGGACTTTATATCCCTGTGCAGCACACACTGTTCCCATTCTTCATGTAGATAAAATAAGGCAGAGGCCAAACCTTGATCAATATTGTATCTTACCTGCCAAGTTAACAACCTTTTTTTGGGCATGAAGTCATAGACGAGCAGTAGCTCTCTTTTTTCGTGGCACCAACCAGTGAGTTGCACCAAATTTCGATGCCTAAGTAACTGATGATCCTCACTTCTGATGCATACTCCTTCAAACCTTGCTTAGATCCGCTGGATATCCTCTTAACCGCAACATATGAGTTTAAGTCTTTTATGAAGCCTCTATAAACCCCACCAAATCCACCCTCTCCCAGCTTCTCTCCCTCCTCAAAATTACTCGTTCCTCGAACCTGTTGAATTATAAGTGCTCAAGCTGATTTCATAAATTAGATACGTTTAGTTTTCTTATTGTTTGTTTTATTGGTAATCCAAGTGTCATAGTTTGATTGGTTAGTTTGTGGATGGCTGAGATTGCATTGTGATGTAATGCATCCAGCTGTCATTGTGCCTAACGGATATATCCTCACACCAAGTGTGTGTGTTTGTACTGTACAGATTTCTTACAGAAGAGAAATGAGAATGTTCTCTCTACTACACTTATAGCAGAGGAGTTTTGGATTTAAGATTTTCTTCTCTCCTTGTTTTTGTTCTCTACCAATACACATACAGATTCACAAAAACACTAACATGGCCTCAGAGCCAGGTTCGATTATCTGAAGCTGGGCGTTCGTTTTGTGAAGAAAATCTATCGAGGTGAAGCTCATTCATAGCTCACGAAGCTGATTGAGCTCGATCTATTGTCGATCTGAAAACAACTTGTTTCCAGGTACATCTGAAATTCGAAATGGCTGGATCTGGAAGCTCAGAGGCTAGAATCCCAATTTTCTCTGGTGAGAACTATGAGTTTTGGAGGATTAAGATGGTTACCATATTCAAATCGTATGGTCTATGGAGTTTGGTAGAGAAGGGTTTTTCAATCCCAGATTCAAAGAAGAAGAAGGTATTTGAGGACATCTCAGAAGAAGAAGTTGATGAGAAAACATCTGCGATTCTCATGAAGGATGCGAAAGCATTGGGTATCATCCAAAATGCCGTTTCTGATCAGATTTTTCCACGGATTGCACATGCATATTTTGCGAAGATGGCTTGGGAATTGCTATATGCTGAATATCATGGTGGAGAGCATGTCAGATCGGTAAAACTTCAAAACCTCATACGTGAATTTGAGTATACTAGGATGCGTGATAATGAATCCTTATCTGACTATCTTACTAGACTGAATGAATTGATTAACCAAATGAAAACATTTGGTGAAGTTCTGTCAAATGAGAGCCAGGTTCAGAAGGTTTTAATTAGTCTTAGTAAGAAGTATGATCCTATATGCCTTGTGATTGAAAACACAAAGACACTAGAAACTGTGGAGTTGCAGGAAGTGATTGCCATTTTGAAGAGTCAAGAGCAAAGGCTTGAAATGCATAGCGTTGATACAGTTGAGAAGGCATTTGCCTCTTTCACTGTGAATTCCAAAGGACAGAATAAAAATGCTTCTCAGTCTGGTTCATCTAAGTCACAGAGAAACTGGAATTCTAAAGGGAAGTCATGGGAGTCAAAAGACAAGTCACATCAGAATAATTATTCTGCACAGAACAACACCTCAACACAGTTCTCAAACCAGGAAACTACAAAGCCTCAATGCAAGGTGTGTTCAAAGCATCATTTTGGTGAGTGCAGGTACAAGGGAAAACCAAAATGCTACAATTGTGACAGATTTGGACATCTTGCTAGAGATTGTATTGTGAACAAGAATGTGCAGAAGGCTAATTGTGTAAATCAAATGGAGGTGACAGGGAACTTGTTTTATGCAAATTGCACAACCACTGAGATCAAAACCAATGGAGAATGGTATGTTGATAGTGGCTGTAGCAACCATATGACAGGAAACTTAGAGTTGCTGGTTGATGTGAGGACAAATGTGGCTGGAAAAGTACAAATGCCAACTGGTACACTTGTGAGTGTAGCTGGAATTGGTTCATTGAGGATTGATACAGCAAAGGGCAGAAAATATATCAGAGACGTAATGTATCTGCCAGGATTGAAAGAAAATCTGCTAAGTGTTGGGCAAATGGATGAGCACGGATATTGTCTGGTGTTTGGAGAAGGGATGTGCAGGGTATTTGATAGTCCATCCATGGATTATCTCATCATCAAGGTACAAATGAAGAGTAATAGATGTTATCCTGTATCCTTTCTAGCTGAAAAACAGTTACTGATGAAGACTAGTTTCACTCAATCCACATGGATTTGGCATAAGAGACTTGGTCATCTGCATTTTGGAGGTTTGAAACATTTGAGGGATAAAGAAATGGTACATGGTTTACCAACATTGGAAGAACAAAGTGGTGTGTGTGAAGGGTGTCAATTTGGAAAACAACACAGGAATGTTTTTCAAAAAGAACAAGCTCAAAGAGCAAGCAAAGCACTCGAGTTAGTACATGTAGACCTTTGTGGTCCTATGAGAAATGAATCGGTTGCAAGGAACAGATATTTCATGCTGATTATAGATGATTTCACAAGAATGATTTGGGTATACTTCTTAAGAAACAAATCAGAAGCTTTCAGCTGTTTCAAGAAGTTCAAGTCTATGACTGAATTACAAACTGGACACCAAGTGAAATGCATAAGAAGTGACAGAGGTGGAGAGTTTCTATCTACTGAATTTGTGGAGTTTTGTGAAGCTCACGGCATTCAAAGGTAGCTTACAATGGCCTATACTCCTCAGCAAAATAGAGTGGTAGAGAGAAAGAATAGGACTGTCATTGAGATGGCAAAATCAATGTTACATGATAAGGGAATGCCTTATTTCCTATGGGCAGAAGCAATGCATACAGCTGTTTATTTGCTGAACAGATGTCCTACCAAAGCTCTCCATAACATTACCCCATTTGAATCATATAGTGGAAGGAAGCCTGGAATTGCACATCTGAAAGTTTTCGGTTCTCTGTGTTATGTTCATGGACTAGCTGAATTGAGGCACAAGCTGGATCCTAAGAGTACAAAGGGAGTGTTTGTGGGATATGCCATTTGTGAAAAAGGCTATAGAGTTTTTGATCCAGTTTCTAACAAGCTTATATTGTCAAGGGATGTGACATTTGATGAAGAAGGTGCTTGGCATTGGACAGATAACAATGATTCAGTTATGACACCATACACAATTGAAAATCAAGTAGATTTTGATTTTCATTCCGATAGTTCAAATGGCAACTCTACTGTTACACCTCAAACTCTGAATATGCAGGGGAGAACATCATCAACTCCAAGTGATATAAGCAGTGAAGAAAGGAGAACTCAAGCTTATGATCACACTCCTTTAAAATGGAGAAAGCTAGATGATGTTCTTGCTCAGTGTAACTTGTGCATCATGGAACCAGAAAAATATGCTGATGTTGCTCAAGATGAATCTTGGCTTAAAGCTATGCAAGATGAATTGCAGATGATTGAAAAGAATGGAACATGGGAATTGGTGGATAGACCAATTGAAAAACCAGTGATTGGAGTTAAGTGGGTTTACAAGACAAAACTGAATTTGGATGGCTCTGTGCAAAAGAATAAAGCACGATTAGTTGTCAAAGGGTATGCTCAGAAGCCTGGACTGGATTATAGTGAAACTTATGCACCTGTAGCCAGATTGGACACCATTAGAACACTTATTGCTCTTGCTGCTCAAAAGGATTGGAAACTATACCAGCTTGATGTGAAATCTGCCTTCCTTAATGGTGTGCTACAAGAGGAAGTCTATATCAATCAACCTGAAGGTTTTGTAATTAAAGACAAAGAGGACAAAGTTTATCGTCTACATAAAGCTCTCTATGGTCTGAAGCAAGCACCAAGGGCTTGGTATGGAGAGATAGACAGCTATTTCACTCAATGTGGTTTTAAGAAAAGCCTAAGTGAAGCAACTTTATACACCAAAGAAAGGGGAGATAAGGATATCCTAATTGTCTCTATTTATGTAGATGACATTGTCTACACAGGGAGCAATAAGGAGTTACTAGATGAGTTTAAGGAAGATATGATGACTAAATATGAGATGACAGATTTAGGTCTCTTGCATCACTTTCTTGGCATGGGGGTGATTCAAACCAAGTCTAGTATATTTCTACATCAAAAGAAGTATGTATGCTAGCACCTTGTTGAACAAATTTGGCTTGACTGAATGCAAATATGTAACCACACCTCTTGTTGCCACTGAGAAACTAGCTAAGGATGATGGGAGTGGAGCTGCAAATGAAGAACACTACAGAAGCATTGTTGGTAGTCTGCTGTACTTAATTGCTACAAGACCCGACATCATGTATGCTTCCAGTCTGCTAGCCAGATTCATGCACTGTCCTACAAACAGGCATTATGGAACAGCTAAATGTGTTTTGAGATATGTCAAGGGAACTCTAGACTACGGCTTAGAGTATGTGAAAGGCAGGAAATCAGTTCTGATCGGCTACTGTGACAGTGATTGGGGAGGATCAGTTGGTGATAGCAAAAGCACATCGGGGTACGCTTTTACCTTTGGGAGTGGAGTGTTTTCTTGGGCTTCAGTCAAACAGAACTGTGTAGCGTTGTCCACTGCAGAAGCTGAGTACATTAGTGCAGCTGAAGTAACTACACAGGCTATTTGGTTGCGTTTTGTGCTAGAGGACTTTGGAGAGCTACAAACTGAAGCTACTTCATTGCATTGTGACAATATCTCAGCAATTGCAATCACTAAAAACCCTGTGTTCCACCAGAAGACTAAGCACATTGATAGAAGATACCATTTTATCAAGGATGCTTTGCAAGAAGAAGTCATTGATCTGGAATACTGTCCTACCAATGAACAACTAGCTGACATTTTCACCAAACCATTGGCCAAAGATCGGTTCAATTATCTCAGAGGCATGCTTGGAGTGAAATCAGCTCAAGACTTAAAGGAAAGTGTTGAATTATAAGTGCTCAAGCTGATTTCATAAATTAGATACGTTTAGTTTTCTTATTGTTTGTTTTATTGGTAATCCAAGTGTCATAGTTTGATTGGTTAGTTTGTGGATGGCTGAGATTGCATTGTGATGTAATGCATCCAGCTGTCTTTGTGCCTAACGGATATATCCTCACACCAAGTGTGTGTGTTTGTATTGTACAGATTTCTTACATAAGAGAAATGAGAATGTTCTCTTTGCTACACGTATAGCAGAGGAGTTTTGGATTTAAGCTTTTCTTCTCTCCTTGTTTTTGTTCTCTACCAATACACATACAGATTCACAAAAACACTAACAGAACCAACTCACGGTATGAAAACTTCCTAGGGCCAGTCCCCTTTTCAAGTTTCTCATGAATCAGTTTATTAACAAAAGTGTTCTCATCACGTTCCCCTGCTGCTCTCCTTCTCTTCCAAAAGGTGAACCAAGCCAAACACAAGCCACCAACCAAGATTAGAAAACCACCGCCACCCAACCAATGAAGAGTCTGATATTGGCACTTCCTGATGACTTAGGTTTAACAGCGGGGATTGACGCAGGAAATACTGGTTTGTTGCCCTCATCAACCAGAGCAGTTGAAGTAAAATTCCATGAGAGGATCTTATGCACAGCAAGCTCATTACTGGTTGCAGCAGAGAACCCAACAATGACCCAATCCGGCAAGTATTGTTTTAGATCAACAATGTAAGAAAGATAACTGGTTATCTCCACTTGGATACCATTTGTATCATTTAGAAAACTCGTGAAGGCAATGCTAAGATTTTTTGAGCTAGAGTTGTAACTAATCCATACATTGTTTTGTTTTCCTTGTGCAAAATCGTCATTCCAAGGCATGGTAATATTTGACTTGAGAGGGTTGATGTCGATCCCCACATGGATCCCTGCTGGTTGGCACTGTGTTCTTGAAGATATCAAACTCCACAGCCACAAACGGATACTCTGCCTTTGTGGTGTCTCCCGGCAGATCGTCGACAGGTAGGCCAAGCTTGCCACCACTTCTTGCTACACTGTTGAGTAAGGTCCCATCGGCATGACCATTATCAATCCTGAATGTGAAATTTGTGGTGAAGTCCTCAAATTTTCCGGTTGCATTTTCTCGGAGGTGAAAGGGTTCATGGTAGGTGGCTCTACCGACGTTCCCAATTTCTCCGGGGTTTCTGGTGAGTCTGATGAGGTTGCTATCAATATCAGCAACGCCCTCGAGGGATTGGTGGTGACATTGGAAAAGCTTGGGAAGTTGAAGGTTAAAGGAGTTGCAGAAGGGTTGAACAGAAAAAAGAGAAGAAGCAGGAACATAAGCTTTGGTGAGTGTAGTGGGATGATCCCTTTCCCATGATTATTGAAAACCATGTCTAACTTTTTTTGGAGACTGTTTGCAGAATAATCATATCTTGTTATGTAGTGCAGAATGCAGATCACTTTAGAGTTAAAGCTACCAAGGTGCCGTTCTTGTTTTTATTTTTATTATTATTTTTATTAAATCTTTCTTTGCTTGTTGGGAAGGAAGTTAAGGTTCCACTCCAAAACCAATTGGGATGAGGGGAAGTAGCCCAACTCCTATAAACTCAGGCTAAGTCCCTTAACTTTTAAACACTCTCAACACGCCCTTGCACGTATGGTGAACTTTCAAGCCTAACATGTGGACAACATATATTGGGTGACGCGGGAGCACGTGTGGTTATTGGGCCCAACACGTGAATCCTTACTCTGATACCATGTTAAATTCAGAGAGACGGGTCAGTGGCCCACTATTAACAACACTGATATTGTCCCCAACTTTACCACCTATAAAGCCCAGTACGTGTGGGTTTTTATCACAAAAGGCCTCGATGTTATTAGTGGTAGAACCATTCATTATATTTTGTATTTTATTTAGTCAAGTTTCCGATGTGGCACTCATATTCTTAAACACACCCTCTCATGTGAGACCGCCATATAGTAGGCCACACGTGGAGCCAAGTCCACATAGGAGTCAAACATTCAAGCCTAACACGTGATCACCACATATTAGGTAAGGGTAAACATTCAAGTCCAATATGTGAATACCACATGTTGGGTAAGGGGTAAGGGTAAAGGCCCAGTAATTTAGGCCCAATCAATTAACTCGCTTTGATACCTAACTTTTCAATGTGGGACAAACACTCTCAACATGCTGGGCTTTTGCACCCTTGTAAACCAGAAAAATATCCTTCGACAACCCCAGTCTTATAATTCATTGTTGCTCTACTGAAATATGCAATTCTCGATGAGGAAGGTGTCACGTCGAAAATCACTGCTGCATATAAAGACTGGTTAAAGGTTGACAAAGCATTGCTGAGCTTGTTGATTGCAACACTTTCCGATGAGGCGATTGAATACGTGATCAGATCTAAGACTACCTTTGAGGCGTGGATGAATTTGACGGATCGATATGCTACTTTGTCTAGTGCTCGTGTGAATCTCTTGAAGACAAAGCTTCAAACTGCTAAAAAAGGCACTGATTCTATCGAGAAGTTCTTACTTCACCTCAAACATGTCCGTGATCAGCTTGCTGTCGTTGGTATTTCTATCTCTAATGATGATTTGATGATTGTGGTGTTGAATGGCCTTTCTTCTAAGTATGACATGATCAAGATTGTGCTTATTGCTCATGATGCTACAATTTCTTTCAAAGATTTCCATAATCATTTGCTTGCAGCTGAATAAGCTGCTGATTCTCGTGTGATCTTGCCATATTCTCCTTGGTGTGTTCAACCATTCTTCTACCTCTACTGGATCTACCTCTTCTACATCATCTCCTAACCTCTCTGGTGCTGGTATTCTCCTTACTCATTCAGTGACTTCCTTTTCTCATACTGGTTATATGAGTTCACATACACATGGTTGATCGTCTGGTTCCTTGGTAGCTAAGGCAAATTTTCTGGTTCTAGGCTATTTGGTCGTGTTTTTCCGAATAATTTTTAGGGTCCTCCTAAGTCTGGTATTGTTCCAGAATGCCAATTTTTCAGTAAGAGAGGTCATATAGCCACAAATTGCTTTTTTCGCAATTTTACCCCATCTCAAGGCTCCTCTGTTACTGAGTGTAAAATTTGTGGCAAGAAGGGCCATGGTGCATTGGATTGCTATCATCGTTCCAACTATGCCTATCAGGGATCTCCTCCACCATCATCTCTCACTGCTATGGCTGCTCAAGCTTCTTTCTCTCCTGATGCAGTGTGGATTGCTGATAGTGGAGCGAGTCACCATGTGGTGCCACACATGACTACAATGCATAATGTTACACCTTGTAATTCAGCTGAGAATGTTGTAGTGGGCAGTGGGGAAGGTTTGCACATTGCTCATATTGGCAAATCTCATATTCCCACTGTCTCTTCTTCTCTTAATCTCTTTAAAGTTTTATAAGTGCCTCAGCTTACAGCAAATCTCTTATTTGTGTATCAGCTATGTCATGATAATAATTGTCGCATGATCTTTGATAAATCTGGATTTTTAATACATGACAAGGTCACCAACAAGATGCTTCTCCAGGGCAAGAGTGATCATGGCTTGTATCTTATTCCTACCTCTTTATCCTCAGTTGGTTCAAGTAGTAGTAGTTCAGTTGGTGCTAGCAGTCGAGCCTCTCAGTCACAGACAAGTGCTCAGCAAGTTCGTTAATCTCTTTGGCATAGTAGGTTTGGACATCCTACAAATGAAGTTGTTCAACTCATGCTTACAGCCGCTCAAATCCCAGTGGTATCTGATTCAATTTCTAAGTTGTGGTCTTTTTGTCTAGGTGGTAAAATGCATTGGTTACCATTTTCTAGTCATCACAATAAGGCATCTTCTCCATTTTATCGACTCCACAGTGATGTTTGGGGTCCTTCTCCATGTAAATCAATTTCTGGCTATCGATATGTAGTGTCTTTCATTGATGAATACATTGGTTTTATGTGGTTATATCCTCTCTATGCCAAGTCCGAGGTGTATACAATGTTTACCAGATTGGTTGCTTTTCTTGCAACTCATTTTAACGCCTCTATTAAGTTTTTTCAAAGTGATGGTGGTGGTGAATATATGAGTACTCAATTCAATGAGTTTCTCGCATCTCATGGGATTGTCCATCAAGTTTCCTGCCCTTACACACCCCAACAGAATGGACTCATTGAGCGAAAGAATCGCCACTTATTAGAAACCACTCTAACCCTTTTACAAGAAGCTTCTATGCATGATCAGTTTTGGTTTCATGCTATGGCTCATTCTGCCTATTTTATTAATCGCATGCCTAGTAAAGTGGTTTCCAATCAATCTCCATATTATAGGCTTCTTCCTAAGCATCCTGATATAAGACACCTCTGTGTCTTTGGTACTGCTGTCTATCCATGTTTGAGAGCCACTAATACTACTAAGCTTCAACCTCGCACTGTTATGTGTGTTTTCATGGGATATCTACTGGGCTATAAAGGAGTGTTATGTTACAATTGTTCTAATGGCAAATTCTTGGTGTCTTGAAATGTTATTCATGATGAAACTATTTTTCCTTTCAAGCACCGCATATCTTTGACTACCTCACCTTGTTATAGTTCAACAGTTCTATCACCTATTCCTGTGATGTTAACTACATCTGCTACATCACCTTCAGTGCCCGCTTCTCATAGTTCCTCTAGTGCTCCTAGTATTACACCTCCAGAATTGTTAGCCTCTCTTGAGTTGTTTCAGCCTGAGCCTTATATACTAGTTCTGTCTGAGCAGCAATTACAAGTTCTTCTACCTTCTATTGATTCTATTAGTTCTTTTTCTACTGCTTCTGTGCAACCAAGTGTTCCTGTTGAATCTGCTCCGGTAGGCCCTTCTCATTCTATGCTTACTCGGTCCAAAACTGGGGTTGTTAAAAAGAAGGATTTTTCTGACTACAAGTGTTACACTAGTATCCATGATACTACTTTTATGGATGAACCTTCTAGCTATCGTGTTGCTTCTTTTTCGGCTGATTGGACCAAGGCCATAGATGAAGAGATTTCAGCATTATAGATGCAAGGTACCTGGGTGTTGGTACCTCCTCATGCTAATACAAACATTGTTGGTTCAAAATGGATTCATAAGTTAAAAAGGCACTCCGATGGTTCCATTTCTAGATATAAAGCACGCCTAGTTGCTCAGGGTTTTAGTCAAGAGGCTGGTTTTGATTATGAAGAGACATTTAGCCCAGTTGTTCGTCATGCTACAATTTGTATCATTCTCAGTTTGGCAGCTTACAATCATTGGTCTCTTTGCCAATTGGATGTAAAGAACACCTTCTTACATGGGGAACTTGAGGAGGAAATATACATGAAGCAACCTCAGGGGTTCGAAGATCCTTACCATCCTGACTATGTTTGTAAACTTCAGAAGTCATTGTATGGTTTAAAACAGGTTCCAAGAGCCTGGAATGCCAAGTTCACTGGTTTTCTTCCTTCGCTTGGGTTCAAGATGTCTCACAGTGATTCCACTTTATTCTTGAAGTATTCAGACTCCTGCTATTGTGGTTTTGTTACTCTATGTCGACGATATTATTCTCACTGGATCAAATCCACATATCGTTCATGAGGTAATCACAGTGCTTGGATCAGTGTTTGAGCTTAAGGATATGGGCACACTTACTTATTTCCTTGGTCTTTCAGATTTCCTATAAGTTTAATGGAGACATCTTTGTCCGTCAACAAAAATATGCTACTGATTTGTTAGGAAAGTCTAGGATGAGTTCTTGTAAACCCTGTCCTACACCTCTGAAACCTCACACAGAGATTTTACTCACTGATGGTATCCTGATGTAGAACAGATGGCAGATTTTATCGCGGTTGAGCAAGAAAAGGGACGTGGTGGGAATTTGCAGAATTGTCGTCCGAGCTCCGATTAGGGAGCAAAATACCATTTCGGAAAGGGAATGATGCCACGAGTCAAACTCACAGCTTTGCTGTGACGTACGATGGATTTTGGCATTCTGGAGTCGTTTGGCCTTTCAAAACTGCAGTCAAAGTTCGAAGTTAATTCTAAATAAATTCTGCTTTTCCGTTTCGGAGTTACATAGTTAATTCCCAAAATAAATTCTGTTTTTTTTCAGTTTCGGAGTTACATAGTTAAGTCTCCGAATTAATTCTGTTTTTTCAGTTTTATTGTAATAACTCCCCTAGCAGTTACAAGGGTTGAGAGTTGTGTATTTAGACGGGTTCGTCTAACGTTTTTAGGTAGTTCAGATTTTAATCAAATTAATCAAAGAGAGTTTCTCTTAATTTCTGGTGGATTCCAGTTTCCTTGTTACTCAAGGTTTTCGTTTGAAACCTTATTTGCTTGTGCTGCGTCAAGTGGTATCAGAGCGGGTCTCTCCCGTCTTGGTATTCTTGTCTTATCATGGGTGATCGTGAAGCTGATGTCCCAGCCCCAATTACTCGAGCGGATCTGGACGCTCAAAACCAACGGATCGACAACCTAACCACCCAATTTGGGGAGATGCGAGAATTGTTGTTGCAAGCTCTTGGTGGCAACCATAGGCGAGGAGGCAGGGATGACGAAAGAAGAGAAGGCAAGGATGATAATCGAAGAGAAGGTAGAGATGGCGAGAGAAGAGATAATAGGAGGCAACTTATTCCGGATAGTGAGTCAGAGTCAGAAGAAGAACTTGAAGAACCACCACCACCGGCTAATAATCCTCGTAATCGTAATCGTAATTACGAGAATTTTGGCGACTATCGGATTAAAGCAGAAATTCCTAACTTTTGGGGAACTCTGAAGATTGAAGACTTCTTGGATTGGCTTGTAGAAGTGGAGAGGTTTTTCGATATTATGGAGGTTCCTGAGCATAAGATGGTGAAGATGGTAGCTTTCCGTCTTAAAGCTACAGCGGCTGTTTGGTGGGATCAATTGCAAAATTTACGGCAGAGGCAAGGAAAGCAGCGGGTTCGAACATGGCGGAAGATGAAGTCGCTTATGATGGAACGATTCTTGCCCACAGATTATGAGCAGATTCTCTACCGTATGTACCTAGGCTGTGCGCAAGGCACCCTTTCAGTTTCTGAATATACCGAAGAATTCATGCGTTTGGCAGAACGAAACCATTTGACTGAGACTGACAACCAAAAGGTCGCGAGGTACAACAATGGGCTGAAGATTTCCATCCAGGAAAAAATTGGTATGCAGAATATATGGACTTTGCAGGAGGCGATTAACATGGCATTGAAGGCTGAATTGTTGGAGAAGGAGAAACGCCAACCCAACTTCCGCAGGAACACGACGGAAGCCTCTGAATACACTGCTGGTGCTTCTAGTGGCTCGGGAGATAAGGGGAAAGCACAGCAGCAGAATCTTGGAGGATCGACAAAACCAGCAACAGTTGGCCAAAACAAAAATTTCAACGAAGGTAGCAGCCGGAATCACAACAGAGGGCAGCCCCGAAACCAGTCCCAGAATCCGTATGCTAAGCCCATGACGGACATATGTTACCGTTGCCAAAAACCAGGGCATCGTTCTAATGTTTGTCCAGAGCGGAAGCAGGCCAACTTTATCGAAGAAGCCGATGAAGATGAGGAAAACGATGAAGTCGGGGAAGATGATTATGCAGGGGCTGAATTTGCAGTTGAGGAAGGAATGGAGAAGATTACTTTGGTTATGCAGAGAGTTCTTTTGGCACCAAAGGAGGAAGGGCAGCGTCATAGTATTTTTCGTTCCCTCTGCTCAATCAAAAACAAGGTGTGTGATGTGATAGTCGACAATGGAAGTTGCGAGAATTTCGTGTCAAAGAAATTGGTGGAGTATTTGCAGCTATCTACGGAGCCTCATGTCAGCCCTTACTCACTAGGTTGGGTTAAAAAAGGCCCTTCGGTTCGTGTAGCTGAGACTTGCCGAGTGCCACTGTCAATTGGTAAGCATTACAGAGATGAAATATTATGTGATGTTATTGACATGGATGCATGCCATATTTTGTTAGGGCGACCTTGGCAATTTGATGTGGATGCAACTTTCAAGGGACGAGATAATGTAATTCTATTCTCTTGGAACAACCGGAAAATTGCAATGGCAACCACACAGCCCGCAAAGCAATCTGTTGAGCCCAAGACAAGGAGTTCTAGTTTCCTAACCCTAATTCGCAGCGAGCAGGAGTTGAACGAGGCTGTCAAAGAAGCGGAGTGTTTTTGTCCCTTGGTGTTGAAGGGGTTGTTGAAAATTGGCGGAGGAGAAGGTGACATTCCACAAGATGTGCAGCAGATTTTGAATCAATTTCAGGAACTTCTTTCTGAAAATCTGCCAAACGAGTTGCCTCCTATGCGGGACATACAGCACCGAATTGACTTGGTGCCTGGAGCTAGCCTTCCAAATCTGCCCCATTATCGGATGAGCCCCAAGGAGAATGACATCCTGAGAGAACAGATTGAAGAATTACTGCGGAAAGGATTTATCCGGGAGAGTTTGAGTCCCTGCGCAGTTCCTGTTTTGCTGGTTCCAAAGAAAGACAAAACTTGGCGAATGTGTGTTGATAGCCGGGCAATCAACAAGATAACAGTCAAGTACAGGTTTCCCATTCCACGGTTAGAAGATATGCTAGACGTTCTTGGCGGCTCAAGGGTGTTTTCCAAGATAGATTTGCGAAGCGGATACCACCAGATTCGCATACGACCTGGAGATGAATGGAAAACAGCGTTCAAGAGCAAGGACGGATTATTTGAATGGTTGGTGATGCCATTCGGATTGTCAAATGCACCTAGCACTTTCATGCGACTCATGAATCAGGTTCTTCGACCATTTATTGGTTCTTTTGTCGTTGTTTATTTCGATGACATTTTAATTTACAGTACCACAAAAGAAGAACATCTTGTGCATTTGAGACAAGTTTTAGATGTGTTGAGAGAAAATAAGCTGTATGTGAACCTTAAAAAATGTACTTTCTGCACAAATAAGCTATTGTTCTTGGGTTTTGTTGTTGGTGAGAATGGTATCCAGGTAGATGACGAGAAGATCAAGGCAATCCTTGACTGGCCAGCTCCAAAGACAGTTTCTGAAGTTCGAAGCTTCCATGGCTTGGCCACCTTTTACAGAAGATTTGTGAAGCATTTTAGCACCGTTGCTGCACCTATCACGGAATGTTTGAAGAAGGGCCGGTTCAGCTGGGGAGAGGAGCAAGAGAGAAGCTTTGCAGAAATAAAAGAAAAGCTTTGCACCGCACCGGTTCTAGCTCTTCCAAACTTTGAGAAAGTTTTCGAAGTTGAATGTGATGCCAGCGGTGTGGGAGTCGGAGCTGTGCTCTCACAAGACAAGCGGCCAATTGCGTTCTTTTCTGAAAAGTTGAGCGATGCACGTCAAAAGTGGAGTACTTATGACCAAGAGTTCTATGCGGTTGTTCGAGCTTTGAAGCAATGGGAGCACTATCTTATCCAGAAGGAATTTGTTTTGTTTACAGATCATCAAGCGTTGAAGTATATTAACAGCCAGAAAAATATTGATAAAATGCATGCTAGATGGATGACTTTTTTGCAGAAATTTTCGTTCGTTATCAAGCATACTTCCGGCAAAACCAATCGTGTGGCAGATGCGCTGAGTAGGAGAGCTTCATTATTAGTCACGCTAACTCAAGAAGTTGTGGGGTTTGAATGTCTGAAGGAATTATATGCAGGTGACGATGATTTCCGGGAAATTTGGATTAAGTGCACTAATCAAGAGCCAATGGCAGATTACTTTCTGAATGAAGGTTATTTGTTCAAAGGCAACCAGCTGTGTATTCCAGTTTCTTCTTTAAGGGAGAAGCTCATTCGGGACTTGCATGGTGGAGGGTTGAGTGGCCACCTAGGCCGTGACAAAACAATTGCATTGATGGAGGAGAGATTTTACTGGCCACAGCTCAAACGTGATGTTGGAACTATTGTGCGCAAGTGCTACATTTGTCAAACTTCGAAGGGGCAGGTACAAAACACTGGATTATATATATGCCATTACCAGTTCCTAACGATATTTGGCAGGATCTTGCTATGGATTTTGTCCTCGGATTGCCCCGAACACAAAGGGGAGTGGACTCTGTATTTGTGGTGGTTGATCGGTTCTCAAAAATGGCGCATTTCATAGCCTGCAAAAAGACTGCCGATGCATCAAATATAGCCAAACTGTTTTTCAGGGAGGTTGTTCGCTTGCATGGGGTTCCTACATCCATTACATCTGATCGTGACACCAAGTTCTTGAGTCATTTTTGGATCACTTTGTGGAGACTGTTTGGGACTACTTTGAATCGTAGCAGCACTGCCCATCCCCAAACTGATGGCCAGACTGAGGTTACAAACCGGACATTGGGCAATATGGTGCGAAGCGTCTGTGGAGAGAAGCCGAAACAATGGGATTATGCATTACCGCAGGTGGAGTTTGCATACAACAGTGCAGTCCATAGCGCTACTGGGAAGTCTCCATTTTCCATTGTTTATACTGCTATACCTAACCATGTTGTAGATTTGGTGAAACTGCCTAGAGGCCAGCAAACCAGTATGGCAGCGAAAAATTTGGCTAAGGAAGTGGTAGCCGTTCGAGATGAGGTCAAGCAGAAACTTGAGCAAACAAATGCTAAGTACAAAGCTGCTGCGGATAGGCATCGACGTGTTAAAGTGTTTCAAGAAGGCGATTCTGTGATGATATTTCTGAGGAAGGAGAGGTTTCCAGTTGGCACTTACAGCAAGCTTAAACCGAAGAAATATGGTCCTTACAAAGTGCTCAAACGGATCAATGATAATGCCTATGTTATTGAGTTACCGGATTCCATGGGAATTTCCAATATTTTTAATGTTGCAGATTTATATGAGTTCCGTGAAGATGAGGTTCTTTATCCAGAACATAACTCGGGGACGAGTTCTTTGGAGGTGGAGAGGACTGATGTAGAACAGATGGCAGATTTTATCGCGGTTGAGCAAGAAAAGGGACGTGGTGGGAATTTGCAGAATTGTCGTCCGAGCTCCGATTAGGGAGCAAAATACCATTTTGGAAAGGGAACGATGCCACGAGTCAAACTCACAGCTTTGCTGTCACGTACGATGGATTTTGGCATTATGGAGTCGTTTGGCCTTTCAAAACTGCAGTCAAAGTTCGAAGTTAATTCTAAATAAATTCTGTTTTTCCGTTTCGGAGTTACATAGTTGATTCCCAAAATAAATTCTGTTTTTTTTCAGTTTCGGAGTTACATAGTTAAGTCTCCGAATTAATTCTGTTTTTTCAGTTTTATTGTAATAACTCCCCTAGCAGTTACAAGGGTTGAGAGTTGTGTATTTAGACGGGTTCGTCTAACGTTTTTAGGTAGTGCAGATTTTAATCAAATTAATCAAAGATAGTTTCTCTTAATTTCTGGTGGATTCCAGTTTCCTTGTTACTCAAGGTTTTCGTTTGAAACCTTATTTGCTTGTGCTGCGTCATATCCCTTTGAAGGATCCAAAACAGTATTGTAGCATTGTTGGTGCTTTACAGTACCTTGCCTTTACAAGGCCCTGGCATTGCCCATTTTGTTAATATGGTCGGTCAATTCATGAATAATCCTACCGAGCATCATTTCTTCTTTGTGAAATGCATTATGCGTTATCTACCGGGCACACTCAGGTATGGTTTTACTTATTCTGTTTCAGGTCCCTTACTCTTATCTGCTTATAGCGATTCTGACTGGGCGGGTGATATTAACACTTGCATACAATTGAAAGATAAATTCCAAAAGATTTTAATACAGTTTATCACAATTATTACTTAGACTTATTGTGGAGACTGAAATGTTGTTGATGGAGACGAATTTTGTTGTAGAAGATGAGGTGAATTGTGAGGAATCGGTGTTATAACCGTGTCGTGAGACTCAGTTTGACCTCTTTCAGAACTAGTAGTGTCAGTGGTCACCGTAGAGAGTGATGTTCGAGGAGCAAAATAGGTGGCCATTGGCATCTTGGATGGGAGAATGGGCAATGGAACTTCGAACTTAAGCACTTGGATCGCTTGTTGTATTGAAGGTCTGAATTTATAATCCGGATGAGCACACCACAACCCAACAATCATCAAGCACTCCATTTGTTTCTCATCAAAATGTCCACAAAGTTTCGGATCGGCTGCTTGAATAAGTGTGCCTTCTCCATAAAGCTCCCACACCCACTCCACCATTTCGATTTGGCCACTTTCTAAACTGAGATCGATGGGTTTCCTCCCGCAAGCAATTTCCAAAGCAACAACTCCAAAGCTGTAGATATCGGATTCCTTGCTAGCCTTTCCTGTGGTAACGTATTCCAGAGCCATGTAACCCCTGGTTCCAGCCACAATTGTTGTTTGTGACTGTTTTCCGTGGTCCACAAGTCGAGCTAACCCGAAATCCCCAAGTTTCGCATTGAAATTTGAATCCAACATAACGTTGCTGGACTTGATATCCCTGTGCAGCACACACTGTTCCCATTCTTCATGTAGATAAAATAACCCAGAGGCCAAACCTTGAGCAATACTGTATCTTAACTGCCAAGTTAACAAGCCTTTTTCTTTGAAAAGATGAGAATCTAAACTGCCGTTGGGCATGAAATCATAGACAAGCATGAGTTCTTGTTTTTCATGGCACCAACCAATGAGTTGCACCAGATTTCGATGCCTAAGTCGACTGATGATCCTTACTTCTGCTGCGTACTCCTTCAAACCTTGCTTAGATCCGCTGGATATCCTCTTAACCGCAACATATGAGTTTAACTCTTTTATGAAGCCTCTATAAACGCCACCAAATCCTCCCTCTCCCAGCTTCTCTCCCTCCTCAAAATTACTCGTTGCTCGAACCAACTCACGGTATGAAAACTTCCTAGGGCCGGTCCCCTTTTCAAGTTCCTCATGAATCAGTTTATTAACAAAAGGGTTCTCATCACGTTCCCCTGCTACTCTCCTTCTCTTCCAAAAGGTGAACCAAGCCAAACACAAGCCACCAACCAAGATTAGAAAACCACCCCCACCCAACCCAATGAAGAGTCTGATATTGGCACTTCCTGATGACTTGGGTTCAACATTGGGGGTTGGCTCAGGAGCTACTGGTGTGTTGTCAATCAGCGATGTCGAATTGAAACTCCATGAGTTGATCTTGTGCAGAGCAGTGATACGACCTGTTGCAGCAGAGAACCCAACAATCACCCAACCCTGCAAAATCTCATTCAGATCAACCTTGTAATCAAGATACCTCTCAACCCAGACACCATTTTCATAAGTAGTGAAGGTAATGCTAAGATTTTTCGATCCAGAATCATAACGAATCGAAGCACTATTGACTCGTCCCTGTGTAATGCTACCATTCCACGCCCTGGTAACTTTAGACTTGACAGAGTTGACATCAATACCAACATGATCGCCCCTGGGATCGTCAATATTATCCCCTGAATTCTGATAGATGTCAAACTCCACTGCCACAAACGGGTACAGATTCGTGGACTCGTTTGGTCCTAGGTGTATGACGGGGAGGCCAAGAGAGCCGCCTCGGCCTATTGTTGTGTTGAGTGCAGACCCCTTTGGCGCCAAAAAGAAGGCGAGCCCGTCTGCATAGGTTGTGTTGCCTAGCGAGTCGATGGAAAATGTGAAATTTGTGGTGAAGTCAGCGAGTTTTCCCGTGGTGTTGTTGCGGAGGAGGAAGGGTTGGCTGTAGGTGGCTCGGCTGACGCTTTGGTCTTGCACCTGGTCAGCAAGGCTTTTGGTGAGTCGGAGGGAACCATCGAGGGAAGCATCTCCCTCGAGAGATAGGTTGTTGATGTCATCGTTTGTGAAGCTGGGGAAACTGAAGCTTAATGAGGATGCACAAGGGGCTAATAGAAACAAGAGAAGAAGAATGACAACCATTTCTAATATGCTGGTAAGGTTACAGATCAAATTGTTGCGTCTAAAATAGAACAGAGAGTGTATAGAGAGTTTAATATTTGAAAGTGCTTTAATCAGCAGTTGGTTTCTTACCAATTCAAATCAAAATAATTTTCCTTGAACTTGATCACGCTTGACATGCACTTATTTAATTACTTATGCAGGATTGCCGTCCTGGTAGAATATATTAAGTTTGAAAGTGCTTTAATCAGCAGTTGGTTTCTTACCAATTCATTCAGCATCTGTTCCTAATAATTAATCTGGTGGCTTAAGATTAAAGAAAGATCATGGTCTAAATTTTCTCGTTTATTACTCTCTGTCTTTTGTGTGGAGTTCTATCGGTTGGCGTGGGCTGAGAGTCTGACACATGTTTTGTGGGAACTAAAATGTCTTTGTCGGTGGATTAAGAAGGCTTGGATTGGAAATATTTAGAATTCAGATTTGAGAGTTCGGGTTTTCAGCAAATGCATAGTCATTGGTCATGATTAATGACCCGACCCGATTCAGAAGTTCTAGATGTACCTTTGTTTATGGTTAAAAAAAAATATACAAAGGAGAGAAACTTCGAACTTTAATGTCTTGATAATATTTTTCAGTTTCGAATTAATATTTTTTTTATTAATTCAGATTAGTTTTTTTAACTGTTTACTAATAGTTGTGACTCTTGTGAAAAAGTTTCAGAAGTTTACTTAAATCAAACAAAGCCTCATTCGTCAAATACAGAAAAAAGCATTCTACAAGCACATTTATATTGTCTGAGAGAAAAACAATCAAAGTTTGCCAGATTCTAGGGCTTAGAATATAGATATTGAATTCTGAAACAGTCACCTATAGAACTTTTGTTAGGACCAATTTTTGGTATATTGGCAATTTCCTGTTACAAAAACATAGAGTAGGTCTTTGAGTGTAACCTACAGTTTTCAAGTGACATTCTGCTATCCTGGATCAGTGTGGCTTAGAGACAATGCCAAGGTATGTTTTGCATCCATGCATTCATATTTTCATATTTGCTTGATCATCAAAAGTGGCTGTAAGATGTACATGACTGATATATGATTTCAGTCTTATATAATCCAGTGCCAGACATCAATGAGTTTTTAACGATGGTTTTATATTCTTTAGCAAAAGGGCTCTTTTGTCTTTACGGTTGGGTTTTTAATTAAGTGGCTTTATTTGTTTTAAAGAAATAATTTATTTGTTAAAAAGCCCATTTTTGCTAAAAGCCTTTTTTGGTCTCTGACCTAGTTTTAAGCGTGTAATAAAAGAAAGGAACTTAGCCTTTTTGTTGGTGTGTCTGCAACATTGAAAAAGAAGAAGAACGACAAAATATTTGCAGAGAGGTTTTTGAGAGTTCATATTGAAAACTCATGTGGCTGTTCCTTGTTAGCCTCCATGAGTGATTAAATAATCATCTTTTCATATATGTGTGAGTTCATGAGCATTATGCATGTTGGTGATCAACAATCGTGCCTTGAGGTGTGAGCAGCCGAGACTAGAGTTGTGCCATCTCTTGTTGACGAAGGAAGACAAGATCGCTGGTTGGGTTGAGTAGCAAAGGCGAGTAGGCAAGTCTGCCTTGTGAGCGTTAGTCTTGTGAGTTGAGACTTGTAAGACCTTTTTGTATTCTTTCTCATAGTGATTTGTTCTTCGGCATAGTGCCCGCAGTTGTTTTCCTCATCTTGAGGTTTTTTACTGCGTCAACATATCGTGTGTCCCTTGTGCAATTGTTTGCGTTTTTATTTGAATTTATTCTGCTGCGTATTCTGGAATTTTTGCTTACAGGATTGTTATAGTATTTCAATCCTGTCGTGGTTTTTGAGTATTAAGAAACAGATCAGTTGGCCATTCTAGGGAATTTCAACTTCAAGCACCGAGAAAGGGTGAAATTACTATCTTTAGGACATTGCATCAAATTTGCAAGCCTCCATCTCGAATCCAAGTTATTTCATTTATTTATTATTTATTGTATTTCAAATTACATTTTGTTATAAATTCAATTTTGTTGGTGATGGGGATCGGGATCAAGACACAGGTCACCAACCACATACACGAGCACCGAAATCTAGGGCTAGTGCAAACTCACATATATCGTAGCAAATCCGTGCCACAAATAAACTATTTCATTAATCATCAATATTACATTTTCTACAACTATTACAATAGCCTTATTTATAGGCTTTACAAGACTTGGGTACCAAGACTGCTTGGTCCAAAAGTAAACTAATTAATTATAAAATCACACATAAATAATAAAAGATATCCTAAAACTACATAAATAAGAAAATAACAATATATAATGAAATAACTAATTAAATGATAAATATCTATCTTGATCCACCCCTATGCTCCTGCATCAGTTGGTGTTTATATTTTGTTGAGATATGTATATATATATAATCATTTTTTTAATAGTCACAGATTGTTATTTTTTCCAACACATGGTAGGTGGCTCTACCGACGTTCTCAGTTTCTCCGGGATTTCTGGTGAGTGATGAGGTTGCTATCAATATCAGCAACACCCTCGAGGGATATGTTGGTGGTGACATTGGAAAAGCTTGGGAAGTTGAAGATTAAAGGAGATGCAGAAGAGTTGAACAGAAAGAAGAGAAACAGCAGGAACATAAGCCTTGGTGGTGAGTGTAGTGGGATGATCCCTTTCCCATAATTATTGAAAACCATATCTAACTTTTTGTGGAGACTGTTTGCAGAATAATCATATCTTATATAGTGCAGAATGCAGATCACTGCAGAGTTAAAGCTACCAAAGGTGCTGTTCTTGTTTCTTTTTTTTAATCTTTCTTTGCTTGCTGGGTTTTGCCCCCTTGTAAAACAGAAAAAAAAGTTTCCAGTGCAGCCATTGTTTTTACCAATTCATATCAGAACAAATATCCTCGGAACGACCCGAGTCTTATAGTTCATTCTTTATGGAAGTGTTCGAAAGCAAACAATTGACCTTTCAGTTTGACATGGTAATTGTTTGTGTTTGGTTGCTGGCACGCCGTCCTCGTACATAAGCAAACGATTCCATTTGAAGTCAATCAATTTTCAGTTGGGCAATGGCAGAGAGACTCTCTGTTTGAGTTCGTGTATCTTGTTGTATTTTAGATTTTTATTGTTTGCAAGTGGTGAAGTTAAAATATAATATTGTTGACGGTCCGAATTTCTTGTCTATATGTATTTGGAATATTGTGCTTTGTTTCTTTTGAGAAGACTTGGAAACCGTCGTTGGAAGTTTTAGAAGTATAGTGATCAACTTTGTTTTCTTCTTAATGAAAATCCAGACATTGCTATTTTTTATTTATTTATAGAAAGAGATTTTGTTCATAAAATCAAAGGCATACAAAGAGAGACACGGTACAGTGACCTCTTTAAAACCTTCGTAGGACAACCTCACGGGACAAACCCTAAGGGAGGAAAGAGTCCTAATACCCTTAGCCCAAGCCATTTGCAAACCTCTAAGGAGACTCCATAACTCAGCCTATGAAGGAACATGCATTTAATTTAAACTCATGGATTTTAAGCTACAACATACATGAATCAAACATTCAAAGAGGCGGGAAGCGACTTTTATATCTTATTAAGCCTAATGCTACCAAATTCCAAGTATCTTTCTAGGTCTAATCTCACTTATGCACAAAAGAAAAGGGAGGAAAAGGATGCGACTTTCTTATCCTTGAAGCTCTCTTTGATGGTCTTCGACTTTTCACCTTTGTAAAGACCTTCTTCCTTGTTGCTTGCTTCATAGAGTCTTCACAAGGTACCAAAGTAGATACCCTCTAGTTCATACACACAAAAGTAGTGTAAGAGATGAAGAAGATGACCAAGAGGAGGTAAGGTGCTAGCCCTCTCCTCTTGGTGGCCCATTCTAGCATGGTAGAGTGGAGATTTCTCTCCTCTCAAACCCGCTCCAAAGTTGGATTCTTCAAACCCTAGAAAGAAAACGGTCTAAGTGTGGCTTAAATAAGCCAATACAAAAGATGAAGCAAAACCCCATCCTTGTATTTTAGCCATAGTGTTTCTTGGGCTCATTTAACTTATGTTGTCATACAACACATGTTCTCTTGGGCTCGTTTAATTCCAATTTTTTTTAGATCTTGAAAATAGTTTGGAGTTCAATACTAAACAAGTTTATGATCTTAAAATCACTCTTTGAAAACTCATGTTTTTAACAAGAATCATAGTTTTTGAACTTACTTTTTTAAAGTAGGATACCAAACAGGGCTTAAAGCTCCCAAAATATTAAGGCTTATTTTATGATATGCCCCCTCAAAGTGTATTTGAGTCTCACTTTGCCCCTTGAAACTCATTTTGTCTCACTTTACTCCTTTTTTCACACATATTTGTTTAGATTCCGGTGAGGCCAACAATTTCCCGTCAAAATATTAATTAAAAATTAAAAACTCAATTAATATACATTATGTTTTAAATAATCACAGGCTAGGAGACAAAGAGATTATGGGCTCATATTTTTTGGAGTAGGATTAGGTTATAAAATTTGTACTATGTTTAGTATTTTAAAAATTTTACACGGTACTAGAGCCCAGCCTAGCCTGTACGTGGATCCGTTCTTATTCAGGGGGCAAAGTGTGACTCAAATACATTTTCTGGGGGTATATATAAAAAATAAAAAAAGCCAAATATTAGTACAGAGAGAGAAAATGGAATGGGAAAGTCAATAAAAAATTAATTACAATATATCATTATGTTAAAAAAATATATAAAAAATTAGTTTGTGTAATTTTAGCCATTCATTGTACTCTAATTTGATGGTTGAAAACTAATAAAAGAAGGATAATTATCCGATAAAAGAATATTTTTGTTAAAAAGATCGATTCTATGATGACGTTAGTAGGGCTTAGTTTCCACATCATCAAACTGCTCGGCCATTCATCATCCTTGACAATTTGACATTTTGTCGTCCAAAATATCCAAGAAACCCTAAATCAAAGACATTGGAATATTTTAAAGGTATAGCCGAGTGGCTATACTACCAGACGAACACCAAGCTTGCACTTGGGAGAGTACGGATCTTGCACTCGCAGTCAAGCCATTTCGCTTTTCTTTGGTTTCGGCTGCTTCGTCCTTCGGTTTCGGCAACGAAAAAGGACCCAACCCGCCTAGGAGCCCATCTAGCTACCTTCTAGCCGCCTAGCCGCCTAGCGCCCGCCTAGCGCCCGCCTAGCCGCCTAGCGACCGCCTAGCCGCCTCGCGCCCGCCTAGCCGCCTTGCGCCTTCCTTGCGACAGCCTAGTAGCTTCGAGCCCGCCTAGCCACCTAGCCACCTAGCCGCCCGCCTAGGCCGATATTTCGAACACTGCGATTGACTGAAAGTCTGGAACAACAATGGCCTCTTTCAGCGTCCTTTGGCTTCTTTTGCAGTCTATGCTTTCTCAGCTGCTTCTGGTTTCATGTGTCCATGGCATAAATACGTTATGTGATGTGTACGCAATGATTGAATTGAGAATGCAGTGACGACGTTGATCTCAATATTCAAACAATGGGACATGCAAGCCCTCCCTATCAGTGGAGGAGAGCAATGCATTGGATTTGCCATCAATGGAAGCGAGTTTGAAAAGCCAGAGAATAATCCAGCCATCACTTGTTCCTTTCCAGTCGAGTTCATGCTCTGAACAAACGAGGGGTGTTTCCAAAAGAATTTGAGGCTTTAAGATATCTGGCCGTTTTGTATGAAGGTTTTCCAACCCCCTTCTCTGTTGTTTGGTTTATCGCAGTCGAGTTCATGCTCTATTGTGCCTTCGCATTTTTGCTAAGCTCATGCATTTTTGTGCCTTCGCATTCTGTATTGTTATGTGCAGAGATTTGTCTTACAACTATTTCTCAGGAAGCTTTCCCCGATGGGTAACCACAATATCGCAACTGTATGTCTCCTTTTTATCTTTCACCTTCATTTTTATTGTCCATATCACCTTCATTGTGCATATATAATAACACATGAATGAAATTCAATAAACTAGAAGGGATGGCTTTGAAGTACTAATATGTTGACATCTTGAACACGAAATTTTCATCTTCATATGTGGTTTGATTAATGATTTTATGGAGGAATTTAGTGGTCAACAACTTCACATTTGACAGTTCAAACATAACGTGAGTTGAATCGAAATACCCTTTTTTAGACAGATAGTTCAAACATAAAGTGATTGCTATTACACTTTTGCAGCTTAATGGATTCTTCCACTACAGTTTAATTATTATAAATAATAATTGTTCTCTGTGTTTACAGTCTTCCTGGATTGAATTGCCTCCCGAGGAATTTTCCATGCCATCGAAGTACCCCACGATGTAATCTTCTTCTATGTTTCACTAGCATTTATTTCTTTAATGCAAGATCATGTTACAGCATTAGGCGTTGCTTATCTCATTATGTATACATACTGTAGGAATGCCCTGATAAATTTATTAAGCATATCTTTTGCTATTACATCAGTTTGAAGTTTTTTCACTAATCATAGCTTGTGCTATTACATTGAATTGTACAGATGCGAACTTCTCAATCAAGTGTGGAGGACCACAAATGAGAGGAAATGATGGCATATTGTATAAGGCTGAAGACTCAGCTCTTGGCCCAGCAACATTTAATGTAACCAGTACACAGAAATGGGCTGTTAGCAATGCGGGTTTTTCTGATAATTTGAATCAATCATTTGTGGAAACCACCCTTACGCAAGTCTCCGGTGCAGATTTGACACCAGAGCTTTACAAGACTTCAAGAGTGTCCCCAGGTTCACTGAGATACTATGACCTGGGTCTTCAAAATGGACCTTATACTGTCTCATTGCAATTTGCAGAAACGGTTTTTGCTAGCCGCGATACACAAACGTCACAAAGTCTAGGAAGGCGTGTATTTGATATCGATATTCTAGTAAGGCTTCTAATAAAGAAAAAAAAAGAAGCTATTTAAAGTAAAGGCAACCTCATTAGACAGAATTATTTAACTATCTCTTCATTTGCTTCCTAGGGGTACCTCAGAAGGAAGGACTTCGACATATCGAAGCAGGCAGGTGGGGTTAACAGAGCAGTTCCAAGACCCTTCAAGGTTAATGTGACAGAGAATTACCTGGATATTCATCTGTTCTGGGCTGGTAAGGGAATATGTTGCATACCTGAACAAGGTGATTAGAGCCCGCTAATATCGGCTGTCCACGCTGCTTCAGGTATATAATATAATGTCAAGTTATGAAGATTTCCTATGAATGGTTTAAATGTATTTATCTGCTGTCAATTGATTGACACACTGACCAATTATTCTGTTTCATTGCTCAGATCTTACACCAACTACTCCAGGAAAGAAGAGCAGGACTGGGTTGATAGTTGGTATTGCAGTCCCTGTCGGAGTAGTGATCTTGCTATTATTATTTGCAGTTTTATATATGCGGAGAAAAACATCAGAAAAAGATGACGATGAAGGTAAAAGAGCAATGAGCATATTATTAAGGGTTAATACTGCATGCGGTTCTAGGTTCTTTCTAATGTTGATAAGCATATTTGAGAGAAAATACTTCCGATGTGTTGTTTCGAAATTTAAACCTATGTCATACTCTCTTTTGAATATGCAGATCTTCTAGGATTAGGTCCCCGGCCAAATACTTTCAGTTCTGCTGAGTTGAGTGCTTTAACCGAAGATTTTAATCCTTCAAATAAGCTAGGAGAGGGGAGGATATGGACCTGTTTATAAGGTGAAATCTATTTTATATCAATATCTGCTACTTTAAGTAATGACTTTGACTTCTTACAAAAAGAAATTGAGAGAGAAGCAAAATAGATTCTTTCTACTTCCCTTTCATGCCACTGAATTGTATTTCTGTTTATAGGGTACACTTTCTGATGGGAGGGTAGTGGCTGTGAAGCAACTTTCAGTAGCATCTCACCAAGGGAAGAGTCAATTTGTTACTGAGATTGCTATGATATCTGCAGTCCAACATCGCAATCTAGTGAAATTGTATGGATGCTGCATTGAAGGAAGCCACCGCATTTTGGTTTATGTGTATCTTGAAAACAAGAGCCTTGATCAGGCACTTTTTGTTAGGTTTTATAGAAACAGAATACTCTGCAGTATCAAGGACTCTAAAAGTTCATCCAAGTTTTTTACGAAACCATTTTGTTATAATTTTTCTCTGCTGAGGAGTGAAGATTAAAGAAACCAAAAGAGTAATATTCGAGTCATGTGAAATAAAAAACCTGCACATTCTTTCGCTACTTTACCTTCTATTTTGCATAAAAACAGAATCCTCTGCAGTTTAAAGTACTCTAAGGTTATATCCAATTTCTTTTTCTTTTTCTCTTCTACTTGTTATTAGTTGTTAACATTCATTGGTTGTTTTCCATGTAATGTTTCAGGAAGAAATGACTTGCACCTTTACTGCCCGACCCGCTTCAATATATTGTTGGGAACAGCCAGAGGACTTGCTTACCTTCATGAGGAGTCAACGCCCAGAATTATACATCGAGATGTCAAAGCAAGTAATATTTTGCTAGATGCAGAACCCTCCCCAAAAATATCAGATTTTGGATGGGCAAAGCTTTATGATAACGAGAAAACACACATGAGCACCCGGGTTGCAGGCACAATGTAAGCCCTCTTTTAAGTTATACATTGTTAATAATGACTAGGGAGGGTGTAATCCAAGCAACATTTTTAGTAAGCATTTGGCGCCGGAATTTGGTTTATGGCAATTTGGATGAAATTGCCTCAAATCTAATGAGTATAGCCGCAATATATATAGACAAGAAATTTTATACAACCGTATATTTAACATGTATACAAAATAAAATAAAAATAAACTCAAGTAGAAGGCGTGATGATGTGTGAAGTCAAGATTTGTAGCATCTTTAAAAGAAATTTTTCTATGCGAACATAACGCCATCATATGGTGTTATTAATGCACCTATTACAATGTAAGCAAACGATAAGTGCATAATTTAGTTTGGAGAGGCTTACTAAAAAACAACCCTCATTTTTACGGGAAATGTTGACAAATCATTGTATAATTAGTAGATACTATCCTAATTGATTACTGTATCTATTTCCTTGTAAAGTACTTATGTAAACTCTTACCCTCCGTTTGGATGAAGGAATTGAAAATTACATAGAATTCTAAAATGACGGAATTTAGATTTTCATCATTTCAATTTCTGACAATTGAAGATTTCAGTGTTTTGAGTTATGTATGTTAAATTTTGTAAATGGCACTATGGAAATTGAGAAATGACGCCTATATTTATGGAAATTAAACTCAGGAATTTGATACACCAATTTCCACAATTTTTTCCACGCGTCATTTAATAAATTCCGTATTGAAGTTGCCAAACAAGGGAATTGTCAATTTCTCCTATTAAATTCCCGACTTTTAGTTAAATTCTGAGTCATTTTTCCTCATCCAAACGGAAGATTATATATACCATATTCATATTTTAACAGGAAACTCATGTTCTCTTCCAATTTAATTAAGATTTATTTATTTTTTTTCAAATGCGAGTTAAGCCAAATCCACGTGGACCTCTATGAATCTAGAAGATCAGTTAAGAAATGCTTTGCCCGCTAGTTTTTCTTACTTTTGGCTAGATTGGGCTTTTGTACCTACCTTGAATGATGATGATCCATTAAGTTGGGCTTGGAACACCTAAGTTAGGGGTGGGCCTTTAAACCGGTAAATTGGTGAATTGAACCCAGCTGGAAAAACTGCAAAAATCGATTTTGGCTTGGATCGTTTTAGTTCTTGATTTTTGTCATTTCTAATTTCTTTTGGGAGAGAGAATATTTCGGAGAGAGTAGGTAAGCTTTACAGATCAAATTGTGATATAAAATAGTAGCGCAGTAGCCCTTGTTTACCAATTCAAACCACAACTTTTCATGGAGAGGACTTTCATGATCTGACATACCCTTCAGAAAAGTGCAATGAAACGAGCATCATTGAGAAGGGTTGGAATTGTAAACTAATCTGGAAGTCCCCTTATATATAATTGATAAATTATAGACCTCAATAGTAGAAACTGATATGCGTCCAACACAATTGTTAAATGCATATCGTCTCTTCATTATACTATATATATTTGATAAATTATGTGCATATCTACTTAAAGAATTAAACTATAAATATAAATTAAAAAATAAATTTGAATATAGGTACAACACAATTGTTAAGTATAAATTTAATTTGTGTACAAAAGTGTAAAATTGGTATGAAAAGATGTTTGATCAGAATGAATCCTCATTGATCATTGATATATGTTTATATAATACATTCTGTAGGCTTCTCCTACAAGTAAGCTAACTAGCTAGGAAAGAGTATATACAGGAAATCAAATAATATAACATTTCTATTCTATTATACAATCCCTAAACTAAAGGATAATCTTTGATTCTCAACACTCCCCCTCAAGTTGGAGAGTGGATGTCAAGAACTCCCAACTTGCGTGACATACGAGCGAAATCATCTTTGCCCAATGCTTTGGTGAAGATGTCTGCTATTTGTTGGGAAGAAGAAACATGCTTTGTAGTTACAGAACCATGTTGGATTTTATCTCTGATAAAATGACAATCCATTTCAATGTGTCGTGTTCGCTCATGGAAAACATGATTTGTTGCTATATGTAACGCAGCTTGGTTGTCGCAATGAAGTATCGTTGCCTTCCGATGTGGCAACTGAAGATCTCGTAACAAACTACGCAACCAGGTCAGTTCACAACAAGTACCAGTCATAACTCTGTATTCTGCTTCTGCTGAAGAAAGTGAAACAGTTTTTTGTCTCTTTGATCTCCAAGAAATCAAGGAGTTTCCAAGAAAAACACAATATCCAGTGGTAGATCTTCTGGTGGTTGGACAACCTCCCCAGTTAGAATCACAATAAGCTCGCAATCTCAAGTCATTTTGAGCTGGAAAAAATAAACCTTGTCCTGGAGTGTTTTTGAGGTACTTCAAAATGCGCAACGCCACCTCCATATGAGGTTTACGTGGCTCATGCATAAATCTACTGAGCACATGCACTGCATGCATATGTAATGTCTGGTCTTGTGATGGTCAAGTAAATCAAACGACCCACTAACCTTCTGTACTTGGCTGGATCTTTAAGCAATTCACATGTGTTAGATAATTTCAAATTTTGTTCCCTGGGAAATAAGACAGGTCGTACCCCAAGAAAACCACTATCTTTAGGGATGTCAATAGTGTATTTCCTCTGAGAGATGCTAATGCCTTTCTTTGAACGTGAAACTTCAATACCCAAAAAGAATTTAAGGTCACCGAGATCCTTAATGCGGAAGCGGGTATGAAGAAAACGTTTAAGAGAATTAATGGCACCCAAGTTATTTCCTGTGATCAATATATCGTCAACATAAATCAAGAGAGCAATGAATGACTTTCCTCTTTTGCACGTGAATAAGGAATAGTCTGCTTTGGACTGAGTAAAACCAGCAGCTTGAATAGCTTCAGAAAATTTTGCAAACCACAAACGAGAAGCTTGCTTTAGGCCATATAAAGACTTGTGGAGGCGACATACCAAATTCTCCCCCTGTCGCTGAAGACCAGGCGGTGGTGTCATATAAATTTCTTCATGGATATTCCCATGAAGGAAGACATTATGGACATCGAGTTGATGAAGGGGCCAAGAGGAAGCAGCGACAAGTGCAAGAAGGCTGCGAATAGTAACCAACTTGGCTATAGGAGAAAAAGTATCATGAAAATCAACACCTTTTGTGTGTGTATAACCCTTGGCGACTAACTGAGCTTTGTACTGTTCAATAGAGCCATCAGAGTTATGTTTGATCTTGTAGACCCACCGACAACCAATAGGGTGCTTACCAGGAGGAAGAGGAGTAAGAGTCCATGTATGATTGGACTCTAAAGCTTGAAGTTCAGAGCTCATGGCTTGTTGCCAGTTAGGATCAGAATTGGCCTCAGAGAAGGAACGTGGCTCCACACTGTGACTGAGGTGAGTAATGAAAGCAAGATTTGCTGGTGTATATCGGTGATAAGAAATAAAGTTGCTCAAGGGATAACGAGTACCTGAGGTGCGATGTGAAGACGAAGACTCCGATTGGGCATCTTTGGGTAGCGTGACCTGAGAGCAAACATAGTCTTGGAGGCGCACATTCGGAACCTTGTGACGTTCAGACCGGCGAGTGGGTTGAACGGGTGGTGCTGGTGAAGGCGGTGCAGTAGGCGGAATAGAGGATTGGATTGCAAGAGGATCTGGGTGCTGGAAGAGGAAGATCTTCATAATGAGGCTGAGAAAGAGTAGGACTCATTGGACGAATAGACAAAGTGTGCTTCGTGGGCTCAGGAGCTAGATTGGAATTTTGTGGTGGAGATGAGTCATGGGCTGAAATGGGTAAAGGAAGGCTAGTGTTTGGGATGGTGGTGGGACCGGCAATTGGAGTAGAAAAAGGGAAGACATCTTCTTTAAATAAAACATCACGGCTAGTGAATATTTTTGAGTGGACAAATCATAGAGTTTATATGGCTTTTGGCCAACTGGGTACCCAATAAAAATGGATTTAACTGCTTAAGAATCAAACTTTTTGGTAGGGTGGACTATAGTAGCATATGCAAGGCAACCAAATACTCTTAAATGTGAATATGATGGGGTTTTTTGACATAAACGTTCAAAAGGGGTTTGTTTGGAAAGAACTAAAGTGGGAAATTGATTAATCAAATGAACGGCAGTGAGAATGCATTCCTCCCAAAAACGGAGAGGCAAGTGTGCTTGAAATTGCAAAGCACGTGCGGTCTCAAGAATATGGCGATGCTTACGTTCGACAACACCATTTTGTTGGGGTGTGTAGATGCAAGAATGTTGATAAATGGTGCCTTGTTCTTTAAAAAAATCTCGCAATGAAGAAAATTCACCCCCATTGTCTACCCTAATTGCTTGGATTGTAGCAGTGAATTGGGTCTGAACCATGGAAAAAAAGGACTTTAGAAGCCCTTGTGTTTCATACTTATGATGCATAACGAGCCCCAGAAAGGGAGGAACTTTGTGAGGTCCCCACATATCACAATGAATAAGGGAAAAAGGTCTTGAAGTTGAAATTGAACTAATGCCAAAAGGAAGGCGAGTTTGTTTAGAAAAATGGCAAGCATCGCAAACATTATGGAAAGAAAATGAACAATTCAAATGTTTTGCTAAAAATTGTAAACGAGAGGATGAAATATGCCCTAAACGGTGATGCCATAAATCTCCAGGAGTTGTAACCAGGTGACAGGAAGGTCGGGTAGTGGATGGTGTTTCTGTCAAACGCCAACGCCACAAGGTAGTAAACGCCACAAGGTGTTCTGTCAAAAAAATAAAAAAAATCTAGTATAGCCGGACGGCTATACTATTTTAAAAAAGGTAAAATCGTATAGGCGCCCACGTGTGAATATAAGTATAGATGCGTGGCGGTAATATATTGAAAACAATAAAAAGAGCCGGGTATAGCCGCGCGGCTATACTATATATATATATATTAAAAAAAAGGACCCGCTTAGAGCTAGGCGCCATGTGTCAACAGTGAAGCCGACCGCCTATACTAATTCTTTAAAAAATTATAAAAATCGAGTATAGCCGCGCGGCGGTACTATTTGTAAAGTGCTGTCTTTGATTTGGATTTGTATATGATTGTTGCTTCAATTTTTTATTTTTGGAATTTTGTCATGGAAGGAATGATGCTTGTGGTTTGTAGGTTGTTGGGTACCTTAACAGCAAGCAGGAGGCAATGATTTGGGAAGCAATGAACAAGGACTATGATAAGGTAATGCCTTTGGAAATCCATAAATTTTATCATATGTGTGTTCACAAGGATTCGGTGCAATGCTAGGGGCTTTCTTATTTTCTGTTTGTTGCATGGTTTCTTTTGAGTCTTTAGATTGAAGATCATTGAGATTATGTAGTTAATCATGATTATCAGTCGCTGCATTATTTGCCTCTTCATTCTCCTTAGCTCTGTGATTGTGCGGGAATTCTTCACTTTTAAAACTGACCTCTTTTCTTGTATTTGAGTTTATGTTTGCTGCATGTCATATGTGCGTTGTGATATGAAGCATAGGCTTGGAAGTCTCATCCAGCTTAGAGTTCTTGCCTAGTTCTGAGCTGTTATTGGAGTCACACACTGCAAAACTGTGTTGAAAGTTTTCACTTCAATCTTATTATTTCCATTTGACTTATTTTTTGTTCTTTCGACTATCTGTGTATGTTTTACTGCCAGCATTGAGTCTTATGTATTTTTGGTGCTTAAATTTTCCTGCAATGTTGATTGTCCTACTTATAATTTATTTAACAAATACTAATGTGACATTTCGTTCTTGCAGAGGCTGAGTTCAAAAATTAACTATGATGCTTCGGATAAATTAAATGAAGAGCTTGTAAGCATCTTTTATATGTCTTATTTTAGAATCAATTTTGCTTTATTCATGCTTTGCAAATCCCATATTATGTTCTGTCAACATCCAACGTCTCGTTAACTGATGCACAGACTACAAGCGACTAAAAGCGAATCAAATCTAATGGCATACGTTTAATTTCGATTGTCAAATGATGTTACTTGTTCAATATATTTTTTGTTTTCTTAATGTCTGGGTTAGTGTGCAGACACCAAATTCCTTGTTTAATGGAATAAAGGTATATACAAGTATCACGAACCATGGCAAGATAGAACTTAATACATAAAAGAATGATCAATTGTGCAGGTTGTTTACTTATTGGGCAATTAACGGGAGACATCAAAAAATAGGAAAATCTTTCATCTTTTTACATGGTTAATAGTTTTTTTTGCCATGCAATGTAGTTCCTAGGTAGAAATCCTGGTGGGTTTTAGAGAATAGAGGTGTCTTTCTGCAAGTAATTGCTAGAACCTTTTCTATTTTTTTTCCCATGTGTAAAATCAGGGTTATGCACCTGCATTCGAAGAAGGCACAAAGTCTAATTGTGGCAGTCATGGTGATATGCAACTGTAAACTGAGAAGAACAGTTTTGAAGGCAGCCATGATGATGATGATTTTGAGCATGAAAGTAATGGATACAGTGAAGAGGCTGAAGCCAGACAAGGCCATGATGATGATACATATGTTGCAAATGACGAATATAATGGATGCAACTATGATGACGAATACAATTAGATGAGGAATGCGATTTTGACGAATTATGACTCAAATAGTCAATTCTTTTTTCATGATTCAGTTGTATCATGTTACGATCAAAAGGTTAAGCAATTAAAACTTCTGGTTTTTTTTAATAACTTTTTTTAATTGGTATCAGCCTGAGGAGCGATGCAATTAAGCATTGCTTGCATGTCAAACTATGTGAACTATAATCATGAGCACAAATTTGTAAATTGAAACACTGAATGGTTGGTTCCAAGCCGTTCACACTTTATTTAGTGTAGAGAGAAGCACGAGTTTGACAACAATATTTCCCCAACATTGACAACACCAAAAGACTTCTCAATATTATATACGAGTCTGATGATTATTTGATCATTGGTTTGTGTCTCAAATTGTGAATTTATATAATTCAGTTAAATTTATTCAATGTTGAAAAATCTTTGCATAGGAACACAGACTGAATTGTCTCGGTTCCAACTTCCAAGTTGTTCAGATTTTGCTTGCGAGAGCAAGGTACTTGGTATGACGGCCTTGAGCATGACTTCTTCTTCCTTAACTCAACACTGGCAACATCAACAGCCTTCTAAACTCGTAAAGCCTTGGCCTCAATCTCAACTTCCTCACCAGGGTAAGCATAGACTCCACCATGCATGAAATTGCCTCCCTTCAGTAAACGAGGGGGTACTTTGAAGGAGCAAACAGTACGACCGGGTTCAAGGAGATCAACTTTAATGTCTTCCATGATAAGGGACTCAAAGAACTTGTCTGGCAGCCCATCCATTGTCATTGCCATTTCACCTTATTTCTCCAAGAACTTCTTACTTGTTTCCTCATTTCTCCAGAAGCCTTAGCCATCAGAGAAACAACAGATAAAAGAGTCACATTCAACATCAAGGGTCCTAATACCCTTAGCCCAAGCCATTTGCAAACCTCTAAGGAGACTCCATAACTCAGCCTATGAAGGAAACATGCATTTTAATTTAAGCTCATGGATTTTAAGCTACAACATACATGAATCAAACATTCAAAAGAGGCGGGAAGCGACTTTTATATATTATTAAGCCCAATGCTACCAAATTCCAAGTATCTTTCTAGGTCTAATCTCACTTATGCACAAAAGAAAAGGGAGGAAAGGATGCGACTTTCTTATCCTTGAAGCTCTCTTGGATGGTCTTCGACTTTTCACCTTTGTAAAGACCTTCTTCCTTGTTGCTTGCTTCATAGAGTCTTCACAAGGTACCAAAGTAGATACCCTCTAGTTCATACATACAAAAGTAGTGTAAGAAATGAAGAAGATGACCAAGAGGAGGTAAGGTGCTAGCCCTCTCCTCTTGGTGGCCCGTTCTAGCATGGTAGAGTGGAGATTTCTATCCTCTCAAACCCGCTCCAAAGTTGGATTCTTCAAACTCTAGAAAGAAAATGGTCTAAGTGTGGCTTAAATAAGCCAATACAAAAGATGAAGCAAAACCCCATCCTTGTATTTTAGCCATAGTGTTTCTTGGGTTCATTTAACTTATGTTGTCATACAACACATGTTCTCTTGGGCTCGTTTAATTCCAATTTTTTTTAGATCTTGAAAATAGTTTGGAGTTCAATACTAAACAAGTTTATGATCTTAAAATCACTCTTTGAAAACTCATGTTTTTAACAAGAATCATAGTTTTTGAATTTACTTTTTTTAAGTAGGATACCAAATAGGGCTTAAAGCTCCCAAAATATTAAGGCTTATTTTATGATATGCCCCCTCAAAGTGTATTTGAGTCTCACTTTGCCCCTTGAAACTCATTTTGTCTCACTTTACTCCTTTTTTCACACATATTTGTCTAGATTCCGGTGAGGCCAACAATTTCCCGTCAAAATATTAATTAAAAATTAAAAACTCAATTAATATACATTATGTTTTAAATAATCACAGGCTAGGAGACAAAGAGATTATGGGCTCATATTTTTTGGAGTAGGATTAGGTTATAAAATTTGTACTATGTTTAGTATTTTAAAAAATTTACACCGTACTAGAGCCCAACCTAGCCTGTACATGGATTCGTTCTTATTCAGGGGGCAAAGTGAGACTCAAATGCATTTTCAGGGTGTATATAAAAAAAAAAAAAAAAAAAAAAAAAATATTAATACAGAGAGAGAAAATGGAATGGGAAAGTCAATAAAAAATTAATTACAATATATCATTATGTTAAAAAAATATATAAAAAATTAGTTTGTGTAATTTTAGCCATTCATTGTACTCTAATCTGATAGTTGAAAACTTGTGTCAAATAAATGAAGGATAATTCTCCGATAAAAGAATATTTTTGTTAAAAAGATCGATTCTATGATAACGTTAGTAGGGCTTAGTTTCCACATCATCAAACTGCTCGGCCATTCATCATCCTTGACAATTTGACATTTTGCCGTCCAAAATATCCAATAAACCCTAAATCAAAGATATTGGAATATTTTAAAGGTATAGCCGAGTGGCTATACTCTTGGAATATATTCCAGACGAACACCAAGCTTGCACTTGGAGAGTACGGATCTTGCACTCGCAGTCAAGCCATTTCGCTTTTCTTTGGTTTCGGCTGCTTCGTCCTTCGGTTTCGGCAACGAAAAAAGACCCAACACGCCTAGGAGCCCATCTAGCTACCTTCTAGCCGCCTAGCCGCCTAGCGCCCGCCTAGCTACCGCCTAGCCGCCTCGCGCCCGCCTAGCAACCGCCTAGCCGCCTTGCGCCTTCCTAGCGACAGCCTAGCAGCCTCGAGCCCGCCTAGCGACCGCCTAGCCACCTAGCCGCCCGCCTAGGCCGATATTTCGAACACTGCGATTGACTGAAGGTCTGAAACAACAATGGCCTCTTTCAGCGTCCTTTGGCTTCTTTTGCAGTCTATGCTTTCTCAGCTGCTTCTGGTTTCATGTGTCCATGGCTCAAAATGCTACTACCGATCCATCTGAAGGTACTAGCCATCTTTCAGGTATAGCATAAATACGTTATGTGATGTGTACGCAATGATTGAATTGAGAATGCAGTGACGACGTTGATCTCAATATTCAAGTAATGGGACATGCAAGCCCTGCCTATCAGTGGAGGAGAGCAATGCATTGGATTTGCCATCAATGGAAGCGAGTTTGAAAAGCCAGAGAATAATCCAGCCATCACTTGTGACTCTACTTGTGACAAAAATACTACCTGCCACATCACCAAACTGTACTCCTCTCTCTCTCTCTCTCTCTCTCTCTCTCTCCATATTTTTTATTCTTGTGTTGTTGACTGTAGCAAATCAATTAATTATCAAGTTTAGAAAACTAAGCAGAACATGCCTGATATATCAATTGTAATATTAAGTGCCTAACTGCTCAATCTTTTTTCTTTCCAGTCGAGTTCATGCTCTGAACAAACGAGGGGTGTTTCCAAAAGAATTTGAGGCTTTAAGATATCTGGCCGTTTTGTATGAAGTTTTTCCAACCCCCTTCTCTGTTGTTTGGTTTATCGCAGTTAACATTTTCATATAAAAGACACAGGTTTCTTACCGTTCAAAATTGTCACGAATAGTTTTTATACTCAGAGATTAGTAGCTCTGGTCATTGCATTTTGTTTCAATTCTTGTAGGAAACTTGATCTGAACTATTTCACTGGTCCCCTACCAGCATTCATTGGCAATATGTCTGCGTTGACAGTATTGTAAGTAGTGAAACATAGACTCCCAAGTGAGTTATACCATATGGCCAAAGTAGCACATAGTACTATACATAAAATTACTGTATACCTCTTCTATTGTGACATGTTAAATATAGAACCCCCTATCATTTAATTCTATACCTCTTCAACATGACTTGTTGCAGGTCCTTTGGATCAAATAATTTCTCCGGAACACTCCCTTTTTTTTTTTTTTTTTTTTTTTTTTTTTTTTTTTTTTTTTTTTTTTTTTTTTTTTTTTTTTTTTTTTTTTTTTTTTTTTTTTTTTTTTTTTTTTTTTTTTTTTTTTTTTTTTTTTTTTTTTTTTTTTTTTTTTTTTTTTTTTTTTTTTTTTTTTTTTTTTTTTTTTTTTTTTTTTTTTTTTTTTTTTTTTTTTTTTTTTTTTTTTTTTTTTTTTTTTTTTTTTTTTTTTTTTTTTTTTTTTTTTTTTTTTTTTTTTTTTTTTTTTTTTTTTTTTTTTTTTTTTTTTTTTTTTTTTTTTTTTTTTTTTTTTTTTTTTTTTTTTTTTTTTTTTTTTTTTTTTTTTTTTTTTTTTTTTTTTTTTTTTTTTTTTTTTTTTTTTTTTTTTTTTTATAATAGTTCACATAGTTTGACATGCCAAGCAATGCTTAATTGCATCGCTCCTCAATCATTCTTTTAAACAGTGCCTCCTGCTTGCTGTTAAGGTACCCAACAACCTACAAACCACAAGCATCATTCCTTCCATGACAAAATTCCAAAAATAAAAATTGAAGCAACAATCATATACAAATCCAAATCAAAGACAGCACTTTACAAATAGTACCGCCGCGCGGCTATACTCGATTTTTATAATTTTTTAAAGAATTAGTATAGCGGTCGGCTTCACTGTTGACACATGGCGCCTAGCTCTAAGCGGGCCCTTTTTTTATATATATAGTATAGCGCGCGGCTATACCCGGCTCTTTTTATTTTTTTCATATATTACCGCCACGCATCTATACTATATTCACACGTGGGCGCCTATACGATTTTACTTTTTTTAAATAGTATAGCCGTTCGGCTATACTAGATTTTTTTTATTTTTTTTCCGGTCGGCATTACTGGGTTTTTCTTTTTCTAATTATTTTTTAAAAATAGTATAGCCGAGCGGCTATACGGGGTTTTTTCTCTAGTATAGCCGGGCGGCGTTACTGTTTTGACAGATGGCGCCTAGCGCTAAGCGGGTCCAAATTGCCATAAACCAAGAACAAAACTTTTCACAATTAGCATCGAAATAAAATTAAGGATCTATTTGGCGGCCGAGAAAATTGTAGTTCCAAACATTATTAGATTTTAAAACAACAATTTGGTATTACTGAGATGGGTGTTTTACATTTTTCATAAAGCAAAAACAATCATAAATCAAAGGCCACAAAACTGCACTTTGTTTTGTTTAATTGAGGATTAGTTTTCTTCCATTTTCACATCAACCAAGCATAGCTGGTTTTGATATGCAAAATAATCACAAATCACAAATCGTTAGTATTTTGGTACAGATAGATTTACCGAATGGGGAACTTGATTTCTCTGCATATTTTCTCGAGGTGGGCTGCAAACTTCATTTTTCTTTTTCTAGTTTGCTTTTCAAGTTTTCAGGGAAAGGGGGACGATGGGTTTCGATAGGGAAAAGGTTAGAAGGACCAAATTGCCCTCAAATTAGGTTACACATGCGCCTCATGTCTGATTTTTAAACAAATATAGGAATGCTAGCCCCATTTCACTGGTCTAGTCATGATTAACAATGTATAACTTAAACGAGGGCTTACATTGTGCCTGCAACCCGGGTGCTCATGTGTGTTTTCTCGTTATCATAAAGCTTTGCCCATCCAAAATCCGTATTTTTGGGGAGAGTTCTGCATCTAGCAAAATATTACTTGCTTTGACATCTCGATGTATAATTCTGGGCATTGACTCCTCATGAAGGTAAGCAAGTCCTCTTGCTGTTCCCAACAATATATTGAAGCGGGTAGGCCAGTTAAGGTGCAAGTCATTTCTTCCTGAAACATTACATGGAAAACAACCAATGAATGTTAACAACTAATAACAAGCAGAAGAGAAAAAGAAAAAGAAATTGGATGTAACCTTAGAGTACTTTAAACTGCAGAGTATTCTGTTTTTATGCAAAATAGAAGGCAAAGTAGCAAAAGAACGTGCAGGTTTTTTATTTCATATGACTCGAATATTACTCTTTTGGTTTCTTTTATTGCATATGACTCGAATATTTCATATGACATAACTGTTTCTTTTTATCAACGTTTTTTTTTTTTTTTTTTTTTTTTTTTTTTTTTTTTTTTTTTTTTTTTTTTTTTTTTTTTTTTTTTTTTTTTTTTTTTTTTTTTTTTTTTTTTTTTTTTTTTTTTTTTTTTTTTTTTTTTTTTTTTTTTTTTTTTTTTTTTTTTTTTTTTTTTTTTTTTTTTTTTTTTTTTTTTTTTTTTTTTTTTTTTTTTTTTTTTTTTTTTTTTTTTTTTTTTTTTTTTTTTTTTTTTTTTTTTTTTTTTTTTTTTTTTTTTTTTTTTTTTTTTTTTTTTTTTTTTTTTTTTTTTTTTTTTTTTTTTTTTTTTTTTTTTTTTTTTTTTTTTTTTTTTTTTTTTTTTTTTTTTTTTTTTTTTTTTTTTTTTTTTTTTTTTTTTTTTTTTTTTTTTTTAAAACTTAATGTTGGCGTGACTTGTGGATATTGACTTACTTTCCTTACACACCAATAATTCCTATTAGAATTATAATTGATTTACTTTAATTCTTGATTTCCTATTGTAAATAGATTTAAGAATTTATTATTTATTTGCCCATTCAGGTTTCATTGTATTATAAATATGACCTCCTATAAGGAGAAGAATACACAGAAAATTCCCACAAACAAATATTCTCTCATAGTTTTCATATTTTAGCATGGTATTAGAGCGGCGATCTTGGAATTGCTGACTCTAGTTTCACACCCCCGCCACCGCTATGGGGGTTGGTGATTTTTTCATCCCTCATGGAGGTAGCACCACCAACTCCTTCTCTCCTTCTCAACCAACCATAGCCAAGTTGAGTGCGCAGATGGCTCAGCTCCTACAGATGCAGACTTTGGCCCCTGAATCAGGATCCTCTTTTGACGACCTCGACCCTGACCCCGACTATGACGACGACGACGACCTCGACTCTGACTCCGACTCTGACAACGACCTCGACCCTCACTCCGATGATGACTCCGACCCCGACCCCGAATTTGTCTTTGATTCAGACCACGATCCCGACTTCAACTCCGACTCCGACCCCGACTCAGGCTCAGATCCCGATCCGAATTCCTACTAAACCTGTATCCTATACATCTTCCGCTGCACAGATTATGACTTCTCGACTAACGACCCCGACACATGGACCAGATTGCGAATATTGTGGTGATCCAAGACACACTCGTGAGACTTGTTTTAAATTGCATGGCTATCCCGATTGGTGGGCTACTCTTAAAGATCGAGGACAACGCAATACGACCAGTAATGGTACTGGTTATGGATTCCATACTTCCGCTAAGATTGATTCCAGGAGTTGGATAATTGATTCCGGTGCAACTGATCATATGACGTTTGATCCTGATGATTTTCTGAATACTACACAACCTCGACGAACCTGTATTGCAAATGCCAATGGTGTTACTTATCCTGTGACAGGGGCTGGCACTGTTGCACTCTCATCCTCTCTCACACTGTCTAATACTTTACTTGTTCCATCTTTATCCACTAAATTGTTGTCCGTTAGTCAGCTTACTGAACAATTGAATTGTTGTGTACTCATTTACCCGAGTTTTTGTTTGCTTCAAGATATTCACACTAAGGAGATTCTTGGTTGTGGTACTAAGAGAGGGGGGCTATATTATGTCGATGACTTCAGTCCTGGCATGGCTAACAGTGTGACGCATCCCTTTGATAGCAAACAAAAGCAAATCTGGTTGTGGCACCATCGATTGGGACATCCGTCTTTTAGTTATATGAAGCATCTTATACCAGATTTATTCTCAGGTTTCAAGGACTCCGACTTCACATGTGATACTTGTATTTTGGCCAAGAGTCACCGTGTGCCCTACCCGTTAAGTACGAACAAGTGTACTACTCCATTTACGTTAATTCACTTTGATGTCTGGGGACCTTCACCTATCACTGCTCCTTCTGGTGTTCGATGGTTTGTCACGTTCATAGATGATTGTACACGGATGACATGGCTTTATTTGCTGAAGAATAAAAACGAAGTGTTTTTCCCGGTTTCAGTCCTTCCACAAACAGATGAAAACTCAGTTTAATGCTCAAATCCAGATTCTTCGCTATGACAATGGTGGAGAATTTGTCAATCATGACTTTCAGACTTACTTCCAACAACATGGAATTATCCATGAGACGACTTGTCCTCAGACACCGCAACAAAATGGTGTTGCTGAACGAAAGAATCGACATCTTCTTGAAACCGCTCGAGCACTTCTGATTGGCGCTCATGTTCCTCGCCATCACTGGGATGATGCTATTGTTACTGCAGTTCACCTAATCAACCGCATGCCTTCTGGTGTATTGACCTTTAAAACTCCCTTACAGGTGCTTGCGCAACACAGACCTCTGCCCTCTGTTTTGGTACTCACACCCCGAATCTTTGGATGTGTGGCTTTCGTTCATCTCCACAAAAATCAACGTAGCAAACTTGATCCCTGTGCGCTTCGTTGTGTTTTTGTGGGTTATGCCACTCATCAGAAAGGCTACCGTTGTTATCACCCTCCTACCCGACGTACCTATGTCACTTTGGATGTGACCTTTCTGGAATCTGAGCTGTTCTTCCATGACCCATCATCCAATTCTACGCTTCAGTGGGAGATACAAAGTGAAGAGCAGAATTGGAGCAACTTGGAAAACGAAGAAATTCTCCTATGTACAAAAATGATTGATCATCCTGAGTCTGGAGCACAAGATTACTCTATGCCGAAAAGCGACCAATCGCCCATTCATAGCGATCAATTACCTAACCCACCTGATCCATACCAAGATATTTCTTATCCGAGTCTCACACCTACAGACAATACAGAACAACAAGATGAAGACCCCCCCTCTAACTCAACAGTACCAACAAACCAATCTCCTGAGAATATCCTTGAGGTAACTACTCCTACTAGACTTGTGCATTTAGAGGATAAAACTATTGGATATCAATTACCTTTTAGGCAAAATCGTGGGAAGCCACCAAACCGCTATTCACCTGATATTGGCAAGACATCCAAGTATCCAATTGCAAATCATGTATCCACTGAGAAGCTGTCTGAACCACTCAAGGCTTTTGTGCATCAGTTGTCTGCTATCCATATTCCAACCAAGGTCTCTGAAGCATTGAAAGATCCTAAGTGGGTCCAAGCTATAAAAGAGGAGATGAAAGCTCTTGAGAAAAATCAGACTTGGACATTGGAGACTATACCACGAGGAAAAAAGACTATTGGATGTAGATGGGTGTTTACTATATAACACAATGCAGATGGATCTATCGAGCGATACAAGGCAAGACTTGTGGCAAAAGGGTACACACAGACCTATGGTATAGACTATGAAGAAACCTTTGCTCCAGTTGCAAAGTTAAACACCGTTAGAGTCTTATTGTCCCTTGCAGCTAATTTGGATTGGCCACTACACCAGTTTGATGTAAAGAATGCTTTTCTACATGGCGAACTCACGGAGGAGGTGTACATGGACATTCCTCCTGGTTATAATACTACTCAGACTGGAACAGTTTGCAGGTTACGAAAAGCATTGTATGGGTTGAAACAGTCACCACGTGCATGGTTTGGACGGTACACCATGGCAATGAAGAACAATGGTTTCAAACAGTGCAACTCCGATCATACTCTGGTCTTGAAACATCGGAAAGGGAAGGTAACAACATTAATAATTTATGTTGATGATATGATTATTACTGGGAATGATAAACAGGCAATATCACAGCTACAAGACTATCTGGCTACAAAGTTTGAAATGAAGGATTTAGGTGGACTCAAGTATTTCTTGGGAATTGAGGTGGCTCGATCGCAGCAAGGCATATTTCTCTCTCAAAGGAAATATGTCTTGGACTTGTTGACAGACACAGGAATGCTAGATTGCAAACCTACGGACACTCCTATTGTTCAGAATCATCATCTTGGAGAATATCCGGATCAAGTTCCAACTAACAAAGAAAGATACCAAAGTTAGTGGGAAGATTGATCTATTTGTCACATACTCGACCAGACATTGCTTATGCAGTGAGCGTTGTCAGTCAATTTATGCACTCTCCAAGTGAAGACCACATGAATGCAGTTCTTCGGATACTTAGATATTTGAAGTCTGCACCTGGAAAATGACTTATGTTCTCAAAGCATGGTCATCTAAATATTGATGGTTATTCAGATGCAGATTGGGCAGGTAATGTAACAGATAGAAAATCCACATTGGGTTACTTCACATTCGTGGGAGGTAATTTGGTGACATGGAGGAGCAAGAAACAGAATGTAGTAGCTTTATCCAGTGCAGAAGCCGAGTTCAGAGGCATGACTAAAGGGATTTGTGAACTTCTTTGGTTAAGAAAGTTGCTTACTGAACTTGGGTATAAACCTACATCTACAATGAATCTCTTTTGTGACAACAAGGCTGCTATAGCCATTGCACAGAATCCGGTTCAGCATGATCGTACTAAACATGTTGAGGTGGATCGACACTTCATCAAACAGAAGCTTGAGGCTAAAGTGTTTCAGTTTCCTTTTGTGAAATCCGAGGATCAATTGGCGGATATTTTGACAAAGGCGATTTCCAGTAAAGCATTCCACAATTCACTGGATCAGTTGGGCATTGGCGACATCTATGCACCAACGTGAGGGGGAGTGTTGGCGTGACTTGTGGATATTGACTTACTTTCCTTACACACCAAGAATTCCTATTATAATTATAATTGATTTACTTTAATTCTTGATTTCCTATTGTAAATAGATTTAAGAATTTATTATTTACTTGCCCATTCAGGTTTCCTTGTATTATAAATATGACCTCCTATAAGGAGAAGAATACACAGAAAATTCCCACAAACAAATATTCACTCATAGTTTTCATATTTTAGCACTTAACACATAAAGAATGTTTTTTTTTTTTTTTTTTTTTTTTTTTTTTTTTTTTTTTTTTTTTTTTTTTTTTTTTTTTTTTTTTTTTTTTTTTTTTTTTTTTTTTTTTTTTTTTTTTTTTTTTTTTTTTTTTTTTTTTTTTTTTTTTTTTTTTTTTTTTTTTTTTTTTTTTTTTTTTTTTTTTTTTTTTTTTTTTTTTTTTTTTTTTTTTTTTTTTTTTTTTTTTTTTTTTTTTTTTTTTTTTTTTTTTTTTTTTTTTTTTTTTTTTTTTTTTTTTTTTTTTTTTTTTTTTTTTTTTTTTTTTTTTTTTTTTTTTTTTTTTTTTTTTTTTTTTTTTTTTTTTTTTTTTTTTTTTTTTTTTTTTTTTTTTTTTTTTTTTTTTTTTTTTTTTTTTTTTTTTTTTTTTTTTTTTTCAGGAAGAAAATGACTTGCACCTTAACTGGCCTACACGCTTCAATATATTGTTGGGAACAGCAAGAGGACTTGCTTACCTTCATGAGGAGTCAACGCCCAGAATTATACATCGAGATGTCAAAGCAAGTAATATTTTTCTGGATGCAGAACTCTCCCCAAGAATATCGGATTTTGGATGGGCAAAGCTTTGTGATGACGAGAAAACACACTTGAGCACCCGGGTTGCAGGCACAATGTAAGCCCTCATTTAAGTTATACAATGTAATCATGACTAGGGAGGGTGTAATCCAAGCAGCATTTTTAGTAAACATTTGATAATCTTGTAGAGGCTATTTGACGCCGGAGTATGCAATGTGTGGACATTTGACAGAAAAGGCTGATGTTTTTGGTTTCGGGGTTGTTGCTTTGAAGATCCTCAGCGGGAGACCAAATTCTAACAAGAACTTGGATCCTAAGAAGATTTATCTTCTTGAATGGGTAGGAAAACTTAGCCTAGCTACTTTTGTATTAATATTTTGGTCCTTAGAGGTCCTTATAAGTCATTTTACAAATGAGTGAATAGTACCAACCCTTGCCTCCTCTTACCTTTTGCCATGGCAAATGGGTGGAAATGCTCTTAGCACCCGAACTAATTTATATTGCGAATTTTAGACCAACCGTTAGATTTAAGTCAATTTAATCCAAATTGCTGTTAAAAATCAGACATGAGGTGCACGTGTAACCTAATTTGAGGGCAATTTGGTCCTAACCTTTTCCCTCTCGAAGCCCATCGTCCCCATTTCCCTGAAAACTTGAAAAGCAAACTAGAAAAAGAAAATGAAGTTTGCAGCCCACCTCGAGAAAATATGCAGAGTAATCAAGTTCCTCATTTGGTAACTCTATCTGTGCCAAAATACTCCAACTATTTGTGATTTGTGATTATTTTGTATATCAAAACCAGCTACGCTTGGTTGCTGTGAAAATGGAAGAACACTAATCCCCAATTAAACAAAACAAAGTGCAGTTTTGTGCCCTTTGATTTATGATTTTTTTTGCTTTATGAAAAATGTAAAACACCCATCTCAGTAATACCAAATTGTTGTTTTAAAATCTAATAATGTTTAGAACTACAACTTTCTCGGCAGCCAAATAGATCCTTAACTTTATTTCGATGCTAATTGTGAAAAGTTTTGTTCTTGCTTTATGGTAATTTGGATGAAATTGCCTCAAATATAACGAGTATAGCCGCAGTAAAGCCATGCGGCTATACTATTTTTTTAAAATTTCTAAAAATGAGTATAGCCGTTCGGCCGAACTATTTTTTGGGAAAAAAAGATAAAAAAGAAGGGGTATGGCTGCACGGCTATACTATTTATATATTAAAAAAAGGACCCACTTAGCGCTAGGCGCCATCTGTCAAAACAGTAAAGCCGAGCAATTGCAATAGGGTGACGACAAATTATGCTAGCGACAGACAGAGTGAAGATGATGAGGGACGACGACGGCTAGACGTGGAATTAGAAAAACTTAGAGAGAGCAAGGCTCTCCTTGATAACGAGAGAACGACCACCGAAAAAAGACACATTGCCTTGAATGGCTAAAAGAGGTAAAACCATATCCATAGGGAACCATCAAAAGACAGTTTGTTGAAATATAGACAAATTTATACAAACATTTAAAAAAATAAAGAAGGCGTAGATGATATGTGAAGTCAAGATTTGTAGCATCTTTACAAGAAATTTTTCTATGCGAACATAATGCCATCATATGGTGTTATTAATGCACCTATTACAATATAAGCAAACGATAAGTGCACAATGTAGTTTTGAGAGGCTCACTAAAAAACAACCCTCATTTTTACAGGAAATGTTGACGTGAGCCTTCCTAATTAATCAATGAGATTTATTTCCTTGATTAATTAAGGGATTTACTTTGTTATTTTATATAGTTGACAAATCATTGTATAATTAGGAGACACTATCATAATTGATTACTGTATCTATTTCCTTGTAAAGCACTCATGTAAAGTCTTATATATACCTACTTATGAAGAAGAATACAACTTAAGGCCAGTTTGGCATTGCTGTGCTGTGAAAATAATCGATGTCAGATTTGCTGTGAGAGAAATCAGCTGTGAAATAAAGTAGTTTGGCGTTTGGTAAATTTTTTGTTAAAAGTGTTGTTGGTATTGATTTTACGCATAATTAGAAAATGATTGCTGCATAATCATTAAACCCAGCGCCTCTTCGAAATTGATTCCTGCATAATCAAAAAATGAAAGCACTTCATTAGTTGCTTTCCCTTATAGCTTTCTCTCACATCAATTTTTAACAATAACTGATTCTCACAATTTACCAAAGTGGTTGGGCTTCTCAAATTTTTTTAAAAATCACTTATCACCCCAAATAAGCAATGCCAAACTAGCACTTAACCTAAAGTATTCAAACCATATTCATATTTTAACAGGAAACTCATGTTCTCTTCCAATTTAATTAAGATTTAATTTTTTGTTTTCAAATGCGGGTTAAGTCCACGTGGACCTTTGTGAATCTAGAAGGTCAGTTATATTAGTTAAGAAATGTTTTGCCCGCTAGTTTTTCTTACTTTTGGCTAGATTGGTATTTTGTACCTACCTTGAATGACGATGATCCATTAAGTTGGGCTTGGAACACCTAAGTTAGGAGTGGGCTTTTAAACCGGTAAATTGGTGAATCGAACCGAGCTAGAAAAACTGCAAAAATCGATTTTGGCTTGGATCGTTTTGAGTTCTTGATTTTTGCCATTTCTAATTTCTTTTGGGAGAGTGAATATTTCCGAGAGAGTAGGTAAGCTTTACAGATCAAATTGTGATCTAAAATAGACGCGCAGCAGCCCTTGTTTACCAATTCAAACCACAACTTTTTCATGGAGAGGACTTTCATGATCTGACATACCCTTCAGAAAAGTGCAATGAAACGAGCATCATTGAGAAGGGTTGGAATTGTAAACTAATCTGGAAGTCCCCTTATATATAATTGATAAATTATAGACCTCAACAGTAGAAACTGATATGCGTCCAACACAATTGTTAAGTGCATATCGTCTCTTCATTATACTATATATATTTGATAAATTATGTGCATATCTACTTAAAGAATTCAAATATAAATATAAATAAAAAAATAAATTTGAATAACACAATTATTAAGTTTAAATTTAATTTGTGTACAAAAGTGAAGCTGATGGAGTAGAATTGGAAGCGGAAGATGAGGTGAACTGTGATGAATTGGTGTTGTAACCATAACTTAAAGACTCTGTTTGACCCCTTTCAGAACCAGTAACATCACCGGACAAGATTGAAAATGATACCGGAGGAGAAAAGTAGCTGGCTACTGGCATCTTTGATGGAAGAATAGGCGGCGCAACTTCTAAGCTAAGAACTTGAATGATTTGTTGTGTCGAAGGCCTGATCTTGTAATCTGGATGAGCACACCACAACCCAACAATCAACAAGCACTCTATTTGTTTCTCATCAAAATCCCCACACAATTTTGGGTCAGCTGCTTCAATGACTTTCCCTTGTCCATAAAGCTCCCAAACCCACTCTACCATGTTGATTTTACTTGCTCCCAACTTGGGATCAATGGGTTTTCTCCCACAAGCTATCTCCAAAGCAACAACTCCAAAACTGTAAACATCTGTTTCCTTGCTAGCCTTTCCTGTGGTGACACATTCAGGAGCCATGTAGCCCATGGTTCCAGCCAGAACAGTGGTTTGTGATTGTTTCCCGTGGTCAACAAGTCGAGCCAACCCGAAATCTCCCAGTTTGGCGTTGAAATTCGAATCCAACATAATGTTGCTGGATTTGATATCTCTGTGCAACACACATTGTTCCCATTCTTCGTGTAGATAGAACAATCCGGACGCCAAGCCTTGAGCAATTCTGTACCTTGCCTCCCAACATAACAAGCTTTTTCCTTTGAACAAATGGGAATCTAAGCTTCCATTAGACATGAACTCGTAAACAAGTAGGAGTTCTCTCTTTTCGTGGCACCAACCAATGAGTTGCACCAGATTTCGATGCCTAAGTCGACTGATGATCCTTACTTCTGCTGCGTACTCCTTCAGCCCCTGTCTAGACCCACTTGATACCCTCTTAACAGCAACATATGAGTTCAAATCTTTTACGAAGCCTCTGTAAACCCCACCAAACCCTCCCTCTCCAAGCTTCTCTCCCTCGTCAAAATCGTTTGTCGATTGAGCCAACATCTTGTACGAAAACTTCTTTGGGCCTGTCCCCTTTTCGAATTCGTCATCAATTGGATCGTTGATCATAGGATCTTCATCATTGTCGCTACTTTCCCCTGTTCCCCCCTTCTTCCAAAAAATGAACCAAACCAAACAAAACCCACCAACCAAAAGAACACACCCACCAACAACCAGCCCAACCACAAGTCCAATGTTGATGCCATTTCCTGACCCGGGTTCAACAATGGGGGTCGGCTCAGGAGCTACTGGTGTGTTGTTATTTGCATTCTCATCAATCAGCGATGTCGAATTGAAACTCCATGAGTTGATCTTGTGCAGAGCAGTCATAGCACCTGTTGCAGCAGAGAACCCAACAATCACCCAACCCTGCAAAATCTCATTCACATCAACCATGTAATCAAAATACCTTCTAACCCGGACACCATTTTCATAAGTAGTAAATGTAACGCTAAGATTTTTTGATCCAGAATCGTAACGAATCCAAGCATTATTGAGTCGTCCCTTTGTAATACTACCATTCCACGCCCTGGTAACCTTAGAATTGACAGAGTTGACATCAATACCAACATGATCGCCGGCGGGATCTTCGACAGAAGTGAAGTTATTTGAGTAGATATCAAACTCCACTGCTACAAACGGGTACAGATTCGTGGACTCGTTTTTTTCTGGGTTTATGACGGGGAGGCCAAGAGAGCCGCCTCTGCCTATTGTTCTGTTGAGTGCAGACCCGTTTGGAGCCAAAAAGAAGGCGAGCCCATCTGCATAGGGTGTTTTGTCTAGCGAGTCAATGGCAAATGTGAAATTTGTGGTGAAGTCGGCGAGTTTTCCCGTGGCGTTGTCGCGGAGGAGGAAGGGTTGGCTGTAGGTGGCTCGACCGACGCTTTGGTCTTGCACGTCGTCAGCAGCGCTTTTGGTGAGTCGGAGGAAATCACCGTCGACGAAAGCATCTCCCTCGAGAGATAGGGTGTTGATGCCATTTGGGAAGGTGGGGAAACTGAAGTTTAATGAGGTTGCACAAGGGGCTAAGTGAAACAAGAGAAGAAGAAGAAGGACAACCATTTCTAATTTGCTGGTAAGATTACAGATCAAATTGTTGGGTCTAAAATAGAGCAGAGGCTTTAATATTTGAAAATGCTTTAATCAGCAGTTGTTTGCTTACCAATTCAAATCAAAATAATTTTTACTTGGTCTTTGAAGACGCCAGGGGAAAATTAGCAATTGACTTTCTAGCTTGACATGTATTTATTTAATTACTTATTTCTTTGTGCTGATGCAGGATTGCGGTCCTGGTATATAAAGTTTGTCGTGATCCAACTTCAAGCCAATTAGTTTTCACTGGGGCAAAATAGGCAGACACTGCTATAGTTACTACAAGCCAGCATCTATTCTTTTCCTACAAATTAATCTTGTGTGTTTGCTCTCAAAACAAACAAAAAAAAAAAAAAAAAAAAAAAAAATAATTTTCTATGTTTCAGTGCATAAAATTAAAGAAAGATCATGGTCTAAATTTTCTTGTTTATTGCTTTGTGCCTTTTATGTGGTATTTGGTAATCCACCGGGACAAAGACTTTTTAGTTCCCACGAAACATGTGTCAGACAGCCCCCAAAATAGTATGTTTTGTGGGAACTAAAAAGTTTTTGTCCTGATGGATTAAAAAGAGAAGAAGAAGGACAACCATTTCTAATTTGAAAAAGAATGACAACCATATCTAATTTGCTGGTAAGGTTACAGATCAAATTGTTGCTGGTAATAAGATTCAGTATTTGTAAGTGCTTTAATCAGCAATTGTTTGCTTACCAATTCAAAATTAAAGAAAGATCACGGTCTATATTTTCTTTTTTCTTATTGCCTTGTGCCTTTTTTGTGGTATTGGGTCTGACACACGTTTTGTGGGAATGAAAAAGTTAGGCCGCGTTCGGTATCGTTTTCACGGCCCGTTTTCTGTTTTCATTTCCTGTTTTCTGGCAAAAACCTGTTCGGTGGAACGTTTTTGTTTTCCCTAAAAATATTTTCCAAAAACAAATCCAATTCATGAACAAAAGTTGAAAACGATATTATGTTGTTTTCGTTTTCAATGTTTTCATTTTCAGTCCATACGATAATTCATTTTTTCCATCTCTCTTTCTCCAATCAACATCGATTCTTGTCTTTGAAATTCTCCATAGCTATTCTTCTTCTTCTAAAATATCTGAGATCGTGATTTACTTATCAAGCACCAGACCCAAAAAAAAAAAAAAAAAAAAAAAAAAAAAAAAATAAATGAGCACCACCTGTGGAAACCCATCCTCCCCCGATCCAGACCCATCGTCTAGTTTGCCGCACCGGCACCTCCAAAGCACGATCACCACCAAAGCAATCGAACCATAACTGCCACAAACCCAGTTGAATTGAACCACTATCACCACCCAATGGAACCACCACCAACCATTAACAAATGAAAACAGAGAGAGGATGGGTATGAAGAGAGAAGAAGAACAGGAAGAATCAGAGAGAGGAAGAAGAAAATAAAAAATAAGAGAGGAAGAAGAAGAGAAAGAATCATATAGAGGAAGAAGAAGAGAAGAGAAAACAGAGAAAAAGGAAGAAAGAAAGAAGAAAGTCTGGGAAGGAATAGAAGAAGAAAAAAGGAAAAGAGAAAAAAGAAGGGCACGGGCCTGGGAAGGAAGGAAAGGAAGAAAGAAAGAGAGAGAAAAAAGAAATGAGATAAGATAGTTTGTCTTAAAAAAAACATTAGAATTTTTTATTTGTTAAATTATACATTTTTTTATTGTTTATAAATTGTTGTCTTTGAAAAATAGCAGATTTTTTTTTTTATTAAAAAAAACTGAAATTAGCAAAAATACAATTGAAAATAAGTCACATATTATTATTTTCAAATTGTACTACCAGACACATTTTCATTGTTTTTGTTTTCTGAAGATGTTTTCTAATTAATCTACCAGACGCATTTTCATTTCCTGAAAATGCAAATTTGTTTTCTTGTTTTCATTCTCTGAAAATATTCTCAGAAAACACTCTCCGAAAACGTTACCAGACGGGCCCTTAGATTTCAGATTTCAAAGTTCAAAGTTCGGGTTTTGAGCAAATTCATAGTCGTTGCATTGGTCATGATTAATGACCCGACCCGATTCAGAAGTTGTAGATGATGTTTATAGTTACAAAATGCAAAGGAGAGAAGCTTCCAATCCAACTTGAATTTCTGGATTAAGAAAAAAAAAGCACAATCTCCGATCATACGTCAGTATCATCTACAACACATGAGGACATTTCACCAAAACACAAACAGAAAGACTCCAAGGTACTGACTAGTATTCCATTTGGTGTTGGTTTTTGAGACAATTCGCTGTGATGGGATGCCAAATCTGTGCTCGGTGGCGCCACGAGTCAATGGAGAGAAGACAAGAAAAAGTTTGATTGAAGCTTTGGTGAGTGGTGTGTGATGATCCCATTAATCCCAGAGGTATTGACATACATTTCATTCAAGAACTTCGAGAATTGGATGAAATTGCACCTGGAAAATCATTTAATGCAGTTTTTGAAATGTCACTTTTGACCTTTGTGTGTGTGTGTGTGTGGAGAAATTCTGTGATTGCATTTATAATTCAATCACAAAAAGCAACTAGTCACAAAGGGCCATTACAATAACATAGCAATCTAACATCAAAATTAAGACAGCCTTCACTAACGATCAAGCAAGATCAAGGAAAGTCTGGCATATGCATTCCAACTAAGATTGCAAACTCAGAATAATAAAAAGGATATAAAGCTTGAAAAAAAACCAAGCTAGAACAATACAAGTAAAACTCTCAAAGGAGAGATGAAAAGCTCTCACAAAGGAAAGGTGAAAAGTTCTCACAAAAGGAGAGGTGAAAAGGATGGTGGTGGAGATCCGAATCGAAACACATATAGAGATCCAACGCCGTGACGCAACCATCTATGTTGGTTGGAGGAAAATCATAATAAAATGAAGACAAATAGGGGAAGCCTTCTGTCTTTGAGAATGGGGGAAGAAAAGAATGAAGGAAGAGAAGAGGGGAGATGGGAGGAAGAACAGTGACTTCCTCCCCCCTCAAAGTGAAAACGGCTATGGGAGTGTTTTTTCTAAGACAGAGGGGGCTAAGGTTTCTCATGTGGAATATCACTTTTGACCCTTAAACCCTTGGTATTAATAATTTTTAATTTTTTAATTAAAAAAAATTAAGGGTATTGTTGGAAAATTGAACAACTTTTCATTCCTAATATTGCACAAACTAAACATGAAAAATGAGAGAAAATGATATTTCCTAGTCCTCATTTCCCAACGTTCCCAGACATGGGAATAAACATCTTCCATTTTCATCTCGTAGCATTAAACATGTGAATTTCATTCCTAAGAAATTAAATCAGCGGCTGGAGAGAGCTAGTGAAAGCTACCTTTATAGGCTTGCATCAATTGTCAAAACTAGAGAAGACTGCAAAGCAAATTTTCAAGTAGAGAGCATATGTGTGGCGCATAGTTAATTTACCAATTCAAATGAGAACAATTTTCGTTGGAAGACTAGAGGCATTGGTTGATTCCAACTCTTCTTTTATTGACTTTTTAAAATTTGACATATCATCTTATATATTTTTATTTGCAGCTTTACCTTGTATGGTATTTTTATTTTCTTGATTCGTTCAACATGCTATATATTCATTGTTTGAATTTACAAGGGGACTTTTCATTTATTTATTGTCATCGTCAGAATAAAATAGTGGATCAAGATTCAATAGAATGGTAATGACGGGATGGGAGAAGAGACCTCGGTGTCTTGAGAGTGAAATAATGGAAGAAAACTTAGTTGCGATAGGATATCACTGTTTTATTATTCCTGATTAATAGTGTTAGTATGTGCGTCATAATGTTATTCGTTAGGATAGCAAAATAGTGTCATCTATTTAATGGAGAATTTGTAGAATAGTACATATTATCACGTCAAGCTGGTGATACTTCCATTTAAAATTCACCATGTGTATTATTTTTATAAGAAATTAAACTTTTTGTTCCAGCTGCATTTGAAACTCCAATTTTACCCTTTAAATTAAAAAAAATTAAAAGAAATAGAAGAGAAAATGTTCCAGCAACAATCGCTTGCCCTCAATCTAACTGTCGTGTCGTCACTCTGCATCCCATGCCTGCCGTCATTACTCTGTTTCTGTATTTTTGCAATCAGATCACATCCCATCATTGCCCTTCTCCCCAATTGTGCCAAGCAAGCTCATTTCTTCAACAAACAATACCGTGAAGAAGACCCAAATCCCATTTCAATTTGTTAATCAGGTGCACAACAATTTGCCCAGTCCTGCAAGCATCAAACCCATAGTAGCAAGTCTTTCGATCACGTTGTATGTGTTAGACATGAAGATATTATTACGAATTTGGTCACTCTGCAGGCCCTTCGTCTCTCTCCCTGAAACTGAACCCATGGAAGCACCTGCAAGATCTCTACTCATTGCAAATGGGTCCATATTCAAACAAAGAGGCTTTAATCATTATCAAATTGAAATACTAATTTACTGAGACATTTGAATGCACATCGAATAATGGAAAGACAGAGAGGAAGAGCCGTCGGATGATGGGGTTGTTTTCATTTTCTCTGTTTTTCTAACAATTTTTAAAATTTTGTTGTGGAGTTTCAAATCCAAATCCAACTGGAACAATAGTTTAATTTCTTATAAAAATAATACAAACGGCAAATTTTGAATAAAAGTATTACCATAGGACGTGGTGATACTATACTATTCTATAATTTCTCCATTGAATGCAAGTCTTTCTCTACATATTGACTAACTACATTTAATTTCTTATCTTATATTTATTGCTTAGTCCTGTTTGTGAGGTTGACGGGCCAAAGCCAATAAGTCTGATAATTATTGTATGTTGGATAGAAATTTTGTGAGTTAATAGTTTGATAAAGTTTGGATGGAAAGATGGATTGAACTCATTGAAGTGCTTGGGGATGTAAATGGATTTAGAATTCAGAACTGAAAGCTATAGCCAACTCTGAACATCTTCTAGCCTACCCAATTGTATGTATTATTCAAATATAAAATTAAATTACAAAAGAGTTTGTACATTATTATAAAACAACAACTAATTAAATTTATTTTGAGTACAAAAGTGATGTTGATGCAGAAGAATTTGATGCAGAAGATGTGGTGAACTGTGAGGAATTGGTGTTGTAGCCATAACCTGGACCTCCTTCTAAATCAGTACTACCAGACAAGATTGAAAATGACAGCGGAGGAGAAAAGTAGCTAGCCACCGGCATCTTTGACGGGAGAATAGGCAATGGAACTTCGAAGTTAAGCACTTGAATTGTTTGTTGTATCGAAGGCCTGATCTTGTAATCTGGATGAGCACACCACAACCCAACAATCAACAAGCACTCTATTTGTTTCTCATCAAAATCCCCACACAATTTTGGGTCAGCTGCTTCAATAACTTTCCCTTGTCCATAAAGCTCCCAAACCCACTCTACCATCATGTTTTTACTTGTTCCAAACTCGGGATCAATGGGTTTTCTCCCACAAGCTATCTCCAAAGCAACAACTCCAAAACTGTAAACATCTGTTTCCTTGCTAGCCTTTCCTGTGGTGACACATTCAGGAGCCATGTAGCCCATGGTTCCAGCAAGAACAGTAGTTTGTGATTGTTTTCCGTGGTCCACGAGTCGAGCTAATCCAAAGTCCCCAAGTTTTGCGTTGAAATTTGAATCTAACATGATATTGCTGGATTTGACATCCCTGTGCAGCACACATTGTTCCCATTCCTCATGGAGATAGAACAACCCGGATGCCAAGCCTTGAGCAATTCTGTATCTTGCGTCCCAAGCTAACAAGCTCTTTGCTTTGAACAAATGGGAATCTAAGCTGCCGTTGGACATGAACTCATAAACAAGTAGGAGTTGTTTTCTTTCGTGGCACCAACCAATCAGTTGCACAAGATTCCGATGTCTAAGTCTACTAATGATACTTACTTCGGCTGCATACTCCTTCAACCCCTGTCTCGACCCACTTGATATCCTCTTCACCGCAACATTTAAGTTCAGGTCTGTTATGTAGCCTCTGTAAACTCCACCAAATCCTCCCTCTCCAAGCTTCTGTCCCTCATCAAAATTGCCCGTTGATTGAGCCAATTTTCTGTACGAGAACTTTTTGGGGCCTATGCCGTTTTCGAATTCCTGATCAATCGAGTCATTCACCGTAACATCTTCATCACTACTTTCCCCTCTCTTCTTCCTACAGATGAACCAAACCAAACCCAACCCACCACCCAAGACAACAAGTCCACCAATACCCAACCCAAGCACTAGTCCAATATTGATGCCATTTCCAGACTTTGGTGTGGTGTTCTTTGGTTTTTCATCAAACAGTTGAGTTGAATGGAAGCTCCATGAGTTGATCTTGTGTAGAGCGGTAGTAGCATCTGTTGCAGCAGAGAACCCAACAATCACCCAACCTTGCAAAATCTTATTCAGATCAACCATGCAATCAATATATCTCATCACTTGGACACCATTCACATAACTAGTGAAAACCACATTAAGACCATTTGATGTAGAATCGTAACTAATGCCAGCACTATTCACTCGACCCTCTGCAATACTTCCATTCCAAGGTTCGGTCATCTTAGACTTGACAGTGTTGATGTCAACCCCGACATGATCTCCCGTGGGATCTTGGATAGAGGTGACTTCATGATAGATGTCAAACTCTACTGCTACAAAGGAGTACTGATTTTTTGATATGTTGTTTTGCGGGTTTTCCACGGCAAGGCCTAGACTGCCTCCTCTGCCTAATGTGCCGTTGAGTAAGGACCCGTTTGGCGCTATGAAGAACGCCAGTCCGTCAGCATATGGCGTTTTGCCATGGGAGTCGATGACGAATGTGAAATTTGTGGTCAAGTCTGCAAGCTTTCCTGTGGCGTTGTCGCGGAGGAGGAAGGGTTGACTGTAGGTGGCTCGGCCCACGCTTTGTTCCTTTACGTCGTCAACAGCACTTTTGGTGAGTAGGAGGGATTCTCCATCGATGCGAGCATCTCCCTCCAGAGATATGGTGTTTTTTCCATTTGGGAAGGTGGAGAAATTGAAGTCTAATGATGTCACACAAGGGGCTAACTGAAACAAAAGCAGAAGAAGGAAAACCATTTCTAATTTGTTTTTTGTTTTTGGGTAAGCTTACAGATCAAATTGTGATCTAATATAGAGCAGACCCTGTAGAGTTTAATTTTTCAAAGTGCTTTGATCAGAAGTCCTTTGCTTACCGATTCAAATCAAGAAAATTCTATAGTTTGAGGAGGACTTGATGAGACCTATTCGACGCTTACTCTTGTATTTCTTCTTCTTCTTCTTCTTCTTTTTCTCTCTCAAATTATTTACGGTCATTTTCAATTTATTATAATAGTGTGCAAACATTCAAGAGGGAGCTTGGTGACATGGTCTAAATTTGCTTGTGAATTTATTGCTTTGTATGTTTTGTGTGGTATTGGTTGGCCGGAAGCTTGTACTGCTATAAAGAGTAGGTGAGCGAGTGATGTGGTGTGGGGACTTGAGAGACTAGTAAGTTTTGTCCTGGTGGATTGATAAGGCTTGGAAGTGGTTAGAATTCAGATTTGAGAGTTTCTCTGCTAATGAGCCAACTTAAAACTTTCTAGAAGTACCTTTTATACAAGAGAGGCAAGCGACCAACTTGGATGATGAATTGATAAATGAAAGAGTATATCCATCATATGCGAGTGTCATCTACAAGATGAAGTTAGATAAGGGCATGGCACCAGAACAAAGACTCCAAAGGAGAAAGCGGTTTTCGCGATCGAGTTTTTACTTTATTTGTTCATGTAGTTTCAATTTTTGTGATCAAAGACAAGCAATTTATTTAAGCTTGCAATCAACTCCAACCAGTTAAATTTGTTAAACGTAGGAGCGTAAAGAGTGGATTTCATGTTGGGCCGGAAAGCCATACACCCTTTGGCAAATTTAACAAAGATTGGATTTCAAGTAAACTACCTACAGCCCTAAATTACCAAAATCAGAAAGAACAATAAGACCATAAATATCATTTGACCATTAAAAAAATAATAATAATTAAAGAAAGAAAAGAAAAGCAAATGAGCGTTAGGTACACCTAAAAGAATGAAAGTACAAGAGTTAGAGCGAGTTGGCTTGATAGGTAGGAGGATGCGGAAGTACATTCGATCCACATATCCAATACCCAGACACAAAAGTGTTGGTAAAAGATTAGGTCTTTTTTTAATTTTTCGGTCAACAAAGATATCATAAAAGCCAACCGGCAAAGGTCCAAAGGGGAGCCAAACCCAACAAAACAAACAGAATAGACACACCAAACCAAAGAACTAAAAACAAGCCAAAAGAACAAAACAAACGAAAAACCACACAACAGAAGATTAAGCACCAGGCAGAGGGCAAGGAAGCATCCCGAGATAAAATATGAACTAGAAAAGATGAGGTCTTAGCTAGCTGGGTTCAAGTCTTGAAAGCGAAAAAGAAGTATATATTTACAACTAAATACAACAATGCCGTCAAGCATATCCATTTAAATAAATTCAAGAATAAAAGTCAATAACGAAAAATCATGTCGGCGCGATACATTGGATTGAGATCATAATGGTGCTTTAAGTTGTAACGTGAAGGCTCCATTGTATCACTAAGAAAAGAATGCAATAAGAAAGGAAATGTGGATAGTGTTGTAATAGTTAAGAATTAATTGTTGTACAAAATGCGTTTAACCTATGAGGAATTAGTGCTATAAGCATACCCTGAAGACTCAATTTCACATATTTCAAAACCAGTAGTGCTACAAGAAGACATTAACAATGGGAGTGATGGTGGAGGAGTAGAATAGGTGGCCACTGGCTTCTTTGGCGGGAGAACTGGCAATGCAGCTTCAAAGTTAAGCACTTGAATTGCTTGTTGTATTGAAGGCCTCATATTGTAATCCGGGTGAGCACACCACAAACCAACTATCATCAAGCATTCCATTTGTTTCTCATCAAAATCTTCGCACAGTTTTTGATCAGTCGCTTCGAGGAGTTTCCCTTTTCCATAAAGCTCCCAAACCCATTCTACCATATTGATTTGATTCCTTTCCAATTGAGGATCGATGGGTTTTCTCCCACAGGCTATCTCTAGTGCAACAACTCCGAAGCTATAAACATCGGATTCCTTGCTAGCCTTTCCGTTGGTAAGACATTCCGGAGCCATGTAACCCATAGTTCCAGCCAAAACCGTTGTTTGTGATTGTTCTCCATGATCCACAAGGCGAGCCAACCCGAAATCCCCAAGTTTTGCGTTGAAATTTGAATCCAACAAAATGTTGCTGGATTTGATATCCCTGTGCACCACACATTGCTCCCATTCTTCATGTAAATAGAGCAACCCGGAGGCCAAGCCTTGAGCAATTCTGTATCTTGCCTCCCAAACTAACATATTTTTTGCTTTGAACAAATGTGAATCTAAGCTGCCGTTGGGCATGAACTCATAAACAAGTAGGAGTTCTCGTTTTTCGTGGCACCAACCAATGAGTTGCACTAAATTTCGATGCCTAAGTCGACTGATGATCCTTACTTCTGACGTATACTCCTTCTGCCCTTGTTTCGACCCCTTGGATATCCTCTTAACAGCAACATATGAGTTCAAATCTTTTATGAAGCCTTTATAAACCCCACCAAACCCTCCTTCTCCAAGCTTCTCTTCCTCTTTAAAATCACTGGTGGCTAGAGCCAATTCATTGTATGGAAACTTCCTTGGGCCGGTCCCCTTATCGAACTCATCATCAACAACTATAGGCTCTTCCTCACTTTTCCTGAGTCCCCCTTTCTTCCAAAACAAAACCAACCCCGCAAACAATATAAGACATCCACCAACACCCAACCCAAATGCTAGACCAATATTAATTTTGTCATTTGCACTCTCATCAAGCAATGAAGTTGAATTAAAACTCCAAGAATTGATCCCATGTAGAGCAACCGGAGTCCCCGTTGAAGCTGAGAAGCCAACAATAACCCTATCCGGCAAGTGCTGATTCAGATCAATTATGTGATCGAGATAGTTGATGGTTCTCTGCAGTTGGGTACCATTTGTACCGTTAACGAAACTCGTGAAGGCAACAGTGAGTATTTTGGAGCTAGAATTGTAATTAATCCAAGCTTCATTTTTTCGTCCATCCGAAACCCTACCATTCCAAGGCGCGGTCTTAGATGACTTGAGAGAGTTAACATCGATACCTACATGATCGTAGATGGGATCTTGGATGGTTGGGATTCCATTTTGCGAGATATCAAACTCCACCGCCACAAAAGGGTACTGATTCATTGACGTGTGTCCCGGGAGGTGCTGGACGGGGAGGCCAAGATTGCTACCTTTTCCTAGCTTGCGGTTGAGTAAGGACCCATCTGGCGCTAGGAAAAAGGTGAGTCCATTTCCATATTCGGAACTATTTTGTGAATGGATGATGAATGTGAAATGTGTGCTGAAATCAGCGAGTTTTCCGGTAGTAGTTTCCCGGAGGAGGAAGGGTTTGTGGTAAGTGGCTCGACCGACGCTTTGTTCCTGTTGATCGAGAGAACAGCTTTTGGTGAGTCGGAGGAATTGTCTGTCGAGATTAGTGTCTCCCTCCAGAGATATAGTGTTGATATCAGTAGGACTAAAGATGGGGAAATCAAAGGTTAATGGAGTTACTGAAGGGGTTATTAAACAGAAAAGAAGAAAGAGGATTTGGTCAAGGTTTTGTGAATGGTGTGTGATGATCCAATAGCCAAAGTAATTCACAAGCATTTCTAATTTTTTGGCAGAGAGTTTAGTGAAAAGCTTTGCTAGCTGAGAGACTGCATGCAGAGTTAACTTTCCAAGGCGCTTATATATAAGCAGCCAGTGTTTACCAATTCAAATCAAAATATAATTTTCCTCGGAGGACTTGAGACGTATCGTTGAGTCCAAGTCTTGAGAAAAGAATGTTGGCAAATTTTGTTTGACTTGCATATTGTGTATTTTTATTTATGTTGTAATGTCAAATTGTGAATATCGATTAAACATTCACGAAAAAATCAACTTGATCAACGGTTTAAAATTCGCAATCTAAGAATTGAACAGTCTTATCTTCATTTTTCAAGAATATATCACTTGAGCAACGGACATAAATAAAGAATTGAAGATTCAAGAGAGTGGTGATGGTGTTGGCATGGGATGGGAGTGGAGACCACGGTGACGGTGACTAAGTGAATTTCTTGTATCTATATATTCTTTGCTCAAATATTTATTTTGCGTGGTTGACGGGGTGAAGTTGATGAATAGACGGGTCATGTAGGACTACAACAAAGGTTCATTCCACACTTGGGATGGAAGGAGGACTGCAACAAAGAAGAAATTGGTTTGGATATTGCTGCAGAATTATTTGGAAAGTTTTGGGTTTTTTCTGTTGCTCTTTCCTTGACATGCATGTTTGACCTCTTTTCAATGTGACTGGTCAGAGCTTGTAAATAATGAATTGATTAGATTGAAACAAAACACTCTATGAATGGGTCTGATTTAATAACTCTGATGTAGATCATTTTTTTTTAATTGTAATATTTGCATTATGCAATAGATAATTTTATTGTTTATAACAAATTAGTTTTTTTATGAGTATTCCAGGTCTTCTTTTCTTGGTCAATCTTGTCGTTTTGGCTAAGTTCTTTTACTTCTCTATATTGCAGTGATGAGTCAACCGAATATTTTAGGGTACGTTTTATGACTAAATGTCACTTTTGGTCTATGAAGTTCATCTATTTTTCACTTTTCATTCTTGTAGTTTTAATTTGGTCAATTGTGCCCTTATAGTTTCATAGTTGTAGCAATTCAAGGACAAGTCACGAATTTCGTCAATTTCTTTCACAACATCAGGGGTATTTCTGTCCATTTTAAGTATAAAAAAATAAAAATAAAAATTTAAGTATTTTTTTAATTGTAAACAAGAAACAAGCAATTGATTTGTCATTGAAATGAAATTCCAAAGTGACCAAATTAAAGTAGCGAATAGTAATCAATGCATTCCCAATCTAATTCTCAATTCATTAATCAACAAACCCTACGTCCAAATTAATAGTTTACGAAAATACCCCTGACACCATTAAAGAATATGACGGAATTCACATTTTGTCTTTGAATTGTTACAATTACGAAACTACAAAAGTATAATTGACCAAATTAAAACTATATGGACGAAAAGTGAAAATTATGTAAACTACATAGACTAAAAATGACTTTTAGCCATGTTTTATTTGTGTTTTCTTATACTCATTTTGCCCATGAATCATGACGAATCAGCCAAATATTCTAGCAACCCCAAGCTGCAGCCGTGCTCGCCTTGAGCTTGGGCCAGCCCTCTTTGAAGTCTCTCCTATGGACACCATCAACTTTCAACTTCTAATGCCTCTTCTTCTAGTTTACTTGTTTTTCTTTTTCGAGATACGAAAGATCCTTACAAATTAGGTCATGCATTTGTGCCATTTTAGAGAGTTTATCATTGAAATTGAAAGAGCTAGCTCATCATACTCTTGGTCAAGGAAAAAAAAAAGGAACTTTTGAGTTACATTGTGCCGTAGCTAATAATACAAGTGTGTAAAATTGAACTTAGAATCTCTCTCAAGAAGAGAAATAACACTACATTAATAACTAATTGGCGAATAAACAAATTTTACTACATATAATCACAGAATTTTAATAGTTTAGCCTTTCACAAGAGATTTATATAAAAAGAAATTGACCAGCCAATTAATAACTTACATTAGAGTCAAATATTAAAATTTTCCAAGCCAATTTATATTTGTTAATGTTGTTTTATTTTCCTTAAAATAGAAAGGAAAAAAAAGTAATTTAAACATTAATAAAAGCAAAATACAAGCAAGTAGCAACAAGAAAAACACAAACTAACAATTACGGACCAGAGAATTGAGAGGCATGAAGTTCACCGACTCACCCGTGATAGAGCTCCCGGTTCGAACCGCCGTCCTTTCCCTCCAACAGGACAACGGCTCCCTCCACGTCGGCACCTCCGTCTGGCCCTGTTCCCTGGTCCTCGTCAAATTCGCCGAGCGCTGGGCCCCACCCAGCCCCGATGCCCAAAACCCTTACGCCAACCTCCTCGACTTCCACGGCAAGCGAGCCGTGGAGCTCGGCGCCGGCTGCGGAGCCGCCGGCATGGGCCTTTATCTGCTCGGCTTGACCGACCTCGTCCTTACCGATATTCCCGCGGTCATGCCCGCACTGAAGCACAACCTCAAGCGCAACAAGCCGGTCCTGGGGAAGACGCTCAAGCACGCCATCGTGCACTGGAACAAGGCGGCGGATCAGGCCAAGTCCTTGAGCCCTCCATACGACGTCGTCGTGGCGACGGACGTCGTTTACATAGAGGAGACTGTGGGCCCGCTCGTGTCCACCATGGAGGGGCTGGTGAAGGACGACGGCGTCGTTTTGCTCGGGTACCAGCTGAGGTCTCCGGAAGCACACCAACTGTTCTGGGAAATGTGTGAGAGGGCTTTTGTGATAGAGAAAGTTCCGCACCAGGATTTGCACCCGGATTATGCGTACGAAGAGGCTGATGTGTTTGTCTTGCGCAAGAAACAAAAAGGAGGGCTGACTCAGGATGCTGCTCCCGACTCTGTGTGAATGCAGGTTTTTGGTCTTAGATTTCGGAGTTTCTTCTTTTGGTTTTTTGTGTTAAAAGTTTGTCAATGTTTGTGCTGTTTGTTATGCTGCTTTAATACTAAATTAATTTGTGTCTTTTTTGGCTCACTACTTGTAAATTTGCTTACGAAATGATCAAATCAAATTTCACCAGTACTTCACACAACACAACATATATACAGAAGGGTTTCATAATTGAAATGATTGAAAAAAAACAGAACTGAAGCTTATTATTCATATGGTGGTGACATGAGAAGACATTCGTGTCATGCGTGTGTGTGAAAGAAACAGAGGATCTGACTTACCGACAAAAAATATGGCAATCGGGGAAATGCAGAGAGCCAAAACCATTAGCACCAACCTAATGCTTCTTCTAGATCAGTTTTTACTAATAATAACCTACGTGTATAATCATGGGTTTCATCAACGTAGCATTCGAGATTATCACAAGCCAAACTTATTTCTTAGCCGAGCGAAATTGACGGAGGAGAATTTGTTGCAGAAGATTCAGTGATCTCTGAGCAGTTGGTGGTATAATCAGGGCCAGAGTCATCAACTTGCCCTCCTTCAGAACCAATTCTAGAAGACGAACCTGAAACTGATATTGTAAGAGGAGAAGTAGTAGTTCACATCTTTGATGGTTGAATGGGCACTGCCACTTCAAAGTTAAGCGTTTGAATCACTTGCTGTATTGAAGGTCTGGAATTGTAATTTGGATGAGCACACCACAACCCAACAATCAACAAACACTCCATCTGTTTCTCATCAAAATCTCCACACAATTTTGGGTCAGCTGCTTCAATGACTTTACCTTCTCCGTAAAGCTCCCAAACCCACTCTACCATATTAGGTTTACCACTTTCCAATACATCAAAAACTCTCTTTCCGCAGGCTATTTCCAGAGCAACAACTCCAAAGCTATAGATATCTGACTCCTTGCTAGCTTTTCCTGTCATCAAATATTCAGTAGCCATGTAGCCAAAAGTTCCAACTATAGTAGTCATCTCCTCCAATTCTTCTCCATGGTCCACAAGCCTCGCAAACCTGAAACCCCCCAGTTTAGCGTTGAAATTTGAATCCAATTTAACATTGCCGGATTTGATATCCCTGTGCAGGACACATTGTTCCAATTCTTGGTGTAGATAGAGCAACCCAGAGGCCAAGCCTTGAGCAATGCTGTATCTTATCTCCCAAACTAACCGGCTTTTTCCTTGGAACAAATGATAATCTAATCTGCCGTTAGTCATGAACTCGTAGACAAGTAGGAGCTCCCCTGCATCGTGGCACCAACCAATGAGTTGTATCGGATTCCAATGCCTAAGTCGACTGATGGCGCTTACTTCTGACACGACTTCTTTGAGCCCCGGTTTTGAGATCTTCTTAACAGCAATGTAAGAGTTCATGTAACACCCCGACCCCAAATTATCCCATGTTTTAATTTATTTAAGTGGAATTGAGAAATTACCCGTGGGATAGGGGTATTTTAGTCATTTTCTTATCCGGAAGGAATTTGGGAATTCCGGTTGTACCGTTGCGTAGAGCACGGTGAGATGAGTCCGTAGACACGTAGTGGGCTCGAATCGGAGTTGTAACGAGAGAGATATGATCAAATGAAGCTTAGTGGCATAATCGTAAATATTTGGAAAATGGATTTTTGGTTAAAAGACGGAATTGCCCCCGTCTCTCACACACTCTCTCTCTCTCCTCCGGCGCGTCTCTCTCTCCTCTCGCGCGACGTTTGGAACAGCCGGCCACGTTTTGGCCGGCCGTGCTCTCGTCCGGCCACCAAAGTTGACGGGGCCGGTACCAAAATGACCGGGCCGCCGTCCTCTTCCTACCCCAGCTGGGTCTCACCGCCAGCCGCCGGGATTTCGCCGGAAAATCGAAGAAAACAGCCCGGTTTCGCCTGAAACTTCGCCGGCTTCGTTCTCCGTCGTCCGGCCACCGATTCCGGCAAGTGAGGTATGGTTTCTCACCTATTTTCCGAGCTCTAGCTGATGGTTGGGTAGGATTTCATAAATTTTGAGGCTAAGTAGCTCGATCTACGGATTGAAATTCGGCCGGTTTTGCGATCGCGATTCCGGCCACTTCCGGTCAATTTTTGGGGTAAGCCCAAGAACAAAAGTGACTCCAAATTAGGTGTATTACTTAGGGTAGGAGTCTGGGCTCACGATTTGGAAGTTTTCCGGCGATGGGTATCGCTTTGGACACCCACGCGCTGCCGGCGCGTGTGGCGGCGCGTGGGCACTGTAGCTGAGGGGCATTTTTGTCCCAATGGGATCCTCAGGTTGTCATGAGCGCGTAGGTGTGCTCGGATCTCAATTTGGATATTGTTAGAGTTCCGAACGGATATCGCATATCGCGTATTTTCCGGGTTCGCTGGGTTTGGACCGTTTGATGGTCCTGATATTATAATATGTTGATCTAGGTATTACCAGGATCGTGTAGGATTCGACGGATCGTAAAACGGAGTCCCGGATACTCCAGAAATGCCAACCCTGGGGTTAGGGTTTTAGTAACCATCCGATCCTGCGATCGTGAGCGATCAGACCGTCCGATCTAGACCAAACTTGCAGGACGTGCATCCTAGAGCATGTAGAACCTATAGGAACTTTTGGATCGGAAATTGGAGGTCGTGGGCCCTGCGGCTCGTTTGACCAACGGTGGGTAGTTTGACCCTGGGTTGACTGTGAGACCTTTGGGATAGTTCTACCTTCCCAGGAGGGTTAGAATGACCATAGAGACAGGTCCTGATATTATGGGGATTATGGGGAATTATCGGATGCTAGTTGTTTATTAAGGTGTTTATATTATTAGAATTTAATGTACAAATTATGTATGGAGTTTATAATTGAATGTTAGTTTACAGTGCTATACGCACTACTCCACGTACCCCCCCATATGGTGATTATGTTGAGGCCCAAATGATGGTATGATGGCTGGTGAGAATGTAGCCAGGCCCAGTGTGAGGTCGCACGCGTCTTTGGATTAGCCGGCGTGTTGACAGACCCCGTACGTGGCCGGGTGCGTCCCGACGTATGAGTGGGAGATATGATGGTATGATGGCTGGTGAGAATGTAGCCAGGCCCAGTGTGAGGTCGCACGCGTCTTTGGATTAGCCGGCGTGTTGACAGACCCCGTACGTGGCCGGGTGCGTCCCGACGTATGAGTGGGAGATATGATGGTATGATGGCTGGTGAGAATGTAGCCAGGCCCAGTGTGAGGTCGCACGCATCTTTGGATTAGCCGGCGTGTTGACAGACCCCGTACGTGGCCGGGTGCGTCCCGACGTATGAGTGGGAGCTATGTGATTATGTTGGGTGTGATGTGATGGTTTAATTGATGTCAGGAGCCAGGATTGATAGGAAAGAGCTACGTGTGGCTTGATCCCTTAGTAGGGTACGTAGGCAGCCTGGGATAGCGCCTAGGTGCAGCCACGACTTAGACACCACTTAGGTGGTTTTATTGAGTATGATGCGGACTTCGTGGTTGGTCCCAAAACTTGGTTGAATTGAGGCTTGTCCGATGGATTGAATGAGTGAAGGTGTGCATAGATAGATTTTGAATGGGTTATATGCATGTGTGATGCATTAAGTTATTTTAAAAACAGTGTGGGCAGTTTGTTAGAATCATTGAAGGCTGGAGGCCATTTATGTAAATTGCATGAGATTATATTGTGCGTGCTGCTGGTTGGATTATAAAATGTGCTTTATGCAGGTGGAAATTTTGGGGGATGTTCAATTTATAGGGAAGACTTTGCCGAAATTTTGGCAGAAAGTCTCGTGCCCTAAATCCTCTCTGGTAAAAGAGGACATAGTTTTAAGGAGTGAACTCGGCATGGGTGTGATGCCGGGGTCTCCGCAGGGTTCGTCTCGGGTTTCGGGAAATTCGGGACGGGTCCTGTCAGTTCAAATCTTTTAGGTAGCCCTTGTAAACCACACCAAATTCTCCCTCTCCAAGTTTTTCTCCCTCAGAAAAATGTCTGGTGGCGGAATCCAATTCTTTGTACGAAAACTGCCTTGGGCGGCGGATCTCCTTTTCCAATTGCTCAATCATGTCATGAGGAATCATAAGATTTTTAGCAGCCCTTCCTTCTGGTGCCCTTTTCTTGCACGACTTGAACAAACCCAAACCTAACACACAAACCAAGATAAGTCCACCTCCACCACCACCACCACCACCAATAGTAGTACTCAACCACCAGTGGTTTCTTGCATTTTCTTGAGTTGGATTTAGATCCATAGTGCCGGGCACGAATTGGAGATTCTTTTTCTTTTTTCTTTGGCCAGGAAAAGCTAGAGATTCATCATCACCTAGTGAAGAAGTAAAATTCCATGAGATGATGTTATGCAGAGCAGAAGCAGCTCCTGTTGAAGCAGAGAAGCCAAACCTAATCCAATCCGGCAAGTATTTATTTAGATCAACCATGTAACTGAGAGAATTGATCACTTGTTCTTGGCTACCATTTACATAAGTGGTGAAGGCAACACTAAGATTTTTGGAGCTAGAATTATAACTAATCCAAGCATGATTTAGTTTTCCTTCTGCAGTAACAGCATTCCTAGGCCTGGTCCTGGTAACATTTGACTTGACACTGTCGACGTCGATACCCACATGATTGCCTTCAGAATCCTCCACGGCTGGCCATGGATTCCGGTAGGTATCAGACTCCACCGCCACGGATGGGTACTCATTGTGCGGCTCAATGACGTTTTCCATTGTGCTGTTGACAGGGAGGCCGATACTGCTAGCATCTCCTTTGTTATTTAATAATTTCGGGCTGCTGGTGTGATTACTTTGTTGGAAGGTTGGGAAATGGACGGCTAAAGGAGTTGCACAAGGGGTTAACAGGAGCAGAACAAGAAAGAACTTTGGAGAGTACAGTGTGATGATGGCAGCCATTTTTGTTCGAGGGGAAAAGAGTTTGGAGCTCTACTAAAATAGAGCAGATTGCAGACCTAATTTTCCAATTAAAAACAAGATTTTCAGCTAGAGGACTTAGACCTGGTCGACTGACCTCTATGCGAAAGTGTTCCGAAACTAGGGACACCAGGACTTTCAGCCTTTGTTTCTGCTACTTTTCTTTGTTTCTTCTGGGAACTTTTTTTCATGTTCAATTTCAAAACCCAGGTCGACCAACTTTCTCAGTCCACTTGTATAAAAATAAAAAATAAAGAGTGTTTATTCAAGGATTATCTTCACAAAAAATAATTCAAATTAGAATGATCTTATTAAGGATAGTTTGAAAAATAAATAGTTTGGGTCATTGAATTACAATCTGAAAATAGACCCCAAAAAGTTGGTTGGCCATAGAAACTACTTGGCAAACAAATACTCTCCTCCTTGTGCGATATCTGAAACTTACCATGAGTCAATGTAATAAGGTCCACAAATTGTGTTACAGTTCTTATGAATAAAGGTAATACTAGCATGTAGAAATCGTTTGACCTCGTCCTCACCGATATTCCCGCGGTCATGCCCGCACTGAAGCACAACCTCAAGCGCAACAAGCCCGTCCTGGGGAAGAAGCTCAAGCCCGCCGTTGTGCACTGGAACAAGGTGGCAGATCCGGCCAAGTCCTTGAGCACGACTGCGGGCCCGCTCGTGTCCACCATGGTGGCGCTGGTGAAGGACGACGGCGTCGTTTTGCTCGGGTACCAGCTGAGGTCTCCGGAAGCACACCAACTGTTCTGGGGGAAATGTGTGAGAGGGTTTTTGTGATTGAGAAAGTTCCGCACCAGGATTTGCACCCGGATTATGCGTACGAAGAGGCTGATGTGTTTGTCTTGCTTACGAAATGATCAAATCAAATTTCACCAATAAAAGATGGGGAAATCAAAGGTTAATGGAGTTACTGAAGGGGTTATTAAACAGAACAGAAGAAAAAGGATTTGGTCAAGGTTTTGTGAATGGTGCGTGATGATCCAATAGCCAGAGTAATTGACAAGCATTTCTAATTTTTTGGCAGTGAGTGGTGGTGGTGTTGGCATGGGATGGGAGTGGAGACCACAGTGGTGACGGTGACTATCTGAATTTCTTGTATCTATATATTCTTTGCTCAAATATTTCTTTTGCGTGGTTGACGGGGTGAGGTTCATGTTGGGATGGAAGGACTGCAACAAAGAAGAAACTGGTTTGGATATTGCTGCAGAATTATTTGGAAAGTTTTGGGTTTCTTCTGTTGCTTTTTCCTTGACATGCATGTTTGACCTCTTTTCAGTGTGACTGGTCAGAGCTTGTAAATAATGAATTGATTATATTGAAACAAAACACTCTATGAATGAATAGATCTGATTTAACAACTCTGATGTACATCTTTTTTATTTATTCCAATATTTGCATTATGCAATAGATGATTTTATTGTTTATAACAAAATAGTTTTTTTATGAGTATTCGAGGTCTTCTTTTCTTGGCCGATCTTGTGTTTTTGGCCAAGTTCTTTTACTTCTCTATCTTGCATCACCCAAATATTTTAGGGTATGTTTCATGGCTAAAGTCACTTTTCGTTAGTTCTATCTATTTTTCATTTTTCGTTTAGGTAGTTTTAATTTAGTCAATTGTGCCTTTGTAGTTTCATAATTGTAGCAATTCAAGGACAAGTCACAAATTCCGTCAATTTCTTTCACGGCTATACTCTTTTCATAGATATTGTATTTTTGTTTTTATAATTGTTTTCCCTCAATTTTTTAATCGTTTTTCCCCAATTATTTTCTCCTTTTGAGTTTTACTTTTCTAGAGTTATTACCCGTATAAAGAATTCATCATTTTTACGTTTAATACTCATATTGTACACATACGTACATATTTTTCATGTTTAATGCAATTGATTTTTTACAAAATTTTAAATAATACACACAAACTTCACATATTATACACATAATTTTCACATATTATTGAATAAAATATATATAAACAATTTAAATCTATAAAGTATATATATATATATATATATCGAAACTAGCAAATTAATATATATAAAGTACAAACTAATGCCACTAGAACGGTCCTTTTTTAGTTTTTGATTTTTGGCGTTACTAATTTCTTTTGGGAGAGAGAATATTTTCGAGAGTAGGTAAGCTTTACAGATCAAAGTGTCATTTAAAATAGTAGTGCAGCAATCCTTGTTTACCAATTCAAACCACAACTTTTCATGGAGAACTTAAAGAATTCAAATATAAATATAAATGATATATATTTATATATATTGTTGAATATAGGTACAACACAATTATTAAGTATAAATTTAATTTGTATACAAAAATGAAGCTGATGGAGAAGAATTGGAAGCGGAAGATGAGGTGAACTATGATGAATTGATGTTGTAACCGGAACTTAAATACTCTGTTTGACCTCTTTCAGAACCAGTAACATCACCAGACAAGATTGAAAATGATACCGGAGGAGAAAAGTAACTGGCTACTGACATCTTTGATGGAAGAATAGGCGGCGCAACTTCTAAGCTAAGCACTCGAATTATTTGTTGTGTCGAAGGCCTGATCTCGTAATCTGGATGAGCACACCACAACCCAACAATCAACAAGCACTCTATTTGTTTCTCATCAAAATCCCCACACAATTTTGGGTCAGCTGCTTCAATAACTTTCCCTTGTCCATAAAGCTCCCAAACCCACTCTACCATCATGTTTTTACTTGTTCCAAACTCGGGATCAATGGGTTTTCTCCCACAAGCTATCTCCAAAGCAACAACTCCAAAACTGTAAACATCTGTTTCCTTGCTAGCCTTTCCTGTGGTGACACATTCAGGAGCCATGTAACCCATGGTTCCAGCCAGAACAGTGGTTTGTGATTGTTTCCCATGGTCAACAAGTCGAGCCAACCCGAAATCTCCCAGTTTGGCGTTGAAATTCGAATCCAACATGATGTTGCTGGATTTGATATCTCTGTGCAACACACATTGTTCCCATTCTTCGTGTAGATAGAACAATCCAGACGCCAAGCCTTGAGCAATTCTGTACCTTGCCTCCCAAGCTAACAAGCTTTTTCCTTTGAACAAATGGGAATCTAAGCTTCCATTGGACATGAACTCGTAAACAAGTAGGAGTTCTTTCTTTTCGTGGCACCAACCAATGAGTTGCACCAGATTTCGATGCCTAAGTTGACTGATGATCCTTACTTCTGCTGCGTACTCCTTCAGCCCCTGTTTAGACCCACTTGATACCCTCTTAACAGCAACATATGAGTTCAAATCTTTTATGAAGCCTCTGTAAACCCCACCAAACCCTCCCTCTCCAAGCTTCTCTCCATCATCAAAATCATTTGTCGATTGAGCCAATATCTTGTGCGAAAACTTCTTTGGGCCTGTCCCCTTTTCAAATTCGTTATCAATCAGATCGTTGACCATAGGATCTTCATCATTGTCGCTACTTTCCCCTGTTCCCCCCTTCTTCCAAAAAATGAACCAAACCAAACAAAACCCACCAACCAAAAGAACACACCCACCAACAACCAGCCCAACCACAAGTCCAATGTTGATGCCATTTCCTGACTCGGGTTCAACAATGAGGGTCGGCTCAGGAGCTAATGGTGTGTTGTTATTTGTATTCTCATCAATCAGCGATGTCGAATTGAAACTCCATGAGTTGATCTTGTGCAGAGCAGTATAAGAACCTGTTGCAGCAGAGAACCCAACAATCACCCAACCCTGCAAAATCTCATTCAGATCAACCTTGTAATCAAGATACCTGTCAACCCAGACACCATTTTCATAAGTAGTGAAGGTAACGCTAAGATTTTTCGATCCGGAATCATAACGAATCGAAGCACTATTTAATCGTCCCTCTGTAATGCTACCATTCCACGCCTCGGTAACTTTAGACTTGATAGAGTTGACATCAATACCAACATGATCGCTGGCGGGATCATCGACAGACGGCATATCATTACGAAGGATGTCAAACTCCACTGCTACAAACGGGTACAGATTCGTGGACTCCTTTTTTTCCGGGTTTATGACGGGGAGGCCAAGAGCGATGCCGAAGCTTATTGTTCTGTTGAGTGCAGACCCGTTTGGCGCCAAAAAGAAGGCGAGCCCGTCAGCATAAAGTGTGTTGCCTTGCGAGTTGATGGCGAATGTGAAAGTTGTGGTGAAGTCCGCAAGTTTTCCCGTGGCGTTGTCACGGAGGAGGAAGGGTTCGCTATAGGTGGCTCGGCCGACGCTAAAGTGTTTTTCATCATCAACAGCGCCATTGGTGAGTCGGAGGAATTTCCTATCGACGTAAGCATCTCCCTCAAGAGATAGGGTGGTGATGCCATTTGGGAAGGTGGGGAAACTGAAGTTTAATGAGGTTGCACAAGGGGCTAGTAGAAACAAGAGAAGAAGAATGATAACCATTTCTAATTTGCTGGTAAGGTTACAGATCAAATTGTTGCGTCTAAAATAGAACAGAGAGTGTATAGAGAGTTTAATATTTGAAAGTGCTTTAATCAGCAGTTGGTTTCTTACCAATTCAGATCAAAATAATTTTACTTGGACTTGACTCTCTAGCTTGACATGCACTTATTTAATGACTTATTTATTTGTACCGATACAGGATTGCCGTCCTGGTAGAAAAGAATATCATACAAGCCATCCTCATCATAAATAATTTTCCTTGGACATAAATAAGGAATTGAAGAATTCAAGAGTGCTGGTAGTGATGGCATGGGATAGGAGTTGGTTTCTTACCAATTCAAATCAAATATTTCTTTTGCGTGGTTGACGGGGTGAAGTTGATGAATAGACGGGTCATGTAGGACTACAACAAAGTGGGAGCGCCGCCTGCAACAATGTAACTTTTGAGCCGTAGGTAATAATAAAAGTTTGTAAATTCAAACTTAGAATCTCTCTCAAGAAGAGAAATAGCACTAAATTAATAACTAATTGACGAATAAACAAATTTTACTACATATAATCACAGAAGTTTAATAGTTTAGCCTTTCACAAGAGAGGAGACTGTGGGCCCGCTCGTGTCCACCATGGAGGCGCTAGTGAAGGACGACGGCGTCGTTTTGCTCGGGTACCAGTTGAAGTCTCCGGAAGCACGCCAACTGTGAAAATACTTGTAGGATGTCTATATATGCCTAGTGAAGGTTAAACAGGCTAATTCGAATTTTTGCAATAAATAATAATAAACTTTTGTAGCAGGATTGATATGAGATCAATCCTGAAATGTGCAAAGCTTAAAAAGAAAAGAACACATAGAGAATTATTTTACATGGTAAAACCCCACCTTTGGGGAAAACGGGATTCCTCAGTCCAACACAAATCCACTATAGAACGATGATTACAAGAAGTACTCACACACTTATCCTAGACACATTCTAGATAATGTTTACCAACTTCTTCGTAACTCAACTTCTGTCAATGGATGATCTTCGACACTCCTTATGTTGAACGCAATACTGGTCATGATTGCTTCAAGCTCGCCAGAGGAAAACCGCCACAACGATCTTGGTGCCCTCAATCGTATGAGTCACCGAACAATGCAAATGAATGCAATATGAATGATTAAAGTGTTTGATAAATCACCAAGTAAACATGGAACACTTGATGATTTATCTCAAATATATGCACAACAACTTTCTTAGGAATTTCATATGCTCAAAACAAATATCTCAAAGCTGTAAAAAACATGAAAGAATGGCACATGATCTTTTATACAAGACTTGTTCTCTCTGGTTAGAGAGAAGCACAATAGGCCATGAATATTAAAGTTCCAGTAGCACCACAACACAAGAAACACTTATTCTATCCTATCATCAATATGAGATTTGATTCTCTTTGGATTCAAAGTGATGATGCCAGCTTCCACCCTTTTTGGGAGAACAATATCTCCTAAACCAAATTTACTAGGAGATAAGCAACGTGCAAAGTCACAATAGGAAAAGATAATATTTTAACTTAAATTAAAATAGAGTCCAACTAGGAAGGTAATCTCAAGAGATAATGTAACACCCCGACCCCAAATTTATCCCATGTTTTAATTTATTTAAGTGGAATTAAGAATTTACCCGTGGGATAGGGGTATTTTAGTCATTTTCTTACCCGGAAGGAATTTGGGAATTCCGATGTACCGTTGCGTAGAGCACGGCGAGATGAGTTCGTAGACACGTAGTGGGCTCGAATCGGAGTTGTAACGGGAGAGATATGATCAAATGAAGCTCAGTGGCATAATCGTAAATATTTTGAAGTGGGATTTTGGTTAAAAGACGGAATTGCCCCTGTCTCACACACACTCTCTCTCTCCCGCGCGTCGCTCCCTCTCTCCTCGGTTTCGCGACGGCTGGAACAGCCGGCCACGTTTTGGCCGGCCGTGCTCTCGTCCGGCCACCAAAGTCGACGGGGCCGGTACCAAAATGACCGGGCCGCCGTCCTCTTCCTACCCCAGCCAGGTCTCGCCGTCAGCCGTCGAGATTTCGCCGGAAAACCGAAGAGAAAAGCTCGGTTTCGCCCGAAACTTCGCCGACTTCGTTCTCCGTCGTCCGGCCGCCATTTTTGGCGATCAAGGTATGGAAATTCATCCCTTCTGCATGATCTAGCTGATGGTTGGGTTATAAAATGTGTTTTATGCAGGTGGAAATTTTGGGGAATGTTCAATTTACAGGGGAGACTCTGCCGAAATTTGGGCAGAAAGTCTCGTGCCCTAAATCCTCTCTGGTAAAAGAGGACATAGTTTTAAGGAGTGAACCCGGCGTGGGTGTGATGCCGGGGTCTCCGCAGGGTTCGTCTCGGATTCCGGGAAATTCGGGGCGGGTCCTGTCAGCTTGGTATCAGAGCTTAGGTTCAATTTCTTATGGACCCCGCACCTTGTGTGCATCCTTAAGTTATGGGATCATGATGGGTTCCGTCACGGGACGTCATCATTTTGACACGGCGGACTCTTTGACATGGATGGATTTAGGGTATTGATGAGTACACTTAAGGGTGTCACGTTCCTAGAAACGTGTCTATCCAAATTGTCGTATCTCAATATCCTATGGAAGGAAACGGAAGAGCTGAAAGTATTGAATCCGATGAGATGAAATTGTCAGAGGAAGTTGATGGACAAGTTACCAGGGAATGGAGGAGTTGTGAGTCTGACCAAGGAGGGTCGTGACAAATTAAGTTGAGAAGTAGTAGTGTTGGGTGGAGTATCATCTCACTTGCGTGGGTTTGAATGTTGCGATTGACAGGAGTGGAACCTCATGTTGCTAATTCTCGATTGTGTGCAGTGAGCACGAAGTCGAAGATATTAAGAGCTCAACCTTTCTTCGGGAAGAGTGAATTCTCGAAGATTGAATCACTGGATTCATGATCTGAAGGAGGGCTGTAGTATAATCGAAATCACAAGTGTGGAAAAAGATTTAGATAGCCGTATTCCTCTTACGGAAGGAGGCTTGTGTGTGGTGGGAATACCACGAGCAAAACCAAGGATGAGACCTAGATGGATTGGTAAACCTACCGTGGAGATAAATAGGGTGCTTAGGGGTCTCATCTCATGTGAGCACGTTTGAGTAGAAATCTTTCATTCGAATCAGAAATGGGTCATGGTAGAGAGAGAAAGATGATGATTACAATTCGGTAAAAATGATCCTTTTTGACATTCCTCTCAAAGAATCGTGTTGGCAATGTTGCTTATCGATTCTAAAGAAAGAAGGAAGATATCAACAAGTCAAGGAGTTTGGACTTCTCTTCGTGGGAGAGCTAGAAGAGAATCAAATCACAAATGGAATGACTTGGCTGCCAACTTGGTTGTGGAGGATGAAGCATGGGAACCCGAGCAGTAGATGCGGGCCCAGTACCCACACCCTTTGGAGTGGCAGGTATGAAATTTCGGGGACGAAATTTTTATAAGGGGGGTAGTATGTAACACCCCGACCCCAAATTTATCCCATGTTTTAATTTATTTAAGTGGAATTAAGAATTTACCCGTGGGATAGGGGTATTTTAGTCATTTTCTTACCCGGAAGGAATTTGGGAATTCCGGATGTACCGTTGCGTAGAGCACGGCGAGATGAGTTCGTAGACACGTAGTGGGCTCGAATCGGAGTTGTAACGGGAGAGATATGATCAAATGAAGCTCAGTGGCATAATCGTAAATATTTTGAAGTGGGATTTTGGTTAAAAGACGGAATTGCCCCCGTCTCACACACACTCTCTCTCTCTCCCGCGCGTCTCTCCCTCTCTCCTCGGTTTCGCGACGGCTGGAACAGCCGGCCACGTTTTGGCCGGCCGTGCTCTCGTCCGGCCACCAAAGTCGACGGGGCCGGTACCAAAATGACCGGGCCGCCGTCCTCTTCCTACCCCAGCCAGGTCTCGCTGTCAGCCATCGAGATTTCGCCGGAAAATCGAAGAGAAAAGCTCGGTTTCGCCCGAAACTTCGCCGACTTCGTTCTTCGTCGTCCGGCCGCCATTTTTGGCGATCAAGGTATGGAAATTCATCCCTTCTGCATGATCTAGCTGATGGTTGGGTTATAAAATGTGTTTTATGCAGGTGGAAATTTTGGGGAATGTTCAATTTACAGGGGAGACTCTGCCGAAATTTGGGCAGAAAGTCTCGTGCCCTAAATCCTCTCTGGTAAAAGAGGACATAGTTTTAAGGAGTGAACCCGGCGTGGGTGTGATGCCGGGGTCTCCGCAGGGTTCGTCTCGGATTCCGGGAAATTCGGGGCGGGTCCTGTCAGATAAAATCCAATCCTATTAAAAATAAGATTAACATAAAAATACTTGAGTGAAATAACTCCAACTAGGAATCCTATAATGAATGCATGATTATATCATGATTTACTTGAAGTCAAGTTTCTCATATCGGTCAAGTCATGCCTCGGATGTATGGGGTTGAATGAGTTGTGCCAAAACGTCTAGTAACAATTCTTCACACACTAATTTTCAACCTATGCTAGAGTCTAGGAAATGACAACACTATTTTCATACTAACAATCTCCCCCTTTGGCATTTCCTAGACAAAATACCTATTACAACTCAAAAGACATTGTATGGGATTTAACAAATGAAATCCTATTCTAAACTCAAAGCCTTGAATCCCTGCACATTATGAAACAACAAACCAATAAAGCATGTGGGAGAAGAAATGTAATTAAAAGAAAAATTACAACACAACTCCCCCTTAATTCCACAACACAATCTCTCCCCCTTTATATCATAATTTCACATAGTGATCTCTCCCCTTTTTTGTCAGGAAATCCAAAGGGCAAGGAAATAACATAAAGGAGCATATATAAGAGGAAAAAAATCAGATCACAATCCCAACATATAAAGGTGTAGAGATTAACCAATGATGCATGTAAGGGGCTTTATCTTGTTGAGTGACAGCGAGCAATAACCTCACCGATTCCAGATGTGCAATTGGTGAAAAAGTCTCATCTTTTCATAGCCAAGATCCATTAATCACCTACAAGAGCAACATACACAATTAGGTTCAATCATATAAACAATATATGATACTTACCTCTTTAGTTGCAAGTCTTATGCTCTTCATTGTGTCATACATGTGGATGTGCCATAGGTATGCAACAGAAAGGATTGATAATGACATTGCAATCCTCAGATTCAGTTTATCATGTGTGTGTCTTAGTAACATGAAGCAGAGCCTAGCTGCATAACTAAACAGAAAGCATAAATGACACTATGTTTGAAAACAAAAAGAAACTCGTTTTTTTTGGGGGGGTTCTTTTTTGGGTTGGGGGGGGGGGGGGGGGGGGGGGGGAGGAGTAAAAAACAAAGAAAAACAAAAGGAAAAAAAAAAGGGAATTAAAGGAATTAAAGGCTCAAAACATAACAAAAAACAAAAACAACACACTTAAGACAGAAGGCTCAAAACAACCAAGATATGGAACACACTTTAGATGCAGACCCAAAGCTCTCTGGAAGATGTAATTATTTTCCATTCATAAACATGCCAAGTATGTGAGCAAGAAGAGACAGTAGTAGCAGACCCCACGCTGTCTAAAACGCATAAGAAGCAAAGCATGGCAGGGACAAAAGCAAGCCACCACATGAAATGCACAAACTCACAGATAATCAAAGAGGCATACCACATGCATGGTGAAAAATAAACATCACCAAATGAGTCTACCATCAGGACGCAAAGGTGTGAAGTGAACTCCTTTCAATTAAGCACAAAAAAATATGTCCACCCAAGACTGATCCCACCAAAGATGACACAGACACTAAGTGCATTGTAAGTATAAGAAAATCAGTTTATTTGATACCTGAATTGTATATATATATATATATATATATATTTTTTTTCAATTTTGGTGGCTTACTTTATTAAGCTTTCGACATGATCCATGTAACAGATGGTCAATCAGTGTGCTCACGTCAGATGACTGGAAGCAACTGGGTGATAAAGCACCCTTGGGGAAATGCTGATCCGAATCATGAAGACTCCAAAGATAAGCAAGGATAGCAGACAATCACAACCTGTTGACTCGAACCTCGACGTTGGTTAGACAAGAGTCCCGGTTACTGAGCAATGAGAAGTCACCACCTTTTTATTTATTTTTTATTTAAATATATATTTTTTGATATAAGTATTTAACCATATCAAGAACTTACGCACAATAGTGTTGTGGCAATCCAAAGAGAGACAAGTGCATGAGTAGAAATATTCAAGGGGCTTCAGGGAAAAGAGTGTGGTGTGCGGAAAAAAAAAACAAAAAAGTAGATGGATAGATCATTTAATGAAGTTTATAATGCACCAAGACAATGGAAACCTTTGTGGGAAGCTGTGAGTGTGTGTCTTCAATGGAATGCAGTACCAGAGCCCAATCTAAGATTAGCAAATACGTTCAGACAACTATAGGATTGATACGACCTTACAATCCTTGCACGAGCTGGACAGATTTATAAAAATAGAAAGTAATTTAAATATCATACAGCAAGAATAGGCTTTGGCATGCAGTAGACTCCGAATTAATCTAGAGCACAGATACCTAAAGACTTTCTAAGAGTGTCAAATTGAAGATTATCCAAAGGTTTTTCAACACGACATGTAAGATCCAAATTTTCTAAAGCAACGGGTTCATGCACAACATTAGTGGAGGCCAACATACAATTATAATTTTCTTTTTTCCTCCAAACTAACCTTGTCTTAGTTGATGGCAAATGATGAAAAACAGATAGTTTTGATAAGCGCTTTACCTCTTTCATAAGATTTGAAATCTTATGTTGGATACTTACTTTTCCACCCATGGCATGAGAATTTTAACTAACAAATTCGTTTCGAAGCTTATTGCATCTTGGTCTTATGTGCCCACGAGTTCCACAAAAGTGACAAATTGGAATGAATTTCTTAACTTCATGAGCGGCAGAAAGTTCAATAGATGAAGAGGATTTGACAAACTTTGTTTTAGACACAGCGGAAGACTTATTACTTGGTTCAAATCCCAAGCCTCGTTTGTCACCATCTCTTCTTCCCATGCTAATCATCTTGTCAATTTTTTATGCACCAATGGTTAAAGAAACAATCCTTTCCTTTGAATTTTTAAGTTCAAGTTCAAGGGCTTTGTTGTCAGAAGTTAGAGATGCAATTAATTTATTATGATCAGTCAATTTTTTGTGCAAAAACATCAATTTTTCGTTCATACCTGCACTTACCTTTTTGGAATCTGTGTCAGGGGATTGAAACTCGTTTGCAATCCTGCAATTTTCCAGCTTCAGCACAGCAACTTCTTTGACAAGTTCACTATTTTGTTTACTTTGCTTCTGAGAGGCAGCCAACAAATCATCATATTTGTTCATGATAAACTCAATATTTATATCTTTACAATCATCATCCTCATGTGATTCATCCAAGCTAATTGTGGTTATGAGTGCAACCGCCTTTTCATCATTCTCACATTCCGATTCACTATCACTCCAAGTAGTATGCATTGCCTTATTCTTGCCATCCTTTTGTTTCTTTAAGGTGTTGGCACATTCTGAAGATATGTGTCCATAGCCTTCACATTCGAAACATTGGACATTTTCTCTTGGATTCTTTCATTCATTTGACCTGCGAAATTTAGACCCACCATCAGTATAATTAACAGACCTATTTTTAGAATTTATACCTTTTGAATCTCGACTCCTTATATCCTGATTCTTAAGAAAGTTCATGAATCGTCTTGTGAGAATCGTTAATTCCTCATCACTATAATCTTCATTTGAATGCCCTTCATCTTCTTCATTCACAACCTTGAACGCAACATTTTTGCTCTTTTTAGGAGCTAGATGTTTCATCTCATAGGTTTGTATGGACCCTATGAGTTCTTGAACTTTCAAGGTGTTCAAGTCACAGATCTCTTCTAGAATGAGAGATGATGAATCTTTGTCTGCCTACATTACAAAATTGTTTGATGTGATTAACCAAATGCGTAGCTATGGAGAGGTATTGTCTAAAGAAAGAGTAGTACATAAATTATTAATTAGCTTGCCATCTGCCTATGACTCTATCTGCTCAGTTATTGAACACTCGAGAGATCTAAATGAAATTGAGGTGCAGGAGGTAGTAGCCTCACTAAAGAATTTTGAGTTGAGGTTAGATAGACATTCTGAAAACAGAAAAGAGAAGGCATTTGCTAGCTTAGTGTAGATGCTAAACCGGTTAAAACTGGAGATCAGAACAATAGGCAGCATAAGAATTAGAAATCAAAAGGCAAGAAGTGGGATAACAAGACAAGTGAAGGCACTAAAACTCCCTGCAAGCACTGTGGTAAGTTACACTTTGGTGAGTGTCGATTCAAGGGCAAACCAAAGTGTTATAACTGTGATAAGCTTGGCCACATTGCAAAAGACTGCTATACCAAGAAAACAACACAGCAGGTTAACTATGCTACTCAAGTGGAAGCTGCACAAACTATGTTCTATGCTAGCAATGCAATTGGTGCTGGCATAACAAGGGATGAAGAAGTTTGGTATTTGGACAGTGGGTGTAGTAATCACATGACAGGAAAAGAGGATCTGCTGGTGGATATTGACATAAATGTGACTGCAAAGGTTGAAATGGGAACTGGACAGCGTGTAGAAGTGACTGGCAAAGGCACACTTGTGGTTGAAACCAAAGTAGGCAAGAGATATATCAAAGAAATAATGCTGGTACCTGGACTGAAAGAGAACTTGCTTAGTGTGGGTCAGATGATAGAGCATGGCTACTATTTGGTATTTGGAAATCACAAGGTGGAAATCTACAATGACAGCTCTCTCTCAAATCTGGTTGCAAAGGTACAAATGAGAGGTAATAGAAGTTTTCCCATGAAACTGCAGGCTGAAATGCACTTAGCTTATAAAGCAAGTGTAGATCATTCTACTGAACTTTGGCATAGAAGGTTTGGACATCTCAACATGAGAAGTCTGAAATTGTTGAAAGAACAAGATATGGTAGTAGGACTGCCAGAAATTAAAGGGATTAAAGAGGTGTGTGAGGGGTGTGTTCTAGGCAAGCAGTGTAGAGAAGCATTTCCAAGAGAGGCTACCACTAGAGCACTAACTCCACTAGAACTCATTCACAGTGACATCTGTGGTCCTATGCAGACAGTTACCAAAGCTGGAAATCGGTTCTTTCTCACTTTCATAGACGATTGCACAAGGATGTGTTGGGTCTATTTCTTAAGACACAAGTCTGAAGCTCTAACTGTGTTTAAGAAATTCAAAGCCACTGTGGAATTGCAAAGTGGTTATAAACTGAAAAAGTTGAGAAGTGATAGAGGGGGAGAATACACTTCAGTGGAGTTTGACAGTTTCTGTGAAGATGTAGGAATTGAAAGATAGCTTACAACCTCATACACACCACAGCAAAATGGTGTGGCATAGAGAAAAAATAGAACTATAGTAGAAATGGCCAAGTGTTTGATGTTGGAGAAGAAAATTCCATTTGATTTTTGGGCTGAGGCAGTCAACATATCTGTGTATATTTTGAATAAGTGTCCAACTAAAGCCTTGAGCAAAAAGACACCATTCGAAGCCTATAGTGGAAGGAAACCAGGGGTTAAGCATCTAAAGGTATTTGGCTCACTATGTTATGCTCATGTACCAAAACAACAAAGACAGAAATTAGATCTTGCAAGCAAGAGGTGTATCTTCCTGGGTATGGCAGCTGTGAGAAAGGATATAGGCTGTATAATATTGAAACTGAAAAGGTGATTGTTTCAAGAGATGTAATATTTAGTGAAAACGTGTGTTAGGATTGGAATGCAAAGAAGGAAACTGGTGTGAACATTCAGCTCACTGGAATCCGAGAAGAAGAACAAGGAGAAGAAGGGAGTTCTTGTGAATTTGAAGAACAATTGGAAGTGAATGAGGTGCCTAGCTTAAACACTAGAAACAGTGATCAAGAAAGGGTCACAGGTCCGCAGGATGTTGATCATACTCCTCTCAAATACAAGAGCATTGCAGAAATTTATGAAAAATGCAATATGTGCATTATAGAACCAGAAAGTTTTGAAGAGGCAGCAAAGGATGACTCTTGGAAGAAAGCAATGGAAGATGAAATCACTATGATTGAAAAGAACAATACATGGGAACTTGTGGATAGACCATTTGATAAACCAATCATTGGAGTCAAATGGGTCTATAAGACTAAACTGAACCTAAATGGATCTATGCAAAATAATAAGGTTCGGCTGGTTGCAAAGGGTTATTCGCAGAAGCCTGGAATAGACTTCAATGAGACCTTTGCACCAGTGGCTCAGCTTGACACTATGACAGCTTTGGTAGCATTAGCTGCATAGAAGAATTGGAAGCTTTTCCAATTAGATGTGAAATCCGCTTTTCTCAATGGAGTACTAAGTGAAGAGGTGTATGTGGATCAACCATCCGGCTTTGTGATACAAGGAAGTGAAGATAAGGTGTATAGGCTTAAGAAGGCTTTGTATGGTTTGAAGCAAGCTCCAAGAGCTTGGTACGAAAAGATAAATTCCTATTTTACTAGAGCTGGTTTTCATAAGAGCTTGAGTGAAGCTACTTTATACACTAAGAGGTCTACAAGTGGTATTCTTATTGTGTCACTCTATGTAGATGATATTATCTATACAAGGAGCTCAAAGGAGATGATGCTTGAATTTAAGAATGAGTTGATGAGACAATATGAGATGACAGATCTTGGATTGCTTCATCACTTTCTCGGCCTTGGGGTTTTACAAACTGACACTTGCATTTTTCTTGCATCAGAAGAAATATGCAAAGACTTTGCTGGACAAGTTTGGACTCAAGGACTGCAAATCGGTTGCAACACCATTGGCAGTGAATGAAAGGTTGTCTAAAGTGGATGGGAGTGACTTAGCTGATGAGACTTTGTATAGACAAATGGTAGGAAGCTTGCTCTATCTAACCGCAACAAGACCGGAAATTATGTTTGCAGCTAGTCTTTTGGCCAGATTCATGCCCAATCCTACCAAGAAGCACATGGGAACAGCGAAAAGGGTGCTAAGATATATACAAGGTACTATAAGCTATGGCATTGCTTATGAGAAAGGAAAAGGAGCTGTGTTAATTGGCTATTGTGACAACGATTGGAGTAGTAGTGAAGATGATATGCGAAGCACATCAGGCTATGCATTTAACTTGGGGTCAGGAGTGTTTTCTTGGGCCTCAATTAAGCAAAGCAGTGTGGCTCTCTCCACTGCAGAGGCAGAATACATGAGCGCAGCAGAAGCAACCACTCAAGCTGTTTGGCTCAGATTTGTGCTATCGGATTTTGGTGAAGAAGAGGTAGAACCAACTCAGTTGTTGTGTGACAACACTTCGGCTATTGCTATATCAAAGAATCCGGTTCATCACCACAAAACCAGACACATCAATCGCAGGTTTCATTTCATTCGAGATGCTCTTCAAAATGGTGAGATTGATTTGCTTTATTGCAAAACTGAAGAACAGGTTGCTGATATATTAACCAAGCCACTAGCAAGGGATCGATATGAGTATCTAAGGAAGGCTTTAGGTGTTATCTCAGCACAACACTTAGAAGGGGGTGTTAGCTTATAAGTGTAGCTGCTGAGATAGATTTATTATTCTAAGTTTGAAAATGTAGCCGTTGGATAACAGTCCAACTGTGCAGCTAGGATGTAATAGTGTATGCCACGTGTCTCTATCTCATAGGTTAGTGAATGAATGGCTAAGATTTAAATGATGTAAGAGGAATGTGCTATTCCTAAAGGTTTTGTCAGAAGGCAATATACGCATGAATTGTTTAGAGCTGAGCTAGTATCCAACTAGCTCTTCTTCTTCCCCAAGTTTTCTCTCTTGCTCTCAGATAGCTCTCATTTTCTCATCTAAGAGTCAAAATACAAGATAATGGTCTTGATATTCTAATTCCGGTTCATCAAGTGAAATGTTTGCAATTTCAAGCACACCTGCATTTTCCATGTTCATAGTATCAAATCCATCCCACCAACATCCCACATCCTAGTCTCACCTTCTTTGTAAACCAACATCTTTCTTGACAGAAAACGAAGATTATTATGCACAAACACCAAATCTTCGGCTCTTTGTGGTGCTATCTTGTTCCTCCTAAAATAATGTACAAAATTATATATACTTCAATTTCTTTCACAACAAGAGAAGGAACAAGGTTGACCAAATAACTTCAAAGCCAAACGTTGAATGAATGGAGAAAAAGCTCCATAGAGAATCCACCATTTCACCGGTTGCATATGATCTCTATCAATTAAAGAATCTGTACTTGAAAAATGGTCAATTCCACCCGAAAAAGTGACATCTCCTCTCCGGCTTTCATTCTCTCCAAATCATTAGGAAATAGCCTCTAGCTTTCGTTCACAATATGAGATAGAGATAGAGGGAGATAAAGAGGTCAGGTCAGCCAACACGAAGAAGAGATTAGATGATGCGGCTGCTGGCTGTAAAGGTGTTGAGGTAGCACACTTTTTAAAATTATTTCAAATATGTCCAGAAATGTTTCAATAATCAAGTTTTGACCCCAGTGTTTATTTTAAAATTTTCAAAATGGTTCCTGCCATGTCTTGACTTCAGTTGACCGTATCCAAAAGTGTCTTAACCATTGACCCATGTCCAAGCCGTGTCCGAGGCGTGTCTGGGTGTCTTAGGCGTGGGCGCTTGTCCGCGTGACACTTTAGCCTGATGGAGTCTCTGTGCTATATAAGGTGGGGGCTAAACTTTAAACTAAACAAAAATGAAAGGGAATGAATCAACACTATTAAAATTTTAATTAGTTGACATCACTACTACATGTTACACTTTGCACGACGAAGAAAATTTTGTCACGCAAAATACATTGTAGTCACACAAATTTTAGCGCTACAGAAACTTCGTCGTGCAAAGATCGTAAAGAAAGACTTTGCGCGACAAAAAATATTTGTCGCACAAAGCGACTTTGAGTGACGAAAATATTGGTCGCACAAAGCGACTTTGCGCGACGAAAAAATATTGACTTTGCGCGAAGAAAAAATATTGGTCGCGCAAAGTGACTTTGCGCGACGAAAGACTTTGGTCGCGCAAAGTTTTGTGCAACGAAAAAATGTATAAAAAAAATTTCCACGTCCCATTTTTGGTAGCCGCCCAAATTTTTAGAGTTTTGAGAGATGAATATTAATGTCGCGCAAATATTTGCACGACAAAATATTTTGGTTTTTGACTTTTGTTTTATTATTTATTTAATATTAATTTAATTATATTAATTATTTCGAATTTTTAATTTTTAAATTTAATTTAATTGTATGATTTTTTTCGTTACTTTAATTTAAATTGATATTAATTTATTCAAATTTTTACTTTTTGAATTTAATTTCATTACTTTAATTTAAATTGACATATTCAAAATAAAATTACATATGAAAAATAGTGATCAAATTATCCAATAAATATATATATAATATTCAAAATGTACACATAAATTAACAAAGTACAATAAATAAAAAAAGGGATAATCTCCCCTAAAATTGTTATACCACAAATCCAACCCAAACTCCAATCCCTCCCCTTTACTCAACCCCAAACCCCATACAAACTCAAAACTAACTCCAAAAACACATATGAATGAAAACAAATTTAAAATTTGGAGAGAATCTACCTTTTGGCAAGATTGAGAGTGAGTGAGAATGAGAGAGAGAAGTGAGTGTGAGAGAATTAGAGAAGATAGTGATAGAGAGATGAGAGAGTGAGTGAGAGTGAGAGATAGTGAAAAGAGAGATGAGAGAGTGAGTGAGAGTGAGAGATAGTGAAGAGAGAGATGATGAGAGATTAAGTGAGAGGAGTGAGTGTGAGAGAAATGGTGGGATTTGGGGAGAGGGAAAGAGAGAGGAGAGGTAAGAGTAGAGAAAGACATTGAGAAAATAGTGGAGGAGTTATTTTCATTTTAAAAACCGTATCACTTTACGCGACGAACGATATTGTTGGTCGCGCAAAGTTTTGTGCGACGAAAAATATAGGAGTATTGGTCGCGCAAAGTTTTGCGCGACGAATATTAGTATATTGGTGGCGCAAAGTCAAAAAAAGAAAATTCCACGTCCCATTTTTGGTACCCTACCAAATTTTGAAATTTTTGCGCGACAAAAAATACATATTGGTCGCGCAAAGCCTAAAAAAATTATATAAAAAAATTCCCGCATCCCATTTTTGGTACCCGCCAAATTTTTGCGCGATGAAAAATATATATTGGTAGCAAAGAAAAAAAAAAAAAAAAAAAAAAAAAAAAAAAAATTCCGCGTCCCATTTTTGGTACCCACCCAAATTTTTAGAGTTTTGCGCGACGAATTGTTGGTTGCGCAAACTTTTGAGAGACGAAAAATTGGTTTGTAGCACGATATTTATAAAAATAATTGTTATGAATAATAAAAAATAAAATTATTTTTTTTACGATTTAAAATATAAATAAGGTTAAAGCTACTTAATAAATGTATATACCAATTTCTTAAGTGTTATATGTACAAAATAAATAAATTTAAAGATACTTAATAAGTAAATAAATATATATATATATACACACACACCATTCAACGATCCAACTGTCAGACTTGTTTGTATATACTTCAAGATCGTATACCCCAAAAATCGCAAAAAACAAACATTCGGAGACCTAGTAACGGGACAAAAAATTTCAATGGTTCTAAATGAAAAATCACGATTTAACAGTTATTTTAACTCCGATTTTGATGAGTTTTTTACAGCTACACTCCTTGACCCTATATGAATACAATGAACTAATTCGATCGTCAATTTAAAATATTTACACTAGTGGATACCACAAAATCTTATGTTATATTTAACAAAAGTATAAATAAACTCTTAATTTTTAGTGAATATATTGTTTTGATGGCATACGCATTCAACAAAACTAATTTCAACGATCCAACCGTCAAACTTATTTGTTTATACTTCGAGATCATATACGCCAAAAATCGCAAAAAATAAACATTCAGAGATCAAGTAACGGGACAAAAAATTTCAACGGTTATGAATGAAAAATCACGATTCAACGGTTATTTTAACTCTGCTTTTGATGATTTTTTACAGCTACACTCCTTGACCCTATATGAATACAATGAACTAATTCGATCGTCAATTTAAAATATTTACACTAGTGGATACCACAAAATCTTATGTTATATTTAACAAAAGTATAAATAAACTCTTAATTGTTAGTGAATATATTGTTTTGATGGCATACGCATTCTACGAAACTAGTTTGAACGATCCAACCGTCAAACTTGTTTGTTTATACTTCGAGATCATATACGCCAAAAATCGGAAAAAATAAACATTCAGAGATCAAGTAATGGGACAAAACTTTTTGACGGTTATAAATGAAAAATCACGATTTAACGGTTATTTTAACTCCGATTTTGATGGTTTTTTATAGCTACACTCTTTGACCCTATATGAATACAATGAACTAATTCGATCGTCAATTTAAAAGGGATATTTTCTAACAAAAACCCAATCCAAACAACAATAATATATTTTTCTAACAAAGATTTTAAAAATTAATTTTTTAATTTTATTTATTTTTATAAGGACTTTGCGCGACAAATTTTTTTTCGTTGCACAAAGTCGCTTTGCGCGACGATTTTGTTTTCGTCGCGCAAAGTCACTTTGAGCGACGAATTATTTTTCGTCGCGCAAGGTTTTTAGTGACGAAGTTTTGAGTTTCGTCACGCAAAGTGACGTTGGGCGACGAATAATTTTTCGTTGCGCAAGGGGTATTTTGTAGTAGTGCATGGACCTTGTAGGGGGTTCATTACGTTAGTTAAGTCAGTTATTTTGGACAGCAACCCTATTATTTCCTTCATCAGCAATGCGACAATATCACAATACAATACAAAAACATCTTGAAAAAAAAATGCAGCGTTATCACAAATATTAACTTAGGTCTGCTGTGCGCACTGAAGTATTGTTGATGGTCACAAATATTGTTGTAGAAGATGGGGTGATTGAGAGGACTTGGTGATTTCTTGAGGACCTGTTTGACCTCTTTCAGAACGAATAGTTTCACTGAGCAATGTTGAAAGTAATCTAGGAGGAGCAAAATATGTGGCCACCGGCATCTTTGATGGGAGAATGGGCAGTGGAACTTCCAAGTTAAGCGCTTGAATCACTTGTTGTACTGAAGGTCTGAATTTATAATCCGAGTGTGCACACCACAATCCAACAATCATCAAGCACTCCATTGATTTCTTATCAAACTCTCCATTGAGTTTTGGATCGGCTGCTTGAATAACTTTGCCTTCTCCATAAAGCTCCCAAACCCACTTCACCAGTTCGATTTGGCTACTTTCTAAGTTGAAATCAATCAGTTTACTCTCGCAGACTATTTCCAAAGCAACAACTCCAAAGCTGTAGACATCTGATTCTTTGCTAGCTTTTCCTGTAGTAACATATTCTAGAGCCATGTAGCCTCTCGTTCCAGCTATAATTGTTGTTTGTGACTTTTCTCCTTGGTCCGCGAGTCGAGCTAACCCGAAATCCCCGAGTTTCACATTGAAAATTTGAATCCAACATAACATTGCTAGACTTGATATCCCTGTGCAACACACAGTACTGTTCCTATTCTTCATGTAGATAAAATAAGGCAAAGGCCAAACCTTGATCAATATTGTATCTTACCTGCCAAGTTAACAATCTTTTTTCTTTGAAAAAATGGGAATCTAAACTACAATTGGGCATGAAGTCATAGACGAGCAGTAGCTCTCTTTTTTCGTGGCACCAACCAGTGAGTTGCACCAAATTTCGATGCCTAAGTAACTGATGATCCTCACTTCTGATGCATACTCCTTCAAACCTTGCTTAGATCTGCTGGATATCCTCTTAACCGCAACATATGAGTAGTCTTTTATGAAGTCTCTATAAACCCTACCAAATCCTCCCTCTCCCAGCTTCTCTCCCTCCTCAAAATTACTCGTTGCTCGAACCAACTCACGGTATGAAAACTTCCTAGGGTCAGTCCCCTTTTCAAGTTTCTCATGAATCAGTTTATTAACAAAAGGGTTCTCATCACGTTCCCCTGCTGCTCTCAGTCACAGACAAGTGCTTTTCATTGACGAATACACTGGTTTTATGTGGTTATATCCTCTCTATGCCAAGTCTGAGGTGTTTACAATGTTTACCAGATTGGTTGCTTTTCTTGCAACTCATTTTAATGCCTCCATTAAGTTTTTTCAAAGTGATGGTGGTGGTGAATATATGAGTACTCAATTCAATTAGTTTCTCGCATCTCATGGGATTGTCCATCAATTTTCTTGCCCTTACACACCCCGACAGAATGGACTCATTGAGCGAAAGAATCACCACTTATTATCGCATGCATAGTAAAGTGCTTTCCAATCAATCTCCATATTATAGGCTTCTTCCTAAGCATCCTGATATAAGACACCTCTGTGTCTTTGTTACTGCTATCTACAGTGGCGGATCCAGGAATTTTCATTCCCGGGGTCAATGTGTAAAAGGTTAAAAAAAATTTATACAAAATAGACTCATCGAAATGAAACGATAATATTTTAATTCATAGTTAATAGATAAAACCATAAAAAATACTCATGTTCATTATCAAAGAGAATTGCATCTCTTCATCTCAAATCCTTATCTGTCTCTTCTTGATACAATAGTTTGTAAGACAACCAGTTCAGCAAAGTCTCGATTTTTCTTTTTTAGTGCTTCTATATGTCGGTTTGCATGTTTGAGGAGCCTATGCAATTCAGCAACTTCATCCTTCAAGGATGCGACTTGAACAGTCAATGTGGCACACTCTTGGTTCCTTGCTATAGCAGACGAAATCCTACATTTGCTATCGAAGCAGCACCGTGAGCATTGAAAAAATTGGTATCTTTCATTGCAGTCTTGTCAGACCTCCTTGCCATTACCAAGTTTGCATATGGTGTAAGCAAAAAGAAAAATGGAAAATAAAAACTAAACACAAAGTAAAGAGCAAAAGGAACAAATATATATATATATACAAAAATAAAAAAATTAAATATAAAATAAGAGAAAAAAAAGAAAAAAAAAAAAAAAAAAAAAAAAAAAAAGAAAAGAATATATTTCATATGAATTATCTAATGTATTGGGGATTGTGGGGTTTATCGGGTAGTAGCAGGTTGCTGCCTCTTGTTTTTTAAATATGTTTTTAAAAAGTAAAAAAACTTAAACGAACGGTGTCGTTTCAAGGTGAAGCAAAAGATGAAAAAAAAAATAGCGCAGATCTGCTTGCTGCGCTGAAGGTGCTGCTCTCCTTTCAGGCATTTCCTCAAACAGATGGAGGGTATGAATTGCCCAGCCATCCAGCCCTTGCAGGGGTCAATTTTCTTTCCTCATGAGGCGGATTCAAGGGTTGCGGGGGTCAATTGACCACCCTTGCTCCTCCGTGGATCCGCCCCTGGCTGTCTATCCATGTTTAAGAGCCACTAATACTACTAAGCTTCAACCTCGCACTGCTATATGTGTTTTCATGGGATATCTACTGGGCTATAAAGGAGTGTTATGTTACAATTGTTCTAATGGCAAATTCTTGGTGTCTTGAAATGTTATTCATGATGAAACTATTTTTCCTTTCAAGCACCGCATATCTTTGACTACCTCACCCTGTTCTACTTCAACAGTTCTATCACCTATTCCTATTATGTTAACTACATTTGCTACATCACCTTCAGTGCTCGCATCTCATAGTTCCTCTAGTGCTCCTAGTATTACACCTCCAGAATTGTTAGCCTCTCTTGAGCTATTTCAGCCTGTGCCTTATATACTAGTTCTGTCTGAGCAGCAATTACAAGTTCTTCTACCTTCTATTGATTCTATTAGTTCTTTTTCTACTACTTCTGTGCAACCAAGTGTTCCTGTTGAATCTGCTCCGGCAGGCCCTTCTCATTCTATGCTTACTCGGTCCAAAACTGGGGTTGTTATGGATGAACTTTCTAGCTATCGTGTTGCTTCTTTTTTGGCTGATTGGACCAAGGCCATGGACGAAGAGATTTCAGCATTACAGATGCAAGGTACCTGGGTGTTGGTACCTCCTCCTGCTAATACAAACATTGTTGGTTCAAAATGGATTTATAAGTTAAAAAGGCACTCTGATGGTTCCATTTCTAGATATAAAGCACGCCTAGTTGCTCAGGGTTTTAGTCTAGAGGCTGGTTTTGATTATGAAGAGACATTTAGCCCAATTGTTTGTCATGCTACAATTCGTATCATTCTCAGTTTGGCAGGTTACAATCATTGGTCTCTTCACCAATTGGATGTAAAGAACACCTTCTTACATGGGGAACTTGAGGAGGAAGTATACATGAAGCAACCTCAGGGGTTCGAAGATCCTCACCATCCTGACTATGTTTGTAAACTTCAGAAGTCATTGTATGGTTTAAAACAGGCTCCAAGAGCCTGGAATGCTAAGTTCACTGGTTTTCTTCCATCGCTTGGGTTCAAGATGTCTCACAGTGATCCCAGTTTATTCTTGAAGTATTCAGACTCCTGCTATTGTGGTTTTGTTACTCTATGTCGACAATATTATTCTCACTGGATCAAATCCACATATCGTTCAGGAGGTAATCACAGTGCTTGGTCAGTGTTTGAGCTTAAGGATATGGGCATACTTACTTATTTCCTTGGTCTTCAGATTTCCTATAAGTTTAATGGAGACATCTTTGTCAGTCAACAAAAATAAGCTACTGATTTGTTAGGAAAGTCTGGGATGAGTTCTTGTAAACCCTGTCCTACACCTCTGAAACCTCACATAGAGATTTTACTCACTGATGGTATCCCTTTGAAGGATCCAAAACAGTATCGTAGCATTGTTGGTGCTTTACAGTACCTTACCTTTACAAGGCCCGACATTGCCCATTTTGTTAATATGGTCGGTCAATTCATGAATAATCCTACCAAGCATCATTTCTTCTTGGTGAAACGCATTCTGCGTTATCTACAGGGCACACTCAGGTATGGTTTTACTTATTCTGCTTCAGGTCCCTTTCTCTTATCTGCTTATAGCGATTCTGACTGGGCGGGTGATATTAACACTTGCAGATTAACACTTGCATACAATTGAAAGATAAATTCCAAAAGATTTTAATACAGTTTATCACAATTATTAACTTAGACTTATTGTGGAGACTGAAATGTTGTTGATGGAGACGAATTTTGTTGTAGAAGATGAGGTGAATTGTGAGGAATCGGTGTTATAACCGTGTCGTGAGACTCAGTTTGACCTCTTTCAGAACTAGTAGTGTCAGTGGTCACCGTAGAGAGTGATGTTGGAGGAGCAAAATAGGTGGCCACCGGCATCTTGGATGGGAGAATAGGCAATGGAACTTCAAACTTAAGAACTTGGATCGCTTGTTGTATTGAAGGTCTGAATTTATAATCCGGATGAGCACACCACAACCCAACTATCATCAAGCACTCCATTTGTTTCTCATCAAAATGTCCACAAAGTTTCGGATCAGCTGCTTGAATAAGTGTGCCTTCTCCATAAAGCTCCCACACCCACTCCACCATTTCGATTTGGCCACTTTCTAAACTGAGATCGATGGGTTTCCTCCCGCAAGCAATTTCCAAAGCAACAACTCCAAAGCTGTAGATATCGGATTCCTTGCTAGCCTTTCCTGTGGTAACGTATTCCAGAGCCATGTAACCCCTGGTTCCAGCCACAATTGTTGTTTGTGACTGTTTTCCGTGGTCCACAAGTCGAGCTAACCCGAAATCCCCAAGTTTTGCATTGAAATTTGAATCCAACATAACGTTGCTGGACTTGATATCCCTGTGCAGCACACACTGTTCCCATTCTTCATGTAGATAAAATAACCCAGAGGCCAAACCTTGAGCAATACTGTATCTTATCTGCCAAGTTAACAAGCCTTTTTCTTTGAAAAGATGAGAATCTAAACTGCCGTTGGGCATGAAATCATAGACAAGCATGAGTTCTTGTTTTTCATGGCACCAACCAATGAGTTGCACCAGATTTCGATGCCTAAGTCGACTGATGATCCTTACTTCTGCTGCGTACTCCTTCAGCCCCTGTCTAGACCCACTTGATACCCTCTTAACAGCAACATATGAGTTCAAATCTTTTACGAAGCCTCTGTAAACCCCACCAAACCCTCCCTCTCCAAGCTTCTCTCCCTCGTCAAAATCATTTGTCGATTGAGCCAATATCTTGTACGAAAACTTCTTCGGGCCTGTCCCCTTTTTGAATTCCTCATCAATCGGATCTTCATCATTGTCGCTACTTTCCCCTGTTCCCCTCTTCTTCCAAAAAATGAACCAAACCAAACAAAACCCACCAACCAAAAGAACACACCCACCAACAACCAGCCCAACCACAAGTCCAATGTTGATGCCATTTCCTGACTTGGGTTCAACAATGAGGGTTGGCTCAGGAGCTGCTGGTGTGTTGTCAATCAGCGATGTCGAATTGAAACTCCATGAGTTGATCTTGTGCAGAGCAGTTGTAATACCTGTTGCAGCAGAGAACCCAACAATCACCCAACCCTGCAAAATCTCATTCAGATCAACCTTGTAATCAAGATACCTCTCAACCGAGACACCATTTTCATAATTAGTGAAGGTAATGCTAAGATTTTTCGATCCAGAATCATAACGGATCGAAGCACTATTGACTCGTCCCTTTGTAATGCTACCATTCCACGCCCTGGTAACTTTAGACTTGACAGAGTTGACATCAATACCAACATGATCGCCCCTGGGATCTTCAATACTAGCCCCTGGATTCTGAAAGATGTCAAACTCCACTGCCACAAACGGGTACAGACTCGTGGACTCGTTTGCTCCTAGGTGTTTGATGGGGAGGCCAAGAGAGCCGCCTCTGCCCATTGTTGTGTTGACTGCAGACCCGTTTGGCGCCAAAAAGAAGGCGAGCCCGTCTGCATAGAATGTTTTGCCTTGGGAGTCGATGGCGAATGTGAAAGTTGTGGTGAAGTCCGCGAGTTTTCCCGTGGTGTTGTCGCGGAGGAGGAAGGGTTGTCTGTAGGTGGCTCGGCCGACGCTATCGTTTTTTACGTTGTCAACAGCGCTATTGGTGAGTCGGAGGAATTCACCATCGACGTAAGCATTTCCCTCGAGAGATAGGGTGGTGATGTCATCATTTGTGAAGTTGGGGAAACTGAAGTTTAATGAGGTTGCACAAGGGGCTAATAGAAACAAGAGAAGAAGAAGGACAACCATTTCTAATTTGCTGGTAAGGTTACAGATCAAATTGTTGCGTCTAAAATAGAGCAGAGAGTGTACGGAGAGTTTAATATTTTAAAGTGCCTTAATCAGCAGTTGGTTTCTTACCAATTCAAATCAAAATAATTTTCCTTGGACATAAATATTCTTTGCTCAAATATTTCTTTTGCGTGGTTGGGATGGAAGGAGGACTGCAACAAAGAAGAAACTGGTTTGGATATTGCTGCAGAATTACTTGGAAAGTTTCGGGTTTTTTCGGTTGCTCTTTCCTTGATATGCATGTTTGACCTCTTTTCAGCGTGACTGGTCAGAGCTTGTAAATAATGAATTGATTAGATTGAAACAAAACATTCTATGAATAGGTCTGATTTAATAACTCTGATGTGGATCATTTTTTTAATTGTAATATTTGCATTATGCAATAGATAATTTTATTGTTTATAACAAATTAGTTTTTTTATGAGTATTCCAGGTCTTCTTTTCTTGGTCAATCTTGTCTTTTTGGCTAAGTACTTTTACTTCTCTATATTGCAATGATGAGTCACCCAAATATTTAAGGGTACGTTTTATAGCTAATGTCACTTTTGATCTCTGTAGTTTTATCTAGTTTTCACTTTTCTTCTTTATAGTTTTAATTCGGTCAATTGTGCCCTTATAGTTTCATAATTGTAGCAATTCAAGGACAAGTCACGAATTTCGTCAATTTCTTTCACGACATCAGGGGTATTTTTGTCCATTCAAGTTATAAAAAAAAATTGAAACTTAGATTTAAATATTTTTTTAATCGTAAACAAGAAACAGGCAATTGATTTGTTATTGAAATGAAATTCCAAAGTGACCAAAGTGGCGAATAATAATCAAAGCATTCCCAATCTAATTCTCAATTCATTAATCAACAAACCCTAAAGTCAAAATCAAAAGTTGACGAAAATACCCCTGATCCCGTTAAAGAATTTGATGGAATTTGCATTTGTCTTTGAATTGCTACAATTACAAAACTACAAAGGTATAATTGACCAAATTAAAACTATATGGATGAAAAGTGAGAATTATGTAAATTACATAGACTAAGAATGACTTTTAGCCATGTTTTATTTTTGTTATACTCATTTTGCCCATGAATCATGACGAGTCAGCCAAATATTCTAGCAACCCCAAGCTCCAGCCATGCTCGCCCTGAGCTTGGGCCAACCCTCTTTAAAGTCTCTCCTATGGACACCATCAACTTTCAACTTCTAAAGCCTATTCTTCTAGTTTACTTGTTTTTCTTTTTTGAGATACGAAAGATCCTTACAAATTAGCTTTGCATTTGTGTCATTTTAGAGAGTTTATCATTGAAATTCAAAGAGCTAGCTCATCATACTCGTGGTCAAGGGAAAAAAAAAATATTTGAGTTACATTGTGCCGTAGGTAATAAAAGTTTGTAAATTCGAACTTAGAATCTCTCTCAAGAAGAGAAATAACACTAAATTAAAACTAATTGACGAATAAACAAATTTTAGTACATATAATCGCAGAATTTTAATAGTTTAGCCTTTCACAAGAGATTTATATAAAAAGAAAATGACCAGCCAATTAATAACTTATATTAGAATCAAATATTAAAATTTTCCAAGCCAATTTATATTTGTTAATGTTGTTTTATTTTCCTTAAAAATAGAACAGGAAAAAAAGTAATTTAACATTAATAAAAGCAAAATACGAGCAAGTAGCAACAAGAAAAACACAAAGTAACAATTACGGACCAGAATTGGGAGGCACGAAGTTCACCGACTCACCAGTGATAGAGCTCCCGGTTCGAACCGCCGTCCTTTCCCTCCAACAGGACAACGGCTCCCTCCACGTCGGCACCTCCGTCTGGCCCTGTTCCCTGGTCCTCGTCAAATTCGCCGAGCGCTGGGCCCCACCCAGCCCCGATGCCCAAAACCCCTACGCCAACCTCCTCGACTTCCACGGCAAGCGAGCCGTGGAGCTCGGCGCCGGCTGCGGAGCCGCCGGCATGGGCCTTTATCTGCTCGGCTTGACCGACCTCGTCCTTACCGATATTCCCGCGGTCATGCCCGCATTGAAGCACAACCTCAAGCGCAACAAGCCCGTCCTGGGGAAGACGCTCAAGCACGCCATCGTGCACTGGAACAAGGCGGCGGATCAGGCCAAGTCCCTGAGCCCTCCGTACGACGTCGTCGTGGCGACGGACGTCGTTTACATAGAGGAGACTGTGGGCCCGCTCGTGTCCACCATGGAGGCTCTGGTGAAGGACGACGGCGTCGTTTTGCTCGGGTACCAGTTGAGGTCTCCGGAAGCACACCAACTGTTCTGGGAAATGTGTGAGAGGGTTTTTGTGATAGAGAAAGTTCCGCACCAGGATTTGCACCCGGATTATGCGTACGAAGAGGCTGATGTGTTTGTCTTGCGCAAGAAACAAAAAGGAGGGCTGACTCAGGATGCTGCTCCCGATTCTCTGTGAATGCAAGTTTTTGGTCTTAGATTTTGGAGTTTCTTCTTTTGGTATTTTGTGTTAAAAGTTTGTCAATGTTTGTGCTGTTTGTTATGCTTCTTTAATACTAAATTAATTTGTGTCTTTTTGGCTCACTACTTGTAAATTTGCTTACGAAATGATCAAATCAAATTTCACCAGTACTTCACACAACACAACATATATACAGAAGGGTTTCATAATTGAAATGATTGAAAAAAACAGAACTGAAGCTTATTATTCATATGGTGGTGACATGAGAAGACATTCGTGTCATGCGTGTGTGTGAAAGAAACAGAGGATCTGACTTACCGACAAAAAATATGGCAATCGGTGAAATTCAGAGAGCCAAAACCATTAGCACCAACCTAATGCTTCTTCTAGATCAGTTTTTACTAATTAATAACCTACGTGTATAATCATGGATTTCATCAACGTAGCATTCGAGATTATCACAAGCCAAACTTATTTCTTAGCCGAGCGAAATTGACGGAGGAGAATTTGTTGCAGAAGATTCAGTGATCTCTGAGCAGTTGGTGGTATAATCAGGGCCAGAGTCATCAACTTGCCCTCCTTCAGAACCAATACTAGGAGACAAACCTGAAACTGATATTGTAAGAGGAGAAGTAGTAGTTCGCATCTTTGATGGTTGAATGGGCACTGCAACTTCAAAGTTAAGCGTTTGAATCACTTGCTGTATTGAAGGTCTGGAATTGTAATTTGGATGAGCACACCACAACCCAACAATCAACAAACACTCCATTTGTTTCTCATCAAAATCTCCACACAATTTTGGGTCAGCTGCTTCAATGACTTTACCTTCTCCATAAAGCTCCCAAACCCACTCTACCATATTAGGTTTACCACTTTCCAATACATCAAAACCTCTCTTTCCGCAGGCTATTTCCAGAGCAACAACTCCAAAGCTATAGATATCTGACTCCTTGCTAGCTTTTCCTGTCATCAAATATTCAGTAGCCATGTAGCCAAAAGTTCCAACTATAGTAGTCATCTCCTCCAATTCTTCTCCATGGTCCACAAGCCTCGCAAACCTGAAACCCCCCAGTTTAGCGTTGAAATTTGAATCCAATTTAACATTGCTGGATTTGATATCCCTGTGCAGGACACATTGTTCCAATTCTTGGTGTAGATAGAGCAACCCAGAGGCCAAGCCTTGAGCAATTCTGTATCTTATCTCCCAAACTAACCGGCTTTTTCCTTGGAACAAATGATAATCTAATCTGCCGTTAGGCATGAACTCGTAGACAAGTAGGAGCTCCCCTTCATCGTGGCACCAACCAATGAGTTGTATCAGATTCCGATGCCTAAGTCGACTGATGGCGCTTACTTCTGACACGACTTCCTTAAGCCCCGGTTCAAATCCTTTTGAGATCTTCTTAACAGCAATGTAAGAGTTCAAATCTTTTAGGTAGCCCTTGTAAACCACACCAAATTCTCCCTCTCCAAGTTTTTCTTCCTCAGAAAAATGTCTGGTTGCGGAATCCAATTCTTTGTACGAAAACTGCCTTGGGCGGCGGATCTCCTTTTCCAATTGCTCAATCATGTCATGAGGAATCATAAGATTTTTTGCAGCCCTTCCTTCTGGTGCCCTTTTCTTGCACGACTTGAACAAACCCAAACCTAACACACAAACCAAGATAAGTCCTCCTCCACCACCATCACCAATAGTAGTACTCAACCACCAGTGGTTTCTTGCGTTTTCTTGAGTTGGTTTTAGATCCATAGTGCCACGCACGAACTGGGGATTCTTTTTCTTTTTTCTTTGGCCACGAAAAGCTAGAGATTCATCATCACCTAGTGAAGAAGAAGTAAAATTCCATGAGATGATGTTATGCAGAGCAGAAGCAGCTCCTGTTGAAGCAGAGAAGCCAAGCCTGACCCAATCCGGCAAGTATTTATTTAGATCAACCATGTAACTGAGAGAATTGATCACTTGTTCCTGGCTACCATTTACATAAGTGGTGAAGGCAACACTAAGATTTTTTGAGCTAGAATTATAACTAATCCAAGCATGATTTAGTTTTCCTTCTGCAGTAACAGCATTCCTAGGCCTGGTAACATTCGACTTGACACTGTCGACGTCAATACCCACATGATTGCCTTCAGAATCCTCCACTGCTGGCCATGGATTCTGGTACGTATCAGACTCCACCACCATGGATGGGTACTCATTGCGCGGCTCAATGACGTTTTCCATTGAGCTGTTGACAGGGCGGCCGATACTGCTACGTACTCCTAATGCACGGTTGAGTAGGACCTTTTTGGCGCTATGAAGAAAGCTAACATCTCCTTTGTTATTTAATAATTTCGTAGTGCTGCTGGAGTGATCACTTTGTTGGAAGGTGGGGGAATGGAAGGCTAAAGGAGTTGCACAAGGGGTTAACAGGAGCAGAACAAGAAAGAACTTTGGAGAGTGCAGTGTGATGATGGCAGCCATTTTTGTTTATGGGGAAGAGAGTTTGGAGCTCTACTAAAATAGAGCAGATTGCAGAGCTAATTTTCCAATTAAAAACAAGATTTTCAGCTAGAGGACTTAGACATGGTTGACTGACCTCTATGCGAAAGGGTTCCGAAACTAGGGAAACCAGGGCTTTCAGCCTTTGTTTCTGCTACTTTTCTTTGTTTCTTCTGGGAACTTGCTTGATTGGAATGTAATTTTATTGTTTACGGGGGACTTTTTTTCATGTTCAATTTCAAAGCCCAGGTCGACCAACTTTCTCAGTCCACTTGTATAAAAAAAAAAGTATTTATTCAAGGATTATCTTCGCAAAAAATAATTCAAATTAGAATGATCTTATTAAGGATAGTCCTCCATACGACGTCGTTTACATAGAGGAGACTGTGGGCCCGCTCGTGTCCACCATGGAGGCGCTGGTGAAGGACGACGGCGTCGTTTTGCTCAGCTACCAGCTGAGGTCTCCGGAAGCGCACCAACTGTTCTGGGGGAAATGTGTGAGAGGGTTTTTGTGATTGAGAAAGTTCCGCACCAGGATTTGCACCCGGATTATGCGTACGAAGAGGCTGTTGTGTTTGTCTTGCTTACGAAATGATCAAATCAAATTTCACCAATAAAAGATGGGGAAATCAAAGGTTAATGGAGTTACTTGTGGTTGACGGGGTGAAGTTGATGAATAGACGGGTCATGTACGACTACAACAAAGGTTCATTCCACACTTGGGATGGAAGAAGGACTGCCCCCCTTTCGAATTCCTCATCAATCGGATCGTTGACCACAGGATCTTCATCATTGTCGCTACTTTCCCCTGTTCCCCCCCTTCTTCCAAAAAGTGAACCAAACCAAACAAAACCCACCAACCAAAAGAACACACCCACCAACAACCAGCCCAACCACAAGTCCAATGTTCAATGCGCCGAGTATGTGAGGACTGTGCGACTTCACAGAGCCTCACTGAGGAAGAAATCTAAAAAGTAAAAACTAATGTGCGGACTGTGCGACTTCTCTATGTATGGCGTCTAACATGATGCGTTGTGAATATATCACTTCTACTCAATTGTCTTCAACTTTGATCCTATTTATTGATATTATTGATTATAATAGGGTATATATAATGGTCCTTTTGAATTTGATTTTAGGTTTGTAACAAAAACTTTGATACTAAAAACCTAAAATTGAAGTGATTAACTAGTGAAGCCCACACGTTTTGTGTTTATTGATTTTTATTTTATTTATTGATTTTATTGTTTTAAGACGAAACGTAATTGGCAGTTGGATGAGTGGGATTTGTGAAAATGAAACGTGGGCAAAAAAAAACATGACATTACGTAGGGACATGAATGAATGAATCCAACTTGATTTATGAATGAGACACGTAACGACTTACTACTGGTTTAATGAAACGTGGGTCCTAATGTCTCGTCTCCTGATAAGTCACGGGCAAACTGAGCAAGAGAGACATGTCAACACACAGAGGCCTCTGCAAATCCTTAAGCGAGTCATGAAAAATCGTTATGACTTTACTGACGCGTTCGTTTATAAAGGTGCGATGATTGTACGCATCATATCAATAGATGTGAATCAAATGTGAAGAAAGTTGAGTGGTGAGGTTTGTCAGCGCGTCCGGTCTTTAGGAAAGACATACTTTAAATGATGGTTTTAAAATATAAACGTGTATAGATATATATCATTTCTTATTGTGTAACTAAATTGATACAGCATTACATTGAATTTGTATATTATCAAAACAAAGAGTGAAATGCATAATCTCGTACAGGACAACAGTGGAATTACAAAAATTCTAAAAGTTTAGAATCAAAATTATTTAGTTAGGCTTCTTTCTTACCCAAGTGAAATTTTTGGATGAGAATTTGTGGTAGAAGAAGGTGCGCTGAACTGTGAGGAGTTAGTTTGGCCTGAAGACGACTCAGTTTGGCCTCCTTGAGAACCACTAATATCTCTAAACAACAACGAGACCGATTTCGGAGGAGCAAAATAGGTGGCCACCGGCATCTTTGATGGGAGATTCGGCAACGGTACCTCGAAGTTAAGCACTTGAATTGCTTGTTGTATTGAAGGCCTCATGTTGTTGTCTGGATGAGCACACCACAACCCAACAATCATCAAGCACTCCATTTGTTTCTTATCAAAATCCCCACATAGTTTTGGGTCAGCTGCTTCATTGACTCTATCTTCTCCGTAAAGCTCCCAAACCCACTCAACCATATTGACTTTAGAGCTTCCAAACTTTGGATCGATGGGTTTTCTCCCACATGCTATTTCCAAAGCAACAACTCCGAAGCTGTAGACATCTGATTCTTTGCTAGCCTTTCCGGTGTTGAGATAATCCGGAGCCATGTAACCCATGGTTCCAGCCAAGATTGTGGTTTGCGACTGTTTTCCGTGGTCCACAAGTCTAGCTAACCCAAAATCCCCAAGTTTTGCGTTGAAATTTGAATCTAACATAACATTGCTCGATTTAATATCCCTATGCAGCACACATTGCTCCCACTCTTCATGTAGATAGAACAACCCAGAGGCCAAACCTTGAGCAATTTTGTATCTTGCCTCCCAAGTTAACAAGCTTTGTTCTTTAAACAAATGAGAATCTAAGCTCCCATTCGGCATGAACTCGTACACAAGTAAGAATTTTCTTTCGTGGCACCAGCCAATCAGTTGCACAAGATTGCGATGCCTAAGTCGACTGATGATCTTTACTTCCGATGCATACTCCTTCAGTCCTTGTTTAGAACTACTTGAGACTCTCTTAACAGCAACATATGAGTTCAAGTCTGGTATAAAGCCTCTGTAAACCCCACCAAACCCTCCCTCTCCAAGCTTCTCTCCCTCGTCAAAATCATTTGTCGATTGAGCCAATGTCTTGTACGAAAACTTCTTTGGGCCTGTCTCCTTTTCGAATTCGTCATCGATTGGATCGTTGATGATAGGATCTTCATCATTGTCGCTACTTTCCCCTGTTCCCCCCTTCTTCCAAAAAATGAACCAAACCAAACAAAACCCACCAACCAAAAGAACACACCCACCAACAACCAGCCCAACCACAAGTCCAATGTTGATGCCATTTCTTGAGTTGTGTTCAACAATGGGGGTTGTCGAATTGAAACTCCATGAGTTGATCTTGTGGTTAGCAGTCCAAACACCTGTTGCAGCAGAGATCCCAACAATCACCCAACCCTGCAAAATCTCATTAAGATCAACCATGTAAGCAAGATCCCTCTCAACCGAGACACCATTTTCATAACTAGTGAAGATAACGCCAAGACTTTTCGATCCAGAATCATAACGAATCGAAGCATTATTGACTTGTCCCTCCATAATGCCACCATTCCACGGCCTGGTAACTTCAGACTTGACAGAGTTGACATCAATACCAACATGATCGCCGGCGGGATCTTCAAGATTATGAAAGATGTCAAACTCCACTGCCACAAACGGGTACAGATTCGTGGACTCGTATTTTTCTGGGTTTATCATTGGGAGGCCAAGATAGGGGCCTATGCCTATTGTTGTGTTGAGTGCAGACCCGTTTGGCGCCAAAAAGAAGGCGAGCCCGTCTGAATAGTTTGAATTGTTTAGCGAGTCGATGGTGAATGTGAAAGTTGTGGTGAAGTCGGCGAGTTTTCCGGTGGCGTTGTCGCGGAGGAGGAAGGGTTGGCTGTAGGTGGCTCGGCCGACGCTGTGGTCTTTTTCCGGGTCAAGAGCGCTTTTGGTGAGTTGGAGGAAATCACCGTCGACCGAAGCATCTCCCTCGAGAGATAGGGTGTTGATGATGCTATTTGGGAAGTTGGGGAAATTGAAGTTTAATGAGGTTGCACAAGGAGCTAATAGAAACAAGAGAAGAAGAAGAATGACAACCATTTCTAATATGCTGGTAAGGTTACAGATCAAATTGTTGCGTCTAAAATAGAACAGAGAGTGTATAGAGAGTTTAATATTTGAAAGTGCTTTAATCAGCAGTTGGTTTCTTACCAATTCAAATCAAAATAATTTTCCTTGTATCTACATAAATAAGGAATTGAAGATTCAAGCGAGTGGTGGTACTGGTGGCATGGGATGGGAGTGGATACCACGGTGACGGTCACTATCTGAATTTATTGTATGTATCTACATATTCTTTGCTCAAATATTTCTTTTGCGTGATTGACGGGGTGAAGTTGATGAATAGACGGGTCATGTAGGACTACAACAAAGGTTCATTCCACACTTGGGATGGAAGGACTACAACAAAGGCAGAATTATTTGGAAATTGTGAATATCGATTAAACATTCACTAAAAAATCAACTTGATCAACGGTTTAAAATTTGCAATCTAAGAATTGAACTGTCTTATCTTCATTTTTCAAGAATATATCACTTGAGCAACGGACATAAATAAAGAATTGAAGATTCAAGCGAGTAGTGGTGGTGTTGGCATGGGATGGGAGTGGATACCACGGTGACGGTGACTGTGAATTTCTTGTATCTATATATTCTTTGCTCAAATATTTCTTTTGCGTGGTTGACGGGGTGAAGTTGATGAATAGACGGGTCATGTAGGACTCTAACAAAGGTTCATTCCACACTTGGGATGGAAGGAGGACTGCAACAAAGAAGAAATTGGTTTGGATATTGCTGCAGAATTATTTGGAAAGTTTTGGGTTTTTTCTGTTGCTCTTTCCTTGACATGCATGTTTGACCTCTTTTCAATGTGACTGGTCAGAGCTTGTAAATAATGAATTGATTAGATTGAAACAAAACACTCTATGAATGGGTCTGATTTAATAACTCTGATGTAGATCATTTTTTTTAAAATTGTAATATTTGCATTATGCAATAGATAATTTTATTGTTTATAACAAATTAGTTTTTTTATGAGTATTCCAGGTCTTCTTTTCTTGGTCAATCTTGTCGTTTTGACTAAGTTCTTTTACTTCTCTATATTGCAGTGATGAGTCAACCGAATATTTTAGGGTACGTTTTATGACTAAATGTCACTTTTGGTCTCTGAAGTTCATCTATTTTTCACTTTTCATTCTTGTAGTTTTAATTTGGTCAATTGTGCCCTTATAGTTTCATAGTTGTAGCAATTCAAGGACAAGTCACGAATTTCGTCAATTTCTTTCACGACATCAGGGGTATTTCTGTCCATTTTAAGTATAAAAAAATAAAAATAAAAATTTAAGTATTTTTTTAATCGTAAACAAGAAACAAGCAATTGATTTGTCATTGAAATGAAATTCCAAAGTGACCAAAGTAGCTAATAACAATCAAAGCATTCCCAATCTAATTCTCAATTCATTAATCGATAAACCCCTAACGTCGAAATCAATATTTGACTAAAATACCCCTGACCCCATTAAAGAATTTGATGAAATTCGCATTTTGTCTTTGAATTGCTACAATTACGAAACTACAAAATGTATAATTGACCAAATTAAAACTATGTGGATGAAAGGTAAAAATTATGTTTTACATAGACTAAGAATGACTTTTAGCGATGTTTTATTTGTGTTTTCTTACACTCATTTTGCCCATGAATCATGACGAGTCAGCCAAATATTCTAGCAACCCCAAGCTGCAGCCGTGCTCGCCTTGAGCTTGGGCCAGCCTCTTTAAATTCTCTCCTATATAGACACCGTCAACTTTCAACTTCTAAAGCCTATTCTTCTAGTTTTACTTGTTTTTCTTTTTTGAGATACGAAAGATCCTTACAAATTAGCTCATGCATTTGTGTCATTTTAGAGAGTTTATCATTGAAATTGAAAGAGCTAGCTCATCATACTCTTGGTCAAGGGGAAAAAAAAACTTATGAGTTACATTGTGCCACAACTAATAATAAAAGTTAGTAAATTCGAACTTAGAATCTCTCTCAAGAAGAGAAATAACACTAAATTAATAACTAATTGACGAATAAACAAATTTTACTACATATAATCGCGGAATTTTAATAGTTTAGCCTTTCACAAGAGATTTATATAAAAGAAATTGACCAGCCAATTAATAACTTATATTATAATCAAATATTAAAATTTTCCAAGCCAATTTATATTTGTTAATGTTGTTTTATTTTCCTTAAAAATAGAAGAAAAAAAAAGTAATTTAACATTAATAAAAGCAAAACACAAGCAAGTAGCAACAAGAAAAACAAAAAGTAACAATTACGGACCAGATAATTGGGAGGCATGAAGTTCACCGACTCACCCGTGATAGAGCTCCCGGTTCGAACCGCCGTCCTTTCCCTCCAACAGGATAACGGTTCCCTCCACGTCGGCACCTCCGTCTGGCCCTGTTCCCTGGTCCTCGTCAAATTCGCCGAGCGCTGGGCCCCTCCCAGCCCCGATGCCCAAAACTCCTACGCCAACCTCCTTGACTTCCACGGAAAGCGAGCCGTGGAACTCGGCGCCGGCTGCGGAGCCGCCGGCATGGGTCTCTATCTGCTCGGCTTGACCGACATCGTCCTCACCGATATTCCCGCGGTCATGCCCGCACTGAAGCACAACCTCAAGCGCAACAAGCCCGTCCTGGGGAAGACGCTCAAGCACGCCATCGTGCACTGGAACAAGGCGGCGGATCAGGCCAAGTCCCTGAGCCCTCCGTACGACGTCGTCGTGGCGACGGACGTCGTTTACGTAGAGGAGACTGTGGGCCCGCTCGTGTCCACCATGGAGGCGCTGGTGAAGGACGACGGCGTCGTTTTGCTCGGGTACCAGTTGAGGTCTCCGGAAGCACACCAACTGTTCTGGGAAATGTGTGAGAGGGTTTTTGTGATAGAGAAAGTTCCGCACCAGGATTTGCACCCGGATTATGCGTACGAAGAGGCTGATGTGTTTGTCTTTTTTTGTGTTAGAAGTTTGTCAAAGTTTGTGCTGTTTGTTCTGCTGCTTTAATCCTGTTGTAGACCTAAATTAATTTGTGTCTTTTTGGCTCACTACTTGTAAATTTGCTTACGAAATGATCAAATCAAATTTCACCAGTACTTCACACAACACAACATATATACAGAAGGGTTTCATAATTGAAATGATTGAAAAAAAACAGAACTGAAGCTTATTATTCATATGGTGGTGACATGAGAAGACATTCGTGTCATGTGTGTGTGTGAAAGAAACAGAGGATCTGACTTACAGACAAAAAATATGGCAATCGGTGAAATGCAGAGAGCCAAAACCATTAGCACCAACCTAATGCTTCTTATTGACCAAAAAAAAAACCAACCTACGCTTCTTCTAGATCAATTTTTACGATTAATAACCTACCTGTATAATCCTGGGTTTTATCAACGAGCATTCGAGATTATCACAAGCCAAGCTAATTTCTTAACCCGAGTTGATGGAGGAGAAGTTGTTGGAGATATTCAATGATCGGTGAGCAATTGGTGATATAATCAGGGCCAGAGTCATCAACTTGCCCTCCTTCAGAACCAATACTAGAAGACGAACCTGAAACTGATATTGTATGAGGAGAAGAAGTAGTTCGCATCTTTGATGAGAGAATGGGCACTGCAACTTCAAAGTCAAGCGTTTGAATCACTTGCTGTATTGAAGGTATGAAATTGTAATTTGGATGAGCACACCACAACCCAACAATCAACAAACACTCCATTTGTTTGTCATCGAAATCTCCACGCAATTTTGGATCAGCTGTTTCGATAACTTTTCCTTTTACATAAAGCTCCCAAACCCACTCTACCATATTGACATGACTACCTCCAAATTTTGGATTGATGAGCTTTCTTCCGCAGGAAATCTCCAAAGCAACAATTCGGAAGCTGAAAACGTCTGATTTCTTGCTTAACTGTCTAGTGTCAATATATTCAGGAGCCATGTAGCTTGTGGTTATCATCTGTGGCTCTTTTCTGTTGCCGAACCCAAAATCCCCAAGTTTTGCGTTGAAATCATAATCCACCATAACATTGCTCGATTTGATATTCGTGTGCAACAGAGGTTGCTGCAAAATTTCATGTAGATAGAGCAACCCCGAAGCCAAGCCTTGAACAATTTTGTACCTTGACTCCCAAGATAACGAGCTTTCTGGTTTGAACAAATGAGAATCTAAGCTGCCGTTGGGCAAGAACTCGTAGTAGACAAGTAGGAGTTCTCCTTTTTCATGGCACCAACCAATGAGTTGCACCAGATTCCGATGCTTACATCGACTGATTGTCTGTAGTTGTGGTGCATACGTATCAATCGGCCCATATTCAGGTCCCCTTGATATCTTCTTAACAGCAGCATATGAGTTCAAGTATGTGATGTAGCCTTTGTAAACCACACCAGATCCTCCCTCCCCAAGCTTTTCTCCCTCAGAAAAATTTCTTGTCGCCAATACCAACTCATTGTATGGAAACCTCTTCAGGGAGTTCCCTTCGACTTCGTGAATCAAGTCATTAGGATTTCCATCAGTTGTTCTTGTTGCCTTTTTCTTGCACGAGTTGTACAAACCCAAACCTAGAAACAAACCAACATAAATCCACCAAAACTACTACCGATCACATCAGCTAGTGGTTTCTTGCGTTTTCTTGCCTTGAATTTAGAACTGGGGCTTGGGTGCAGAACTGGAGTTTCAAAATTTTTTTTTTTCTTGGCCAGAAAGAGCTAGAACTTTATTATCAAGATTTTGTGGGTGGAGTCTGAGGATGGCGGTGGCGGAGTTATAATTGGCAACCATTTTTGTTGTTCGGAGAAATATTTGCCATATAAAATCCAGCATAAACTGCACTGTATACTACATCTTCTAATTAAAATCAAAATTTTCAGCAGTAGCACTTGGGTTTGTTTGACTCTGAACGCGTTCAATCCTTTAGTTATTTTATTTTTCCAAAAAGTTCTTCGAAATTACTTTATTTTTTCAAAGAATCAAGTAATTTCCAAGAAATTTTTTGAAAAAAAAATAAAAATAAACTAGTGGATTGAACGCGTTCAGAGTAAAAAATTAATGTGCAACATTAAATTGCAAGCCTCCAAATTCCAATCCAAGATGAGATGATGAGGTGTTTTTTTTTCGGTGGTGTCAAATTATACTAGGTTTTTATTGTGCCGTTCTACCTTTTTGGTCTCTGTGACCAGCATGCAACCCCCTCATTATAGTTTTTCAACCCATTTTAGGGGCTGGTGAATAGTACAAGGAAGGTTCGTGCCAATTTTCCCTTTCATAACTTTTCAATCATTTTGTTATCAGCAATATAGCTTCTGTTGAGGGATTCCTCAAATAAGTTTATTTGAAGGACACTCTTTCAAGGCCCACTTTGCATCGTATTTATTCTATAGCATGAATTTAATTACTGTCATGGTGTGTAAATAAAAACATCATATACAAGAAAAAACCGTCGTCCTCAGACGTCATGAGAGTGAGGGACTAGTGATTTTAATCAAACAAGTGAAAGATTTCATCATTTTTAACGGAGTCTTTTTTCCAGACTCGTTCTTTAAAAAAAAAATTCAAATGATATTGAAAAAAAAAAAGTGTGAGAAAATACCTTTGGCTTACAAAGAAAGTTTTCTTCTGACGTAAACTTCGGAGTTTTGGAGACGAATATGAGGAAGATGAAGAGATTCAGACACACCACTTTTGGAAAATGAGAGGGAAACTGAAAATTTTTATCGGTTAGAGAGAACGTAAAACCTTAGGTCAAGTGACTAAAAAGTTTATACATTGTCCCAAAGATCAATAAGACGACAATTTTGTAAAAAACGATGTTAAAATAGTAGAAACCGACATGCATGGTTAGTAATAAAGCCAATTGACTTTTGGTATTCCGAGAACGACGTGGTTATCTTGGTATTACACAACAAAATTTTACTTTTGAATAAGTGATATTATAAGTTACAACATAGCCTATTTATAGAGAACCATCGTTGTTGGTTTTAAAAGTCAATGAGTTTAGTTTACCAAACTGACTGTGTTAGATAGGTTTACACGACCTCAAGTTACTTCTTCTGACGTGGAACATGATTTAATACATCCTTGTTTATTACACACTGGCGTGGATTTTTGTAAGCAGACGACTTGACTTGTAGGAGGACTGACTTGGTTAGTGAAGATTATTTGTATAAATAGGGTTTTTTCACTCATTCTTTCACTTTCATTTTTCAATTAGGGTTCCAACTTCTTCTTGCCTTCGGCTGCTGTCATCACTTCAGGCCTTGGCTCTATCTCACCTCTATGGAGGCAATACTTTGGATGTTGATGTGTGTGCGCGTTTGTGTATCTGAAAGACACAAACACGCAAACATCATCAACTTCTAAAAAATTGTCTTTCTAAAAGCTTGCCGTTTTCAAATTTTAGAGGCAAATTTTTTGGATTTTGATGCGTATGTGCTTTTGTGTATCTGAAAGACACGAAAACACATACGTCATCAACGTCTAAAATATTGTCTTTCTTTCACATTGGTGGTTCGATTATGATGAGGAACAGAGTTCCCTTTGGTAAGATTTCATATCTATGATGACGTGTTTGTATATAAACCGTTGTGGTTTTTTGCAGTTCTTGTCATTTACGTATAAAGTGAATAAATACGACGGTATTTTTAACTTTGTGGTAAAATAATATTATACGTCTTTAATTGAACAAACTGACATGGTTCTTACAAACTTTTGTGGACAGTAGAGTTATAGATACCGTCATAGTACATTGCTAAATAATAAGTCGATAAATTTATCTTTACCGTCGTGGTACAATTATTTAATATGGTAGGGTTTTGTAATATACCGATGTGGATTCCTTTGAACTTATACTTCGCTAACTAAGAAAAGTTGGTCTTGTTTATTTAGGAGTTAACACGGCGGCTTTTTTGTAAACCGTTGCCTTTACTTTCTACGTCGATGGCTTCATAGCTACTGTCGTTGTTTTTGGGCTCAGAGTTTAGTTCTGAAGAAAACTTTTTTAATAAGACGACGCTTTTTTTCATTTGGTGCGTCGTTTTTTGAAAATATCCATCCAAATCTCCATTTTTTAGTTGTTTAAGTTATTTATCCACGACGGTTTTCTGTTACCGTCATCTTTTTAAACACAACGTCGGTTTTTTTATTTACCGTCGTTGTTTTCTGGTCGTCTTTTTCACTTTTTGTAATAGTGGACCCTGGACACCTGCAGTTTGACATGTGAGGAGGAACGGTTGGGAGGGTGAGTGAAAATTCGACCATGCATGCCTGCCGTTCGGCACGTGAGGAAGAACGGTTTGGAGGGTGAGTGAAAAACTGGATGACAAAGCTGATTATTTAGTCTTCCTCAACTTTTATCCAACTTATTGACAAAGCTGATTATTTAGGATATAAAATCCTTTAATAAAGCTCCAATCCTAGGTTTAGGATATGAAATCTAAAACTGTTATGATTATCAACTATGTCCGAGACAAGAAATATTATATCTTAGCTCTAAATGACGATTCTACAAAATAAAACAACCACGATTACATTAATAAATGTTTGAAGAAAATTGAGTAGAACTGAGGTTTTTTCAATGCGTCGAGTCTTAGGAAAGACAAGACATCTTGAATGGGACAAGACTGCTATATATATGATGGTTAACAACAGTGAAGTTACAAAAATCCCAAAACCTTAGGATCCAGATTATAAAAATTACTAAGGTCCGCTTATTTCTTACGTAAATTAAATTGAAGGATGATAATTTGTGGCAAGAGAAGATGTGGTAAACTCTGAGGAATTTGCGTTGTGACCATAGTTTGAAGACTCTGTTTGACATCCCTGAGACCCACTAGTATCAGTAGAAAACATTGATAGTGATTTCGGAGGATCAAAATAGGTAGCCACTGGCATCTTTGATGGGAGAACGGGCAAGGGAATCTCAAAGTTAAGCACTTGAATTGCTTGTTGTATTGAAGGCCTCTTACTGTAATCCGGATGAGCACACCATAACCCAACAGTCATCAAGCACTCCATTTGTTTCTCAACAAAATCTCCACACAGCTTTGGGTCAGCAGCTTCAATAACTCTTTCTTCTCCGTAAAGCTCCCAAACCCACTCAACAGAATTGATTGGACTACTTCCGGACTTTGGAAGATCGATCGGTTTTCTCCCACATGCTATTTCCAGTGCAACAACTCCGAAGCTGTAGATATCTGATTCTTTGCTAGCCTTTCCTGTGTTGAGATAATCTGGAGCCATGTACCCCATTGTTCCAGCCAAAATTGTGGTTTGCGACTGTTTTCCGTGGTCCACAAGTCGAGCTAACCCGAAATCCCCGAGTTTTGCGTTGAAATTCGAATCTAACATAACATTGCTTGATTTGATATCCCTATGCAGCACGCATTGCTCCCACTCTTCGTGTAGATAGAGCAATCCGGAGGCCAAACCTTGAGCAATTTTGTATCTTGCGTCCCAAGTCAACAAGCTCTGCTCTTTGAACAAATGAGAATCTAAGCTCCCGTTAGGCATGAACTCGTACACGAGTAAGAATTTTCTTTCGTGGCACCAGCCAATCAGTTGCACAAGATTGCGATGTCTAAGTCGACTGATGCACTTCAGAAGCATATTCTTTAAGTCCTTGTTTAGAACCCCTCGATATCTTCTTAACAGCAACATATGACTTCAAATCTGGTATAAAGCCTTTATAAACCCCACCGAATCCTCCCTCTCCAAGCTTTTCTCCTTCCCTAAAATTGCTGGTGGCCTGAGCCAATTCGCTATACGAAAACTTCCTTGGTCCGGCCCCCTTTTCAAATTCGTCGTCAATCAATTCATGAACTATGGGATCTTCATCACTACTTTCAAAAGTTGTTTCCCTTTTCTTCCACATGACTAACCGAATCAAACCCAATCCACCAAACAAGACAGCACAGCCACCAATCGCCAACCCAACTGCAAGGCCTATACTCTTGTTTCTTGACTTGCGGTTGGAATTAGTACTGGCCATGGCGCTTGGTGTTTGGTTGTCCGTTGCAATACCGACCTTACTGTCATGATCACCTAGTGAAGTTGAATTGAAATTCCATGAGATGATCTTATTCAGAGAAGTATAGTTACCCGTTGAAGCAGAGAACCCAACAACAACCCAATCGGGCAAGTACTGTTTCAGATCAATAATGTAATAAAAATGCTTCATCACTTGTGTATCACTCGTATTGCTTACATAGGTAGTGAAGGCAACACTCAGATTTTTTGAAGTGGAATTGTAACTAATGGTAGCGCTATTTCTTTTTCCTTCCTTAATACCTCCTTTCCAAGGTCTGGTAATGCTAGAGTTGAGAGAGTTTACGTCTATACCCACATGTTCGTACGGGGGATCGACCATTGGATTAGCGTAGATATCAAACTCCACCGCCACAAAAGCGGTGTCTTTTGGAGATGTGAAGTTGTAAGGGAGGCCGAGAGTGGTACCAGCTGCTAGTTTGGTGCCGATGAAGGACCCGTTTGGGGCTATGAAGAAGGCTAGGCCGTCGCCATAGCTGGATTTGTTGTCTGAGTCAATGGAGACGATGGCGAAGTTGAAACTTGTGGTGAAGTCAGCGAGTTTTCCAGTGCTGTTTTCACGGAGGAGGAAGGGTCGGCTGTAGGTGGCTCTGCCAACACTGCCTTTCATATCATTGTCTAGGCTGCTGTTGGTGAGGCGGAGGAATTGGGTGTCAATATATGCATCGCCTTCTGTGCATATGGTGGGGTAGTCCTTGCCGTTGAATCTAGAGAAACTGAAGTTTAGTGGAGTTGCAGAATTGGTTAACAGAAAAAAGAGAAGAAGAAGAAGAAAGTGAAGCTTTGTAGAGTACTTTGCAGCCATTTTGGAAGAGAGAGAGAGAGAGAGTAAGTACTCTTTAATGTGCACAAATGTTTGTCATCATCTAAAATATAGAGCAAAGATAACTAATTTTTGAATTGAAATCGAAATATTTGGTTGCTGAAAGACTTGAGACCATTGTTGGTTATCGACTCTGAGTCCATGAAGCACTTATCTAAGACGGGCAGAACAGAAGCGAGGAAAGCGAGGAGGACCACGGGTATGTGTTTTTTTTTATTTCTCCAAAGCTACCCACGCCACGTTTCTTGTTTTCTCAACTTTGATTGTATGCCAAACTTTGAATAAAAAGATTACAAATGGTCGTAGTGCGCCACTAATAAGAGGAAATTAATTAAACAAAGAAGAAAGAAACATGAACTTATCATGGCTGAATGTACGTACATAATCTCAGTGGATGAAATAAATTTCATCTTCTCTTTACTTTCCACGATTAGCTTTAAGTCTGCTTTTGCACGTTCTCGTTGTATTTAAACTTTGTATGCCCCCACTTAAACAAAATAAAATTTTATGCCCCCACTGAGTATATCATGTAGTATGGTGTTTGATATTAAACATATATCAAAGATAAGTAAAATTTATCATTTTTCCTACAATTCTTTGTGTTCGAGGCAGTGTTTTCAAAAGCATGCCTAAGTGCAAGTCGGATCGCGCGTCGAAGTGAGGTAGAGGGAAATCACCTTAAGAGTACGCAGTGGCGAAGCCAGAATTTCATGTGTGTGGGGACCTCTCACAAAATATAAACAATAAAAAATTTGAACTCACAAGACAAACCAAAACATCAAAAATCATATTGTGTATTCATTACAATCACCATCATTCTTGACGAGTTTTCATATTTTGAAATCATTGCATAACAACCTCGTCATCTATACTATTGAAAATGTATCTCTCAATATATGCAACGAAGCAATCATTTATACATAAATTGAAGATCTATTAAAATCAATAAAAAGAAAAAAAAAGAAAAAAAAATCAAAATTTTATGAACTAAAAATAAATAAGTAAAGAAAAAAAATAAAAAAGAGAACTGCTAAAAAAACTTTAATTGAATAAATTAACCTAATTAAAACTTGATAGTTTAATATGGAGTTTGAGAGAAAAACTCACAGACAGTGCATTGAGAAAGTCTGCTTTGTTGCTTGTGTATCTACAAGAAAGGAGAAAAATGGGTTAGGATTTTATCAATTTTTTTTAAAGGGTAAATATATAATAATAAGAGCCATAAACCTTTGGAAAAAGGAAAGGAAAGTGGCTTACGCTTGGTGGAAAGGAAGGATTTGGCTGCTGGCCCACGTGATAAAACAAACATATTAATTAATATAGATTATTCAATAAGAACAATACATATTACATTTTAAAAGAAAGGAAAAAAGTTGAGTGGGGGCCAGTGACTGCACTGGTCCCTATGTGCCTCCGTCCTTGGGAGTACGAATGTTTAGCTTGTTGCACGCTTAGCGTAGCCTTATGTAGTGAGGCATGGCGAGGTGTGGAAGGTGCGAAGAAGCACCGCTGTCTGCAAGCCAAAGTGCGAGGAAGGAAGACGACCTCGCTTGAATTTTTTTTAGGATTTGTTTTAATGAAACGACGTCGTTTCATCTCGTTACTTGAGTTTTTTTTTTTCCCGAACTAAGGTGTCTTAAATGCACATTTTGGTTTTTATTTTAAAAAAAATTTAATTTTTTAAATTTTTTTAAAGCAAACACCTTTTAACCCTCCACTGAAACAAACAATACTTCCCTTTTCTTTTTCTTTTTTTTCTTCTAAATAAATACAGTAATGGACCTATATGCATATCCCTAATGCGATAATTAAGCTGCATCAATTCTAATTCTCTCCATAAGTTGAAGCCTCTCTCTCATTCGATATGCAATTCTCTTTGTACTAGATTCATTATATATATATATATATGTTAGTTTTTTTTTCCCAAACAACACAATATCCATAAAATCCATTAAAAATAACACTCAAGTCCACACATAAATATTAAATATCATAGCATTTGATGTTTCATGTTGTCATGATGAGGAGTGGGATGCATGAATTGAGTTTTTCTTTTGATGTTGAATAAGTATTTTATGTTTTGGAATTTATTATTATGCTTGAATGACAATTAGTACTTATATTTGATATAATATTTGGGCTCAATAAGAATTAGTAGTACAATTTATCTAAATTGTATTATTTATACTTTTTTATTAAATTAAATTAATGTTCAAAAGACTTAAGCCTCACTGCTTCATGGCTGACGCCTACATAGCAGACTAAAAACGTCTCGTCTCTACTCCTCGTCTTTTAAATCATTAGTTCGAGGCAATGTAGGTAGTCAAGATATCCAAAACCCTTTTCATTCCCGAATTTCATATATACTAGGTTTTTTATTCTAGAGAAACTTTGCGAGGATTAAGCACATGTTGTATATATGGTCAAAAGAAATATTGAAAATGAATAATATTTGATTCCTCAGCCTCCTCCTTATTGGTGGTGATGGTGAATGTTGATGGGGATGTCAAGCTGGATGGGGAGGTCTTGGAGTGGTTTCAAACGAATTTTGCAAGCTTCTTACAGAGAAAAGCTAGCTGAATAAACATGACAGGGACCGCCCGCTTGGCAATGCTGCATTGAGGAAGAAACAACAAAACACTTTAATATAACAATTAAAAACTAGGTTGTAACTTGATCATGAGCGAATTTATTGATGTTGCACTAGTATGGAAAGTGCCAAACATTGCTGCGCTGAAGTCTATAAATGAAACGTACCTTTCATCAGAAACAGAAATCGTAGAGCTTTAAGGTGGTAGATTTTTACTCTCATGACCTGGGGTTAGGACGAATCAAATGCTTGAGAGGTGGTGGTTAATGCTATTCTGAGTGCTGATGGGGTACTAGGAATTGGAGTGTTTTGCACGTGTTTTTGATTCATTTGTGTGCCAATTTAGGCCATATCTTATAATCGTGCAGCACACGTGCTCACTCGTATATGCTATTTCGAATACAGATAAGATAAAAATGTCCAAAGACGTCTTTTTTTTTTTTTTTTTTTTTTTTTTTTTTTTCTTAAAATGGTTGTTAATAAATTAGAAAAAGAAAACACGGTTGAAACGTAATTTCCATCAACAGTTAAAGGAAAAATATGTGTATGGACAAATAAGATAAGATTCATTGCGTTCTGCGCGATCTTCATCGTTGTCATCGATCTTATTATTGTTTTTAAGTCGATTTTTAGGCCAAGACTAGAAACCTATAAATTGTAAATGATAATTTCACACCCTACAACAATAGAGTATGTCAACATATGGCATTAAATTTTAAGAATACTAAATAGAAGTGAGGTTTTCTTTAATGGTGAAGTCTTTAGGAAAGATATTAGAACGTTTTCCATAGAGCTAGACAGCTTTTTATGATGGTTAAAATTTATAGGTTTTTACTAAAAACCCCATTTTTGCATGACATTATACAAAACTCATATAGAGCCTATTTGAAGAGAAAACTCTAAAATTAGGCACTTGTTCTTGTTTAATTGGTTTTTAGTGTGTTAAAATTTTCTAAGAACCAGTTAAAAAAATGACAAGTGGCTAGTGTTGAATTTTTATCTCCAAATAGACTCTACATGGGTACTTTGTATAATATGTGATGTTAGAATGGGCCTATTGAAAAGCACTAAATTATAAACATATATGTATGTATAAAATATCAACTTTTTTTTTTCCGTGGATATATAAAATATCAACTGAGTTCGTCAAAAATAAAATAAAACTAGCCTGTCCGCACGAGCTTCCTTGCCTGCGAGAGTCTTTTTTTTAAAAAAAAAAATTTAAAATTTATTTTAGAATTAAAAAAGAAAATGGGTAGTTGTGTTCCATAAAAATAGGATCCATTATCTAATTTTTCTTTTAATTTTAATTTTTTTTAATATGAAAAGTGTGAATTTACCATATTATCCTCATTTAATTAATAATTTCAATTCTTAATGTTTGCATTAACCAAGAGTATTTTATGGTATTTTGAATATTTTACCATCTTTGCCTTTTGCTTTATATATATAGATAAAATAAAATATCAACTGAGATTGTATGTATAACAAATGAAGCATTTTTGCACATCACTTTAACTCAAGGAGTATGTTCACCATCATTTTCAACACTAGCACGTGTCCATAAGTATAACCATGGTTACATAAATCAAAGTAAAAAGTTAACTATAATAGACACGTGTCAAATATTAAGAAGGGTTGTGAATATACACATTGCGTTAAAGTGGTAAGGAAAAATATTTCCGTATAACAAAATGATTACAACAATACATATTGAATTTCCATATTATCAACGCAAAGGGTGACAAGCATAATGTCGAAAACAAGACAAAAAAGAAATTACAAAATTCCTATAATTTCGGAATCAAGTTATGATAATTATTAAAGTAGACAAATGGGTCACAGTTGTGGTAGATTCCCCCTCCCCCATGTCGAGAAATTATACAATAGTACGGTACTACCACGTGGCACTGACAGGTGGTAGTACGCACCAATTGCATAATGACATGTGGCGGGACTGTCTTTTAAGAGAGAGAATGTTAACATCCAGATTTAATAGTAACACCGTTAGTAACCAACTTTCTTTTTTGTTTTCTGTTTTTGTTTTAAGAAATAAAATACAAACCCTAAAACATAATTACTTCTATCGAAATCTGCACCACCGTTCTGAGAAGAAAGAATAACCATCGTTTTGAGAAGAAGGAAGAATGGTGCAGCCATAAAACTATGTTGTTATTTTCCGATTTTTGAGAAGAAGGAAGATTGTTTTTTAGAAGAAGGAAGACTGGTGCAGCCATACCGTTCGATTGCTGCAGGTTTTTTATTTTTTGCCGATTGCTTCATGTTTTTTTCTTTCCCGACTTCTGAAGTTGTGCTTTTTTTTAATCATTTCGATTTTCTGCAGGTTTTTTTTTAAAAAATTTCGATTTCTGCAATACCATTACATGTAGTGAATTCCCACAACCGTTCGGAAAAAGACGACGCAAGATCTCATCCTCAGGCTACAAATCCTACCCATGACCGAACTTTCTCTGTCTCTCTCTCCTGTGTGCTCTTCTTTCTTTTTCTTCTTAAATAATTTTTGGCATCTTCTTTAATTCCGATTTGGGGTTTAATACATTTTGGCTTTTCTTTGTCAAATCTGAATCTGACTGCAATTTCTTGTTTAAGTTTCTTCAATTTTTGTTCTGAATTTTTTTTTTTTTTTTTTTTTTTTGCTTCACTTTTGGGGTTTTGGTTGTGTTTTAAGTTGTGAGATGGAAAGGGTTTGATTTAGGTTTTTTGTAGCATTCTTCCATTTTCTTGTTGCAATTAATACATGTTGATTTTATTTCTTAATTTCTGGGGTGTAGAAGTTCATTCGATTTGGGTATGTTATTAATGGATAATACTTATTGCTCTGTTCTTTTGCTATTTGTTTTACCTTTCAATTTGAGTATATATTATTGGTGGGGGTGAGAACTTTGGATTTTAATTTTTTGGCATATGTCCTCCCCTGAAGGTAATTGTTGAACTTTGTTTTCATTTTATTTCCTTTCATTACATTTGGATTCCATGGAAGGAGAAGGAATGTTGTGGGAGTTCAAGCTTCTTCAATTCTTCAATTTACAGATTATCAATGATGCTTCGACCAGAGGAAAATGCTATGGCTTTGTTACTTTTAGGAACCCTCGGTCTGCAATTCATGCCATCAATGAGATGGATGGCAGGGTATGTTTTATTTATTTAAGTTTATACTTGAACATTTATGTAGTTATGGTGTCTGTGATCGGTTTGTTTTCTTAAAATCTTGAGTGATATTGTTGAGCTTTGAATTAGACTGTTGATGGAAGAGTTATCAGAGTAAAAGTGTGGACTAGAGGTGGAAGATTGGGTTTTGGTAGAGACAGAGAAGGTTTTGGACAGAATGTTGAGAGGGCAGGAACTGGGATAGAGATAGAGATCATGAGAGGGGTTGATCAAGAAAGGGATAGAAGGTATGACCGTGAACGTGATTATGATCAAGTAAGAGATCATTTCTTGGATAGAGACCGTCATCAAGACAGAGATTTGGAAGATGTCGAGCAAGGACAGAGCAGGAACCATGATCAGGGTTGGGAAAGAGATGGATGGTACATCTCTTTGAGCTTGTTTCTACGGGTTCAAGTTTTTCTGGCAGTTTATTGCAAGAATGGTAGACAACTATGATTTGGATTGGATTTCTTTAGTTTCGTTTTCTGGTGCCTATATTGAAATAGCTATTTGTTTAGTTTGGGTTGTTGTATAATGACATGTGCTTCTTGTCATTTGTTTGTACTTTGTACCGACTAAAATTTATGTTTAATGAAAATTTCATTCATTTTAAAAAGTTATTGGTAATTATTCAATAATTTTATAATTTTTTGGCCTTGTACTTTCTTAGTGTTGTGCTACTTCTTCTCATTGGTGAAATTGGTCCACTGTTCAATTTATAAGCCTTACAACAATTCTCTACGAGAAATTCCGTAAGAATAAGAGAAAATAATCATTGCTTTGTAATCTCAATGTTTCTTACAACAATTCTCTACGAGAAATTCCGTAAGAATAAGAGAAATTCCTGATTCAATGAATACCTTATTCAAAAGTGCCATGAAATTAGTACTTTGTAGCATGCCTGTAAAGGACAAATTAGGTTGAGGCAAATTTGCATGACCTTCGGTAGGTAACAATCTCATAGTTGGGTAGACCTATATAACAGTGGTAAGATTATACAATTAGTTGAATTTATAGAAGAAGAAAAAAGAGAATTAAAAGTCTTAAAAACATACATGATTACTAATATTTGTACTCATTGGTACACTGACTGGATTAAGAAAATTTGAACTGAGTGGTGTATGAGTTGAGCTATATGGACGACCTATCTTGCTTGATTGCTTGGTTTTCCCTACAAAAACAATTTGTAATAATAAGCATTACTGATGAGTATAAATTAATAATAAGAGATCGTAAACAATAAAACAAGACATGGAACTTTCATACTTGATGAAACAGTATCTTTTGATGTCCTTTTTCTTCGTTTCTCCATAGCGCTTTTTAATCTGGCATTGCTTATACCTTTTGGCCTTACACACGGGGGATTCAGTACTGGTGTTTCATCAAATGTGCAACCACTTGCATTACAATCAACAACATTATCAGAAGTTTTTTGATTAACTTCCCCCTTCGACGTTATCATTTCTTTTTCAATCAATTCTTCCATCTCTCTCAATTTTTCCATAGCAATTCTAGTAGTAGCTTCTGTCTCTGCTGCCTTACTCAATACATCATAAGTTGTTCGCATCAAAGCATTTCGTCGCAATGTGACCGATGATTTACCATTTACCTGTAATAATTCACCATGCTCATTTGCCTCCAATTCTTTTTTGGCATCTTTTGTCCATCGCTTCAATATATATTGCTCTGGTATCTGACTCCAACATTTGACATTTAGTACCCTTAGAGCATGACTACACAATAAACCCATGGACTCAAACATTTTGCAACTACATGAAATAGTGCGATTGAATGAATTTAGTTGGACAAGGTAAACTCTGTTGTGACCCTCTTCATTAAGTTCAAATGAGTGAATTGTGCCATCACTTCCAACCTCATGCATCATTACTGCCAAACTATCTACAAACTCCTTTTCAAATAATTTAAATATTTTCCTTGTGTAGACAGTAGCAGCATGATTCAAAATTCCACTGCTTTTGGCAATTCTAGAAGGGAGTCCTTGATTGCAACGAAAAGACTCTTCTAATTCACTTGAACGCATTTTTTCCGCTTGTTTATCATAGTGATGCACAAATTGAGTAAGACTCATTGTCTTAGTAGACATTTGATGAAAAACATTGTTTGTGCTCTCACTTCTTTGTGAAGATTTTATCCTTGCAGTAAAAATATGCCGGCTAAATACTGGACACCATTTTGCACGAAGATTATATAGTGTCATCAACCATGGGTTGCCTGTAAGGTTGAATTTTGCCAATAAGTCATCCCAGATAGACTGAAATTCCAATTCTGTCTCACAATATCCTTGAAGACACTTATTGAACATATGGTTAAACTCTTGATTACCGTAATGACTTCCCAAATTTCTTGCAGCATTCTGAGATATGTGCCACGAGCATAAACGATGACACACCCCAGGAAAAATGTTTTGAATGCCATTTGCCATTGCCTGACATTGATCAGTAAAAATAGTTTTTGGTTTTTGACCTCCCATTGATTCTAAAAATGTCTCAAATAACCAAATAAATGAATCAGTTTTCTCATCCAATAAGAAAGCACAACCGAATAGCACATTTTTCCAATGGTGGTTGACGCCGACAAAAGGAGCACATATCATGTTATACCTATTAGTTCGATAAGTAGTATCAAATACTACCACATCTCCAAAACAGTCATAGTCAATTCGTGACCTTCCATCTCTCCAAAAAAAGTTTGTCATTCGGTTTTCTTGATCAACTTGAACTGTGTAAAAGAACATAGGATCTTCAGCTTGTTTGCGCTTGAAAAGGTTCATCAAGCTTTGAGCATCCCCTGCTTCAATCATGGCCATTTTCTCCTTGTTCACAACATTGTAGCAATCTCTTTTTGTAAAACCAACATTTTGAGACCCTCCAACTTCTTCTACTAAATAAGAATATGTATTTGTGGTCCTTATTCCTGCACCCACCATTGTTTTAATGACACCCAAATTTGAATCTGAAACTTTTCTATTTTATCTTAAAAATTGTCTCTCCTCTGGCTTAGCAAGTTCATGGTTATGCTCAGGAACAAAATGAGAAACTTTCCACGTATCATCTTCATCCTGGAATGCAAATCGAATGCTAGCTTCGCAACCTGTTCTTGTCTCTAATTTGCTAACCTTGCTCAATTTCGAAGGATCACTATCTAGTCGAAAACCTTCTTTTGAACAAAGATAACTAAATTGCCGCATAACTTTTTTTGTATTGTATCTCTTTTGTCCCCTCCGAACACTAAATCCAACTCTCGTAGCATAATTGTTGTAGAGATTATAAGCTTCCTCTTCAGTGGATACAACCCTTCCAAGCAAATCTTCATCAATATTTTCTATACGGTTAACAATCATTGGATCTTTTTCTCTTACGTTTTCTTCATCACTTTCAACATCAATGAATACTAGCCACAACATCATCTTATCAAACATAGAAATAATAATAATAAATATATAAAAAATTAAAAAAAAAAAAAAAAAAGAGAGAACAACCTGTATAACCTGCAACAATTGACAAAAAAAAAATCTGCAGCAATAGACAAAAAAAAAAGTGCAGCAATAGACTGAAAAAAAAAATTCTGCAGCAATCGACAAAAAAAAAGTGCAGCAATAGACTGAAAAAGGTGCAGCAATCGACCAAAAAAAAAGTGCAGCAGTAGAAAAAAAAAAAAAAAAAAAAAAAAAAAAATAGAAAAATAAAAAATAAAATAATCGAAAAAAAAGTATATAGCAAATAACACAGATAGAGGATAGTTGTTTACCTCTATCCATAGCTTTGAGCTTGACCAAAACAAAAAGGCTGCAAAAGTCTTCCTTCTTTTCAGAATAGTGGCGCTTGAAAGTTGGTTACTGACGGTGGTGCAGATTTCGATAAAAGTAATTATGTTTTAGGGTTTGTATTTTATTTCTTAAAACAAAAACAGAAAACAAAAAAGAAAGTTGGTTACTAACGGTGTTACTATTAAATCTGGATGTTAACATTCTCTCTCTTAAAAGACAGTCCCGCCACATGTCATTATGCAATTGGTGTGTACTACCACCTGTCAGTGCCACGTGGTAGTACCGTACTATTGTATAATTTCTCCCCCATGTCACCCAGGATTGAAACCTTAATGGGGTTTCTTTGCTTGGAGACCTCCTTGAGAACCACTAGTATCCGTAGAAAACATTGATAGTGATCTTGGAGGGGTAAAATAGGTGGCCACCGGCATCTTTGATGGCAGAATGGGGAAGGGAATCTCCGGGTGAGCACACCACAATCCAACAATCATCAAGCACTCCATTTGTTTCTCAACAAAATCTCCACATAGTTTTGGATCAGCTGCTTCAATGACTCTATCTTCTCCATAAAGCTCCCAAACCCACTCAACCATATTGATTTGACTGCTTCCATATTTAGGATCGATAGGTTTTCTTCCGCATGCTATTTCCAAGGCAACAACTCCGAAGCTGTAGACATCTGATTCTTTGTAAGCCTTTCCTGTGTTGAGATAATCCGGAGCCATGTAGCCCATGGTTCCAGCCAAGATAGTGGTTTGTGATTGTTTTCCGTGGTCCACAAGTCGAGCTAACCCAAAGTCGCCAAGTTTTGGGATGAAATTCGAATCTAACATAACATTGCTCGATTTAATATCCCTGTGCAGCACACATTGCTCCCCCTCTTTATGTAGATAGAACAACCCGGAGGCCAAACCTTGAGCAATTTTGTATCTTGTCTCCCAAGTTAACAAGCTTTGTTCTTTGAATAGATGAGAATCTAAGCTCCCATTGGGCATGAACTCATACACAAGTAAGAACTTTCTTTCATGGCACCACCCAATCAGTTGCACAAGATTACGATGCCTAAGCCGACTGATGATCTTTACTTCCGATGCATACTCCTTCGATCCTTGTTTAGAACCCCTCGATATCCTTTTAACCGCAACATATGACTGCAAGTCTGGTATGAAGCCTTCATAAACCCCACCGAATCCTCCCTCTCCAAGCTTTTCTCCCTCCTTAAAGTTACTCGTGGCCCGAGCCAATTTGCTGTACGAAAACTTCCTCGGGCCAATTCGCTGTTGGTGAGGCGGAGGAACTGGGTGTCCATATAAGCATCACCCTAGGATAAAATGGTGTTGCGGTCGTCGGAAGTGAAGCTGGAGAAATTGAAGTTCAATGGAGTTGCATAGTGGGCTAACAGAAACAAAAGAAGCAGAAGAAGAAGAAGAAGAAGAAGAAGAAAGTGAAGCTTTGTTGAGTACTTTGCAACCATTTTGGAAGAGAAGAGAAAGAGAGACGCGCGCAAATTTGTCACCTAAAATATGGAGCAAAGAGCACAGAGATAATTAATTTTGGAATTAAAATCGTAAATAATTTATTAATTGCTGAGAGACTTGAGACCATTGTTGGAAGTAGCGAGGAAGGAGAGGAATCCATCTAATTGTAAATTGGATTCTTATTAGTAGTTTTGTATGTACATATCGATTTTAATCTTATGGATTTTTTATTATTATCTGAAAATGATAGATTTTTTTTATTTTTATTTTTGCTTACTTTAATGTTATTATCAGTGTTCACACAAAACTTTGAGCTTAGAGTTCATGTTTAGAGAAATTGTTCTTTTAGAAAAAGTCATGGTTTCAAGTCTGATATGAATTTAGTATGTTATCACTCCTCAAAACTTTCTATAAAAAAATAATAATAACCAGGCAACATTATTATTCAAAAATATTAATAAATCAATGTCATGACTCATAATGTACATGTATTACTTATAGGAGATGCTCCCAAAAAGTAATATTTTATTTATTGACATAGTCAAGATCCAAACAGGCCATTAGATGTTGTTACCTTTTTTTTATTTTATCAGTAGGTAATAATTACTAATATTTGTCTTTAATTTTTTTGTCAAGGGCGAATATTTGTCTAGGTTCTGACCAAATATGGTTACAAACCATTATTTGTGTTCTAGGCGATGGACGTCGTCAAGATATATCCAAAACCCTTTTCGTTCTTGACAAACTCTGCTACTTGCAATATGATTATGCACAAGTTGTATATATGGTCAAAAAAATATTGTATATATGTATATATGGTCGTGTGTCACATTCATTGATCACACAGCAGGTATGGATCACAACAATAATTGAACAAATAGTATTATGAAAAGTCCTGCCACTTTCACTATTTAATGTCAATTGATTAAAGCAATTATACTAAACACTTGCTCATCACTTTAACCCAAAGTTTATACTCATCACCTTTCTCAACACTTGACACGTATCCATATACATAATCATGGTTATAATACAAAGTAAAACGTTAACCATGGTTATGTATATGGACACGTGTCAAGTATTAAAAATGGTGGCAGGATATACACTTTGGGTTAAAGTGGTGAGCAAAAATATTTGCTCCATAGGGTATTCGCAAGTTTGAAACAATTAATTTTTTGGTAAAATCCGCACCCATTCAACAAGATAATCTAAGGGGGGGTGTATCCAATTCATACTTATAAAGACTTTTTGAATTGGATACAGCTTGGGATTTAAATTGAATTAAATGATCGGTTTAATAATGGGAAAAATAAAATATTGAAACATGAAACAATTATAATCAAATCTAAACCAATTATAGAAAGTGTTGCGTTACTTAAAAAAAATTCAAGATAGTTCCATCAAATGACTTGTACTTTTGTTTGTTCATCAATAATATACTATCGTTAATTTTCAACCAAAAAAAAAAAGGGACTTGAACCAGTACAATATGTCTTAACCACAAATACAATTATTAAAAATGAAGCAGAGTTAACAAAATCTATAACACTTCATTTGGTGAAACACAGAGAAAGAGGGAGAAGCCATCTACATCTTTGACATCCCTCAACATTTAGATGTATTTTCTCATAGAATAGAAATGCCACATTTTGACCTAGCCAAATAAAATCACTTAAGACAATTACCACATCCAAGAGAACATTGCATTAAAACCATGCATTAGCACAATCATGTGAGGTATAAGTGTTGTGGCCATAGCCAGTTTGGCCTCCTTGAGAACCACTAGTATCCCTGGACAACATAGAGAGCGATTTCGGAGCAGTAAAATAGGTGGCCGCCGGCATCTTTGATGGGAGAGAAGGCAAGGGAATCTCGAAGTTAAGCATTTGAATTGCTTGTTGAATTGAAGGCCTCATATTGTAATCTGGTTGAGCACACCATAACCCACCAATGATCAGGCACTCCATTTGTTCCTCATCAAAATCTCCACATAGTTTTGGGTCAACTGCTTCAATGGCTCTCCCTTCTCCATGAAGCTCCCAAATCCACTCCACCATATTTATTTTACCAGTTCCAAACTTTGGATCGATGGCCTTTCTCCCGCATGCTATTTCCAAAGCAACAACTCCCAAGCTGTAGACATCTGATTCCTTGCTAGCCTTTCCCATGTTGAGATAATCTGGAGCCATGTAGCCCATGGTTCCAGCCAGTGCTGTTGTTTCCAGCTCGTCCATGGTCCACAAGTCTCGCTAAACCAAAATCCCCAAGTTTTGCGTTGAAATTCGAATCCAACATAACATTACTCGATTTAATATCCCTATGTAGCACGCATTGTTCCCATCCTTCGTGTAGATAGAGCAACCCAGAAGCCAACCCTAGAGCAATTTTGTATCTTGCATCCCAAGTTAGAAACCTTTGTTCTTTGAACAAATGAGCATCTAAGCTGCCATTGGGCATGAACTCGTACACAAGTATAAACTTTCTTTCATGACACCAATCAATAAGTTTCACAAGATGTCGATGCCTAAGTTGACTGATGATCTTTACTTCCGAAGCATACTCCTTGAGTCCTTGTTTAGACTCCATAGATATCCTCTTCACAGCAACAAATGACTTCAAGTCCGGTAAAAAGCCTTTATAAACCCCACCAAACCCTCCCTCTCCGAGCTTTTCTCCCTCCCCAAAATTACTCGTTGCACAAACCAATTCACTATACGAAAACTTCCTCGGGCCAACCCTCTTTTCGAATTCTTCATCAATCAATTCATTTACCATAGGATTTTCATCGCTACTTTCCCCTCCATCCCTCTTCTTCCATAAAATGAACCAAACCAAACCCAAAACACCAACCAAGACAACAGCACAACCACCAATGCTTACCCTAATTATTAGTCCAATCCTGTTATAATTTCCTGACTTGACCTCATGGCGATCAACTAGTGAAGTTGAATTGAAATTCCATGAGAAGATCTTAAACAGAGCAACAGAACTACCAGTTGAAGCAGAGAACCCAACAACGACCCAATCTGGCAAGAAGTCTTTCAAATCAACCATGTAATCAAGATAATGAATCATTTGGACACCATCCACAAAAGTAGTGAAGGCAACACTGAAGTTCTTTGTGGTGGAGTTGTAACTAACAGCAGCACTGTTTTTTGTACCGTTCAAAATGCCTGCAGTCCAATTCTTGGTTATAATAGAGTAGAGAGAGTTGACGTTGCTAATCCCATGAAATCAGCCGATCCCCCCAAATCAGTATTGACAGACTCGATATCACAAGATCAGCAATATATTAGCTAAAGATTGATTTGTAATTTATTCTGACATATATAAGATTAATGCTACTTACCTTGTATTGCTTATTTTCTGTAAATAGACTTGAGAAAGTCTCCCAACTTACATGATATATACGGTTGTAATACAGAGACCAAAGTATCTTGGTCAGTTCAATTGCTATACTTCTATCTCTCATCTTCCTCCTCCCTTCTTGAGTCTGTTTTCTTATATGGTATCAGAGCTCTCTGGAGCCAAAGCTCAGGAATTTCGATCCTACCCAATCAAATGGCAAACACACCCAAATCTGGAGAATCAAGTAATATTGACATGACAAGGCTGATTTCTGAAATGTCAAAACTTGCCTCACCTTCATTCTCATCCCTTTCCTTGCCCACCTCATTCAACATCTCATCTCTGTTTCCAATTCCTATGGACAAAACCAATTACTAGAGTTGGAAATCTCAATTTGGAGATGTATTGGAGATGCATGGCCTTGTAGAGGTCATCAAGAAAACCACAGATCCACCCAAAGTGCAAGAAGATGGTTCTGTGCATCTTGAATTAGCCAGGGATAAACTGGTCCTGAGTTGGATCAAGGCAACTTCCTCTCCTTCCATCAAGACTCTTTTCATCCCGTGCATCACCGCTCATCAAGCTTGGAACCTTTTGGGCAAGCGTCTCTCACCTCTCGCTAGTACCCGTGTGCGGATTCTTCAAGACCAAATTTGCACCCTCAAAAAGAATAACAACACAACAGTGACTGATTATCTCAACCATGCCAAATCACTCCTTGATTCCCTCACACAAGTTGGTGCAACAATGGATGATGATGAATTCGTCAGTTATGTTCTGGATGGACTTGGGCTTGCATACAAGAAGTTAGCCACCACACTTCACCTACATCCAGCTATTGGTTTCAACCGATTTTATGACCTTGCTTTATGAGAAGAACACTTACAGAAACGCATGTCACTTACCATGGCTTCGGGTGTGGCTATGGCTGCTGATCGAACACCTAACGAGCGTCATCCAAACTCCAATTCTGCTGGTTGCAGTCACAACCAGTATTACAGCTCTGGAAGAGGTCGCGGGCGTGGCAGAAGTTGGCATCAAGGGCATAGTGGGCGAGGACAAGGGCGAACAGATCAGTGGGGATCGAACCAAGGCAATTGGCCTCATGAACGTGGTGATCAATCTCGCGAACAGCAGTCTGCACCAATAGCCACCTCTCACGCGATACTGACTGATGGACCCCACCACTTCTTCCAACACCACCTGCCAATTCTCCACATCCCCAACGACCTGAGGTAATATGTTTTCGATGTGATAAGCCCGCCCACATAGCCCGTTTCTGTCCAGATCGTAGGCCTCATGCATACACGGCAGAAAATACAGCAAATCAATCTCCTACTATTGATGTGGCAAATCTCAATTGGTGCCTTGACTCTAGCGCTACTCATCACATGACAGCCAATACAGCCTTTCTGCCCCATGCCCAGCCTTACACAGGTACTGATACAATTATTGTCAGCAATGGGAATCAGTTAGCAATCACCATATTGGCAATACTGAATTGACAAGATTGGATAAGTCCTTAAACCTTAATGAAGTATTGTGTGTTCCTGCAATACAAAAGAATTTGATATATATTCGTCGTTTTTGTCATGATAATGACTGTTTCTTTGAGTTGGATGGTAATGGTTTTCATGTAAAGGACATCAAGACAAGGACGGTACTCCTTACTGGCAACAGTTCCGATGGCCTTTATCACATTCAGGCAGCCCCACACATTGCTCATTAGTTTGCATTCTATGGAGAGCGCACGACACAGGACGTGTGGCATGCACGACTTGGACACCCATCTCATTCAGCCTTTCCTACCTTGTTGAATAAGTACCATTTACCCATTGATGGTACAATTATATCGAATAAAAATTGCCATATTTGCCCATTGGGAAAATCTTGTCAATTGCCTTTTGAATACAAAAAGCTTCATGCTCAATTTCCATTAGCACTTTTACATCTTGACTTGTGGGGCCCTGCACCGGTTTCCTCAAATTTTGGATATCGTTATTATTTGTCCATTGTTGATGATAACACTCGGTTCACTTGGTTATATCCTTTGGCTAAGAAATCAGATGTTCTTCCTACATTTATTACATTCAAGAAGATGATGGAAAATCGTTTTAGTTCCACAATCAAACAGTTGCAGATTAATGGTGGTGGTGAATTTACCAGCAAATTATTCCTCGCATTTTTTAGTGATCATGGCATATCACATCAGATTTCATGCCCATACACTCCCCAACAAAATGGAGTGGTGGAAAGGAAGCATCGACATATTGTTGCAATGGGGCTCTGCATGCTCGCCCAATCCCAATTGCCTCATAGCTTTTGGGTTGAAGCCTTCTCTACTGCAGTATTTCTGATCAATCGCTTGTCAACGCCTCAGCTTCATATCATGTCTCCTTATGAGAAGCTCCTTCAACGTCCACCAGATTATAAATTTCTCAAAAGCCTTGGATGTGCTTGCTTTCCTCATATGGTGCCATACAACAAGCATAAATTATCTTTTAAGTCTATTCCATGTGTGTTTCTTGGTTATGATGATCATTATAAGGGTTATCGCTGTCTTGATCCTTTTTCAGGTCGCATTTATATATCTCGGAACGTGACCTTTGATGAGACACAGTTTCCTTACAAGCAGCCCCAGATTACATCTCCCTTGAACTAAAATGGGCTTCAATCTCTCTCTCCTGCCGACCAGCCCATACCTGCTGGTTTCCCTGATATCATAAACATCCTTTATCCCTCACCCACTCTTATTCCAGATTCTACCCCACTTAACTCCAACACAGGCCCATCACTTCATACTACCACCATAGGCCCAACCTTTTCTTCTACCTCTCAACGCCCCATAAGCTCGCCTTCTCTATTAGAAACCCCACTTCCCGTGCCTCAATCTCCTTCCGCATCGTCATCACCACAGGCCACGCATCCAGCAGATTCCTCCATGGCACTCGATATCACAACCTCATCACCACTACCTTCCACCACCCCAACCTCAGATTTTGACAGAATCCAATCCTCAGACTCTAACGACACCACCTCATTCCCTACCTCGCCTCCTTCTTCTTCACCTATTGACCCCTCCATTTTTCCCAACTCTCATAATACCCCAAATCCTTCCAAAAACTTTAAAAGTCTAAACTCCATCATCCCTTTTGGTCCAGAAACAAAACCCCACTACTCTACGACCAGCCCTCATCCTTTACCCCATGCTCTTTCTGCTAAGGTTTCTGATCCCATGACCACTGAACCCACAAGCTTCACCCATGCCTCTAAACACAACCATGAAAAACCATACTTAGTCTTTGGTCCCTGCAACTTCACGTATGAATATTGTGGGGTGCAAGTGGGTCTTCAAAGTTAAACGGAAGGCAGATGGCTCAGTTGACCGATACAAGGCTCGTCTTGTTGCCAAGGGATTCAATCATAAAGAAGGCTTTGATTATGAAGAAACATTTAGCCCAGTGGTCAAACCGGCTACCATTCGCACTATTTTATCTCTGGATGTTTCTTATAATTGGTCCCTTCAGCAACTGGATGTTCGCAATGCTTTCTTGAATGGGTACTTGCAAGAAGAAGTATACATGAAACAACCCCCTGGTTTTCATGATCACTCACGACCTGTCGGCTCCACAAGGCTTTCTATGGCCTGAAGCAGGCACCACGGGCTTGGTTCCAACGTCTCAGTTCCTTTCTTCTTGCTCAGCAATTTGTTCACAATCACTCTGATGCGTCGCTCTTCATTCGTCGGTCCTCTTCCTGCACGGTGTATGTTCTAGTATATGTGGACAATATAATTGTCACTGGCTCTCAACCACAAAGTGTCCATAATTTCATTGATTAGTTATATTCCACCTTTGACAGCCGACGAATGGGTGAGGTCAATTTTTTTCTTGGAATGGAAATTAATCGGTTCTTTGACCACTTATTTCTTTCTCAGACACGCTATGCAGTTGATTTATTAAAACGATTTAATTTCACTGAGTGCAAACCGTGTCCCACACCATTGCCCTCCGACACTCAGCTCTCTGGTCTGGATGGTGATCCTTGCCTGACCCGTCCACCTATCGGAGTATGGTAGGTGGCCTCCAATATCTTACTTTGTCCAGGCCAGATATTTCCTTCGCTGTCAACCAAGTGTGCCAGTTTATGCACAACCCTCGCACTTCCCACCTTCAAGTTGTCAAGCGCATTTTTCGGTACATTAAAGGTACAGTTGAGCAAGGTCTTAACTTTCACCAATCCAATGATTTTTCCTTACGGAGTTTCTCGGATGCTGATTGGGTTGGTTCCGTTGATGATCGACGATCCACCATTGGTGCTTGTATATTCTTCGGTCCTAACCTCCTTACATGGACTGCCAAGAAACAATCTACTGTCTCTCGCTCTAGTACTGAAGCCGAATATAGGGCTCTTGCCCATACTGCTGCCGAAATTCGATGGTTTGGTTACTTGTTCCGTGAACTTGGCAATCCCCTTCGCTCTGCCCCGTGCATCTATGTTGATAACCTTTCCGCACTCTACATGGCTGCCAATCCTATTTTCCATGCTCGCACTCGGCATATCGAGATTGACTATCACTTTGTTCGTGAATTAGTTGCTCGAAAAGCTCTTCGTACCTCTTATGTTCCCTACTCACATTAGCCTGCTAACATATTTACTAAAGGTTTCAGTCGTGATCGGTTTTCTCTTCTTAAATCCAAGCTTAATCTCCGCATTGCTCCGTTACGCTTGAAGGAGGGTAAAGAGAATACCACCACAGCTAATCCCATGAAATCAGCCGATCCCCCCAAATCAGTATTGACAGACTCGATATCACAAGATCAGCAATATATTAGCAAAAGATTGATTTGTAATTTATTCTGACATATATAAGATTAATTCTACTTACCTTGTATTGCTTATTTTCTGTAAATAGACTTGAGAAAGTCTCCCTCCTGTACATGATATATACGGCTGTAATACAGATACCAAAGTATCTTGGTCAGTTCAATTGCTATACTTCTATCTCTCATCTTCTTCCTCCCTTCTTGAGTCTGTTTTTTCAGAGTTAGCAGGGTCCTTGATGGTTTCGAGTGTATTCTGGTAAATATCAAACTCCACTGCCACGAAGGGGTACTGATTCCTCGGACCGGCGTCGTTTGACGAAGGCGTGGTGTTGACGGGGAGGCCGAGGCTGCTGCCACCGGATATTGTTCGGTCGAGTGAGGACCCATTTGGGGCAATGAAGAAGGTGAGGCCGTCGCCATATTTGGTGTTGTTGTTGGAGTCGATGGCGAACTTAAAAAAGGCGGTGAAGTCTGCGAGTTTTCCGGTGGCATTTTCGCGGAGGAGGAAGGGCTGGCTGTAGGTGGCTCGGCCTACGCTGCCTTTTATTGCGACATCGGCAGCGCTTTTGGTGAGGCGGAGGAATTCGGTGTCGAAATAAGCGTCGCCTTCTCTGGATATAGTGGTGGCGTCATTGCTGTTGAAGCTGGAGAAACTGAAGTTTAATGGAGTTGCAGGAGGGGTTAACAGAAAGAAGAGAAGAAGAAGAAGAAGAAGGAGGAAGTGAAGCTTGGTTGGTTGTAGTGTGAATGTGGTGATGGCAGAGTTGCAGGTGACGACCATTTTGGGGGAGAGCATGAGACTCTGAGAGAGAGTGGAGCTTGCATTATTGCTTGTCATCATAAATAGAGCAAGCCAGAGCAGGTAGAGCTGGAATTGAAGTCCAAAAAGAAAGGGACCAGGAAGACTTCGAAGTTTCCTGACAAGTGGGTTGACTCCAAGTCAATGAAGCTTTCAACTTTTTTATTTTAGTAGGAAGGAAGGAGGAAGTTGTGATGGAAAACAGAGAGACACGAGGAGTAAATTAAGGAGGGGGAGAAATGTGTCTGTCTCTGTTTCTTTTTGTGTTATAACATGTTATACGGACATATTATAACATATGTACGTTGATTACATCATGTGAGGTATTGCCGAAGAATTAATCGTTCGTTCATATAAGATGGATTAAGAGCGTATTTGAAACTGGAGATGTTGTTTTGGTTTAGTTAAAATGGGAATATGGTTTTTCTTCTACCAATCAAGTCATCATCGTAACACAATTCAAATAAGACTTAGTTTTTTCTAAATGTGTCGTTATGTTATGTAGGGGCACAAATGGTCTCATATTCAATGCGATCACACGAATCCAACTCAGCTTCTTCATCTTAAAACCAATATCGCATAAATGGTCTCATATCTCATAAACCGCAATACGTACGTGGTTAAGATGACACCACGTATGGTCAACGTGCATGCAAAGAAGAGATGGATCAGCCAGCCAGCAAGGTGGTGGTCGTCCCAATTACCAACCAAAGACTCGAAGAGATAGAGAGAGAGAGAGAGAGGCTCTCTCTTTTTCCATTTTCGCCTTTTGCTAGCACAGAGAGACAAGAGTGAGAAGGACAACGATCAGAATTGGCTTTGATGGGATATGATCACATGGGCTCATCATATCATCGTGTACAAACTTAGAAGTTAGACTTGTCAATTGTCAGCCATTTCCATTGGATAGAAACATAGGTAATCTTAGAGAAAAAATTTCCAGATCTTACTAACAAACATACTATAAAATCATATTATATATATTTATTGATGAATTCGCAGTGATCATGTTTAAAGTCTCAATCATTGATATAAAAAAAACAATTAACAAAAAAAATAGCTCTCTGCATGAATCCTGCAGAGGCCTATTACTATGTACTATTCTTCTCCAATATAATAAAATCATTTTGTTTTCCCCACAATTCTAATAGTGGAATTAGAGCTAGTTCGATCGCATTGGGCGTCAGAGCTGGTTCGAGAACTAGTGCGATCGCTTTGGACATAAGGGCCGACTCGAGAGCCGTGCTCAATCAATTTGGGGCGCATGGGCCGATTCTAAGGAAACAAGGTACGTGCTATCAATACTCAATTCAAAATTTCAAGAATTCTAGAAAAGGGGAAGGAAATCTAGAGAAAGTTCTAGAGGAGGAGATAGTGAAAATAAAGAGAGATGGCATGAGAGGAAAAACTTTTCTTCATGTGGGGTGTGCAAAAAGTTAAGACACTCAGAAAAAGAAGCCCGAATGTTGAAACTAAAAAATTGGGCGATGAGGAGAATAAAAATTGCCAACGAAGAACTATCAAGCTAACTACGAATGGAGAAAGTGCCACACAAGCACGGAACTGCAACATCAACTAGATGTTTGTCAATGCTAGCTTCATGAGGTGCATGCTTGGAGAATTACCAATGCGCATTAAGGAGGAGTGTTGAAAAACTAATGCTCATTTGTTCTACAAAGTTCTAGAAAAGTCAAGAGCTCACAATAAAGAAGTTGCATGGCAGCAAAGCAAAATGAATATGGTGGAATATTCTGGAAAAAGTGATAAGTGAATGGCAAGAGTATGGCGGTGGAAGAAATATCTAGAGCATACAAACATGTGGCTGGGGTTGATCTTCCCAAGTCGGTGGAACAAAGCATGTCGGTTGATCAAGCCTATAAATTGGCATGCAACCACAATGAAATGTGGAGTAAACCAATCAACTCCCAGTCTATGTGGGAGCAAAAAGGCTATCTAAATAAACTATGTTGAGGAGTCAATAAGCTCATCAATCTAAGTGAAGGGCCAAAATAGCTCAAACCAATCTAAATCAAATGTAGTGGCCAATAAGCCAATATGTAAAGTGTAGAAGGCCAATTAGCTTACACCAAATTATGTACTATTCTCCTCCAATATAATAAAATCATTTTATTTCCCCTACAAATCTAACAAGTTGTAAGGGACGCCGAGACTGCTACCAGATCCCAGTGTAGTGTTGAGCAAGGACCCTTTTGGGGCTATGAAGAAGGCGAGGCCGTCTCCATAGCTGGAGTCGTTCTTCGAGTCGATGGCGAAGTCGAAAGTGGTGGTGAAGTTGGAGAGTTTTTTGGTGTGGTTTTCGCAGAGGAGGAAGGGTTGGCGGTAGGTGGCTCGGCCCACGCTGCCATTTTTAACGTCATCTTCAGCGCTTTTGGTAAGGCGGAGGAAATGGACGTCCATATGAGCATCGCCCTCGGGAAATATGGTGTGGATGTCGTCTTGACTGAAGCTGGAGAAACTGAAGTTTAGTGGAGTTGCAGAATGCGCTAACAGAAAGAAGAGAAGCAGAGGGAGAAGAAAATGAAGCTATGTTGTTGAGTACTTTGCAACCATTTTGGAAGAGAAGAGGAAGAGAGATTAATGTGCGCAAATGTTTGTCACCCAAAATATGGAGCGAAGAGCGCAGAGATAATTAATTTTGGAATTAAAATCGTAAATAATTTATTAATTGCTGAGAGACTTGGAGACCATTGTTGGAAGGAGCGAGAAAGGAGAGATTTTTTATTACGGAATTTTTTATATTATCTGAAAATGATAGATTTTTATTATTATATATTTTTGCTTACCTTAATGTTATCAGTGTTCACACAAAACTTTGAGCCTAGAGCGCATGTTTACGTAAAGGATACGTTTGGAGAAATTGCTTTTTTAGAAAAAGTCTAGGTTTTGAGTCTTGTGTGAATTTAGCATGTTATCATGTCTCAAAAATTCTATGAAAATAATAATAATAACCCAGCAACATTATTATACATATAAAAATAATAATAAATCAATGTCGGGACTCATGTACATGTATTATTTATAGGAGATGCTCTCGAAAAGTAATATTTTATTTATTGACATAGTCAAGATTCAAATATTATTGGCTTTTTATCACAAAACGTCCTTGACGTTTGCAAAACTATTAGATTGCATCCTTAAAGTATTTTTGTATTACTCATGATTCCTAATGTTAATATAGGTGCTATTAAATAATCCATCTGTCAAAAAAAAAAGAAGTTAAATCCAGGGATATAATCGTCAAATTAATCCAAAATTATTATTATTATTATTATTATATATATATAAGTGTAGAAACCCTGTAACCATAACCAGGATCGGGGAAATACAAAAAATAAGGAAATTTTGAACATCCGTCGCAATTGGCTAGAGCCCAAGGCATATATAAGTCTGAAGTTGATTTGGAAATTTGACTTTTAGTAACGAAAAATCTAAAGAACACTGTCGCAGAAAATGTTTAGCCACTAAAAATCTGATGAACATCTGTCGCTAAAAACTTTTGGTGACGAAAAATCTTCAAATTTCTAGGCAAAACAACAACTAGATTTTTATAGTTCAATTTTTTTATGTTATTCCCTTCCATTTTCAGTGCTTACCTTTAGTTTCCAACTAATTCCCACAAGAAATGGAGGGAAATGGTTCCATAGTATGCATCTTGTTTAGTTGATTTTCTTTTTCTTCTCTTTGTCACACATTTTACAAGAACACGTGAGTTTTCTCCCAATGTTTCAGTTTCATAAGAGGTAGGTCCTTCCTCTTTACCATTACTAGGCTTCCTTACCTGGCCAGAAGAAGATATGCCCAGCATCCACTGTGGTAAACGTCTCCTACTTCCATCATCTGCTTCTGGAGCAACTCCCACCGTTTCTTTTTCTCTCAACTAAACTAACCGATAAATTCATTAATGGTTGAAGAGGTGAAAATGAATTGATTTGACGATTATATTCCTAGATTTAACAATTTTTTTTTTACAGATGGACTATTTAAGAGCACCCATATTAACGTTAGGAACCATGAGTGATACAAAAAAAAACTTTAAGAACGCAATCTGATAGTTTCCTAAATATCGGGGACGTTTTGTGATAAAAAAACCTTTTTTTTATTTTATTAGTAACTAATAATGTCTAATATTTGTCTTCTTTTTTTTTTTTCAAGGGCGAATATTTGTCTAGGTTCTGACCAAATATGGTTACAAACCATTATTTGAGTTCTAAGCGATGGACGTCGTCAAGTCAAGATATATCAAAAACCCTTTTCATTCGTGACAAACTTTGCTACTTGCAATATGATTATGCACAAGTTGTATATATGGTCCAGGTCAAGTGTCGCATTCATTCACACAGCAGGTATGGATCCCAACAATAATTGAACAAATAGTATTATGAAGAAAAAATTGTCCTGCCACTTTCTCTATTTAATGTCGATTAAAAACATTGACGTGAACTTTTGGTTGGTAAGCCAAAAAACCCTAGCCCCCTTTCTCCCAAAAAACACTCTTAGAGCCTTTTCCACTTTGAGGGGGGAGGAAGCCATTGTTCTTCCCCCCTCTTCCTTCTTCTCTTCCTCCTTTCACCTCTTCCCCATTTTCAGAGACAAAGGGTTTTCCCTATTTGTCTTAGTTTTGTTATGATTTTCATCCAACTATTATAGGCTGCTGCGGCTCAGCGTCGGATCTTCACCTGCATTTCGGCGTCGGATCTTCGCCACCATCTCTTTTGCAATTTCTTTATGTTTGGAATAAGTTGCAGAGACTCTTTAAGTTCTCTGTGTAGTTTTCACATCTCCTTTTGTGAGAGTTTTTCATCTCTCCTTTGTGAGAGCTTTTTATCTTTCCTTTGTGAGAGTTTTATTTGTATTGTTATGGCTTGGTTTTTTCAAGCTTTATCTCTTTTTTATTATTCTAAGTTTGCAATCTTAGTTGAGATGCCTATGTCAGAATTTCTTCGATCTTGCCTGATCGTTAGTGGAGACGCATCAGATTGTCTTAATTTTGATATTAGACCGTTCTGTTATTGTAATGGCCCTATTGTGGCTAGTTTGTATTGGCCCTTTGTTACTAGTGGCTTTTTTGGCTGAATTATCAATACAATCATAGAATTTCTCAAAAAATGAAAAAAAAAATGTCGATTAGATTAAAGCAATTATACCAAACACTTGCTCATCATTTTAACTCAAGGTTTATACTTACCACCATTCTCTATACTTGACACGTGTCCATATGCATAATCATGGTTTCTTAATACAAAGTAAAATGTTAACCATGGTTGTGTATATAGACACGTGTCAAATATTAAAAGGGATGATAAGATATACATGGGTTAAAGTGGTGAGCAAAAATATTTGCTCCATAGGGTATTCGCAAGTTTGAAACAATTAATTTTTTGGTAAAATCCGCACCCATTCAATAAGATAATCTAAGATTGGTTGCAGGTTTTCTTTTAATCCAATTCAATACAATTACAGCTTGGGATTTAAATTGAATTAAATGATCATTGATTGCAGGTTTTTCTTTTAATCCAATTCAATACAATTACAGCTTGGGATTTAAATTGAATTAAATGATCGGTTTAATAATGGGAAAAATAAAATACTGAAACATGAAACAATTATAGTCAAATCTAGACCAATTATAGAAGTGTTGCGTTGCTAAACAAAAATTAAGATAGTTGAATCAAATGACTTGTACTTTTGTTTGTTCATCAATAATATATTATCGTTTATTTTCAACAACAACAAAAAAAAGACTTGAACCAGTACAATATATCTTAACCACAAATACAATTATTAAAAATGAAACAGAGTTAACAAAATCTATAACACTTCATTTGGTGAAGCAGAGAGAAAGAAGGAGAAGTGTTGTGCCATTTAGATGTATTTTCTCATAGAATAGAAATGCCACATTTTGACCTGGCCAAATAAAATCAATTAAGACAATTACCACATCCAAGAGAACATAGCGTTAAAACCATGCATTAGCACAATCATGTGAGGTATAAGTGTTGTGGCCACAGCCAGTTTGGCCTCCTTGAGAACCACTGGTATCTCTGGACAACATAGAGACCGATTTCGGAGCAGTAAAATAGGTGGCCGCCGGCATCTTTGATGGGAGAGGAGGCAAGGGAATCTCGAAGTTAAGCATTTGAATTGCTTGTTGTATTGAAGGCCTCATATTGTAATCTGGGTGAGCACACCATAACCCAACAATGATCAGGCACTCCATTTGTTCCTCATCAAAATCTCCACATAGTTTTGGGTCAACTGCTTCAATGGCTCTCCCTTCTCCATGAAGCTCCCAAACCCACTCCACCATATTTATTTTACCAGTTCCAAACTTTGGATCGATGGCCTTTCTCCCGCATGCTATTTCCAAAGCAACAACTCCCAAGCTGTAGACATCTGATTCTTTGCTAGCCTTTCCGGTGTTGAGATAATCCGGAGCCATGTAGCCCATGGTTCCAGCCAGTGCTGTTGTTTCCGGCTCTTGTCCGTGGTCCACAAGTCTCGCTAAACCAAAATCCCCAAGTTTTGCGTTGAAATTCGAATCCAACATAACATTACTCGATTTAATGTCCCTATGCAGCACGCATTGTTCCCATCCTTCGTGTAGATATAGCAACCCAGAAGCCAAGCCTAGAGCAATTTTGTATCTTGCATCCCAAGTTAGAAACCTTTGTTCTTTGAACAAATGAGCATCTAAGCTGCCATTGGGCATGAACTCGTACACAAGTATAAACTTTCTTTCATGACACCAACCAATAAGTTTCACAAGATGTCGATGCCTAAGTTGACTGATGATCTTTACTTCCGAAGCATACTCCTTGAGTCCTTGTTTAGACTCCATAGATATCCTCTTCACAGCAACAAATGACTTCAAGTCCGGTAAAAAGCCTTTATAAACCCCACCAAACCCTCCCTCTCCGAGCTTTTCTCCCTCCCCAAAATTACTCGTTGCACAAACCAATTCACTATACGAAAACTTCCTCGGGCCAACCCTCTTTTCGAATTCTTCATCAATCAATTCATTTACCATAGGATTTTCATCGCTACTTTCCCCTCCATCCCTCTTCTTCCATAAAATGAACCAAACCAAACCCAAAACACCAACCAAGACAACAGCACATCCACCAATGCTTACCCCAATTATTAGTCCAATCCTGTTATCATTTCCTGACTTGACCTCATGGCGATCAACTAGTGAAGTTGAATTGAAATTCCATGAGAAGATCTTAAACAGAGCAACAGAACTACCAGTTGAAGCAGAGAACCCAACAACGACCCAATCTGGCAAGTAGTCTTTCAAATCAACCTTGTAATCAAGATAATGAATCACTTGGACACCATCCACAAAAGTAGTGAAGGCAACACTGAAGTTCTTTGTGGTGGAGTTGTAACTAACAGCAGCACTATTTGTTGTACCGTTCAAAATGCCTGCAGTCCAATTCTTGGTTATAATAGAGTAGAGAGAATTGACGTTGATACCTACATGTTCGTGAGCATGGTCCTTGATGGTTTCGCGTGTATTCTGGTAAATATCAAACTCCACTGCCACGAAGGGGTACTGATTCCTCGGACCGACGACGTTTGGAGTTATGGTATCAACAGGGAGGCCGAGGTTGCCACCCTTGCCTAATACGCTATTGAGTGAGGAATCATTTGGGGCTATAAAGAAAGCGAGACCGTCGCCGTACTTGGAGTTGTTGTTGGAGTCGACGGCGAAGTTGAAACTGGTGGTGAAGTCAGCGAGTTTCCCGGTGGCCTTTTCTCGGAGGAGGAAGGGTTGGCGATAGGTGGCTCGGCCCACACTAAAGATATTTTCGTCATCTGTGCCGCTGTTGGTGAGGCGGAGGATTTTGGTGTCGAAGAAAGCATCGCCTTCTGTGGTTATGGTTGCTAAGTCACTGCCGTTGAAGCTGGAGAAACTAAAGTTTAGTGGAGTCGCAGAAGAGGTTAACAGAAAGAAGAGAAGGATAAGGAAGTGAAGCTTTGGTGAGCGGAGGGTGTTTGTTGTGATGAAAGCAGAAGAGTTACCCATGACAACCATTTTGGAAGAGAGGCTAAAAAGATGGCAGAGGTATCCGTTGAGCCGAATTCAAATATATATATATTGGCTCAAAGGCTTGACCCTAGTTGGTTTAGTCTGAGTCAATGAAGAACTGGTTCGATGACTTGGGAGACTTTATGGTAGATTTCCAACTCTTTGATTTAGTAAGCGAATACTTCGCTTGCAAATGGGAATGGAGAGTTCAATATTTTTTTTTCTACAAATCACAAGAATACGTTGGGAGTGAAGGTGGAGGGAAGAATAAGTCTCCATGAACGTACATTGTTTGTGCAGCAAGAAAAGTGATGTAGAATAGTTAGCTGAGATGATCGAGGAGCAGCTTGACATGTGTGAACTGAGAAATAGCAAAATCCAACCGTTTCTACTCCGAGCTACTATTTGGACCCTTTTCTTTCTTTTTCTTTTTCTTTTTTCTTTCTTTTTTTGCCAAATGATCCCTTTTCATTATTATCAATAAAACTTTGAAGTTTCTCTCAACCTTCTGGTGGCTTTCTTGTTCTAAGACTACCCTTAAAAAATAATTAATTCTAAGAAATCTTGTACGCAGACACGGAATTAAAAGACTCGGATAAAGGACTTTGAGGACTTAGACTTGGTTGACTCTAAGAAGGTCTTCCCAATCCTGGGAGACTAAATTTAAAATTTTATTTTATTTATAAAAAAACCTTAATATAGCAAAGTAAAATCCATCTCCGAATTCTCATTTCCATACCGTGTCCGATGGACAAAACTGGTTATTTATATCCATTTCCCCCAACAATCGGACGTTTTGTTTCCTTACAAGTTATGTAGGGTAATTTTCACTTTATTATGGTAAATTTTATCAATTTTTAGAGTTTGATATATCAAATTTTTTTCATCAAAATCGCATACACAAAGTTGGTTTTCTTACCACTTTCATACGTATCGATACTCTTGCCGTTTATAAGTCTGATAATAAATATGCCACGTAGACCCACTCATATGATATCACGTGGTTTTGACAAAATAAAAATTAATTTAATTAATCAATAAAAAATATAAAAAGTATATATATTTTCAAAAATAAAAATAAAAATTGATAAATCTTTTTAAAAAATCTTTCACTGTACGACCTCCTCCCCTCCCACCCCACCGTACAACCACCCCAACTCGACCCACCCTAAGAGCACTTCCAACAGTTTGCTCCTTGTCATGGCGGGGGGTAGGGCAGCTACTATTCACGTGAATAGTGGCTGCTCTTACAAAAACCAATGTGTGTTTTTAGCAATTGTCATTTGCCATGGCAAATACTATTCATTTTTTTTGTTTTTTTCACAACTGTTTTTACCTAAACAATTAATTTATATAATATTTTCCTATAAAATTTTTGGGTTCCTACGTGTCAATACTATTCATATCGGATAAAATTTTCGGTTTCAAATTTCAGATAAATTTCAAAATTCATATCGAGTATTGGTTGGTAGTTATAGAAAAAAAATTCAGTAATTTTTTGGTATTTTTTTTCATGTTTTTATTGCACAAAAATTAACTGCCGTTGGATTAAATGAAAAAATCTGATCAGAGAGCCTAGAGTGCGACACGTGGAAAAGAGCCGTTGGCAGCACTGTAGCGGCGCGATCAAATTTTTGCACCAACGTTAAAAAAAATAGGACGCCAGGGGAAAACTCGGGCCAGCCCAGTCTGCTGGGTCCCACCATCTGTCCGGGCCAATTCCTCCCCCCACCCCAACAAAGCCCTCCCCTTGGTTGCACTGCTGGAACCAACACCCACACCCCAACTTCTCCTTTCTCCCTCACTGTCAGATGCTCTAACCTTCAATTTCAATTTCTTAGAGTTGGTGCGAGAGTCCAGTAACCTTCAATCTTCCGCCCTGAATTTCATCACCCTAGGAGATTATGGGGAGTGTGGCTAAACCAACAAGATCCTCAATGCAAACTCCACTACAAAAATCAAGCTAACACAAACCATACCCGCGGTCTGGCGGTCAAAATGCGATGCGGCCGTGACAGGGTTGGGGACGACGATGATGTGGCGATCGAAGTTGAGGTGGGGGGTCTTGTGCCAGTGGTTGAGGCCTCGGGCTATGGCGGCTATGGATCTGGGGTGGGAGAGAAGGAGGGAGCTTCTGAGGTGGGACTTGACGGCGGATATGAATATGTCTTTATTGACATAGGGAAGAGAGACAGAGGGTGAGAGAAAGAGAAAGGGGAGGTGATGGGCTGCGACGAGAGGGTATGGTGGTGAGGTAAAGTGAAAATTACCCAATTATATATGCTTCCTTCCAAATTCTTATATACAATCAATTTTTGCACTTTCCAAATCAAACACATTACAACTTTGATAACTCTTAAAAACAGAATATGGCAGACAAATCCAACAACACTTAAAACTTTAACAAATATCTTAATCACAATGTCATAAATCATGAAGAGGAAGTCTTTCAGTAAAACAGGGATCTGTAAGACTTGTTCTTAATTGGTGAACCCCAGAGAAAGAGCAAGGCGCCATCTTCATCCTTGTCATCCCTTCATTTTTTTTCATCAAAATGTATTTCCTCACAACGCATCATGATCTGGTCAAAGAATATCCATTCAGGCAATTACCACATAGAACATTGAAATTAAAAAAATTCCAAATGTTTAGGATCCAGGTTATCATAATTATTGAGTTAAGACTTATTTCTTACCCGAGTGGAATTTTTGGATGAGAATTTGTGGTAGAAGAAGATGCGCTAAACTGTGAGGAATTAGTGTTGTAACCATAGCCTGATGAAAACTCAATTTGTCCTCCTAGAGAACCACTAGTATCTCTAGACATCATTGAGAGCGATTTCGGAGGAGCAAAATAGGTGGCCACCGGCATCTTTGATGGGAGATTCGGCAACGGAACCTCGAAGTTAAGCACTTGAATCGCTTGTTGTATTGAAGGCCTCATATTGTAGTCTGGATGAGCACACCACAACCCAACAATCATCAAGCACTCCATTTGTTTCTCATCAAAATCCCCACACAATTTTGGGTCAGCTGCTTCAATGACTCTATCTTCTCCGTAAAGCTCCCAAACCCACTCAACCATATTGACTTTAGAGCTTCCAAACTTTGGATCGATGGGTTTTCTCCCGCACGAAATCTCCAAAGCAACAATTCCAAAACTATAGACATCTGACTGCCTGCTAGCCTTTCCTGTATTAACATATTCCGGAGCCATGTAGCCCATGGTTCCAGCCAAGATTGTGGTCTGCGACTGTTTTCCGTGATCCACAAGCCTTGCTAACCCAAAATCCCCAAGTTTTGCGTTGAAATTTGAATCCAACATAACGTTGCTGGATTTGATATCCCTGTGCAGCACACATTGTTCCCATTCTTGGTGTAGATAGAGCAACCCAGAGGCCAAACCTTGAGCAATTTTATATCTTGCCTCCCAAGTTAACAACTTTTCTTCTTCGAACAAATGAGAATCTAAACTACCATTAGGCATGAACTCGTACACAAGTAGGAACTTTCTTTCGTGACACCAACCAATCAGTTGCACAAGATTCCGATGCCTAACTCGACTGATAATCCTTACTTCCGATGCATATTCCTTGGGTCCTTGTTTAGATCCCCTCGATATCCTCTTAACAGCAACATATGAGTTCAAGTCCGGTATAAAGCCTTTATAAACCCCACCGAACCCTCCCTCTCCAAGCTTTTTTTCCTCCGAAAAATTACTGGTGGCTCGAGCCAATTCGCTGTAGGAAAACTTCCTCGGGCCAGCCCCTTTTTCAAACTCATCATCCTTCAATTCATTCACCATGGGATCTTCATCACTAGTATCCCCAGTCCCTCTCTTCTTCCACAAAATGAACCAAACCAAGCCCAACCCACCAACCAAGACAGCAAATCCAGCAATACTGATCCCAATTGCTAGTCCAATCCTGCGATCATATCCTGGCTTGGGTCTATAAGGACTGGCAACGGGGCTCAGCGCAGGAACTGCAACAACCGATGTCGTGTTATCGGTTGCAATGTCGACCTTATGGTGATCAACCAGCGACGTTGAATTAAAATTCCATGAGACGATCTTAAACAGAGCAACAGAGCTGCCCGTTGAAGCAGAGAACCCAACAACCACCCAATCCGGCAAATAGTCTTTCAAATCAACCGTGTAATCAAGATAATTAATCACTTGGACATCATCCAGAATTGTAGTGTATGCAACACTCAGGTTTTTTGAGGTTGAATTATAACTAACAGTAGCGCTATTTTCCTTCCCTTGCAAAATGCCTGCACTCCAATTCTGGTAAATAACAGAGTGGAGTGAATTGACGTCGATGCCCACGTGATTGTGCCAGGGGTCGTTGATGATTGGCTGTACATTCTGGTAAATGTCGAACTCCACGGCAACAAAAGGGTACTGGTTCCTCGGAACGGCGTCGTTTGACGAAGGCGTGGTGTTGACGGGGAGGCCGAGGCTGCTTCCGCCGGCTATTGTTGGGTCGAGTGAGGACCCATTTGGGGCGATGAAGAAGGTGAGGCCGTCGCCGTAGTTGGTGTTGTTGTTGGAGTCGATGGCGAACTTAAAAAAGGCGGTGAAGTCCGCGAGTTTTCCGGTGGCATTTTCGCGGAGGAGGAAGGGCTGGCTGTAGGTGGCTCGGCCTACGCTACCGTTTATTGCGACGTCGGCAGCGCTTTTGGTGAGGCGGAGGAATTCGGTGTCGAAATAAGCGTCGCCTTCTCTGGATATAGTGGTGGCGTCATTGCTGTTGAAGCTGGAGAAACTGAAGTTTAATGGAGTTGCAGGAGGGGTTAACAGAAAGAAGAGAAGAAGAAGGAGGAGGAAGTGAAGCTTGGTTGGTTGTAGTGTGAATATGCTGATGGAAGAGTTGCAGGTGACAACCATTTTGGGGGAGAGCATGAGACTCTGAGAGAGAGTGGAGCTTGCATTATTGCTTGTCATCATAAATAGAGCAAGCCAGAGCAGGTAGAGCTGGAATTGAAGTATAGACTTTGAAGTTTCCTGACAAGTGGGTTGACTCCAAGTCAATGAAGCTTTCAACTTTTTGATTCTAGTAGGAAGGAGGGAGGAAGTTGTGATGGAAAACACAGACACGAGGAGTAAATTACGGAGGGGGATAAATGTCTCCTGTGTCTTTGTTTTTTATCGGGAGTTTCACTAAAACACTCAAAATGAAGGCTGAAATTATAAAAATACTCAACACCCAAAATACTTTATAAACACACTCAAAACTCATCATTACACACACTCAAAACTCATTTATAAACACACTCAAAAAATATACAATTGTTGATTTTGGGTGTGTTTCTATGTTTAAATAGTGCTTGGATTTTTTTATAAATACATGTCTAGAATTAGGTTTATTTATAAATTTGTATTTTTTATTCAGGTATGGTTCTTTGTGTTATAACATGTTATACGTACGTATTATAACAACGCTCTTAACCAAATTAGTCACCATTATTTGTGTCTAATGATTTAAATATAATAAATTTTATTGTAGCTGATGCATGAATAGTAATAATGTAATAAAATATAAGAGGATAATCTTTCCCATAATAAAATATTTACAATAATAATTTAATAAAAATATATGGATGGAATCTTTCTCACTATCTTTTCCCTTCCCTCTATATATAATTAGTAATAGTTACTCTAAATAATAAATATGATAATATAAAAAAATGTGAGAGCATGCATGTGCATCTGAAGATGCGCCCAAATCAACCCCTCTTTTTCTTTCTTTTATAATTTTTATTCTCAACATATCTCATCTCTCCCAGTGCCTTTATTTTTATTTTTATTTTTTCCCATCTTCTTCTTCCTTCCGTCACTTTCTATGGAAGACTCTACCAAAATTTTGGTAGAAAGTCTCGGTCTTTAGCAGAGTCTCCCCTGTAAATTGAACATTTCCCAAAATTTCAACCTGCACAAAATTCACAATTTAATATCCCAATAGGCAGCATGCACAATATAATTTCATACAATTCATATAATCGGCCTCCGGCCTTCACATAAACAAAAACAGAACCTCCAGCAATGTTCTTAAATCAAAATAACGCATTGAACAATGCAGATAAAATAAACTCAAACTCATTTATGAATGCCCACAGAAAATAACATAAATTAACTTCCCAAATTTTAAGCATGCGAGGTTTAACCTCCTAATACAAACGTAAGTAGTTTAAGCACTCAGCCCCAAATCGTACACAATCCAATACGGGTTACAATCCTATCTTGGCCTCAACCACACTTTAACAACACTCTCACTTAAACCGATGAAAAAGAGAATAATCACTAAACCTAGCCTTGTTCTCAAACGAGCTTTAAAACCACCGACATGGTCGGCACTAAACTTATCCAAACACCATAACCAGTGAGATTAGATCCAACGACCAAAATAAAGTTTCATGAATGTCTTTAGTTCGTGGCTGCACCCAGGTGGGACCCCAGGCTACCTACGTACCCTTACAGATTGATCAAGCCACACGTAGTTCTTCCTAACAAAAATCCTGGTTCCAATAACATAGAAACAATTACAGCCATACCAATTAATACATTCTAGAATTATTCCTTTCCTTTTTCCTTTGAATCACATCCTACCAAATACAATCCTTTTTCACATATGCCTTTCCTAATATAATATAACAATCCTCTATTCATTCCCCTGTAATCACATAATCTCCCTATACGCCAGAAAATTCAACGCCACGTATGGGGTCTGTCTTACACACTGGAAGAATCTCACGCCACGTGTGAGACCTAATAATCACATAATCCCCCCATACGCCAAAAAATCCAACGCCACATATGGGGTCTGTCTCACACCAGAAAATCCAACACCACGTATGGGGTCTGTCTTACGCCGAAAAATCCAACGCCACCTGAGACCTAATAATCACATAATCCCCTCATACGCCGGAAAATCCAACATCATGTATGAGGTCTCTCTCACACCGAAAAATCCAACACCACGTGAGACCTAATAATCATATAATCTCCCCATACGCCAGAAAATCCAACGCCACATATGGGGTCTGTCTCATGCCGGAAAATCCAACGCCACGTGAGACCTAATAATCACATAATCTCCCCATACGCCGGAAAATCCAACGCCACGTATGGGAAGTCTAGTATCTGCGGGATGGTACTCAACATCTGTAATCTGTATTCCGAATAATTATAACTCTCAATTATCCAAACTAATAGAGATAATCCCCATTTAGCAATACCAGTCTATAGTAGAGTGCAATGTAATTTAATCAGTGGAAATAATATTATTTTTAACCAACGATCATGCACATAAACATAAATTTCATAAAGATCCTAGAATAATTTAAATATTATTCAACGCTTGTTTTCACACCAATTCCATAAAATATTGTACCACACAATTAGAACATTATACTTTATTTATAATCAAATAATATTAATTAATGATAAGCAACAACCTTTAAAGAAATTCCCAAATCGAATCAATTTCCAATTTAACCTCAAATAACAATTAAGACTCGATAAAAAGGTTATCCTAATACCTTTCGAAGGATGAAACTACCTCGAAAGACTCACGGTCAACCGAGGGGTCCAACTACCCCAACTTCAACTTGGTCAATCGGGCCCATGGGGCCCACGACCTCCGATTTCTTATCCGAAAGTTCCTATGGGTTCCACAAGGTTTAGGATACACGTCCTGCAAGTTTGGTCCGGATCGGACAGTCGGATTGCTCACGATCGCACAATCAGATGGTTACTGTAAACCTAGCACTAGGGTTGGCATTTCCGGAGTATCCGGGACTCTGTTTTACGATCCGTCGAATCCTACACAATCCTAAGGATGTCTAGATCATCATATATTAAATTCAAGACTATCCAATGGTTCAAACCTATCGAACCCGGATAATGCACAATAGGCGAAATTCGTTCAATAGTCAAACGACATCCGAATTGAAATCCGAGCACACCTACGCACTCGTGAGGACCATGAGATTACATCGGGACACAATGCCCTTTTTCTACAGTGCCCACTCGCCGCCACACACGCCGGCATCGCGTGGGTGTCCAAAGCGATTACGCTTCACCAGAGAATCTCAAATTCATGGCTCAAGACTCCGACCCTAAGTGTAACACCATATTTGGAACCACTTTTGTTCTTGGACCTACCCCAAAAAGTAACCGGAAGTGGCCGGAATCGCGATCCTGAAACCGACAAAAATCCAATTCGAAAATCAAGCTACCTAAGCTCAAAATTGGTGCAATCCTACCCAACCATCAGCTAGATTATGAAGAATGGATGAATTTTCATACCTTGATTGCCAAAAATGGCGGCCGGAGGAGAGAGATCAGAGCCAGTGATGTTTCGAGCGAACACCCCCCTAAAAATCACGTTTTCCGGCAGCTAGCATGGCAGCCGGTGCGGCGGCCGATGTCGAGGAAGGCCCGAGTCTTAACGGTGGGGCTGAGCCGGTCCTTTTGGCACCGGTCCCATCTGTTGCCATGGCCAGTGGTCGGAGTTTCGAAAAGAAAGAGAGAGAGAGAGAGAGAGAGAGAGAGAGAGAGAGAGAGAGAGAGAGAGAGAGAGGAAAATCAGATTTTTAACAAACCTTTTTTGCCAAAATTACGATTATGCCACTGAAGGTATTTTGCTCGTATCTTCTTTGTTACAACTCCAATTCGAGCCCACTACGTGTCTACGGACTCATCTCGATGTGTTCTACGCAACAATATAGTTAAAATTCCCAAATTCCTTCCCGATCAAAAAGACGAATGATGATTCTTACTTCAAACGCATACTCCTTAGACATTCTCTTAATAGCGACATATGAGTTCAAGCTTTTTAAGAAGCCTTTATAAACCGCAACAAACCCTCCCTCTCCGAGCTTTTCTCCCTCCTCAAAATTTCTCGTTGCATGAGCCAACTCCGTGTAGGAAAACTTCCTGGGCATGTTCGCTTTTCGAATTCGTCAATGCAATCATTCAGCAGGGATCTTCCTCACTTTCTCCTGCTGTTTTCAGCTTGTTCCACCCTAAGATGAAGCAAACAAAGCATAAAGCTCCAACCAAGGCAATGCATCTGCCAACACCTAATGCAACCGCTGGTTGTCCTTGTTGAGAACTAGTGCTTGGCAGAGGAACTACCGAGTTCACTCCGCTCGTTCCATTGTCATCATCGGGAGAAGAGTTAAAATTCCAAGAGGTGATCATATGCACAGCAAATTTAGCACCCGTGGCAGCAGAGAACCCGACAATGACCCTATTCGGCAAGTAGCTCAAATCAACTCTCTGATTTAGATAACTACTCACTTGGGTACCATTTAAAATGGTAGTGAAGGCAACCAGAAGAGTTTGTGAGGTAGAATTATAACTAATGGTAGCACCATTTTCTTGTCCATTCATAATACCACCATCCCATGTACTATTGGTAATAGACTATTGAGAGAGTTGATGTCAATACCACATGTTGGAAAGTAGGGTCCCCAATGTATGACTCTTTATATCCTCATAGATATCAAATTCCATGACCTAAAAATACTGATAAGATTTTCTACCAAACATTTTCAGTTCTCAAGAAGCGTTTTTAAAACTTTTAACTATTTGAGCTACAAGTTTCTTTACAATTCATAGGGTACTAGTTAAAAAATGTGCTAGGTTTGCCTAATAATAGTAGTGCATGTAAAGTAGCAATGTTGCATTGATAACGGGCGTAAATTAATACGCTAACTATCCAATTAAAAATACTCGCAAGTGTACGAATCTATTAGAGTATAGATTTGTAAATACGAGGTCGTTCTCACGAGAACTTGATAGTTTATAAGCAAATCCAGTTTGAATATGTTAAGAACACTTAATTTAAACACAATCACAAGAAATGAAACAAGAAAAGTGATAGTGTACATTAAATGAAACACTTAATTTAAGAAATGTACTAGGTTTGCCTAATAATAGTAGTGCATGTAAAGTAGCAACTCATCATTTTTTTTCTTTTTGGTCTTAAATCTATTGTCATCTATTCTTTTTTCTTTTTTTTTTAGTATAAGCGATAGTCTAAACAAGAGGGGAGGGGGGATTTCTCACACATACACACAAGGGGAGGGGGGATTTCTCACACATACACACAAGGGGAGGGGGGATTTCTCACACATACACACAATTATGATGTCGTGGGGATTCGAGCGTGAGACCTCCGGTCTATAAGTCAAGGCACTTTTTCACTCGGTAGATCCCGTTGGCATTGTCATATGTTCATATCAGCTGTCTTTCCTCACACAAAAATGCCAAAATATGATCTGGTCAAACTCAAAGAATATCAACTAAGAAAATTGGATTAGAGGTCTAGCTCAGTGGAAAGGCATCAACTTGTAGACTAGAGGTTTCAAGTTCGAATCTTCAAGGCATTATAGTTGTGTGTGTGAGAGAAATCTCCATATCTTGTAGTTTTAGACTATCACTTATACTAAAAAAATAAAAAAATGGGATTAGACCCATCAATACAAGAAGTTTGTAGCTATATATGACTAACAAAATATTCAATGCCGACGATGTGCGGATTGTGCAACTTCACAGAGCCTCACAGAGGAAGAAATCTAAAAGGTAAAAACTAATGTGCGGACTGTGCGACTTCTCTATGTTTGGCGTCTAACATGATGCATTGTGAATATATCACGTCTACTCAATTGTCTTCAACTTTGATCCTATTTATTGATATTGTTGATTAATTAGGGTATATATAATGGTCCTTTTGAATTTGATTTTAGGTTTGTAACAAAAAATTTGATACTAAAAACCTAAATTCGAAGTGATTATTAACTAGTGAAGCCCACACCAAATGAAGCCCACACGTTTTGTGTTTATTGATTTTTTTTGTAATTGATTTTTTTTCTTTTTTAAGACGAAATGTAATTGGCAGTTGGATGAGTGGGATTTGTGAAAATGAAATGTGGGACCTAATGTCTCGTCTCCTGGTAAGTCACGGGCAAACAGAGGAAGAGAGACATGTCAAATCCTTAAGCGACAATTATTGATGTCATAAAAATTCGTGACGATTTTGCTTAACGCGTTCGTTCATAAAGATACGATGATGATTGTACACATCATACCAATAGATGTGAATCAAATGTGAAGAAAGTTGAGTAGGTGAGATTTTTCAGCGCTTCCGGTCTAATGGTTTAAAAATATAAACGTGTATAGATATATATCATTTCTTAGTGTGTAACTAAATTGATACAACATTACATTGAATTGTATATTATCAAAACAAAGAGTGAAATGCATAATCCTGTACAGGACAACAGTGGAATTACAAAAATTCTAAAAGTTTAGAATCAAAATTATTTAGTTAGGCTTCTTTCTTACCCAAGTGAAATTTTTGGATGAGAATTTGTGGTAGAAGAAGGTGCGCTGAACTGTGAGGAGTTAGTTTGGCCTCCTTGAGAACCACTAATATCTGTAAACAACAATGAGAGCGATTTCGGAGGAGCAAAATAGGTGGCCACCGGCATCTTTGATGGGAGATTCGGCAATGGTACCTCGAAGTTAAGCACTTGAATTGCTTGTTGTATTGAAGGCCTCATGTTGTAGTCTGGATGAGCACACCACAACCCAACAATCATCAAGCACTCCATTTGTTTCTTATCAAAATCCCCACATAGTTTTGGGTCAGCAGCTTCAATGACTCTATCTTCTCCGTAAAGCTCCCAAACCCACTCAACCATATTGCTTTGAATACTTCCAAACTTTGGATCGATGGGTTTTCTCCCGCATGCTATTTCCAAAGCGACAACTCCGAAGCTGTAGACATCTGATTCTTTGCTAGCCTTTCCGGTGTTGAGATAATCCGGAGCCATGTAACCCATGGTTCCAGCCAAGATTGTGGTTTGCGACTGTTTTCCGTGGTCCACAAGTCTAGCTAACCCAAAATCCCCAAGTTTTGCGTTGAAATTTGAATCTAACATAACATTGCTTGATTTAATATCCCTATGCAGCACACATTGCTCCCACTCTTCATGTAGATAGAACAACCCAGAGGCCAAACCTTGAGCAATTTTGTATCTTGCCTCCCAAGTTAACAAGCTTTGTTCTTTAAACAAATGAGAATCTAAGCTCCCATTTGGCATGAACTCGTACACAAGTAAGAATTTTCTTTCGTGGCACCAGCCAATCAGTTGCACAAGATTGCGATGCCTAAGTCGACTGATGATCTTTACTTCGGATGCATACGCCTTCGGTCCTTGTTTAGAACTACTCGAGATTCTCTTAACAGCAACATATGAGTTGAAGTCTGGTATAAAACCTTTATAAACCCCACCGAATCCTCCCTCCCCAAGCTTTTCTCCCTCCTCAAAATTACTCGTGGCCCTAGCCAATTCGCTATACGAAAACTTCCTCGGGCCAGCCCCCTTTTCAAATTCGTCATCAATCAATTCATCAACCACAGGATGATCTTCATCACTACTTTCCCCAGCTCTTTCCCTCTTCTTCCACATGATGAACCAACCCAAACCCAACCCACCGAACAACACAGCACAGCCACCAACCCCCAACCCAACTGCTAGTCCTATACTCTTATTTCCTGACTTGCGGTTAGAATTAGTATCACGATCACCTAGTGAAGTTGAACTGAAATTCCATGAGATGATCTTATTCAGAGAAATAAAGTTACCGGTTGAAGCAGAGAACCCGACAACGACCAAGTCGGGCAAGTACTGTTTCAGATCAATAATGTCAGAAAAATGTGTCATCTCTTGTGTAACATTCGAATCGGGTGCAAAAGTAGTGAAGGCAACACTCAGGTTTTTTGAAGTGGAATTGTAACTAATGGTAGCATTATTTGTTTTTCCTTCCATAATACCTCCTTTCCAACGTCTGAAAATGGTAGAGTTGAGAGAGTTGACGTCGATGCCCACGTGATCGTACAGGGGGTCGCTCGTTGGATATGGGTAGATGTCAAACTCCACCGCCACGAAAGCGGTGTCGTTTGGAGATGCGAAGTTGACGGGGAGGCCGAGATTGTAGCCACCTGCTGGTTTTGTGTCTTCGAGGAGGAAGGACCCGCTTGGGGCTATGAAGAAGGCGAGGCCGTCGCCGTAGGTGGATTGTTGAGCGAGTCGATGGTGAAGTTGAAACTGGTGGTGAAGTCCGCGAGTTTTCCGGTGGCCTTTTCGCGGAGGAGGAAGGGTTGGCGGTAGATGGCTCGGCCGGCGCTGCCGTTCTTTTGCTGGTCTTCCCCGCTTTTGGTGAGGCGGAGGAATCCGCCCTCGAAAAAAGCATCACCTTTTGTGGATATGTTGGGGTAGTAACTGCCGCTGAAGTTGGAGAAACTGAAGTTTAATGGAGTTGCAGAACGGGTTAACAGAAGAAGAAGAAGAAGAAAGTGAAGCTTTGTTGAGTACTTTGCGACCATTTTGGAAGAGAAAAGAGAAGAGAGAGAAGGGTATTAATAATTAACGTGCACAAATGTTTGTCATCTAAAACATAGAGATAATTAGTTTTGGAATTGAAATTGAAAAAATTTGGTTGCAGAATGAAAGACTTGAGACGATTGTTGAGTCCATGAAGCACTTTTCCAAGACTGGAAGCAGCGAGGAAGGAGGGGAGGACCACGGAAAAATATATTTGTTCTATTCTTCAATGAAGTTTATAGCTCAAGATGCACGATTTCACCATAATTCAGACCAAGAACTTAGAAGCCCGACTCAACTTCCAACAACGGGTTGAAAACATCTGAATTTCAAAGTTGGATCATCTAGAAGTTCTAAAGTGGATGTTTAGCTGTGGTCTAAAATTCAGCCAAGGTCAAGTCTTCTGACCAACCAAGATCAATTTATTGCATTCTTCATTTCATTTACGTTCGTTTATTGCTTTGATCTATTTTATTGCACTTTAACTCTTGTCTTTAAGTTTAATCACATCTTTAATTTAATTGCATCATTTGCACTTAGAACCCATAAGAATCACAAAAATATCCATACGACGCTTAATCATTCTCAAGCCCAAGGAAGTGAAAGAACCTAGGTCAAGAGGAGGTTCCTTGCTTGGCTGATCAATCACTTGATCAGAAGTTAGAAGCGCAATATATTCATCCAAGCCATTCAGTAGCTTGGTGGTGACACGCCTACACAATCCAAGAGAAGAATGACCAAAAGTTCCTTCCGTCGGCCACCTTGGCCGAAAATAGGGAAATACTCATCTAGTGCATTTAGCTAATAGAAGACTATTCTTTGGAGACTTCAGTAGCTTTCAACTTTTCTTTTCTTTTTTAGTAAGCTGGTGTTCTGCTTGATTTTCCTTTGCTTGCAAATGGGAATGGATCAATGTAGACTATTCTTAGTAGTTTCTCAATGTCTTTATGCATGAACCAGAAGAAGAAAAAAAACATGACATTACTTAGGGACATGAATGAATGAATCCAACTTGATTTATGAATGAGACATGTAACGACTCACTATAGTCACAATTACTGTGCATCTATGGCATCAAATATATAAGCCACGGTCATTTTGTGGCTGAAAAACTATTAGACACAGACCAGAGTAGCTCCTAAGTTAGCTGTGAATTGATTAAATCGAATAAGAAAATGAATTTCGTGGGTTGACTCCGAGTCAATAGAGATTGGGGAGACTTCAGTGATAAATTACGGAAATATCCTTGTAATGTCCTAATTTATGTATAATATCAATAAATATACACGTGTTATGGATATATTAGTTACGTCAATGTCTCATCTCGTGAAAAATTTACTCTGCAAATGCAATATAAGATCGATAAGAGTGTTTGAAACTGAAAATGTTGTTTTGGTCTAGTTAAAATGGGAATATGGTTTTTCTTCTAGTAATCAAGTCATTATCGTACACGATCAAATAAGACTTTTAGTAGTTTCAAGATGTGTCGTTATGTTATGTAGGGGCATAAATGGTCCCATGGATAAATTCAATTGCGATCACACCCGAATCCAACTCATTCGTTTTTCACATTCCACTATGGCTTATTTCACATTCCATATGAGGTCAAACAATGCATTTGGAAGGATTCTCTGATGTAACTTCCATGTTAGAAGAAAACAAAGGGGAAGGTAGAAGACAGAAGATTAATGTTTTCTCATCGAGTTTTTTTAATTAATTTTTATATTTTGTATTTCCTTTCTCTGTTAAAGCCAAATTCGTTCTTTTGAGGCTTCATTTTTGGATGGAAGGATTCCAAATTTATGGACTAATGTAACATTATAAGATAAACTTGTTTGTTTAGACTAATACAACTCATGTATGCAAGTTTGGACAAGAAATAAAGGAAGAATATAAATGGATTTCAAATAATTCTTTATATGTAGTCAGTGACGGACCCAGGAATCTTACCTCATAGGGTAATAGTGTAAAAGTCAATTTTTTTTTTTTTTTTTTTTTTTGTGGCGGCGATGGAGGAGATGAGGGTTAAAGGGTTTTGGGGTGGGGATTGGGGGTTTAGGGTTGAGGAGAAAAGTTTTCTGCCTACTTTACTATCCTGGCTCTATCCCTTTTGCATTGCACTTCAAATCATTTTGAGTACCCGTTGAATAATTACACAAATTAGAATCACCTATCTCTTTTTTATTAAACTGAAACTCATTTTAGAGAGGCTGGGATCCGGTGGAAGGGCTTTGGAATGGCTGGTTTTTTTTTTTTTTTTTTTTTTTTTTTTTTTTTTTTTTCTTTTTTAAAGACCAAAACGATATCATTTTGGCCAAGTCATTTTAAAAATAAAAATAAAATTTTTTGGGCCAAAACGACATCGTTTTGGTCCATGTCGTTTTATAAATAAATAAAAAAGAAGCGTTGGACCAAAACGGCGTAAGCTTCTTTTTCTTTTTCTTTTTTTATAATTAAACGCACGCAGTAACAGTAAGCCTTTCCTTCAATCCAAATATCAAACAGGTGGAGGGCATTTCATGGGGTCGCACAGTCAGCTCAAGAGGACCGTCAAGCTTATTTCTATGGAGTCCATAGAGTCGTTTGACCCCATTGACACCACTGTGGATCCGTCCCAGCATGTAGTCATTTCAAATATACTACATCTAGTTATTCCAAACACCTTCAATCTAACGTTGGTTCTTATTTTTTTAAGTAAATTTATCCTTAATTCTCATATCCAAATCCCTCTATCCAAACCGGTACTTTTCTTAATTTGATGAGTTGACTGTTAAGTAAACAAATGCAACCTATATAATATATATATAGGTAGAGAGATGCACATAGCTTTCCCTGAGCTTGAGCCTATCTGATTACTTCTTCCCAGTTGGATAGACGTCCTAAAATAGTCTTCTTCTTCTTCTCCTCAAACACAACAAATGGATGAATCATTGAGCTTATCTTAAAGATTGGAAATGGACTGCAACCCCATTATATTATACATACACGTTGAACAATCCCAACACTCCTGGAGGACATTTCAAATATCACTACTCATCAAGAAGCAAGTGTCCACACAAAGGGAGCTTCATATCCACTCAATTTCTGCTTACAATTTACTGGTAATTAACCCTTTCTCTTATTTTCTTTAGTTTCATTTTATGTTTTATGTTTTGATTTAATTTTTATTTTATAAGTTATTGTTGAACTTGTGAACTGGGTTCTATGAACCAAATGCAACAAAAGAGTGTCTGGTATCATCCTTCATTAGGAGACTTCTGTGATGCATTTTGTTAGAGGAAATGAATGGGGGGAGTCAGAGACAGCATTGGAAGGCTCACTTCCATCTTCCAATCAATTTTTACTCTTCTGAAAACAAATGGGGGAGGTGGGAATCTTCCGACCAGTGTTTTGGGTTTGTTAAAAAGTTGTTCAACCAAACAATGATTGTGTGAGGCTACTTTCAACTTGGACCTACTTTGGCTCTTAACTTAAAGAGGGCCCTTTTAGATTATATGAAGCTGGAAAGGCCCAACCCATGTCTACTGTACAATGAAACTCCCAATGGCTAAGGCCTAGATTTAGAATCAGGCTAAGGCTAAGGTCTATAGTTTTTAACAGCCAAAAGCGTTTCATCCAACTTTTACACAAAAATAGTGTTTCTAGGTCATTACAGTGCTTTTTGGGAGAGGTGTTTCTTCAAAAAGCACTTGTTTCTCCAAAAAAAAGTATTTGGGTGTTATAAAAATTTCAACTTGCTTCTAATAAAAGCACTTCTGAAGCAATATCAAAAAGTCCACCATTGATATCATAGTTTGAAAATATAACATGACTATATGGTAAGAGAGCATTTACCCATAGATCTAGCACCTTCTTTCTGAAATGTTTGTGCCAGTGACTTTATTTATTTATTTGTACAAGTGATATTCTACTTTTTACGGGAAGGGGCAAACTCGGTTGCATAATAGAGAGCACATCTATTCTAGCAAACTTAACGAAATCCATCTCTATAAACTTTAATTCGCTCAAGCCAACTTGTTTGAGTACCTTTAAACCTGACTAATGCGTTCAATATGGTTGATTATCATACATGCTTATTTTGTTTCTTAATTGAATTTGTTAGAGAAACATTGGGAGTCACACCTAGTTTGCGATAAAGATAAGGGAAAGTAGGGATTAGGTGGGATGGGCATATCTAACGTCTTGTTAAGGACTATACATATATATCCCTAATCCTTATGGTATGGGTGGGCATATTATATATTTCCTCCTTATGGCTCTTTGTTGGACAAATTTCTCATAATAAAAACAAAAATCCGATGTAACATTTCGTACAATAAGGCCACGTTAAAGTTACCATCTCTCCTCTCAAACCTCCTCAAATTTTCCATGAAAAAGAAAGGAAAATGACTCCCAACGTGTGGTGTAAGGTTAGTCCATGTCGGCTTCTTTTTTGTACACACGTGTTCTCACCCCATTGGATCGAATTACAATCATAGAAGTTGGAGTTGTAACTCCAGTTGACAAAGAATCTATTTGATACTAAAAGGATATTTGTATGTGACAGTTTTGTCACATTGTATAAGATTAGGACGATTTCAATTCTAATAATCACGTCACCATTAGATTTGGAAACACCAAATTTGTGAACCACACAAATACTGTTAGGAGACACCATAAATAAATGAAAAGGACAATATTTGATCACCTCAAATTTAAAATTTTATTGGGCGAGAATAAAATGCTGACACGTCATTAGGCGAGAATGAATTTTGTTTCACAAATTTGAAAAAACAAGCGTTGAAACTTCAAATGATGTGTTACATCAAGTACACCAATTTTTATATTTTTGTTATATATAAAAAATTGAAGTGATGCATTTTTGTTTTGAACTGAAACTTCAACCAGCAGTCGCCAAGTTTTGTTTTCATGCAACAGAGAACTTCAACGTGTGGTGTTTGGACATGCAGTTCCTCTGAGCCACTTCATTTGTTTCTCTGAGCCACTTCATTTGTCTTTGCCCCTCTCTCTCTCTCTCTCTCTCTTTTTCTCTCTGACCTAAAAACCAAAATTTCAGTTTCCAAAGCTCAAAGCAAGACCCAAAAGTGACCAAATCAGCCATGGAAAATGGGGCTGTGAACCAGCAAATACCAGTAGACACAACTTCTGCAACAATCACCATAAAAGGCATCCTGAGCTTGCTGTTGCAGAATGTTGATGAAAATGATAACAAAAGGCTGATTTCATTGGGGATGGGCGACCCAACTGCCTATTCTTGCTTCCACACAACCCAAGTGGCTCAAGAAGCTGTTGTTGATGCTATCCAATCTGACAAGTTCAATGGCTATGCTCCTACTGTTGGCCTTCCTCAAACCAGAAGGTAATTTCAGTTTTCTTCTCTCTTTGTTTTCTTTTATCTTCTGGAAAGATTTGCTTTCATTTAATGGCAACAATTGCTTTTTTCTTTTTTGTTAATGGGATTTCTTGTTTTCATCGAATTCTTGTCCTGGATCCAAGTGCGGCCACTTTGGGTTTGTGGGTTCTTGGCTTGTATGTAGTTTTGTTTCAATCTGCTTTTGAATTATTTTTGAAGTACTTTTGTAGATTTGTTCAATTAAATAACTTGAACATGCTTCATCCACTTGAAAATCTATCTTTCTACTTTCACTTTCTTAAAGTTTCCGGGCTCAGGCTTTATTCTGGAAAAGGCTAAAGGAGATAGAAATATTTTTTAAAGAGCTAAAATGGACAAAAATCCCGGATTTATTTTTGGATTTCCTATGGAATCTTTTACATTTGCATGTCTTTAGTTTGAAAGTTGAGAGGTTTTTCTGTCTTTTTCGGAAAAGTTTTGGCTTTTTTCAAAAGTGAAATTTTTTTTGTAGCTAAAATCTAAATTTACTTTAGTTTTTACAGGTTAGTGAATTCTAACAGGGAAAGTAGAAATCAGTCCAGAATAAATAAATAAAAGTAATAATAACTGGAATAGGAGCAATGTGTGTACGTTATTAGGTAAGGAACTACTTTATCCGAGTCTTGCCAATAATTAATACTTTGCCAACAATTAGACAGTCACTCATCGGTCTACATCAGTACAGTAACGTCAAACACCTAACATTCTGCTTTGACAAATTGCATTAAGTTCGAGTCCCTCTCCCAGTAAATTAGATTAATTTAGAGCACTTTGTATAAAAATAAATTTGATAAGGCCATGTTTAATAGTGACAGTCCATTTGATGCATGTGTTGGATTATACGCTGCAAGCTTGTAAGGCAAGAAAACATAATGCCCTTGAGGGGGTATTTCAATCTAATCATGTTCATGATGCTTACTCAGTGCACTGTGACCTTCCTGTTTTAAATATGTCAGACAGCAAATATATCATTGATTTTGCTATAAAATTCACTTCATGACAGAGCAATTGCTGAATATCTGTCCCGTGATCTTCCATACAAGCTAACATCTGATGATGTTTTCGTCACATCTGGTTGCACACAAGCTATTGATGTCGCATTGGCAATGCTTACGCGTCCTGGTGCCAATATCTTGCTTCCAAGGCCATGCTTCCCTATTTATGAACTTTGTTCTGCTTTTCGACATCTTGAAGTTCGACATTTTGATCTCCTGCAAGAGAACGCCTGGGAGGTTGATCTTGATGCTGTTGAAGCTCTTGCAGATCACAACACGGTTGCAATGGTAATTATAAACCCTGGGAATCCTTGTGGGAATGTATACAGTTACCAACATCTGGAAAAGGTTAGTGGTCAATGGTATGGCATCAAATAAAAGATTGTACTTTAAGAGACCAAGTTTTGGACACTGGCATTGGATTCGGTTTTAACTTATTGTTTTTGTATTGCACTTAGATTGCAGAAACTGCAAAAAAGCTTAGACTTCTAGTAATTGCTGATGAAGTTTATGGGCATCTGGCTTTTGGAGGTAAACCATTTGTGCCAATGGGAGTCTTTGGATCAACTGTTCCTGTTCTTACTCTTGGGTCCCTGTCAAAGAGATGGATAGTTCCTGGATGGCGACTTGGTTGGTTTGTGACAAGTGATCCATGTGGCATGTTTAGAAAACCCAAGGTTCTCTCTCTGTCTCTCTAACGTGCACGCTTGCACACACACACACACACACACACACACACATGTGTGTATGTCAGACTACTTCTTAATTCATTAATCTCAGAATCATGAAGTCCATTTAAACTGATTTATGTACCATTTCAAACAATCACAGTGCATTGTCTATTGAATAGAATTAGCCCCTCTCTCTCTGCCATTTAGTGGACTTCATGATAATTATCTTCAGAGTTTCTTAACCAGTTTGAAGCACATCTTAAAAGTCTAATTGATTTTCCACATGGCCAAGAAATAGGATTAAGTCTCTTGATTCAGTTGTTTTGCTGATTCATGGGTTTAACATTGTTGATGGCATGAAGCTTCCAGTTAGACTTGTTACACATGGTTTTTCAAACTCACCCATCTGCATCTGGACATTTTAGCTTTTCCTATTCACATCTCATAGTTGAAAATTTCTTCTGTTATATCATCCACTTCTAGTAGTGATTGTATATTGCTTTTCCTATTCAGGTTGTTGAGCGCATTAAGAAATATTTTGATATTTTGGGAGGACCTGCAACCTTCATTCAGGTGTGCATCTCATTTGCTTGTTTTGAATTGCTTAAACACCATAATACTTGTTTTCTTGATTACTGTCATTATTTGATTTTAGATCATGCAACTTGCAGCTTCTGTCCTCAAAAGAACTATTTCTTAAAGCTATTTCAAGATTGGTATAATGAAAGGAAATTTCAAGTACAAACCGTTGAAAGTTCAAAATTTAGTCCCAATTCCTCAGAAATTGTAGTCAAAACCTGAAAAACACAATACAGTATTACATTTCCTCTGCAAATACTCTGTACAGATAGAGAAACAAGTTTGGTACATATTGCTTCTGCTATTGAAATGTGAAGACATTAACTTTTAGCCGAAATAATTTGGACTATGCAAGCCTACTCAAGTCAGAGCATTAACTTATTGTTCATCTCTGTTTCATGATGACATATTTGGTAAGTTATAGGCAGCAGTTCCGCGCATCATCGAGCAAACTGAAGAGGTTTTCTTTAAGAAAACTATCTATTTACTGAAGCAGTCCTCAGATATTTGTTGCGATCGGATAAATGAGATTCCTTGTATTACCTGTCCAAACAAACCAGAAGGATCTATGGCTGTAATGGTGAGAAAAATAGGAGATGAAACTAAATTTTGCATTCTTATGTATTTACATCACCTTCCTTATTTATTTTGTTTGTGATGCAGGTGAAACTAGACCTTTCGCTACTGGAGGATATTACCAATGATATTGAGTTTTGTTTCAAGCTGGCTAAAGAGGAATCTGTGATCTTTCTTCCAGGTTAGAAATCGACAAATCGAAAACATATTTTGTACTTCTTCTCTCAGTATACAATATTATCAAGAACAAATGGAAATTACAATCCTAGTGGATATCATTGTACTGATAATTGGTTTTCTTTAAACAAAATTTCTTTTGTAGGGGCTTACAAAGTTATAAGCATCTCCTTGGTACTTAATGACTAACAAATGAAATTACGTCTGCTTTGCAGGGACAGCAGTAGGGTTGAAAAATTGGCTACGTGTTACATTTGCTGCCGATCCAAACTCTATTGAAGAAGCTTTAAGGAGGACAAAATGTTTCTATCAAAGGCATGCCAGAAAATTATAGATACATTCACACATATATGCCAGTGACGAGAAATAGCTAATTATATGTAAATCAGCTTGAAAATTCTTGTTGCTGATGGCATGGTCATTTGAACTGAAAATTCTGTTCTTCCACTGCCCATTTGTAATGAATTACTAATAATAGATCATATGACATACATCGCCCTTTTTGTCGCAAATTTTGAAGCATTATGCGATAGCATCCTGATGATCAAGACCCAACACAGTTGCCAAGCACAACCATAGTCGCCAAGCGCGACTGACAATAGCACAACTTTTTTGCATCAATATTACTTGTGGCTAACACTCATCAATAGCTTAAATGTCTCTGCTCGCGACTGGGTGTACCACTACTACTCTTGCATCAATATTTTTTGTTCTAAAGTTCACCAATCTTTTTGCTTTGGCAGAGTTGTGGGGTTAGGGTTTTACCTGAAAGCCCTCACAACAACTTAGGGAGATATTCTAATATTTCTCATCTTTGGCTAATTAGGATTTGACAGGTGAATGCTGATGGCATCCAAACTTGTCTTTTAATAAAGAATTAAAAAAGATGCACCTTGATTATAGTTTAATTGGTTCCACATAGCCAATATCGTCAGTATTTGGGAAAGAGGCCATAGTCTGCCAAGAGAGTCGTTTGCATGTCAACCCACAGTTCAAAAAGAACAGAAATCATTACATTCGAACACAGATTTAAATAATAAAACAAAGCCTTTTTTCTTTTTTTTTCTTTTTTCTTTTTTATTATTAATTTTATAAAGATCTTTTATATTGAGAGGGGCGATATACTAAACTCACACACACTACACGAATACTAGGATTCGAACCCAGGACTTTGTCTAGGGAATCAATTGCTCCAAACCACTACACTAACGAGTCCTTTGCATAAAACAAAGCTTTTAACTTATGCGGTTTGTCATCATTGATTTTTAGGTAAGCTGTCCAAATAAAAAGAACCTTCATATTTTTTTTATTTTTTTTAATATAAAAAGAATCTTGAATCATGAAATTTTTAGTTTTTTTACCAAATATATGACTAGACATTTTGTTTCTAGCTAAACAAAGTTAAATTCTAACATTAATTAATTAAACATGAAGTATTTATTTGAAATTCCAAAGAAAACTTATAAACTTCAATGAACAAAATCTTATCTTATATCTCATTTCATTAGAATCTTATTTTCTTATCAGCATATAAAACTTAGCTATAGCAAGAATTAGCATTGCCCTAGGAAGAATTAGTATTGCTTTGCTGCAATCATCACACAGTCAGCAACCTGACCAGGTTTTTATATCACAGCCTACCAATAATAAGAGAACAACAGAAAGAACAAAAGTCAGCAACCTGACCAGAAAAGCAATTCTATATCATTCCATTTGCTATGCCCTTCCCTCCTATAAATTATACCTCCATCAGTCTTCTTCCTCACTCTTTTTGCTTCTCTGTAGTTAGCTCTGTTGAATTCTGCTTCTGCTAATCCATGGCAAGCTACAGCCCTTCTTCTGACCAGAAATCAGGTGAGCTTTTGTTTTGTTTTCTGTAGTTTTCTTTTTTGGGTTGTCCCATTTTGTAATTTACCTGATCATAATGATCTATAAACATAATTGGTGCTTTGGTTGTTGATGGACTTGCTATTGATGTTGCTGCTGTTGTGAAGACACATTGGAGGCTGGAAATGTCGAGGATTTCAAAGTTCATGTTTTTAAATCATCATCCGAGGTGAGAATTCTAAACCCCCAGTTTTTATATCACAGCCTACCAAGGTTTTTGTAACTGCATCGTAAGGGCAACATGTTTTCCATTCTTCATCAAGTTATGTTCTGCAAATACCTTTCTGTCAGTGTCAGGTATTTTGATCTATGGGTAGAAGGAGGAGAACATAATAAATCAATATTCAATCTAGGATCCTGCATGTGAGTGAGATTATTTCGGCTGTAAATCGTGATGGTTGCACCAAGTTGTGAACCTTGTTCATCAGCTATGACCTTAAATTTGAAGATTATTCTGATTGGAGATTATAATGCTTAGATGGTTTCCTAATATCTGGTCATAACTGTGTACGCTGTACAAAAGGCGAACATTACTCTACATGTTTTGTGCATACAATGACATAGGACAGTTGTTTGTAGTTTGGTTTCAAATCATCTTTTGTGGGTGTGTGTGTGAGATCGAAGGTATTGGGTTTAGAGAGTTCTTAGGTAATTCCATAATTTCCATACCAACTTGATAGGCTCACGAATTTGTCACTTCCTGATATGTTGTCGTGACTAAATTTGCACTTCCGGTTTCTGCAGTCATGTCATTTTCTGTTGTGAGATCAATGGCTTGTTACTTAAGTATCCTTCTTATGGCCTAATCTAAAATTCTACTCCTTATTTCTTTTGGACTAATTCTGAACTTTCTAAGCTTATACTATGTCATCAACCAGTTGCTTGAAAAGCTGCACGAGAAGTGGAGTAAGGTTGAAAAACAACCATACCCAGCCATGTATTCCAGCACTTATGGTGGAATTATTCTTGATCCAGCTTTGATGGTAATTCCAATAGATGATCACATGGTTCATCGAGGCCATGGTGTGTTTGACACAGCAATTATCTTAAATGGGTAGGCATTATACTTTCCTCTTTCCTTCTTTGAAATTTACATTGGCACATCTCAAGCTTTATGGCTTCTGCTTTGCAATGTTTTTGTTGTAAGGTTTCATGCAATTATAGGATTCTAAATTTTGAACTTTTGTTTGCATATCCAATAAAGGATATGCAAACAAAAGTTCAAAATATTGACTTGAATTGTGATTCCTGCAGATTCATCTATGAACTGGACATCCACCTAAACCGCTTCCTCAGATCAGCTTCAAAAGCAAAGATTTCCTCTCCCTTCCCTCGATCAACTCTTCGAAGCATTCTTGTGCAACTGGCTGCAGCATCACAGATCAAGAAAGGAACTCTAAGATATTGGTTGAGTTCAGGTCCTGGAAACTTCTTGCTCACGCCTGCAGAGTCCTCAACACCAGCATTCTATGCAGTAGTCATCGATGAGAACTTTTCTCAGTGCAAAGAAGGAGTTAAAGTGATTACATCCACTATTCCCATGAAGTCACCAGACTTTGCAACAATGAAGAATGTAAACTACCTTCCAAATGTCCTTTCAAAGTTGGAAGCTGAAGAGAAGGGAGCCTTTGCTTCCATATGGGTTGATGAGGAAGGTTATATAGCAGAAGGTCCAAATGTGAATGTTGCTTTTATAACTCATGACAAGGAGCTTGTAGTACCCTTCTTTGATAAGATCCTTAGCGGTTGTACTGTGCTAAGGCTTCTTGAACTAGCACCAAAACTGGTTGAGCAGGGGCGGCTAAAAGGGGTGAAAACTACAAATCTTACTGTGGAAGAAGCCAAAAGCTCAGCTGAAATGATGTTTGTAGGAAGCACACTTCCTGTTTTGCCAATTATCGTGTGGGACGAACAACCCATCGGAGATGGTAACAGCTTTCTCTTAAACTGTTCTTCACCTTTGAATGAATAGAGGGCTTTGATACTGAGGCTCCCTACTATTTTCTGTAGTAAAATCCTCTCCCCTGCTTCTTCAATGCAGAGAGATATTTTGATTTTTTACAAGACAATGCTTGCTGATTTTTTAAATTGGTTTTGTATAACAGGAAAGGTGGGAGAACTGACAATGGCACTCTCAGATCTGGTTTGGGAGGATATGGTAGCAGGCCCGACTGGTACGCAGAGGATAGCTGTTCCCTACATATAGGGGTAATCAATTTCAGGAAGGCTGAAGGAAGGCTGAAGGAAGGCTTCTTGCATCTAGCTGCCTCATTGCTCATTGTCCCTGGTGTTACAATTGCCTTCATCTTTGATTTCTTTGATTGTGAAGATGGAAAAAAATGATTGAATAAAATACTTGAGAAAGCTTTCTTGGAAGGGAAATCTTTTAGCAGAAGTGCATACTGCAAAATATTGAAAACTACAAGATAGCATTTTCTTGGAATGGAAATCTTTTACCCCTGAGGAACAATGTATTCTAACTATGAACTGCATTAATTTTCTCTAGTTCACAGGGATAGCTTCAATTCATTCGTCATTTGCATGAGATGGTTTGGATTTACTTAATCTCTTCCCAATCTGTATCAGTGTATGCATCATTTGTTTCCTTCTGGTTTTTATTCCAGAGGAGGCAACGCAACATTTAGCAGAATCAAATTTTTGCCTGCATGACTATCCCGTTTTGCCCCATTAGCCCTATCTCATAGGCCTCCTGGATTTATAGTCGAAGAGTCCCATCTTAACTTATCTTGCCTGTTTTGAACCAAAATGGGAAGGAACAAGGGAACAAAGGAGATTCCACAAAGGGACTTTTCAAATTGAAGTGTTAAACCTAATGAGTCCAACATTTACATCTCCTAGTGCTAAGATCACTCTCATCTAGGCATTTGCACTGGAAAACCAGTCAAACTGGCCGAACCGGACCTATCAAGCCGGTTTGGTCCATTTTCATTTTTTTTCTGAATTTTGGTAGTAAAACTAAACCAGGCCGGCTCCTGACAGTTTAACCAAACCAAACCGGCCTGCATTAATTACCTTTTTTCCCTTAAAAAAGGATCGCATTTCCATGTGGCATAAGCCTATAGCTTGGTTTATAACTTATCATAGTGCTCTTCACATGCCCTTTTAGCATAAACAAATCTGATCATTGATCGCAAAGGTGGAGGCAACTTAGGTGCAAAAATATTATGAATGTGCAAAATAGCTGCTATAAGTATATTATGCTTATGTGTGCTAACTTCACAGTGCACATTCATTTTATGTTGCTTCAGTATCATAAACCAAGCATATGTTATGGTGGATATACCAAAATAAAGGGAAAAATTATTTTCTGTTTTCTCATGGGCTAAATCACCATGTTCGTTACAATTTGCATTTTAGGTACCTTTGATACAGCCCTGAGCCAAAAGGCATAAATCCAAGTGGTCCTAGATTACAGGTAAAGAAATGCATCACAGAGCTAGGCTTAATCGCACTGAACAAATTCATTTGGTTTCTAGGCTTTACAGAGGAACAAAAAGGAAGATAATGAAAATGTTACCAGGTGCATATAACATGCTCATATTATGGAATTAAGCCGAAAAAGGTTCTTGGATCTCCGGTGTTAAAGCCTGTGCAAGTGTTTTTGCATCAAGAATTGGTGGTTCAGTCCCTTAGAAGATGATCACTTTCAAGCCCCAAATCTGCAATAAGGTGCCTTGAATCGTGTCATGCTGAGTTACTCACTCTTTGTGCTCTCGTCCCCAGTGTACAAGATTCTTAAAGGTCTTTAAAATGAAGAAATGGTGGTACAAAACAATTGAAGATCTAAATTGAAAAAAGTAATCAACAAATATCACCACAAATCATTAAAACACATATAAGAAATAGAGGCTATACACGATTGAAAATTAACTGGTACACCAATAAACTGCAAATGTTGAATGTTATGTCTCTATCTCTATTAGAATTTATGTTGTATGACCGAAGAACTTATACTATAACACCAGTGTTATCTTTGTCTTCCACCCTATTAACAGTAAGCATAATTTATGAATTTGTGCTTAACACTTTATATTAGAAACTGAGTTAAGCACTTGTTATTTTCTTCTAACCTGAAAATTAGCTATCTTCTCTAAAAACTTGTATTTTCAGGAGATGCTGGAGAAAACCATTAGAGTTACTCGTTGCAGAACAACTCCCAGCTCTCTTCTACATCCTAGACAATGAAGAGTAACTTTACCGATGCCACCCATTCCAAAGATTGAAACTCCAATATCACATGCCTTGTCCTCGGAAATTTTCCATGAATCCTAACTTCTGTTTCCTCCTCTAAACTAGTGATTTTCAATGCTTCATCACCTGAGGAGGAAAATTCTGACCAAAGATCCAACATCTCATCCGCCACAGATGTCTTTCAACCAAGCACGAACACACGCATAACTTGAGAAAAAGAGAAAGGTTTCTTCCTCCTTCAAGTTCCCAAAGTAAGATCTTCAGATCTTGTGAGAGGGTTTAGGGGCTATGCAAGAGATGGGGTTTTTTTTCAATAGAAGAGTAGTTGAGTTTCTTTGGAAGCCAACGAAAGGGCATCTTTCTTTCACATTTATCGTGCCGTGCCCACTGAATACGGTTTGAAGTCGGCATCTTAGGATGCTTTCTTTCTTTATTTTATTTGTGGGGCAGTGCGCATCAACCCATTGCCAGCGATGACATTTGCTGCCCAATCTTTTGTGACCTTCTGCCCGAGATACACGTGCCTTTTGTCAATTCTTACGGCCCCACGTTTGTCTGTTTGGTTTGAATTTTGAAATTGTTCAAAAAATTTACTGGTTTGAACTTTGAGGCTGTGGTTGTTGCAGCTGGAGTGTGAAAATGTGAAATGCATGCATCATCCATCTTAAACGTTTTCTGTGTCAAACCCCAACCCCATCCATTCTCCTACGGCTGTAGACTGAAAAATCAATGGCCTTGGCCCTACAGGTAGGTAGTTCTGCCGATTTTGTTAGTATGCAGTTATGTACAACTAATTGTTTGTGACCAATTTTTTTTTATTTTTTGTATGCTAGTTATTAATTCGTACTGTTAGGTCACTAGTGAGACGAGTCATAAATTTAGTCGTCAAAAAGGTTTTCTTCTTGCATACAACGAAAAGAATCGAACTCTTATCCTAACACATTTTAAGAGCTCAAAATATCTTATGACATGATTTGCCGAGCTATCAGTTACATTTCTTTCCCATTTTCATGACGCTTTCGTCTTCTGTGCTAGGGGTGAGAAATGGTAAGGCCATACGATATGAAAATTTCTTTGTTTTGGTCATCAATCCAAATAGTTTCATTCTTTCATTTAATTTCTTGTTAAAATATTTATTTGGTGTTCCTTTTGGTAAATTATTGTTGCAAAAGAAAATGGACAGGCTACCAAGATTGACCTTTTTCTGCCCACAAGACAGGCTTTATTAAAGGCATGAAGAAAAAACCTATGGAACTGGGTATTCACTTCTGGCTTTTTTTTTTGTAAAAAAAAAGGAAACAAGACATGTTTCCATGTACTAGTTTGTTCCCATTTGAAGACATTGTGAGTGATATATGCTTGTCTAAACTTATACCCTTTTTTTTCTGATCGAAAAGATACTTCATTAAGCCAAAAGGCAAGGCACAAAACAAGGATACAACAAGAAAAAGGAACACACCTAAGCCAGAGCCAGCTTGGTGCAAAAAGAAGTTCCCAGACCTGGATTCAAAAAAACGAAAACATGAAATTACATTGGTGGCCCAGGAAGGCCATCAGAAGTTAGAACCCGAACAATAGAAGATGGTGGACAATCAGTCCAGTGTATTACACCCACTGTCTGCAATCCAATCTTCGCGGGCATGTGAGCTGCTTGATTTTGGTTACGTGGGATCCACGCCACTCCACAGAATCAATGAGGAATGATCTTCTCATGATTTTCCTGATAAGTGGAAGGATGGCCCAAGTGCCACTGCCCATATTACCTTTAAGACTATTGATCAAGATCTAGGAGTCAAATTCGAAAATGACTTTACGATCTCCCAAGTCCCGTGCCATTGAAATACCAAGCAGGGCCGCCTCTGCTTAAACATATAGAGAAGAGCATACATTTTTCTTTTTTGCAAGTCCTCCTCCAAAACGGTCATCAGCAATCTTTTTGATCACTCCAAGACCTGCCGAGCACGAGGCAGCAAGCCAGGCTCCATCAAAACTTACTTTGGTGTGGTCTGTGATTGGGAATCATGTTGAGGGTAATTATTGGTGGCAGACTTAAAGTCCTGAGCAGCAATGACAACAGCAGTGATAGTTCTGATAGGATCCAAAGGTTTGTTTTCAAAAATGAAGCTGCAACGGGCCTTCCAAATTTCTCATAATATGAAGCATACCACAGACAAGAACCAGGCCGAGTTATTGAAAGAGCCACGATTTTCCAGTAAACTTTGGATCCATTTGTCAAAAGTGATGATGCTTTTGTCTGTTGAGATTGAGAACACAGTTTAAAGGGGAACCAAACCACACAACTTGAGCCCGGGGGCATAATGTGCTCAATTGATTCATCTTCCAAGTCACATATTGGGCAGATTGGAGAGACCGAGGATTGTTGGTAAAATAAACCAAATTGATGTATTTGAATCAAGTGGCAGGCAATCAAATTATCTCCATTTCACATCTCTTCCAAATGTGTGAGTGAGCTACTCCTCTTCCTGTTTTTTTTTCCACATCTCCTAAGAGAGGCTTTTAAAATACAAATGTGCAAATAAAGAAACTCAGCTATAGGCTGCAAAAATAAGTGGGCTGCCTTTGTTGTCAAAAAGTTAGACTTTTGAAAAAGAAGGGGAGGCCAAACCATCGTTAGCCTTCCCGAGAGAGAGAGAGAGAAAGAGCCTCCTTGGCCTCATTAAGGTTCAAAAAATGGTCGTTGGAGATCTTTTAAGTGGACAATCAGGGCTCATCAATGGTTGGCTTTCTTTTCGTAAGAAGTTAAGAACGTTTACTCATGCATTCAAAGTCTTGTTTTAATTTCTCACTCGCTCTACTCATACCCATACTGACAAGTTAACACGTAAATCTCAGGCACAAAAAACCTTCTATAAACTAAACGTCAATTGCTTTATTAATCTTCATGATGGGTTAGGCACCAAAATCTTATTCATATTGTTATTGAAGGAGAGATTCTAGTGATTGACATGCTCTCAGAAACAAACTTCCAGCACCTTGGGGTCGTAGGGTCTCATTAAGTCATATATAATCTTCAAAGGCGCATGTTGAACCTTGGAAGAAACCGCGGCTCTGCTCCTTTTAGTATGTTTTTTTGTAAAAGTTAGAAAAATGATGAGGGAAATTTACACACAAATACCATGGGGCTTGAACCTATCGTCTTGGTGAGAAGAGCACAGATAAATGTAGGTTTACTACCGTGGACCTGGTTTGTAAAATTATATATATTTTTTCAATAATAAAAATGAATTTAGTTAAAATGTAGGTTTGGGTGTGGAGATCAATTCTTGATGAACATGGTGCAATGAGATACACTTGTCTTTGGGCTCCAAATAAAAGAGAGGCCCAAAGGAAGTGGTAGCGTAGAAGTCACAACTGAGTGAAGAATAAGATGCTAAAGTAGTAATTAAATGGCATATACGTAGCGTCAAGTCAATTAAACTAAATAAAAGCGCACCAAAAACGCTAACACAGAAAGCGAGCGAGCGAGAATCGGCTAGAGAGAGAGAGAGAGAGGAGTCAGAATAGAGAGAAAATCCATTTGCCGAAGATTTCGATTTTAGGGTTAGGTTTTAGGGTTTTGAACTTAGAAGCCATGTCGACGATCACGAACAAAACGGCACCGTCTCAGCAACCCCAGCAGAGCAATGCCAAGCCAGGTCTCAGGAAGCCCGTCTTCACCAAGGTCGAGCTCCTCAAGCCGGAGACCAGTGGCCACACCCTCGTCGCCAAGGTCCTCACCTCCAACCCTGTCTTGCAAAAGGGCCGATCGGTCTCTCAGCACCTCCGCCAGACCCGAATCTCTGAGTGCCTCATTGGGGACGAGACTGGGACTATTCTCTTCACTGCTAGGAATGATCAAGGTATTGGCTTTTCTTATTTTCCTGTTTGTTTGGTTGCCTGGAAATAATGGGAAATTTAGCTTATGCATTTTTGTGTTTGGATTGTGATAAATTGACTTTATTTGGCCATTTGGTTTGATAATAAATCCATGTGTATTATGTTTATCCTTTACTGATTTGTTTGTATATGTGTTGGTTGCTGACAAAATGGATGGGATTCAAACGAGAAAGGGAAACTGAAATGAATTAGAGAAAATGGTTTTTAGTAGGCTTGTGGGCATCGTATTCACTGCACGTTTAGTAAATTTTTTGTTTTGGTCTTCTTCCAGTTTTTTTGGCTTGATTTAGCCACCTAAATAAGGTCTCGTTTCTGAAATGGACATTTTGTTATGTATTTTCTCTCTGTTTGCCTTTTCAAAATATTGAGACAATGCAGTAAATTTGTTGATCTTAGCCGCAAAAAAACCTGGAACAAATATCTATGCCACTGGTAAAAATCTGCTTATTAGTTATGCCATTAAGAGATCATTGGTTTTATCAAAGAAAAGTCAAAAGTTACACATTACGTATTCTCTTTGCTGGTATAGATTGATTGGAACCACAAGCTTTGTGATTTGTTTAGTTTTCTGTTGTTTAAACTCTGTTTGTAGTAGGCTTGGTTCTGTGGAGTCCCATTGTCTCCAATACTTGGATTAATCAAGACAGCTTTTTTGTTATTAGTACTATCTCTTTTATATAAATATATAACTATTTTACTGTCTGTTTGTGGTGTTTTTGTTAAATCTTTTAACTATGCAAAGAAATCTGAAATAAACGAAATAGCTTTATGATCAATAGATATTATGGTGGACTTTATATATATATATATATATATATATATATATATTGGTACAATAAGCAGCGTGTTGCAAGTATAAAATTAAGAAGAAAAAATAGGAAGAATTGGGGCATTGAAGCCTTTCTTTAAAAGGCTGGCAGAGTCAAGTTTGGATTGAGTTTGCAGCTAGATGATAGGAATTAAGTACTAATACTTCATCCAAAACTTGTGAAATTTAGTTAATAGTACTTTGTAATATGAAAAATATTACAATGGTCTGGCATCTAATAAGTGCTTGTTTATTGGGATGGGACCTCTGTAGAATGTTTAGTCTGTTGAGGATGATGTAGATGTGATATTTTTGGATCTTAGGACATGATTTGAGTAGAACTCTTTACTACAGAAAATGAGCAATATATTGGCTCACATAAGTTGCTCAACTTTATCAGGATAGTTGAGGAAATTTGGCGTTAAGTCTAGTTGAGCAATTCTTCTGTTGCACTTCACATAGTAGCTCCTGTTGAGTTAGAGTCTGACATTTGATCATCTTGATGTGACATTATGTTTTAACTTTTGAACAATCTGCCTCAATGTAAGCTTATGTTGATGCTATGATTAATCCGCCTAATGTTGTTTCTTGAAACTAATGTATTAATGTTCATAAGGTTTTGCTTTGTGTGTTGAAAATGGCCATGGAAATGAATTTCACTCCTATTCAAGTTCTCTTATAAGATTATGATGCCAACATGTATAAGTATTCTAGTTATGTTTATTGCGAAATTTTGCTTGGAAGGTATTATACAACCAACTGTAGCTTCACAGTTTTTTGATTTATGTGTTTTACTGAGATGATTGTTGTACTTTACTATATCTTTTATTTCTATGTTGTTTGCTCAGTTGACTTGTTGAAGCCTGGTACAACTGTTATTCTCCGCAATGCAAGGATTGACATGTTCAAAGGATCTATGAGGCTAGCAGTTGATAAATGGGGCCGTATTGAGGTCACTGAACCTGCTAATTTTGTAGTCAAGGAGGATAACAATCTGTCTTTAGTTGAATATGAGCTGGTGAATGTTCAGGAGGATGGAGGGGCTCCGCCTGGTAGTTAGTATATTTTGACAGAAGAATCAACAGAAGTATCAAAATCTATAAAAGCTTCGATGGTTGGTTTTGTTCTTAATTAATAGTAATATGCTGTTGCTGCTGCTGCTTGGGTTATATCCTATTGATGGAATGTTTAGTTTGGGATTGGTTAGGAGATGTTTTTGTGGAAAAGACTCGGTGTTTTAATATAATTTTCATGGCTTAGAGTGTTGTTCGATGTGGCAGGAACAGCTTGTGTCCTTTACTGAAAGGTGGAAATGTAAGCAAGTGTTAATTTTCTTATATTTCTTCTCATCTTCTTTAGCATTCATCAATTCCGTACTTCTTTTGTGCTTTTTCTTTTTCTTGTTTACCTCCATCTGTTGAATTCTTCGGCAATATTATAGGTGCTAATTGCGTAGATCGACTTCTTGGTTGTTGAAAAATTTTCAAGCACTGAAAGCTGGTCAGAAAATTTAACAAAAGCCATCCATTTGGGCTTGAAGCACTTGACTGTGTTCAAGTGCATGGCATTCTTGTTCCAATTGGGGTCCAAATGTAGTCATTCGCATTCATTTTCGACTGTTTATGGTGTTTATGTCATTTTACTTTTTACATTTCTTTTTTGACTCATGAGTGCTCCTACTACTACCACCCGCTATCCTATTTTCCCAGACACCCTATACCTCATCAAATTCTGAAAAAATAATAATAATGTTTCCCAATACACTATTATTTAGGCTACATTACACTTTTGGTACCTGTTATTTGAGCAATTTTCACTTTGGTCTGTTTCAATTTTAGCAATTTTAATCTTGTAATATGCTTAATTTTGCAATTTTGGTACCAATCAATGATTCTGTTAAAATTGAACAGAATTCTGACCTGGTAGAACTATAGCTTGTCTTGAGCATGGGTATTTTTGACATTTCAAGTGCGTTGACTTTGTGAGAACGTATCGAAAACGACATTTCAAATTTACCTAAAACTCAAATTTACGTGGGCAAAGTCTCATGTTTTGAACCAACTAAAGACGTGAAAGATGCTTTCTTATGTACTCGGTGCACTTGAGATTAAAGTGGAAAACTTCTCAAACTATAGGATTTTGCCCACTTGCTAATGTAACATTCTTCTCACACCCCAAGATTATCATCCCACCCATTCTCTTCATATTTTCTTTCTTCCATAAACGCTCATTGTATTCCCTCACCAAAGTATGAATCCACTCTTTCAACCACCCTATGTTTGATTATTTGTCTTCAATGCTGGTTGTGTTTTTTTTTCCCTTCTGAAGTCTTTTCTATTGAGAGAGGTGATAATATACTAAACTCTCATATACTAAACGAATGCTAGGACTCGAACCCATGACCTTTCCTAAGAGAGCAATTGCTCCAACCACTACACTAGTGGTTCTTTTTTTTTTTTTTTTTTTTTTTTTTTTTTTTTTTGGGAGTAAGTGGTGAATCCTTGTGGGTCCTATGCCGCTACCAACAAAAGGAACAAAGAATCGGGCAGAAACCTCTCAAAGAAAAAAGACGAATACCAAAATGATAAGATTGCGATAATGGAAGAAAAATTATGAAACTAGAAGGATTATGATTAGAAGCTAAAAAATTGGATCAGATTTGCTAGGGTTAATGGTCAGACTGTGAACAAAGGATTTATATCAACTAGCTGTACAGTTTAATCAAGGGTTTATTCCTTCTTTACATGACTACATTGTTGCTGCCTGAACTCATTACAATTATCAATCTCCTTGTCGTTTTCATCAAGTCATGGATGGTTCATCTCCAATGCCATCTCGTCCCAAAACGGAAACATAACAGCGCCATGAACCTTAAAGCCTCGTTTGGTTTATGGGAAAGGAGGCTTGGGGATGAGAAATAAATAACTTTATCATATTTAGTAAATCCGGGCATGAGAAATGGTTGCCTAGCACATGTGAAAGCATGAGAGAAAATGAAGCCCTCCTCTCAACTTGGGTTTTGATTTCTCTCTTCATGGGAAAGTTTGGGAAAATGAACTAACATTCAATGCACATTTTTGATTTCCCTACATCTTATGTTTCCTAAGATGTGCAAGGCCTTCCATTTTAAAAAGGGCTTGTCCAATATAGATCCATACATTTTCTATTTCCTAGACATATACCCATCACTCTATAAATCTATGTGTAAAACCCAATTTCAAATTTAAATGACTAGTAGAATATAAGAGGTCGTAGTATTTCTATGTTTTTACATCGTTGCCACTAAACTTCATATTTTATTTATAATTTATTTCAAGCATTTCATTAACTGTCATAATTGTAATTAATATACTCCCTATTAATAGCATATCAATCACCCCATTTCTTATAGTTGTCATTCCCTCTCACATCTCGCCCCCTAAAATTGCAAACAAAAAAAAATCTGTAAATTACATATCCAATAATGTACTTATGAAAATTATAATATAAATATATACATATAAAATATAGGTATCCAATAATGTACCTATGAAAAATAGGTACATTATTAGAGGAAAAAAATAGGTAAGTTATTTGGAGAGAGAAAATAGGTTCATTTTAAAAAATTACTTTTAATAAAACAAATAATAGGTACTTTATTCAGAGAAAAAGGCTATATTATTTATAGAAAAAAAAATAAATTACATTATTTAGATAAAAAAATAGGAACATTATTTAGATAAATAATAGGTACTTTATTCATAGTAGGTATATTATTCAAATGGTAGGTACATTGGATGACATATAATACCTAAATCCTAATTGTAAGTACATTAAAATTAATGTAGGTATGTTGGATGTCGTATAATGTAGGTATATTGGAATAGATAATTATGTACACTTTTCATACTAGGTAAATTATATTTTTCATAAAACAAACAAGTAATAGGTACATTATTTTTTCAACATAATTAGTATGTATAGTTTTATTCATAAACAATTATAAAGTGGATTATTAGTCATGTATAATTCATAAAAAGAAAATAACATAAACATTTTATTAAACAAACCAATTACCCAAATTTGAATTTATTGTTAAATTTTTTTTTAAAATGTTTCAAAATTAATTCATACAACCATTACAACCATTTGGTGATCTTTCCAAATTCAACATCTGTCATTATATAAAATCCAATTAAAAACTGTTTCCATATTGATTCCTACATTAATATACAAAATGCAATAATGGCTTAGTTGGGGGTATTTTTGGAATCTAAAAAGTACAATAAATCAGATTTTATGCTTAATTAGGTAACTTGCTGAGTTGAATCCTAGTCATGGGTTTTTACTTATACAAATTGGGTATTATTTATAGGAACAAAAAGTGAAGGGTTTTAGGTACGGCAAATTGAATTTGAAGGGTGTAAGCCAAATTTACTATTTTAAAAATAAAATCAGAGTTTTGCGGAAACATATCCTGCTTAATTATTTACAAGCAATCAACGATTTCACAAAATACCACGATTTGAAAGAGCTTACCTAAAAACAGCCCTCCACACCCAAAACAGAAAGGGACAAAAAGACAAACAGGAGGGACCAAGAGAAAAGATAGAAACAAAGTCGAACTGGTGGCTGGGTTGCGATGGTGGGCGAAAACACTGTCGTGTCGTGTCGTGGCGTGGCGTGGCGTGACGGCTGGCCTAAGTTCATGCACTTATTATGATCAGGCAACTAAACGACCCTCAAGACATTGAATGAGCAACATAAGTCGTAGGCCATTAAATATGACACTTGAAACCCTAATCTTCTAGTATCACAGAAGGCCCGGGGCTATACATCGCATTACGTACGGTGCATGCATGGAGAGTTCCCAACCACCAAAATGCGTATATAATAATATAGATTAAGATAAGTGGGGAAGATTGTGCAACCCTGCAAACGACAGAATCAGATTGATAAAATTTATACAAAGGGGGAGCATTTAATTTGGTTGCGATAATTTTTTATTTTTTCTCTTGGCTGAATCATTGAGTTTGGTCTAAATAAGATTTTACTCTTCTTCTTTTTTTGGGGTGAAGATTGTCAAATTTCTTTGTATAGTTGACCATAGATCGATGATTGGAAGTTACGTTTCAATCGGATGGTGGTGGTAAACCTTATGTCTCCAGTTTTTGAGCTCTGGTGTTTAACTCATGATTAAAGTCTATAATTGATGTTAATCCACTTGTTTGTTTCTCTATTCATTATCGAGTAGTTTTGAGTTGGATGTTCGAAATTTTAATATTAAATATAATTTATCGATAAAAATAAATTCAAAGTTTTATCCTTATTACGATAAGAGAAATGTTCTTTTATTAGACTATCCGACAGACGTTATCTGATGCGATAGGGGCTTTTGCAAGTGGATGTTGTAGGTTATGATAAAGTCGCAAATCAATTACTTGCAAACGTTCCATATGGGCTTAAGGGTCAATCAAAAGTGACCCTACTCAAAGAATATAGTGCAATATTCAAAGGACAATGACTTAGCAAACATGCATGCATGGGCCAAAACTCAAAACAGTTGATTAGCTCACAATAATCCAGTTGCAGGGTCTCGGCATTTTCAGAGACGACGCTAGATTTCAAGACGAACCCATCAAACTGTCTCACATTTTGGGGTTAATTCAAGTCCATCCATCCACGTGACTCCAGAACCCGTGGAGAGCCTCTTAAGTACAGTACTTATGCCTATCCAATCTATAAGGGAGAAACACCAGAAATTAGAAGACACATGTTAAGCATTTGATTTCAACACAACGATGGCCATCACCAAGTTGAACAACTTGCAATAGCTAATATTATAGTTTTTTTATTTGCATTTTGCGTGCTATGTATGTACAACGGGGCTCAGCTTTGAACAGAGGATTCGACAAAATATCGAGAAGACATCAATATTGACAATTCATATCGAGGATAAATTATAGAATGAACATACTAGTATATGGCCACGTGGTACTACGGTAGTATGATGACATCGATCTCTATATCGACATGGTATCAATAATATGGGTGACATATCGAGTATCCCGCTCCAATTATAGTGAAGCGAAATCTCCTTATCAAGGGCCCTATATTTTATATGGGTACAGTTGATCTTTACTAACTGGTTTTGTGTATGTTGAGAGTATCCCCCAGTCTCGCATTAGTAGTTTAAATTATTTTGGACCTTTTATTCATTGTTGTTTTGTTTTGGGTTGAATGCTTAGGGCCCGTCTGGTAACGTTTTCGGAGAGTGTTTTCTGAGAATATTTTCAGAGAATGAAAACAAGAAAACAAATTTGCATTTTCAGGAAATGAAAATGCGTCTGGTAGATTAATTAGAAAACATCTTCAGAAAACAAAAACAATGAAAATGTGTCTGGTAGTACAATTTGAAAATAATAATATGTGACTTATTTTCAATTGTATTTTTGCTAATTTCAGTTTTTTTTAATAAAAAAAAATCTGCTATTTTTCAAAGACAACAATTTATAAACAATAAAAAAATGTATAATTTAACAAATAAAAAATTCTAATGTTTTTTTTAAGACAAACTATCTTATCTCATTTCTTTTTTCTCTCTCTTTCTTTCTTCCTTTCCTTCCTTCCCAGGCCCGTGCCCTTCTTTTTTCTCTTTTCCTTTTTTCTTCTTCTATTCCTTCCCAGACTTTCTTCTTTCTTTCTTCCTTTTTCTCTGTTTTCTCTTCTCTTCTTCTTCCTCTATATGATTCTTTCTCTTCTTCTTCCTCTCTTATTTTTTATTTTCTTCTTCCTCTCTCTGATTCTTCCTGTTCTTCTTCTCTCTTCATACCCATCCTCTCTCTGTTTTCATTTGTTAATGGTTGGTGGTGGTTCCATTGGGTGGTGATAGTGGTTCAATTCAACTGGGTTTGTGGCAGTTATGGTTCGATTGCTTTGGTGGTGATCGTGCTTTGGAGGTGCCGGTGCGGCAAACTAGACGATGGGTCTGGATCGGGGGAGATGGGTTTCCACAGTGGTGCTCCTCATTTGTTTTTTTTTTTTTTTTTTTTTTTTTTTTTTTTGGTGTCTGGTGGTAAGTAAATCACGATCTCAGATATTTTAGAAGAAGAAGAATAGCTATGGAGAATTTCAAAGACAAGAATCGATGTTGATTGGAGAAAGAGAGATGGAAAAAATGAATTATCGTATGGACTGAAAATGAAAACGTTGAAAACGAAAACAACATAATATCGTTTTCAACTTTTGTTCATGAATTGGATTTGTTTTTGGAAAATATTTTTAGGGAAAACAAAAACGTTCCACCGAACAGGTTTTTGCCAGAAAACAGGAAATGAAAACAGAAAACGGGCCGTGAAAACGATACCGAACGCGGCCTTACATTCTAATATAATATTATAATAGATTATCCATGTGTAGTGTCAAACGAGCTCAATTGATTTTAGAGTAGATGCTCTCATTCTAATAGTTAATTACTCAGTGATATTTCTCTTTTCATTTTGTTGGAAGATATTTTAAGTCTAAATCCCTTCCATGGTCCAATTCTTTTTCTTTCTTCAGATGTGTAATTGCTTAATGCAACTGTCTATAATATTTTCATGTCTCCTAAACTTCTACATCCTCAGAGGTGATAGTTTTTATAGATCACGACAGCAGGTAAGACTAATTTAAGGGTCACCTTCTATTTGCAAATTGTGATTGATGGTCAAATCCAGCTCGTTCCAAAGACGGCCATTTTGTTTTTTCGAACTCGATGATTTCCTTGAATTAGAAGCAATATTGTAAGACATTTTTCTCCTTTGTCAGCACAAACAACTTGCTTCATTTTCCACGTTGTAGTGAAATACTCTTCGATTTCTATACTTCAACAAAGAAAGACATTGATATGTTGACCAATGCTCGATGATCAAACTATAATGGTAGCCCACCATGCATCTGCCATAATTAATATACACACACCGAAAAAAAAAGATTGGTAAACTAATACTCAAAAGTCATAAAAGATAACATTTTAAAATTGTAGAGAAGTAGGGGTAGGGCTACTTCCCACGTGAAAACCACAAGGGCATGAACTCTGTCTCTCTGGTTTTCAAACCCTTATAAGATAGCTTGAACCCAAAACATGCCTCATACTCATAAAAAAAATTATCACTAATATCCTTTCATCTCTCAATTAAATATTATCTCCCAATCTCGTACAAATCCAAGAAAGTTCAGTTTGATCATGGAATTTTTCCACACCCCAAACCATAAACACTCATTTCAGCACAACAAAAAGAGGCTAACCCAAGAGCAAGTCAATCTCCTAGAGAGAAACTTCACCTCCGACAACAAGCTCGAGCCCGAGCGCAAGCTTCTGCTGGCCAAGCAGCTGGGAATCCCACCACGACAGGTTGCGATTTGGTACCAGAACAAGCGAGCCCGGTGGAAGACTCAGAGCCTTGAGCTTGACTACAATGCAATCCAAGCAAAGCTGGAGACTGCCTTAGCTGAAAAGAGGAGGCTGGAAAAAGATGTTGAGAGGCTTAGAGAGGAGCTGAAGAAGGCTCATGACTTGGTGTTGGTATTGAACCAAACACAAGAATTGCCTGCTCATCCTGTGATTTGCTCAATGTTTAATTCTTCTTCTGCTGAAGAGGGTGTTGGGAGCTCCAGCCTGCAACAACATGAAGATCAAGTGAGTGATCATGAGGTTAAACAGCTTGAGGAGCTCTATGCTTGTTTGATAGGCATGCAGTGATGGGTTTAATTGATATATGCTGGGGTTAAATATACATATATATATATATATTAATATACTTCTGATTCTGGAGGACAATAATTCTGACCCTTTTTTCCTTTTTCTGTTTCTGGTTTTTAAGTTTGATGGTGTTAGAATTTCTTTTTCAATTCATATGCATATGGGTGAGTACAAGGAAAACTTACCTATACCAAGGATATCACTATGTGGCGCTATCCAAGAGCCAATCATTCATTGTCATATGTTTTAATTTTTCGACATGACAATGCAACTTTCCCGCATGACAATGCTTGATAGGCTTGGAATACCACCCCAGCGACATCCCCGTTGTTGAAGAATATAAAGTCTCACATTAGAAACTTGAATAAATAAAATAAAATATATAATGAATAGTTTCACTACTAATATTACTGAAGCCTTTTGTGATAATATTCCACACTACTACTCGAGTAGAATACTGATAAAGTACATTACATTTATTATAGTGGAGAATTGAAAACAAAAAAACCAAAAACAAAAAACAATTTGTATAGCAATATCCATCTTAAATCTCAGATTTTAATTACTTCTGAGATAATTATTAGCAGATGGGACTCGTAATTGGATCATAATATATATATCTGCCATGGTGGTGTGAAATAGAATCACGTATCGGTCAAAGGCTGACTTGATCTGAATGCCCTTCTCAATTGTTACGTTTTCAATTATTTGGTGTGACAGACAATCAGTTTGGTGAGCAATCAATATTATATGAATAGTAAATTAATTTAAAGGGAAATAATAAGATAAATAGTTGTCGCAAATGCCTGATTCTAATCATTTTTGTGCATTTCATTTATCAGCATCAACTCCTAACTGTCTAATTCTTTGACCCAAAAAAGAAGAGAAAGAAACTGTTTAATAAGTCTAACCATCTCTATCATATTCGCATAAGTGGACTTTCATCTGCAAGTGGTTCTCCCCCTCTCTTACTCTGACCTGGCCTAATATTTTTCTCATCTGGCTCTCATCTACTCTTTCTAATTTCTACTCCCTAAATTACTCTAAATCTTAACCTAATTTTACAGGGGTTTTTTTTTTACTTGAATTGATGATGATGATGATGACATGGAGCCTTCTCCGAAGGTAGCTCTCATTTGTTCGGGGCGTTGTCACTGGAGAATACTCCTAAGACATGAAATCCCAAATCTAACTCAAAACTTAATTTGCAAACGAGTTCCCCACCTATGTTCTTCTACTTGTACACACAATGCAATAACCTATATTAATTGAGCAAGGGATTATTTTGAGATCATTTAAGCGTTGTCTCTAGACACCTAATTCATGAATGTGTCGTTATTGATTAAGAAAAACACAACGTATGTAGTTTTGATGTTATTTAAGAGTTATGTAGTGAAAGAAAGAGGTTGATGTTTAATGGTATAATTAGTAATGTGATTGAAAGTTAGAAAATGAAAAATAGGTGATAGGGTTTGATGGTATGTGTGTTTAGTTGATTAGCTCGCCTTGTAATGATTAGTTATATTAAATCTTTCCCCTCAGAAAAAAAAAACCTAAAAAATCTTTATTTCGTTGCAATTAAAACAAAACATTTGGTGTGTGTCTTGGAAACGATTCTTGGGTGGCTGAAGAATCCTATTGTTAATTCACGCCCATCAATTGGACAAATTGAATCTATATTTTGAAACCGTTGGATCATGCCCATCAATTGGACGGCTAGGATCACAATGTTAATTCACGCTGCGTTGTGGAGTTGCCTTGCTTGGGCCTTGTGTTATACGACTCGTCGCATTTCGGAAGAGCCTATACGGTGCCGTCTGGGTTTTTGTTCTTTCTACGCTCAATCTCCCTCCAAAATTCCTCATATATCTGTTTTTGAGAGAACTGTTGCCCTGACTCACCAGCGAAGAACCCGCCAATCAGCCAACCGGTTCGGCCCAAACCCGGTTGTCGGAAACCCTAGACCCCAGAGACCTCCATGGCCTCGACCTCCGCTTCTCGAACTCATGGCGCCACGGGCCGGATCCGAACCGCCACAGCCACTCTCTACGAGGACAACCAGTCTCTTATCTCTGTAGGCCGTTATTTATAATAAATCAAACATTTTATCATATTTTCATTTTCTCTTTAGTTGAAAAAAGAGCAATTAGAAGAAACTAGGGTTTTTCTTCTTGTTTTTATGGAAGACTATTTGGTTTCAGGATATTCGTAGAGCTGTGGGTGCAATGAAGGAAATTGCAGTTGATTTGGAGAGAGATAATCAGTTTGAGAGGGTAATTTATTTTATTTATTTATTTAAATTCTTTATAAATAGTCTTAAGCTCTGTTTGGTTTTTAATAAAATGTACATTAACAATCACCGGAGTTTTGGATTATTTGAGAATCAGCCAAATGGAACATTGTTGATTCGTATACTAGTTCATGTTCGTCCACGTTGTTAGGCACTCTATCAACATTTTCTCGATTATAAATAGTAACCTTTGTATGCCGAAATGTTCATAAATACGGCTGATAGTTGCCAGCATGAACTTTGTAGGTGTTGCTTAACCCTTAGCTAATTGGGGTGTTTTCTTGTTAAACTGTAGCTGCTGAGATACTCTATCTGATGTAATGCCATTTGGATCCTGTGTTTTAGCTAGAAATTGCAGATAGGATGGAATATTAACTGTAATTAAAATGTTATCATAGATGCAATAAAGGATCATTTCTCAAGATATGAAAACCCTGAATATTGAACAGGTGAAGGAGCTTGAAAATGCTGTTATTGAATTGTTGGGCACTCATGAAGACTGTTCGCATTTTTCATCCACAATTCAATCTGTTGGAGAGAAATACCAACCTGGGCCAGAGGTGCTTGGAATTTTCTTCTTCATACACAGTTTCTCATTCAATGACTTTGCTTATTCTTGTCCCGATCTCGACTTACTTACATATTTGTTATTTCTGTAATCCATCCAAGCTGATGTGTGTATATTATCTTCGAAGCCAGCTTACTGATTTTGATCAGTTGTTCAAGAATGAGGTTGCAATGCTCAAGGCTAATTCATCTTCAGATCCACAAAACCATCCTTTGATGCGCCAATTCCGGGAAGCTGTCTGGGTATGACCTTCCCTTATTTTTAAATGGACAAAATAAGATTTTGAAAGTTTCAATGGCGTTTAACAATGCTGAGACAATGTTAATGCAAGGATGATGGATTAGTTAATGTCATTACATTTCAATTCAATTTTTTGTAATAACCTTTCGTCAACTATTTTAGGACAGGAGAATTCAGCTAGAAAGATGCCAACAATTGTTAAAAGCACTTTTTTCTGCCTGGCCTTGTAATAGCTTGCGTAATTATTTTATTTCTATAATTGAAGGGAATGCTTAATATTCTATATGTATATAGTTAAAAGGTTATACACTTTCGTGAAACTGAGCAAGTATTTTTCTGATTAAGTCCTCCTGTAGCTAATGATCATCAGTTCTTAGACTGTTGTAAGTGGTTACTTAACCTTTGTGGGTTTTGCTGCATTCTAGGTAAATGCTAATATGAAAGTAATTAGAATTGAAAACAATGGTAAATGAATTTAGGCAAAGAATTAAGTATTATTTTTCATATTATTTTGTTTGTTAGGCATATTTTTTGGTCTAGCGTAGTTTTATCAGTAAATTTGCGCCCTCCCCTGCCCCAACACACAACACTCTGAATTGTGGGCGGCTATTCCCGACTCACATCTCTTAAAGCTGACACAGTCCTTTGTCCTTGGAGCATAAGCAATTTGCTTAGCTTTTCGTCGTATTGCTAGGTTCACGTTTTCTTTCTGAAATGTCGATGTTCTTTATACTTTCCTGCAGAATGTTCATCATGCAGGAGAGCCTATGCCAGGTGAGGAGCAGGAGGACATTGTAATGACCAGCAACCAATGCAATATTCTGAATGTCACCTGCCCATTAAGTGGAAAGCCTATCACTGAACTGCAGCATCCAGTTCGCAGGTGCTGTATGAGTTACTTCAAAATTCTTTTTTTCTCTTTGTTGGGAGAATTTGAATGTATGGTCTTCACCGAATTTTGTTGTGGCATAGGAATTCCAGCATTGAATATTGATTCTATTCTATGTTTGTTTAGGCTTTTCAGTATGCAGATCCATTTTGAATCTCTACTTATATAATCTTTGCTGATAGTACATACTTTCATTAACCTTTCCAATTTTAAAATCTTTTCTTGGTGTATTTCTTCCCCAAATGCAGTGTCGTATGCAAGCATGTTTATGACAAAGGGTCAATCATGCATTACTTACGGTCAAAGAACACACGATGCCCTGTTGCAGGTATTTTTATCTTTTGTTTTCCCTACATGACATGAACTTATACATGACGAACTAGCTTCACCCTTGGGCATTTTTCCTCCTGTCAGCTTGCCCTAAGGTATTGCAGGCAGATAAAGTGGTGTGTGATCCGTTGTTACTCGTCGAAATTGATGAATTGCGTGCAATGAAGGAACACACTGTCATGACTGATGTCATAGAGGATTTCACTGAGCTTGATGAAGAGTGATCGATGATTTCAGGATTTGGAAAGTCTGCACACAGCCTTTGAGCTACCTATTTTGACATGCTTGTAGTTCCTTGCTGTGTGCCTTCCCTAGAATGGTGTTGTACAGAGAGTCCGGGTTTTATGGTTTTGCATATGTAGTAGTTGAAAGCAGTTCCGGTAGCGAATTCGAACCCTCTTCAAGTTCCTTGTATTCATATCTAACGTTGGGGTAAAAAAAATAAATATCGAGAGGCAACTTCACTGTTAACGACATTTTTCTCATTTTGAGTTCGATTTGCCTTTCTCTTATATATGAAGTTAGATATATCTTGAAAATATGCAGATAAATTAAAAAAAAATTATTACAGCCATTGCTTGGCTACCCCAGAGAAAAGAAAGAAGCAATCTTCTTGTTAAGTTTGCAACATTAGGAAGAGAAGTACTATTAATTAACAGCTCGTTGTAGCGTAAATCGAGTTACTTCTACAAAAATTAACTTCAGCATAAATTATTGGCAAGAAATTTGGATAGACTTTCTCCATTTTTTCACAATTTTTTTTTTTTTTTTTTTTTTTTTTTTTTTTTTAAAATATAAAGTTAATTTTTTATTCTCAATAAAGGAAAAACACACTTTAATTTATTTATTTATTCGGATTATCGGTTCATATTTGAACCGACTGGTACACGCTTGACTGACTGGTCTTTCCTTGCATAATTTCATTTCACGATTACCCGCCAAGAGGCCGTTGAGCAAAACCCGAAACACAGAGCGACGGAGACACAAAGACAAAGCAGCCATGGCATTTGCCAGGGCCAGACTTACCACTCTGCCAATGATTCCTTCACTCTTCTCAATAACTCTCAAACCCTTCCTTCCCATTCCTCACCCCCTCCCTCCTCCAATGCGTTCCCTCCTCATTCCCTTTGCCTCTCTCTCTGCTTCCCAAACCCATCACGACCCATCAGCTCCTTCGGTCCCGTCGTATCCGAGAAAGAGCAGCCAACCATGGAAGCCCATGTGTTTGTATTACACGCAAGGGAAATGCACTATGGTATGTCTAGCTTCAGACCACCAACACCTTACAGCCTTAAAATCTTTTCCCACAATCCAAGTACACTCATGATTTTGTTGTAGGCAGCAGTTTGTCTAGTTATCTTATTGTTGAGATGTTTTCGGAAACTATTTGCATTGGTGTTCAGTAGCGTATTGTCTTGCATTCCATCTGTTTGATTGAATGCCTCAGACAAAGTGAGTGATAATTTATGATGCTGTTTGAATTTCTTACCTTTTTTCCGTGTGAGTTGAATCAGAGTTTGGGGACCTGCTGAAATTATCGTTTGAATGTTGTCATCTCTCTGTAGATATATATAAATGGTTGTTAGTGTATATATCATTTTGTCCTGCTTTCCTATTCATGTTACTCTGTGAACACTTGTAATCTAATTAGAGTTACTTTGTTTTGAAGATGGAGGATCCTACCCACTTGGAGAAATTCAATCATGATTGCTCCAGAGATCTTCAAGTGACAAATTACATCTCAAACCGCATCTGCTCTCAGAACTTAGATTATTTTCTTGTGCTTGATTTGGAGGGAAAAATTGAAATTCTTGAGTTTCCTGTTCTGATGATTGATGCAAATACCATGGATGTCGTGGATTTTTTCCACAGGTTTTACTGCACCTCCTCAATGGATTTTAGTGCAATGCAATTACTAATATGCCTTTCCTGCTAATAATTTATTTTCTACTGGAAGGCTGGAGCTTACTACTACTACTACTAGCACCACCATTAATGTTATAAATTTTTCTCACCTCTATTGTTGCAAAAGTTTTGTAAAATGTCAAACAAAAAGTAAAATGAACTTTTGCGTCTTCATGTTTTCTTACAATGATTACTGTTTACCATCTCTTAATCAGAGTAAGCAACTACTAACAGCCTTATCAGAGCAAAACAGATGACGATCACTAGTATTCATTTTACAGAAGAGTCTGCGATTTAAACCACCAATTGCTTATTTCTTCCCCATTTATTAGCAAGATCTACTCTAGTACATTCTTCATGCTTCTATTAACAGTATCGGTCATGTTGTCAAAGGAACACCGATTCTGTCTGGTGTACCTGTAAAGGAGCACCATTCAGACAATTAAAGGGGCATCTGTTACTATTCCTGCCTTCTCATGGTGTTCAATTAATAAAAAAAATGATTTCATCTTAAAAGTATGATATCCAGAATTGGCTAGTTTTGTTGTCTAACTTTTCCATTATTCTTTTGCAGATTCGTGAGGCCATCCGAGATGAGCGAGAAAAGAATAAATGAATATATTGAAGGAAAGTATGGCAAATTTGGAGTTGATCGGTATGCCAGTAATTCAGATTTGACCACACAGAACTTATGCTTAACATGTTTCCCATTATTATTGGCAGATTAAGAAAATAAATTTCATTCGTATTTAAGACCCTAATAGATCGAGTTATGCAAGCAAATTTAGAAAGCAGGGTAGCAAAGCTAAATGAAGGCAAAAATGTTTTAATTTGGTTACACGGAGATATTTATTTGTCATATATCACATATGTTTTCTATGATAGAATTTTGTTGTCAAGTGTATGCATTCAATTTGTGGTTCACAGTAGTTAGTAGCTAATGAAAATTGTTCCGGTCTGATGCAATTACAGAGCTGATGTCAGCTGATGTAAACCAGAAAGGGAATGATGTGAAACTGAAAGACCTGGTACCCAAAAAAAAAAGGTATCAGTAAATTAGTAGACAACTTCTGCTACTGGAAAGACACCAAAATGGACCTAGTCAGAATGAACAATTTTGCGGTTCTAGATGGCCTTAAATAAGTAGAGATGAAGTTTCGAGATCTGGAGACTGCTGATTTGGAAGAGATTGCTTGGGATGAGTGTTGGGGTTGAAAAGCCAAGAAGGATGTAGTGAAGAGAATAACTTTCAAAGAGAGTGGTTTGGTTTATACTGGAGAAACAATGATAGTAATTGACAAGAGTTGTTCTGTGATAGAGAGTTGACTATAAACAATAATTTGCAGTGTTAGATTGAACGCTATTCCATATGTTAGTTTCTAATACTAATAAAGAAAAGTCAGATTGTGATAATTTTAGCAAATTACATTTGTAATATTTTTTCTTTATGCTGATAGTGGGACATCAATATGACTTATATAATTTGCAGTGTTTGGCATGATACAGCTATACCATTTAAGGATGTTCTTCAACAATTTGAAGCCTGGCTAATTCAGCATCAATTATGGGGAGAAAAGTTGGGTGGGTGCCTTAATCGAGCAGCATTTGTAACTTGGTAAGTCTCACTATTCAGGAATGAATATTTGGCCTAACACTTCACTAGTCCTGTGATATCAAACCTTTCCTCTTTCTGCTTTTGCTTCAAACTGTAAATGATGCTAATAACACTTAACTAGTCTCACAATTCAGCATAAAATTATTGTTTTCCGGTAAACTTCATAGTGGAACCACTGGGTGTAAATACCTTCAAGTTTTAGTCAAAAGTCATCGCTTAATTAGTCTGTGATATCTGCCGAAAAAATGCAAACAAAATATTCTCTTACGATATTCAATTTAGGTGAAGCATCACCAACTTCTGGATTTTGCTGATGTATTATTAAACTTGTATCAGTGGAAACTGGGATTTGAAAACAAAAGTTCCTGAGCAATGCAAAGTGTCAAGGATGAAGCTTCCGTCATATTTTATGGAATGGATCAATCTCAAAGATGTCTATCTAAATTTTTACAAGAGGAGGGTAAAGTTCAAACTATTTCTTCTTTAATGCTTAAGAAAACATCACCTGCCTTTTGCTCATGATATGTCAATTATGGAACTAAGAATGAATGGTTTGACCAAAAGATGTTGGTAATCTACTCTCTTCTGGTGCAATTGGCATGATGTTGGATGCGGTTGGTCTGATGATGTTAAATATGAATAAACCTAAAAGTTCAAAGAATCAGAGTAGAACTCAATGGTTCCAAACTTCAATGAACCAACAGGTTCAATTCAATGTTAAGCATCTTCGTCATTGATGCATGCTACAAATGCATTCTGGGTTGTTTCTGTTCCATGTACACTTTAATATAATGATTTTTATAGTTAAGAGAAAATTTGTTTAACCCTCCCCCTGGTGTGGCCCGTATTCACTTTGCTACTCTGGTTTGGTGTCACTTTGCCCTTGTATGGCTTATTATCTTAAGTTTCCCATTTGTTTGAACATAAGGTATTCCTTATGGTTATGGTTAACTGGTATGAAATACAAGGTAATCTCCACCATGTGTCAGATACAGCCTTGACCAAATCTGTCAGTTCCAGTGCTTTACCAAATCATGTATTTTCAGTTAACAGCATGATCAAGCATAATCCTATGAAATTAAATGATACATCAAATAGGCTTGCATCAACTTAGATCCACAATCTGATGCCAAACATCCAACAAACTCTTTGTCAGGTTAATTCAGGTTATTCTTTGGGCTGGACCAGAGTGCACCTCTACTTTTCATGATTTATTAGGCTGTTTCTCTGTGTTGAATTCTTTTAGATTGCATTTGGATACGTGGATTAAAATGAGGGATTCAGATTTGCTTACCTAGTCTAAACTGTTTTTGCTAAATGTTAAAAAACATAAAAGAAAGCTTTTTGTTTTTGTTTTTTGTTTTGGATTGCGAAGAGAACGCTATATTTAAGTGATTTATAGAGTAATTTGAAATAACACTTTTTCCTTTTGAGTATTTGAAATCAAGCCAAATTCACATGTGGACTTTATTTACATAAAATTCTCATTAACAAGTTTACACCAAAACTTCAGATCCAAATACTAAACTATAAATTCTAACACAAAATTAAGATATTTGTTTCGTTGTGGATTGCAGGCAACAGGAATGATGACAATGATGAAGGAGCTTCATTTACCATTGTTGGGAAGTCACCATCTTGGATTTGATGACTCAAAGAACATAGCAAGGGTAGTGCAACACATGCTTGCTGATGGTGCACTTA